CCACTCTATCGGAATCTATCATCGGGATTTGAAGCCTGAGAATATCCTGGTTACAGACCATAGTATGACTGTTAAGCTTGCGGACTTTGGCCTGGCTACAACCGATTCTTTCACGTCCGATTTTGGTTGTGGATCTACGTTTTATATGTCTCCTGGTGAGTATCCTGTCCAAGCTGTAGGTGGGAAGCAAACAAAAAGCTAATAATTATGAATAGAATGTCAGCAATCTAACTCGACACCGTACGCCTCTGCTCCAAACGATGTATGGAGTCTTGGTGTCATTCTTGTCAACCTTTGCTGTGGCCGAAATCCCTGGAAAAAGGCCTCTCCCGAGGATTCTACTTTCCATGCCTATCTAAAGGACCGTGAATTCCTCAGGACAATCCTTCCTCTGTCGCCTGAGTTGAACTCGATTTTGAAACGCATTTTTGAATGCGATCCTCTGAAGAGGATTACACTCCTGGAACTCCGCAAGTTGGTCCTGGAATGCCCAAGGTTTACTGTCCGCTCGGGCTGCAACGTTCCTATTACGCCACCATCTCCGTGTTCTAGCTATGAGTATGCCAAGGCACAGTTTAGCTATGCGCAATTTAATCCTTATCCTCCATCACCGGTGGAACCGATCGAAGCCGAGTACTCCAGCTCCGCTATCTCCGATACTTCTTTGACCGATGACGACTCCTCTGTCTCCTCCTCTTCATCTTCGGAATACGCCCCTCCAAGCCAGCTGAACCAATTCAAGTTTGTTCCTGCGACAATCCCACCCAATTATTGGGGTTCGTTTATTCCAATTGTTGGGGATAAGCCTGCAGTCCGCCAATGCCACCTCGAGCCGATGGTGGCTGTGTGCTAAATGCATCATGGCATCCCAGTTTCGACATAAACCCTACACATCCTCAACTGATTTCCGCCCTGGTGACCACCGTACTTGGCAGCTTTGTCCCAACTTGCTCCAGGAAGGCACATGATTTTGATAACGAATTTCTTTCTTTGCTTGCTCTTTGCCATGGATCGGAGTTGGACGAGTCCTTACATATCCGTTTCCCTTTAGGAGGATCCAATTTTTTTTTTTTTTTCCCGGTTTCGAAGACAAACTTTCCACTATGTTCGAAGCTCTTGTTCGATAATAGCGATTCTACCTGGTGGTTCATGTCCGTTTTTGTCTCGCCATGAGGTCTATTTTTTCAACTTGGCGACATTGTTATTTTGCTTCTGATTCGCCTTCTCTTTATCTCTGCACGGTTCACTGTTCGATACGACGTTGTAATATCTCTTAGCCATCATTCTGGAGGTACTCTTATGGTTTTGGGAGGTTCAAAGTGAAGGGCGGCTTTATGATTTCGGCGTTGGGACCTTGGAATGAACACAAAGGTGCATTAAGGAGTTTTTAAGTCTTAGTTGTTTTCCCTTTGCTTTTGAGTTACTCGGTTTCAGAACTTTTGACTAGAAGGAAAAGGCGCATGTTCCTGTGAGCTTTTTGGAGGGCCGTTTCGATTCGCATCTTCGATTCTGCTGCTGTCGTTATAACACTGATACCCGGAATGTTAGTTACATTCTTCTCAACACTTATATGTCACTCTTAGTGCTTTTGCTTCGAGATGATCATACATATATTGCGGTCAAAGCGCAACCCCCTTTACTTCTCATCTGTATATAGCGACTTGAAAGTCATTGTACACACATAAATACATGGATCAGGACACCATTCTTGTCCGCGCTCATTGCGATGGTAATTCTTATTTTAGAAATAATTGAGCCTAATTGTTTGCTGGTTATTCCCAGACTCCATGAAGCCTGTACGCGCAGGCTTTGCTCTCATTTGTCATCGCCGATTTTCCCGCTCTGTTGGTTAGGTTTCTCTAGATCATTTCAACGGTTCCGTTGGCTCGTTCCGGCCCCTAGAACGGAAACAAAAGACCAGCAGCGCCTCAATTTTTTTCATTTCCCGCGTCCGCTGGTTCCATTTATACTTAACGTTCAAACCAGCTAAAAGCTCCGGGAAGAATTTTCTCTTCTTGAAATAGCAATCGGCCGAATGGCTGCCCCGTATTGGGACCCAAGTTGATCGAGGCGGACGGATGCGGGCGACTTTCTGCTGGCGTGCTCTGTAGGTGTTGGTCTTTGGTTTGGAGACTGATTTCGGGTTGCGGTTGAACTGTTACCTGTCCGCTCGTATATACGGGTGGGTAGGCCGTTGTACGGAGTATTATGCTAGGAATCCAAGCATATTGGACAGGCGGAAGAGCGGGCGCAACGATGGAAGAAGTTTTGGGATGGTCAGGAACGTGCTGGATGGGGCTGCTGCATCCATCGCTGCTGGGCTTGTCTCTGAAGGCAGGATGAGATGAGAAAGGTTGGTTTGGTGGAAATCCTTTCTGTCCCTGCCAGCCTTTACTTGGCTAACAGTGCGGCTTGCAGCCTCATGGGGGAACAACTGCACGGCCGGGAGGCTGAGGTGTTGTCGTTGACTCGATCCCCACTGCGACAAACTCTTCCCGGTCCAGACACTCCATGATGGACGCCCGGGTTTGTTGGACAGCGAGGAACATCGGTGCCGTAGAGCACAAAGTCACTCCACAATGAAGCTTCTCCCTGCAGGCTTGTGGCCAGGTACTTCTCTCGCCGCCTCGTTTCTGTATCTTCGATGTACCCATACCCATTCCGTCCCGCTTTGGCATGCTACCTGTCAGCCCTGGCTCTCAGACGGAAAGGAAAGGCTCAGATCGTGTCTTGGCCGGGAGAGACGGTAAGGAAAAAGGCAAGATTTGACGATTTCGCACCAAAGTATCCATGAAGCGCCAAACTAGCCTCTTTAGAATGCACGTATGCACGAATCGTCCGACTGGGCGAGAGAATCCCACCGACCCGCCGACCAAACGTTCCAGACGATGATGTAGTTTGACGCTGCGAGTTTTACCATGCACGATGACGGATTCTGCCGGTTTGATGATCCTTCCACGCCGCTGCTGCAGTTGGATTGGACCTGACCACAGAACGGGTATCTTTGCCTTGAACGTGCGAACCTCGTCTGGGGTCCTTTGTATGGATCTGTATGGTGTTGAGCCGACGGGGTCGAGTGCAACGAAACCCCAGCCCGTCTCCCAGTATCGTATCCATACCCGCACTCTTCCGTTACTCCGTGCACGCATTCATATTGTATGTACGGAGTACTGTACAGAAATGCAACAGCAAGGAGGGAGAAGCATCGCCTCAAGAGCCAGGGAGCAAAGCAGGGAGATTCCACCCAAGACAACGGGACGAGCGGCCCCAACCGGACTGCCCTGCGTGTCTCGACTTCGACACGTCGATTTCCTTTGCGCTCGTTTCTTTGACAAAATCCTTGCTTCGAACGCCCCTCATGCTGTCTTCATCCATGAGCAACCATCGCGACCAACCAGACGGGATGTGTCGGCCCCCTTCCCATCCTGCACGCTCTCCTTGGATGGAGCTGGTCAAGTGATACTCATCTCGGACCTTTTCAGTTAATTATACGGGATTCTGGGGTTACGATGAGATCTGCGGATCCCGTACAATTGTCGATCGCGCGACATTAAAGGGAGCTTCTGAAGATCTTTGCCCTTCTATTCGATGCGGAATGGATGGGTAGGTTGTGAGCTGGAGGTGGGATCTGTTTTGTCGAAATAACCCATCGATTACAAGGATTCGCCTGGGCAAGTTATTATTTTCCTGCTACGCCGAGAGAAGGCATTGTCTTTTCTTTTTCTACTTCATTGAGGCCTGGAGGAGATGCGGTCAACGGATCTGTGAGAATCCAGCGTTCCTCTGCGCTACACGCCTGAATTCCAACGGCGACACATGGAAAATGTCTGCTTCAATCTGAAACCTCGATTTACGTACTGGCTCTCAACGGAAACCGGGGGATCTGCTGGCATCCAAGGATAGTATTTACAGATCTCCATAGGGGTTTCAAGTTCCATTCGTGCCTTAGGGACGTTGCTTGGACGATAAAGATACCTTGCGCATTCATTGCGCAGAGGAACCAAAGACAGACATCCAGCGATAAGCTAGCCCTCTTTCTGACAGCAGTTGACAGATACCGAGACCCAGAATGGAAATATTTACTCTATATCACCAAATGCGAATATCCGCATACGACCTATCGAGCTTGGAGTCTGAAAGCCATTTCCGGGATGGACTTGGTGCGCAAATGAGCTTTATTATTATTATTGCTGCCTGATTAGTTTCCCATTGGCCTTTGTCCGATATTCATGCATTGTGACACACAACAGATATATTGAAGTGGTATTACATCACTGATATTTTTGTGTGCAGCATCTACTTTAGAGGATGGAGTCCGCAGAATCCACTCATCCTTAGCGAGTAGCATTTCACGGTTGACCGAGCTTCACCGCTCAACCTTTATTTGCCTTTTCTTTCGTCCTTTGTCTCTTATTTTCAATGCTATGTAAGGCTGATCTCGAAGATGTGCGTATAGCCGTGACGTCGCCCTTTGCCCGAGGTACAATGTTTCATTTTGGATCGTCCCGTGTTACAATGGGCCATCGGCGGAATTGGAACACCACTATTGCACGACATGGAAGGTATCGCGTGACTACAGGAGTGAAAGGCCTATTATCAACCTCGAGCCATGCCCTTGACATTAAAGGCCGATGCAATTTTTGATAGAGTCTTATTGCAACTTGTCTTTTCGCCATTGCTCTGCTGTCGAAAATTCGGAAGCCTCTTTGAGATTCTGGGAATACAGAAGGCTAGCCTAATCGATGAGGCGAAGACGAGTTGAGTTCCTGCAAGAACGCTGCTCTTATCAAGAAATTTTTCTCCGAATGGAATATATAAGTGCTGCAGGGTTCTAAGTGATACTTAGGACGCGGAGGCATGCATAACAAGTATCTACGTAAGTTCTTGTTATCTGGAACGCTTAGGCAGTTGAGGTACATTCCAGAATGATCATAGGGGGGCACTTGTCGGCGCCAGCAAGGCAAAATCATGGCATTAACAGACTTAAGGGAAAAGATTTGTTACATATTTCGTCCACCAGTGACCATTATAGTCTGGCCGTTGACATAGCTCAACAGTGGGCTAACTACTCCCAAAATGGATCTCGCTGCTTCAGTAGGAGAAGCCGGTCGCCGAAGAGGGATATCAGCATACTTTTCCTCATTGCCACCAACCTTCGTAGACAGCTGCTTTGTTGGGATGCCAAGAGAGACCTTTTCTCCATCAGCAGTGGTGATGAAGGCACCGGCCTCTTTGGCTTGAGTAAGACGGGTGAGAACGAAGCCAAAGGCGATCGTGTTGGCGCGGACGCCGAATTGAGGACCCCACTCTTTGGCGATAGTCTTGGTGAGACCGACTAAACCGGCTTTGGCGAAAGAGTAGTTCGCTTGTCCCCTGTAATTTGTATGATTAGTTATGCGTTCTAGGATGGGAGGGGGATGGGGAGGGCACGAACGCATTTCCGTTGACTCCGCTAGTGCTGCTGATGTTGACGATGACTCTGGATTCTCCGTCCTTAACACGGAAGTAGGGGGCAGCGGTTTGAACGAGTTTAAATGGCGCCGTTCCGTGGACAGCAACCATCTTCTCCCATTGCTTATCAGAGAGCTGGGGCCAGCCGTCAGCGAGATTCTCTTGCCATCTCCAAGTCGATAATTCGGAGAGAAGCCATAAAAGTATGGGATAGCCTCACCTTGTGAATTACACCGTCCCATGTGTAACCTGCGTTATTCACGATGATATGAATCTTCCCGTTTCCAAAGTCCGCGGCTTTTTGCACGAGCCTCTTCAAGTATTCTGAATCGGTAACATCTCCAGCCACGGCGATGGCGCGCCCGGGACTCGCATCATTGATGGCCTTTGCAACCGCCTCACATTTCTCTATTTATTCCCAAAGGGGAAAAAGTGGACTTAATCAATGCCATTGCAACCTAAAGCCGGGCGTATCTGAAAAATTGGCGTAGAATTATGGATGACATACGAGCATCAAGATCCGCAACCACAACTTTAGCACCCTCATTTGCAAAGAGTCGAGCAGCTTCAGCGCCGATTCCTTGGCCGGAACCTGTAATAATTGCTACCTGCCCGTGGAGCATACCCTGAGGGTAGTTCAGGTGTGAGGACGCCTGGGATAGGCGGTCTTGTGGAGCCATTGTGTACGGGGTATATATATGGGGTATATCTGCACAGCTCAACTGTGTAAACAGTTATCACGATGAAAGAAAAGAGAAGCGCACGGGTTTTTAACGATAATCGAGAAAAGGAAGAATAATAGAAAAGCAAAAGCATTGACGTCGAGAAATGCGTCGGTATTTCTGTCGGTCTCGAAGCTCCCCAGACAACCATTTAGCCCCGGATTTTTAGATGCCGAGGCCTGTAATTGCCGTGCTCGCTGCTCTCTCGGCTCCCAATGAAGAGCGCTGTTGGGCTTGAAATCACCGAGGTTTTGGTGCCAAGAACCGGAATCCTAGGGACAAGCGAGGAACCAACTTGAGGAGGTTCATCGCCGTTGAACGCGGACAAGATGGATGCAGGAGTACCATGCGGAATGAACGAAAACAGTGACAGATAACTCATATGTGCAGAGCTCTCTATTAACATTAGGTAGTTGTCGCTCCAAGAGGAGAAAGTCTAAGTCTAGTCCGTCTACTAATCCAAGCTGCGATCTAATTTCAACCAGCGCAAGCAGGCGCAATACCGCTATGCCGATAGTCGAACGCCTCCAGCAACCCCGTTAAGTGCGCATACGCCGCCAGCACGACCAGGACATGGAAGATCTGATGGGAATGTCCGAGAATATCAAATTTCCCGGGCCACAGCCTCTCTGGAACCCGCATCGCATAGATCGCTGCACCTAGAATATACAAGCACCCCTGCAGCAGCAACCACCAGAGCCCAATCTGCCAACGCATCTGTGCGAATCCAAAGACGGCAACCCCGTGTACGAGAGGAAACACAGCAGACAGTCCCATTGAAACGAACATCGTCGCTCGAAACGGTCGCCAGGCGGGCGTTCGGAAACGAGGAATCGTGGAAACGATGGCGCAGCCGAGGCCTAACGCACAGATCATCGACCAGTAAAGTATTTGCAGATTTGGCATGCAGTAGAAACCGTAATATATACTGGGGATGAAACTACCGGTGATGAGGCCCACGATCCCGACATAGTCGCATGCATTGCCGATGTACGCCACCAGCGGAGAGTGGTTGGAAATTGTATGGTAGAGGGCGCTCATCCCAAGACAAAACGCTGCACCAGCAAAGAAGCAGCTAAAAGCAGTTACATCTGCATGGTTTGCGGTCTCATATCGGGCGGAAATGGCTCTGTAGATGGTGAAGGAGAGAGGGATGGATAGGAGAGCTGGAAAAAGGTGGGAGTAGATGTTCACTGTCTCATTGTGAATGTAGGCTAGCGATTTGAAGCTTTTCACAAAAGACTCGGAGGCAGGCCGATAGCCAGTGTGGATGTGCTGGTTGTCGCGGAGCCAATGCGGTAGATCATCCCAGTGAACGGTCCTGACAGTTGTTTTCACGACCTTTGTTGCTGTGACTGTCCCATCCGCTGATTCTGCCTCTGTTTGGATGGTAACTTGGCGGCGTTGCACAGCTGATACCTCAGCCCTCAATCTTTCCATTTGGATACCCAGCCATCCAGTGGAAATTCAGCTCTCTGGTGCGATCCTAGGTCTCCCGTTGCTGCTGAGAGAAAAGAGCCCGCAGCTTCAAGAATTAAAACGTGACGCTGTTGCAAACAGAGCAAACAAGAGGCACGCCGGGGAAACTGCATCCACGTCTAGCGGCCGGATGCTCAAAAGGCCAACAGCGGCGGAGGAAGTGTCTCTCCTCTTCAACCATGGATATCATATTGTCTCCAAGCTAATGGAAGAAAGGGGTTGCAGTTTGACTGGGTATCTCAGCAGTTACGAGGACTAATGCGCCGGATGAGTTGAAAATGGCGCACAGAGCTGCACACTCAAGGTCAGGCTCAGGATGGGGCCGCCAGAGACAGCTGAAGCAGCCGTCAGATCCTTTGGAACAGGCCGGATTTGTATCCAAAGGAGACAGTTCGTAAGTTCCTATTATGACTTTGCCAGCATATATTTGATCAATGGAGTGGAGCTGATACGGGATCTAATTGTAGACTTCTTGACGTCAAGGCCCAGGAATCATACTTTAGACTCATTATGGATCGGTATGCTCAGTTCTGCAGGGACAACTCCGGTAACCTAGATGCAGCTTTCGCATCTCTGCCTAGAAACCCTTCGGATGACGCGACCAAAAATCCACCTGCAAATTTTCAGAAGACGGATTCAAAAAAGCAGGCCACTCAACCCATTCTACGAGCAGCCAAAGAGCTCTCAACCATCCTAGTTTCCCTTCGAAAACTGAGAGAGGCTATCCTGGCTACAGCTTCAAAAACACCAGTTCCTTTCTCTCAAGATGTACATGTATTTTGCGTTCGGACCGCTCTCCTTGCGGCACATCCACCTTCTTACTACCCTCCATTGGAGCGGTTGTTGAAACAACTTCATACGCCGGTGAACCCCCTCGGTACCTCAGCTTCGAACGAGTTCGTAACTTATCTCATCCTCGATTATGCTTGTCGCCAAGGCGATCTTGCTGCTGCTTTCCAATTACGCGAAAGGGCAAAAGTAAAACTCGCATACCAGCACGACTTGGTGGACTGTGTCCTTTCCGCTCTGACACATGATAACTGGGTCATGTTCTGGAGAGCCAGAGAGGATGGGGATGGCTATGTCAGGTCGCTGATGGATTGGGCAGCGGATAGCATGCAGCTTCGTGCTCTCAAGGCCCTTGGAAGGTCGTACCTTACGGTAGAGATAGGCTTTTTAGTTGAATCTTGCACCGGCCGAAAGGATGGCTGTACATGGGAAGAGCTGGCGCAGAAATATAATCTCGGTTGGAAGAAAGAAGGCGATAGAGTGATCATAAGGGCTAGAAAACAGGCTACTGGTAATGCGAAGCCGATCGCAACTTGAGAGTGGAAATTGTGCAATCATGAGTAGGCGTTCCCTCGGCGCATTTAAGGTCCAAAGCTATCCCCAGTTCTGCAGGAACACGCAACAACGGGGTTTTGGAGTATGGTGTCGCAATAATGTCAATTCGTTAGATCGTTGGTGGCTGGGGATCGTTCAATTCAATTCGTTATTTTAAAGTCTGAATTTGGCCGCTCCCAGTTGATATCTCTCGATGGCGCATGCTTGGAAATTTCCTGCGTCAGATCGAGTTTGAGCTTTTGTGAATTCTCCGAGCAAAGTTCGTAGATTGTTGAGAGGTTAAACGTGAGGCTCTGAAAAGATTTGTTGCTTCTGATGAGAGACTCGAGTATTTCCCTTGACTTTTGACGATCAGCGAATCCGCCCAAACGAAGAAGACAATGGATGTAGTTACCTCATTGAGCTTTCCTACATAGAGTAGGCACACTGCTAGATTTTGTGCGACCAGGGTTTCATCCTCTGTTATCACTTGATGGTCACGTAGATTTCTCCACTCGGTGACGGCATCGGTAAATCGACCTTCCGCCATGCTTAGCAGAGGACCCAGAATACCACCTGATACATTTGGAGAGCTTTCCAACAACACCCTTGCCGCCTCTATGTCCCCGATCCTAAGATGTAGAAGCACCATTCTCGCGATCTCTAAGCCATTTGCTTGCGGGACCTTCATGCTTGCCAGCGATCGCCGCGCAGCCTCCAAATCGCCCATTTCTATCAATGTATTGACGGCTCGGATGCCCAGGTCGCCTAGCCGTTCTTTCCACATATTCTTTTCCTCGTGCCCGATCTCTGGACGCAATATCTGCGTCCTGGCCTCCAGACCAAGCTCATATAATCCCGTGATCCCTCTCCTTGCGTCACCAAAACCGATACTCTGCAGCCGCACGGCCAGAACGCGGAGTGGCCATGGCACTACGTGTTGAGATCGGCTACCCGTGTCGCTGTCAAGGTAGTAGAATGCTGAGCTAAGATCCTCCAGTGCCTTTACTTCTTGAGCTGCAAGCAAGGTATTTCCGCAGAGCTCAAGACAAGCCAGACGGGTATAGAAAAGTGAAAATATACTTGAATGATCGTTTGAGGATATTATGGGAGATGTTAAGATTGCCGCCGAGAAATGGGCCGCTAGGAGGAAATGTCCTTCACTTAACAAGTCGTCCAAGATTAATAGGGCAGAGTGTAGGGATGGGTTCGGGGGCAGCGCTCGAAATTCCGAACGAAATGCGGGCGGTACTTCTAATTGTGAGAGGGGATGGTAGATGTCCCGTCGAAGAAGGAACGAGAAGCTCTTGTCCACGGGTAACGTGGGGGTTGATGGCACCGATCCCCTCGTAGATGAAGCTGACTGGCTTGCACTATGGCTGGTTCGCGTTTTGGGGGGATCACCGCTCTGTCTGGGGCTTTCTACGGTTCTATCAGTCATTAGGATGATCCCGCCTTTGGAGGAGATACGAGAGAGAGGCGCATACTCGTCTGGCATATCTAAAGGGCCTTTGGTAGAGCTTCGAGGGCGCGTAGCTGAGGAAAAGTCAGCTCACAAGAACATATCGGGCAAATGGCATCACTGGGGTAGCATCAATGCACAGTGGGGAGGTGTGCGATACTGACCTCGCAATGACCTGTTACGCCGATGCTTGGGGCTCGGGGCGTCCATTGTGATGATCTGTGCGTGTGTAGTAAATTATCCTTTAACTGCTTCACTCTGAGCATTTCCATCTACTCAGAACATGTTCCTTGGTGTGTTCTTTTTCCCCCTCCATCACATAGGCATGCGGGGAGAGCTGCAGAACAATCATTCCGCACCGACGACTTCACCAGCCCAGCTGCCGGTACTGCCAGGCGGTGACTGCACGGGCCACATTACCCCCTTAAATTGCCCGCCAATTAGCGGCCCTTTACATAAACTGATCTCCTGGGGAATCTGGTTTAGTACACGTCAGGAGGGATTGTGTGCTCGAGGCTTTGTTCATGGTCATCGCATCGGTTGACGTGTAAGCAGGAGATTCCGCATGCCAAATCGTGGTCCTCGATACCGGCCATCGCTTGAAGTTCTCCATCAGAACTCGGTCCTCGAACTCCACGAAACACGTCAACCAAAACCTCACATAATGGCTCCCCCGAACAAGTACTCCGTTATCCTTCCCACCTACAATGAGCGCAAGAATCTGCCGATCATTTGTTGGCTGATCGAGAAAACCTTTCGCGAGAAGTAAGGCGCCCTCGCTATGTACTTTCAGACTCACTCCGGTCTTCATCCCCAATCGCTAACGTGTCCCTTCCGCTCTCATAGCAACCTCAATTGGGAGGTCATCATTGTTGACGATGCGTCCCCCGACGGGACCCAAGAAATTGCAAAGCAGCTTCAGGGGCTGTGGGGCGAAGACCACATTGTTTTGAAGGCCCGCGCAGGAAAACTCGGCCTCGGGACCGCCTATGTTCACGGCTTGCAATTCGTCACTGGCAACTTTGTTATCATCATGGACGCCGACTTCAGCCATCACCCCAAGTTTATCCCCGAAATGATCAAAATCCAAAAAGAAACCGGCTGTGATATAGTTACGGGAACAAGATACGCGAACCGTGACCACTTGCACGGCGGTGTCTATGGTTGGGATTTAAAACGCAAGCTGACTTCTCGTGGCGCAAACTTGATCGCGGATGTTATGCTGATGCCTGGAGTGAGCGATCTGACGGGCAGTTTCCGTTTGTATAAGAAGCAGGTGTTGGAGAAAGTTATCAAGAGCACTGAGAGCAAGGGCTATACATTCCAGATGGAAATGATGGTTCGGGCAAAAGCAATGGGCTACAAAGTGGAGGAGTGTCCTATCACCTTTGTTGATCGTCTCTATGGAGAGAGTAAACTTGGTGGAGAGGAGATTGTGGAGTATCTCAAGGGGGTTTTCAGCTTGTGGTGGAAGGTCTAAATACCTATCATGTCTCGAACGAATTCCAATACCCTTTTTATTTCTTTTTCGCATTGCTGGATGGCGAACCGGTGCAGCGGGTTTCAGGGAAATGGAAATGTACAACGCAAGGGATTCATGTTTTCTTAGTAGATACTTCTAATGATAATTCTTTGGAATAGTGACATTGATGGAGATCAACTCTCACCATAATCCATCATTTTGGTGAAATCGACCCTGGGACAAAAGCGAAACCCGGAAGCCAGTTGCTCAGAGCTTTTCCATCTTGTTCAAATATCGTTCAACTCTTGATACGAGTTCCTTTCTCGGCTCTTCTTGAGTTCGTCCGCCCGGCGAATGGAATGCACCTGCGACTAAGCCACTAGTTGTATCCCATATATCACGGCCGCCAGCGCCTTGTTTAGTTGCATTTTCCCATCTCTCAAGTAGCATCTTTTTGTTGACCCACATCGGGACGTATTCGTCCTCCTCCCCAGGTAAGACGAGGAGTGAGCCTTTCAGCATACCCCTAGAACCAATTGCACCAAATGTTTGCAGTAGTCGGTCGTCATTAAGGTCAGAGCTAAATAGGTCGTCTTCAAGGGGCGATTCAGGACTGTCTGGGCTTGTTATGCTTAGAAACCGGTGACTAGATAATGGGACATCATGGGGATATCCTAGCTGAGCTGTGGCTGCTAAAGGCAATGCCGTGTCCATGTTACCAGCAGCGACATTCGCCTTTGCTAGAGCGACGAGCTCGTTGTATACTTTTGTCAACGCTTCTGAGGTAGCACTACCGGTTCCGAGAGTTTGCAAGAGATACTCTCTGTCTGATACCGGTGCCTGAAGGATCGCTCCGTCAACTGGTTGTCGTTTTAACCCAGATCCTGCCTGGAGTGGATTTGGGGAATAGAGATAATGGAGGACATCCTGGCTGCCAGTGGAGTGGCCCATCAAAGCAATCATCCCCGGCTTATCGTGACCCCGACCCCCTTTATATCGTCTCACATATTCAACACAGCTACCAATTTCTTCAATGTCTCTGTCTAAAGTCGACATGCCCCATCCGCTATAGGAAGACGAAAGGAGCACTGAAAAGACGGACCACTTGGTCGGCTCAAGGGCTTTGGCTATGTCATTGATAAATGGGACTGTCCCCAAGCCATCTGACAGCCCTGCGATAAAAAGCAGCGTATGAGGCTTAAGTTCTGGGGTTGAGCCTCCATATTCAAATGCGCACAGCTTGTCTAACTGCACTCTCATAGTGGTATCAGCTTGGATCTGGGCCATTCGATTCGGAAGCGAGTATCCCGTGGCTTCTTACATAGTGGTGCAGAATCCCGAGGCGAGGACTGGGAGTGGGCTGTTGATCCATGATAGTTTAAGCCAGAGTCCGATTGGATTACGCTTCTCTTGTCGATGGAATACGACCGTTCGCGGAACTAAGATTGTTGTTGTCTCCGTTACAGAGGCGGGTGGGGTTGACACAGAGGTTCTCTTGATTAGTCATCGCAACCATGATTCTGATGTCACATATGTATGAGCACTCCAGGGACTTTGGACCTTTTGCTGGTTGAAGTTATCGCTGCTGGATGTGGTAACAACGCTGTTGACTTTGCTTTTTATTCACTGGGTTCTGCGCAATTGAAGCTCAGGTGTAGCGAACGTCCAGCAAAAACAGACGTCTCACGTCTCAAAAGCTTTGAAATCAGAGCCTCACCCCCCCAAGAAAAGTCTATTCCCATGTCGTGAAACGCATACCTGCTAGGTATGGTTGATAATGGCGCCACCGTTAGCGCGACGATCTGGCCGGCTCCGCACAGCTGCCCGTAAGTACACAGATGACGCTTTTCAAGCCGTAGGACTAAGTCCGGATAACTCTGGATCTGAGCATCTGGCGGCCGAAGAACTCCAAAATGCTCATGCGTCTGATGAAGACTTTGTAATGGGTGAGGATAACGAACAAGCTGCTGCTGAGGAAGAAGATGGTAGGAAGCCCCTATCGATGTACTCTGGGGGAAATACTGACAGTGAACAGATTCCGATGATGAAACAGGCTCTGTTGTAGGGTTAACCTTTGATAAAACAGAGCAGGCTGAGCGCAAGATGCTAGCCAAACTAGATAGGGACATGACACATTCCCGAGGGTTGCTTAAACCTGCTGAGCATACCGCAAAGAATACACAGTTGAAATTGACATTCGGAACTGGTGCTGAGGACCTCCTTCCAGCTATTTACGCAAGGGATCGCTGGGCTTACGGGAGAGATTCAACTTTTCCAAGTGCAGAGAGTTTTCAGGGTGCGCAAAGAACCAGCCCATATGGGGTAGGTGGGTTATTTTGCTACCCCAGCTTTAAAATGGAGTTTGAATCTACCGAGGCGTGGGATTGGTATTACGATAGCTCCATCGGAGGCTGTCTTCTGAGGAATCAGCAGATAAGGGCCCTGGAAGAGAATGTGGGGCGAGAGTACTTTCCCCAGGATGGAGATAAGAGGCATACCGTTTTGGTTGGGCCCCAGGGCAAACAGAAGGAATTTCACTTGGGACTCCATGAATTTTTTGATTTCGGGGTGGTTTGGGAACCACCAAACCCGAAAGCGGGTAAGAGTGGCAGGTCAAAAAATTCCGATGCGCGGTCCCATGGTTCGCTGGGCGACAATGCTAAGGATGCTCACGCAATGCCAGAGATGGAGAGGTTCAGGGAAGGTTGGATTCTAAACTTTGGAAGTAAGATACAATGTGCTGCATGGGCTCCAAACTGCAGTGGCACGACCCAGTATCTTGCGGTAGTCGTCCCGCTTCCAGAATCGCAGAAGGCCGCGGAGTGTGATATAAACCTCACTGGGGCTCCTGCCTTTACTCCCTCGCCGCCATATCCAGCCGCGATTCAAATTTGGGCCTTTGAAGCCAAACAAAGCGAAGTTTTCCCTCGACCTTTAGATATGTCTATTGAGCCCCGATTGCGATTAGTTTTATGCACCAGATTTGGCGATGTGAAGCGCCTTTGTTGGTGTCCTATGCCACGAAAACCTCGCTCAAGCCACATAGAAGGGAAAGAATCGATCAACCTTGGCCTCTTAGCGGGAATCTGGGGAGATGGAAGTGTCAAAGTTTTGGATGTGAATATCGAAAAAAATTCACCGACCACGCAATGGGGTACGTTTCCTTATCAATGTTCGAGCGAAAGCACTGACTCTTAGGTGTAGTAAAGGTTGAAAGCCCGGTGTTCCAGGCGAAACCTCCGTCAACACTGTGTACATGTCTCACTTGGCTTTCTCCGGGTGACCTGGCTGTTGGTTGTGCAAATGGATTCATTGCGGTCTGGAGCCTCCCTGCATCCTGCGGCAAATCGGAATCAAACCCTGTGCCATATATATATACTCCAATTCACACTGCCTACATTCTTAATGTCGTTTCGGCTTATCCAAACCACCCGTACCTCCTTGCTTCCAGCAGTATAGACGGCCAAATGAAGCTCTGCTCTCTTGTCGACCCTCTGGTAGATATCGCCGAAGCGATCAGAACACGAATGGGGACGCTAAATCTATCATATTCACCATTCTTTCAAGCATTTGTGACGACGGATGAAGCAGACTTTGTCCGTTTGCAGCCAGTTCGCCGTTTCTTTTCGACAATCTCTGTCCTTCGTTCTACATCAAGTGTAACTGCGATTGCACCTTGCAGCCCATGCCACCCTACAATCCTGGTAGGTACCGCAGGCGGTCTAGCTATGGCGACTAACCCACTTCGAAGGCTCCTCAACCCAAAAAACAAACATTTCCAGCAAACTTGGTTCTCACATGAGTGGGTTCTCGCGAGGGATACCAAGAGTGAAAAACGACTCGGCGTCAGTAGATTCTATGACGGTTTCAAGGCAGAAAGCCCGAACCTTCTAAGAAGTGCTACGCAAGGAAAGATATCGAGCAATATGATGACCATATATGAGGAGGAGACAGGCATCACCGTGCTTGCTCACAACCCTAACGACCATTGCGGAGGATGGGCATGCGCAGGGTTAGGATGCGGGCTGCTGCGGGTGGAAGACCTAACCCTCCGCCCTCGAAGGTAAACTGCTCTTCGTTGAAATTCGACAGCGACCAAACTATGTGCAACAAGCAGACAGGCTTTAGGCTTGACAGCTTGGCTGGATTAGTCATCCTTGGCGATCTCGGTCCCCGCTGACCGAAGTAGGATGGCGACCGAGAGCCTCTTTGTTTACTCTGTCCCAATCCAAACAATAAGCTGTTCACAAACCCAGAGGGCACAGGGGATTTCAGTTTGCCACGGACTGGGACAGGAACCATGAATCAGGTCTGTCTATGATTTGGCATCCGAAGGGCTGCCAGCGCCGGGCGCGTTCATGTAATGGGTGGCTGGGAGTTCGACCAGCCACCCCAAATTCGTTCCGCCGGGAATGGCTCGAGGGTTGGCTCGATTAAGATGTCATGATGGAATGTGAATATGTTTCTGAAGATGAATCTATGGAGTATGCGGTACTTTGGCCCACTTATTATCTTCTAGGTGCAGGTGCCTATCGTGGACTCTCCTTGTTGAGGTTTCAGTGGCAGAACACAAGTTCGAAACGAGACGCTACTCTTCACATATTTAGCCTTTGTCTCCTGTCGTCACTCATTATGCAGTTTCAAAGTTTGATTGCCGTCTCCCTAAGTCTCGGTTTCACTCTCTTCGCAGTCTCGCTTCCGCTATCGCCCAAGCCATCTATTCATTCCCCTACTGAGCGAAGACCAATCACATATTCAGTGGTTCAAGTGGACGGTGGCTCGACCACAACTGATAGTGGCTCTCCGAATGTCATTACGGTGCCTATACCGGCCCCTCCCGTTACGGAGACCCTAATCTCCACCGTGACCATATATCCATCGTCGTCGAGTGGTGTAACGATGACGAGATCCTCCAGCCTCTCCACAGCTACGAAGACAACGTCGAAAGCAGAACCGACAACCTCAAAGAGCCCAAAGATAACAGAGACGGCCTCCTCGTCAACCCCAAATAGCACCTCTTCACCAAAGGTGACGCCTTCATGTCCTACCACGGAGATAGGCACAATCTCGTCAACAGTTCCTGTCTATCCGTCTTCATCGCTGCCGCACCCATCAGGCTCCCCGGCCACATCGACCTGTTACTCTAGTCTAACGTTCCACCTTCCAATGCTTACACCTCTTCCTTCGATATGAATATGTTACCGGCGACCAATATGGATGTTTGCTAGACATGAACGATGTTTTTATGTTTCTTTGTTAAATATTGGTAGGTTTGTGGATAAGTGAGTTGTATAATATGGGAAACAACAATAGTGAGTTAGGCATTTTAGATGGGTAGGATGGGCATTGGAAACATGATTTATGATTTGTGATTAGCATATGAATAGGCAGCTCAACCAATACCATAGAGTACAGGTGCTATGTCCGAACTAAATCTACATGCTGTTGATGTCTCTTGAATCTACTTTGTTAGTTGATACTATGATATCGAGCTTTGACTCATTATACAAGGTCTGAATGAGAATTTTGTTAAATAGCTGTTTTCCCATAGCGACAGAACAACAACTGCCATCTGTGTCTCCTGAAACCAGGGGGTTTATGCTGCTGCTAACCTACCCGTGCCGTTGGGGTCAGCCACCTCTCAACTGGACAGTTGAGATAACCTGAATGGGTTAGAAACAGTGCATAGAGTAGTGAGCTGTTGAAGACCATGTGCAAGGATCATGTCAGAACCTGATGCCTTCTTTGGCGCTGTTGTCTTATCACACTAACTGCTTCTACTTTACTTTCGTGAGGCGAAGTGAGTTGGTCATGATACATGGGACTTCTAATATCAGACAAGCCAGCTTCTGGTTTCAGGAGGAAGAAAGTTTCCTCCTCTTGCATTTGAGTTTCAGCCTGGTAGGCCATGTTTCAATGTCTTGTTATCTTCGTGGAGGGTAGTGTTCACAAACTGTTGTTCCTCCAGAATTCAAAATCTACATTCGGTGTCAGCTACTTCCTTGGCCTTTCTTCGGCGGGAATTGTGGGACGTCTTTTTCACCACTCTATACGGAGTACTTATCACTGCAGGCCTGTCAGTAGGCTTCTCAGCCCCCAGTCCTTTGGTATCCTCTGGCTTTCGCGATTGCGCTGCACGAGCCGAAGCTCCTTTTCATAATACTTCATTTTTCCAGCCAAGAAAGAGTCGAGTGAATCACATATCCTGTCCACGTCCAGCTTGTAGGTAAACCAAAGCTATGCATTAGATGCATACTTAAAATAAACAGGATACCGATCAGAATGGGCCCAGTCTAATAGCCGGGGGAGGTATCATTTGTTAACACCCATACTTCATGTAGGAGATGTCTTTTTGGGTGGAATAAACCAGTATAGTTGAAACGACCAGCTGACACGGGTTTGTGCTTTTTCCAAAGTCTCTCCGGGAAATTGCTTCTAAGTATTCTTGTTTGTCTCAATCATCTGCTTTATACCTGGTACTCTAACCTTGAGGAGTGTTGCAAGTTGCAGGGTATTAAGCATTTTTATACCTTCACCGCCCAAAAAAAGGTTTGCTATTAGTTTTGAAGGCAAGAAAACGCCCTAGAAGAGATCTCAGGTGGCTGGGATTCAAAGATGTAATGGGCGCGTCTCGCGCTGTCATATTTTGGAAGATGCTGTTCTTCGTACCCAGGGCGCATCGTAGTGGGCCTTCGGGGGGGTTTCCTGGGTTCCTCGCCTCGCAAGAAGATTGAAGAGCGCGCCTGTAGATCTCCGAGCGAAACGTTGCGTGGGAGTCACCGAGCAGGTAGCCGCATTAGAGCCTATACTCCATAGTATGCTAGTGAATCCAAAAAGGTTTTGCTCAATAGAGATGTGGCTTCTTTATCTTTTTGGGGCCGTTGACCTTTAACCCACCGTGAAAGTGTTGCTGTATTAACTCCATTGATATTCAATTGCGGTATGCGTTAAATTCGGAATCAACTGCAAAGTAAATTCTTGTAACGCGAACTCTATAGCTTCTTCATTGATTATTGTTGAGATCGTGAACGAGTTGCGTTATCTTGGTTCTGGAAGAATTCAAGATGGACGTAATTGTCCAAACTCCAGATCCCGCTAGCGTGGAGTTAATCTGGCCGGTTGATTGCGCGAGACTACAACCCTTCGACGAAAGCCATTTCACGTCCTGGTTACACTGGTGAATCTGTTAACTCGACCATTCGTGGGCAAAATATTCTCTAGAGCGTCAACAGCCGTGTGAAGATCCAGCGCCTCGGATATTCCAGCAGGCACCATGGCCAGCGGGCCGCGCCTTTCTGAGGACCAGAGCCGTCTGCTCGAAGAGGCCTTGGCGGTCGTTCGGCAGCAGTCGTTAATGATGCGAAGATGCCTGGAAACCCCCGGGAAGCTAATGGACGCACTGAAATGCGCGTAAGTGCTCGATGCGTAACCATCTCCGGCTTGGTTTCTACGTTCTGCCCAAGTTTCGCTGACATAGTCCAGTTCTACCCTGATTTCAGAACTCCGCACGCCCAGTCTACCTCCGAAACAATATTATGAACTGTACATGGCCGTATTCGATGCCCTGCGCCATTTATCCGACTATCTTCGGGAGAGCCATCCTGTAAACCATTTGGCCGACTTGTACGAACTTGTTCAATATGCTGGCAACATCATCCCGCGCCTATATCTTATGATCACTGTTGGCACTGTATATATGGCTATCTCAGATGCCCCCGTGAAAGAGATCATGAAGGATATGATGGAAATGAGTAGAGGGGTGCAACATCCGGTGCGTGGTTTGTTTTTGAGATACTATCTATCTGGGCAAGCAAGGGATCATTTGCCGACCGACACGGGAGAGGGGCCTCAAGGCAACCTGCAAGATTCGATCAATTTCATCTTGACGAACTTCGTGGAAATGAACAAGTTGTGGGTTCGACTGCAGCACCAAGGACATTCGCGGGAACGAGAGCAGAGAACCCAGGAGAGACGGGAACTTGAGGTTTTGGTTGGAAGTAACTTGGTTCGCCTCAGCCAATTGGTCGATCTGGAGACGTATAAATCGGTGATACTACAACCTCTTCTGGAACAGGTGGTGCAATGCAGAGATGTGCTCGCTCAGGAGTATCTCTTGGAAGGTGAGCTTAGTATACCCCCCAGGAAGGAAATAAGAATTTGCGCTGAGATTCATATTATAGTGATTACCAAGGCCTTCCCCGATGAATACCATCTACACACCCTCGACATGTTGCTTACAGCAATCTCAAAGCTCAACCCCCACGTTGACATGAAAAAGATCGTTATCGGCTTAATGGATAGATTATCGTCTTATGCGAGTCGCGATTCTGATAGTAAGGACACCATTGAGGCCAAGAGGGAAGCAGAAGAAGATGCAACCCGAAAATTACTGGAGCGCGTGAAAATATCCGAAGAGCCCGGACCTACCGAAGCACCCGAGACTAAACAGAATGGTACTGCTGAACCAGCGAAAGAAAGTAAGATGGAAAAAAGTGAACAGGAATCTTTACCAGGAGTTTCTGTTGAAGCTCCCAAGGAGGATACGGGCGCGGAGTCCAAATCGGCGTTACCGGGTGATATCAAACTGTATGAAGTTTTCTATGATCAGGTCGTGAACTTGGTAAAAACTCGGGGGTTACCCATTCAAGATACTATTGCGCTCCTAGTTTCTCTGGCCAACCTTGCGCTGTAAGTTTTCCGGACGTCCACGATTCTACCAGGCGACTAATGAAAGCACAGGAATATATATCCAAATAAACTAGGTTTGATGCCTCGCTTGTGATTTTTGCTGCAGATCATGAAGTGTGCTAACTGGTGATGCAGAATATGTTGATCAAATTCTCGAATTTGCGACCCAAAAGACCTTAGAACATGCCGATAGCGCAGACCTACACTCTGCGCCAGCCCAATCCAGCCTTCTTAATCTCCTCTTAGCTCCTATTCATTCTTACGCTTCCATTTTCACGGCACTATCTCTTCCAAACTATATCCCTCTATATGCTGCGCAATCATATCCAACCCGGCGTGCCGTCGCTGGGGATATTTCTCGCAATATTTTGAGAAGTAAAACCCTGATATCCACGACGGAAAACCTTGACAATGTGCTCCGAGTTCTCAAGGTTCTAATAAAAGAGGGAATGCAACAGCCCCTTGGCTATCCGGGCATGTCGACACAACGACGTGGTGAAACGGACGAGACGATCGAGGAGCAGGGATGGTTAGCGCGAATAGTCCACTTCATTCAGGGTTCAAACAATGATATCCAATTCAAAGTAAGATCTTGGAGCGAAGCACGTTGTTTCATTCCGCTAACTCTTGGCCCCAGCTTTTACAAGCTACGAGGACAGCCTACTTAGAAGGAAACGAGAGAATCCGCTATACTACTCCCGCAATTATCACTGCCTCGCTCAAATTGGCCCGGCATTTAAAGAAGCGGGAGCATTTTGAAGATAACTTCCAATCACAATCCACAGCGCTATTTAGGTTCATGCACCAATGTGTAAGCACCTTATATCAACGGGTAAATTCGGGTTGTGCAGAATTATCGTTGCGACTTTTCGTTCTCTGCGGTCAAGTAGCCGATGAGGTCGGATTTGAAGAGTTTAGCTACGAATTATTCGCGCAGGCATTTACAGTATACGAGGATTCTATCAGCGATTCAAGAGCACAGTTCCAAGCTGTGTGTATTCTTGTTAGCGCGTTGTATGGAACGAGGAACTTTTCAAGAGAAAACTATGACACTCTTATTACTAAGGCCGCTTTGCATGGAAGTAAGCTTCTGAAGAAGCCAGATCAATGTCGGGCAGTTTATCTGGCAAGCCATCTGTGGTGGGTTATGGATAGTCCACAGCCAGAAGGCGAAGAGCCCAAGGTCGTAAGTGACCCTGACCCAACACACAGTGTTGCCTTTTTATCTGGAAAGTGTTACAAGTATATACTAACTTTAACTCAATAGGTCTATCGCGACGGCAAAAGAGTCCTCGAATGCCTTCAACGCGCTCTCCGCGTTGCCGATGCATGCATGGACACCGCCGTCTCCGTTGAACTCTTCATAGAGATCCTTAACCGCTACGTCTACTATTTTGACCAGCAAAACGAAAGCGTCACCATTAAGTACCTCAACGGGCTCATCGAGCTCATCCAGTCTAATCTCCAGAGCAACCAGGTTGATGGGTCCATCAACTCCAGCCTTGAAAACCCAAAGCGGCATTTCCAACGAACACTTGAGTATATTAAATCGAGGGAGTACGAAGGAGTGGTCACGGAGCCGTCGGTGTGATGTAAACAGAACTCTGTGTGGCTAATGACTTGATGTATGTTTAGCTTATGAATGGATCTTATATGTATGCAATGCAGCTTTGACTGCCGGCTTTGTATACCTGAATTTCTATGGGTGGCTTTTTTGGGTGCTTTCCCCCCTTTCCCTCCGTGGAGTATGAATTAGCTTAGTATTTAATACATGTGATACCTTCCGGACTGTGACCCTTGACTGTAATTGGAGATGGCTAATAGAATGATAACTGGCTGTCGAACAACGTTCAATTTCATTTCTCTGCATCCTATGCATGAGTTTGAAAAGTACGGGACCACAAAACAAAGAAGGTACCCATGAACAGCTAGCCAGCTGTCATTGCCATGCCATGCCTGCCTGCCAGAATGCCTGCCTTCCTTGCTGCAATACACTACATGAAAAGCTTGTATTCCAAGCAGCAACTTAAAAACTAACATGTATAAGAGAAACGGAAAACACAATAGTAGCACCCAGCTCGAAAAAAAGGCAAGGCAATAGAATGTTCAAACACAGGCAGTGAGGTAGAATAAAAAACGCCTGAAAGTTCGAACAACCAGGAAAAAGTAAAGAGGTGACGTCTGAAAGTAGGGGATAAAGGACATCTGATGACAGTGGTTGTTCATGCAAACATGGTAAAGACATTAGAGGGTCATGACGATAAGGATAGGAGTTTAACAGCCGACACTGGTGGGTGAGAAGAGATAAGCTCCCTGGCCAGCTTCGAACCATAGCTCTAAAATCCCGTAGTGGGAGAGATATTCGTGGTAGCAAACTGTCTCGAGCCACTTCCTGGAGTAGGTAAACTGGAACCTGGCACAGGACTACCAATGTCTCCGGGTACTACACTTCCTCGAGTACTCGACGATATGCTGTTATTATCCGGTTCAAACTTGACGAATGTGCCCTTAGGCCCTTCATTCTTGATGATAAAAGAGCCTCCGCCGTTTTGAGGATTGCCTTCCGTGTCACATATATCGAGCATCTCGTCAAGACCAATTTGCGATTCATTCGGAGAATTTAACTGCTCCACTTGACGAAGAATTTGATTCACATTGTGATACCCGGAACTATCGGTGCCGCTAGTCGTATTTAGCTGCTTGCAAGCTTGGATTACCGATAATCGGATTGCAACAGGCCGTGATGTGTGCGCACGATGAGATCCGCCAAGGATGCCAAAAGCATTGGTTGGCCATCCAGCCCCTTTTAACACAAGTTAGCACCTAAGATAGCTTTGGAATTCCATTTCACTGACCTGAGCTCGGCCCCCAAGATGGAGCTGCTGGAAACCCGGGAGGCCCAAACGGATTATGTGCCCAACCCGCTCCCGATCCCGGTGCTCCTAAGGAGAAATGTGGCTTAGAAGCTACAATAGGACTGGTTAGTGCAAAACGCTACTATGATATGGGGAAAATCTTAACTTACAACCAAGGTGATCAGAGAATAACGACGGGCCTGCAAATCCGATTCTTCCAGCGCCAGGAAGACCCGGCGGGAGGGCCGAAGACAGGGGTTGTGATGGGGGTGCTGTGAGAGGGATGTCACTGTCATCAAGCAATGCACTGCTACCCAATTGAGTGCTGAGCTCATCAATCTCTTGTTGGTTCGTTTTCGATTCATCTTTATGCTGGTCATGTGGCACTGTACTAGCGGGTCGTTGAATAGGAGCTGGTCGGGAAATGGGTTGGCTTTGAGGTTGGGTTTCATGCTGGTTTCTTTCAAAGGATATAGAGGGCTGTCTAGTATGTGTCAAGGAAGCTCCAGAGTTTTGTGACGATTGTGGGGCCGCTGCAGATATCGGGCCAGCTGCATTGGGTTGTGGATGGAACGGGAGGGATGTATGCCCTACTTCCATTTGAAATCCACGACCTTGACCAAGATGTCGTGGTCCTGTGATTCCTGGAGGGAGAGGGATACTGTCTGGAGAGGCAAACCCACGATATTGTCCTCCAAGAGGCCCAGAGTGATTTGTGTACATCGACATGTCATGGGCCATAGGCATGCGAGGTCCCATCGCTGGAATTGTACCGGGATTAGTAGGCAACCCATTCAATGATTGCATAGGGCTGAAACTGAGCGTATGAGAACCACGGCCAACGCCACCTAATGGAGAGAGCGGAGCAGACGGCTGTGGATGATGGAGGAGCGGGGCCTGAGATACTCCTTTTCCCGGTATCGTAGTGCTTACTGATCCAGGTGATAAAGAGGAAGTCTGCGAGATATCCACGTGTGCAGGTTGGGACCGCGGAGATGACGCGTGAGAACCTTGCTGCGAAGGCTGTCGTGGACGTATTGGTGTAGGAGCCTTTGGAACAACCGGGGTGGCGACTTGGAAATGTGGAGATTGAAGAGCTGACGGACCCTGGGGGTGTTGTAGTCCTGGAGGAAGATGCGTCGGGCCAGACTGAGAAGCACGTTTGGCGGCCTGAACTGCGGCTGCTTGGGCAGCCGCTTGCTGCGCAGCTTGCTCCTCACGCTTAGCTTTCTCTCTGCTTTCACGTTCGGCTTTGGCAGCAGCCTCCTTTTCTTGCCTGGCTTTTTCTTCTCGTTCCCTTCGTTCGCGCTCTTCCTTGATCTTCTTTTCGCGTAACTCCCTTTCTTTGGCCTCTTTCTCTTCTCGTTCTCTCTTTTTCGCTTCCTCGCGCTTCTTCTTCTCCCGCTCTTTCTGCTCCCGCTGCTTTCGTTCGAACTCGGCCTGACGTTCACGCTCTTCTTTAAGTCGCTTTTGTCGTTCCGCTTCTTTCCGTTGTCGTTCTTCCTCTTGAGCTTTCTTTTCAGCCTCACGTTTCTTTCGTTGCTCTTCCTTCTTCCGCCGCTGCTCCTCTAGTCGCTTCTCCTCTAACGCCTTTTGGGCAGCTTCCTCTGCAGCTCGCTCGGCCTCCCGTTTTGCTCTCTCCTCTTCTTTGGCTTGCTTCTGGAGTTTCTTCTTGTCTTTTCTTTTTTGAGCCTCGCGGGCTTTCTTTGCCTCACGTTCCACATCAAGCCGATTCTCTTCTTCTAATTCTTCGATGAGCCGCTCTTGACGTTCACGAGCAATCTTCTCTCTATACGCCGTCAGGACTCGTTGTTCAAACATTCGTGCTGCAAATATTTGAAACATTCTCCTTCCTTCTTCCATCCGTTGTTCCTCTGTCATTGCATCCTGTTCATTCCTGTCAGTATGGTGCTGGTATACCAGGATTGCACAATGAACGGACCATTTCATCTTCCTCATATTCTTCATCATCTTGACTATCATAATCTTCCTCTTCTTCATCATCATATTCTTCTTCATCCAAGGGTGGACCATGATTATGACCTGCATGCATGGACTGATGGGCTGCGGATGCAGCTGCATACTGCGTGTCTTCTTCACGTTGCATTCGCCGCTCAGCTAATTGCTCCATCATATCAATAAAATGCTTCCCGTCATTTTTGAGAAGGTCATCAGCTACTGTAAGAATTCCATCTATTACATGTAAAGTCAATGATGTTCCAAACCAATTGGTAGGGAGCACAGGGAAACCGCACCTTTCACAGTTAAGCTATTCCCAAATGCGAAGAAATCGGCGCGCGTTGTTCTGGCTGCATCCTCCAATTCATCCTCGCTATACGGCTCATCATCCTCATCGTCCTCATCGTAATCATCATCTAAGTCTTCATCGTCGTCAGGGAGTTCTTGGACTCTACCTCTCGACGGATGTTGGGCAACGGGATGATGAGAATGTCGATCAAGAGTTCGAAGAGGGGGTTGGTATAGCCGCGGGGGTGCTCCAATGGGCGCACCATTTTCGAACGATCCTTGTTTATGGTTCGCATATTGCTCAAGCTCTTCATAGTATGCATCATAAAGGACCTCTAGTTCCTCCTCAATTGCGGTTCGTTTTCTCCCACAAACTGTACAACTACAGGAATGCTTCTGTTGTTCCTTCATTTTTCGCAATACAGCTTCCTTTTCTACTTTGACCAACGATCGGCGCTCCTCCTCACCGAGTTGAAGCCAGAACTCTTTGATTCGTTCCCGTTCTTCGTGGGTCGATGTATTCCAGATGCGGTCTTTGGTCACTTTGTGTGCAGATCGGTATGCGGAACTGGACAAAGGTGGCAGGGTGACAGGGCGGGCGAGCGACGCGGACGGGGTAGACATGGACGTAGAGCTCCCCTCGGCTTGATGAGACTGAGAACGGCTCTTTCTATTTTTCTTCTTTTTGCCTTTTCGCTTGGAGGGCTCTTGAGATTGATGGAGCACACCGTTTTTATCGTGCTGAAGTCCACGTTGGCCCTGTGTAGAATAATGAGTCTCATCATCTGTATAGTCCAAATCATCATTGTCAAAGGCCGCGTGCTGTCCTTGCGTCGCTGCTCGACTAAAGTCCGCAACGATGTCATGGCCACCGTCACCATTCTGTGCCGGCATGTTACTGGACTGTCGCTCCGCAGCGAGGCGGGCAGCCTGCTTCTGCCGTCTCTTCTGCTTCTTCCGGTTCACGGTCGTCGTGGCGGTTGGCGTTTCGGGACTCTCCATATGCTCTGGGGAGCTAGTGCGGGTCTCTGGGGATCCGGTCGATTTCGCACCGGCGATTGAATTTTGTGTTGTAGGCTTGGTCGGAGCTTTTTTAGATGTGCTAGTCGCAGAGATCTGCTTCGGTACATTGGTTGGCGGTGCCATCGAACGTTTGGAGTTGGATGGCATGTTGCTATATCACCAAGCGCCTTGGTCGACTCGCCGGCCGAAAAGTAAGAGCGCCTGTGGGGGATCGGGTGACGGGGGAGGGGAACGACAGGGCCAGGGCGGAAGAGTGAGAACGCGTCTTGCCCTCGAGGCTCGCGTCGATCGGGAGGCAGATAGAGGGAAGGCGAGAACTAGCACTGCAGATTAGGTTTGGTAATTAGGCGTACACAGCAGCAAAACGCTATTCTTGGGACAAAATGATAGAGGTGGTGATGAGAGAGATTGGTAGGGAGCAGGCGGAATTGGCGGCGGGAAATCGGCGGAGTACAGCCCGTCAGTCGCTGTAGAATGCCGCAGGGCAATCTTTTCAGAGGCTCGAGGAGTCGGTTTGGTGGGTGAAAGGCCGACAGCGCTGGCTGATTCGCGGGTTCGTGGACGATTCGCCTTTCTTGGGTGGTGGGTGTTTGAGCGTGCAAGACTGGCCGCGACACAGGATTGGTGGAAACGGCAAAATGCCGCCCAGCCATCCCAAAACAGCAAGATTAGACGCCGCAAGCGACGCGAATCCACCTTTCCTATTCGGGACTAACCGCCTTGTACGGTACATGACGGTATGTCTGTTCTGCCACTGAAATATTACACGACCACCTCGATGTTCCCCGCCATATAAATTTCGCTGGGGGTGACCTTCAGCGCAGCGTCGCAGCGCTCCGGCTGAAGCGTTCCTTTACTGTTGCATTTGACTATGAGACATACAGGGCACGCCAGTTCTGCTGGACATGTTTTTCCGACTGAAATATCGGACTTGCCGATTTTGCCGGATTGATATTGATGCTTGACATTTTACAAAAGAAAACAACTTTGTGGCGCTCAAAGTCATTGGCAACTCTCTTGAAGAAACCGCTCAGACTCCGCAACCGTCAGGCCTCACAGACAAGCTTCAAAACCCCTATCCTATTTCACACCATTTGCAGAAGGCTGGTATTGGAGAAAAGACCACTTGCAGAATAATTGCTGCTGAGTGAGTGGGAGTGGGAGTGTGTTGTGTGTACGTATCTGCACAGTCCATGTAGGCACATGGACTTTGTTTGTTGATGTTGCTGTCACTCGCTCTGCACTTGGATGGCATAGAGGCTGATGGTGGAAGCCCAAATATGCTTGGTCACGGGAGCCAGGATTGTCTTTTGTGTGCCGTAATTCAGCCCTGTGCAGGGTACCTTGGGCAAGTACCGAGCTAAATGTCCAGTTTGCTAGCAGTGCATGATTAGTCAAGGCTTTTGTCGATGTCAGCCTTCGCAATCATGAACAAATCATAAACACGACACTAAAAGCACAGGCTGAAAGTCTCACCAAGACAATCCTATTCGCGAAAAGCAAGTCACGTCCAGATTCGGCTGAATCATTTTTCACTCTCTTTTTATAGCTCGGTTTTCATTCTTTCAGCAATCCATACAGTACAGTATCCACTCCTACGGACTCGTGTCAACGGATCGAGATTCCTGAAGTAACGCTCTCTCCCCGTCGTATTGACATCGACTCTCTTCTCCTCCCGGCGCGAGCACGTTCAACAAACCACATCCAAGCCGCCGAGTCAATGCACCAGCAAAGCTGAGTGGGAGATTAGCATCGTCAAATCTGTGGTTATTTATAAAGCCAGAGTACGAGCCCCGTCCTTGTTTATCCCCGCAGAATAGCAGTCCGCCTGTCCCCGCCTAGCAAAAGGTCAGCCCGCACCATTCTTGACCCGAGAGGAGCCTTACCCTGAGTGATGCCTTTCGCTTTCAAAGTCCTGGTGAGCTGTCATCACATATCGGATCGTTTACTGATAGGTTGTAGTCATTCGATTATCATCCTAGGACACCTCATCGCCAAGCCTACGCCTTCCTCTCGCTTTTAGACTACTCCCCACGATTACCCGAACGGTAGACCATATCCCGCATTGTGTCCTTGCCATTCAAATCATATAAACCTCAATTTTCAAGAGAAGGATAGAGTTTGACTCTGTGTGGATAAAACCACACAACAAATTTACGTAAAGAAGGCTGTGCTTGTTGCATTCTGTTACCGAGAAGGGATGGCACATCACCAGCCTGAGAATGTTCTTCGGAGGTATGGCTGCACTCTTTGAAATTTTCTCTTGCTTTTTGTCGAGACTCTGGGAGCCGGTGATCATCTCTACACCTGATTATTGCCCATCTGTCGTCTGGCTGTGACCTGTGGTATGACCTTGTTGCTGATACCACTAATCTTGCCAACACCATTTGATAGGTGGCCACTAACAAATATTGTAATACAGGAAGCTCGTTATTATTGGAGATGGTGCGTGTGGAAAGACCAGTTTGTTGAGTGTGTTCACATTAGGCTACTTCCCAACAGTAAGTGCTTCCTGGCTTTGTACCGATACTCCTAGTTTTGGCATTGCTAACTTGAGAGGAAAAAAAATTAGCATTACGTGAGTGATTGATGTGACATTTAGGATTATCAAATGAACCTGTTATACAGCGTTACTGACAGATATGGTGCAAATTTTAGGTCCCTACTGTCTTTGAAAACTACGTCACAGATTGTCGGGTTGATGGTCGATCAGTGCAGCTAGCCTTGTGGGATACGGCTGGTCAAGAAGATTACGAAAGATTACGCCCTCTAGCATATTCCAAAGCCCATGTTCTCTTAATCGCATTTTCTGTTGATACTCCGGATTCTCTGGAAAACGTGAAGCACAAGGTTAGACCTTATCCACCGATTCCAGCGGTTGATTTAACAGCCACTAACTAAAAGACTAGTGGATAGAAGAAGCCAATGAACGTTGCCCCAACGTTCCTATAATATTAGTAGGCTTAAAGAAGGATCTTCGTGAAGACCCGCTCGCCATCGAAGAAATGAGAAGGAGGTCTCTTAGATTCGTCTCGCCCAAAGATGGCAGTGAAACAGCGACTCAAATTGGCGCAAGAAAATATCTGGAATGTTCGTCCCTTACGGGAGAAGGCGTAGACGACGTCTTTGAAGCCGCCACGCGTGCAGCCCTCCTAACATTCGACGAGGACAACCGAGGATCCTGCTGCGTGATCTTATAAGCGGATAAACTGTACATGAATTCGAAACCCTTCACACCATACAATCGAGAGCCTCCACCCAAGGGGGCACCATTAGCTCCTTCAGCATCTCCAGATCATGGATAACTCGGCTGGTATAAAAGTGGGCAAAAAAGCACGGTTGGGGTTTGAGATATCGGCTGGAAATATCTGTCTACATACCACCAGGCGATATATGCATTGGCGGAGTTACGGCGCTAATTTCTTTTCTCCTGACGCTTTATTCTTCATGCGACCTCGAGTTTTATTCCATTCTTCACGTCTCTGACGATTCGGCAGGTTATTGCGTTGTACAGGTTGGCAGGCTTCTTCGACAGTTTTTTGACTTTTGCTTGCTTTGACGTTTATTTATCAGATGGTATTGCCAGCGTTCTATGTTCCTTCCATAATTTTTTTTAATCTGGCATGCCCTTTGTTTTGTGTAAGGGTTGTTGATGTTTTTAATGAAGTGCTTTTCTACATCCATATGTGAGGATGGCTATGACTCTCGCTGGGTAGAAGGCCCCTTTGTCTCTGGTTTCTGCTTCATCATTACTTTGTCAAATATTATGTCTGTTCAATGCATTCTTGTTATTCACTTATCATTGGTGTATGAGGCATTGAAACGGATCGGGCCTGGAAATTGGGCAGAATTGCAACCCTGGTTCTATTGAGATAATGAATTCCAACCCCCAAGAGATCTGCTTTCATGGTAATTCTTTCTGATTATTCTCGTGGAAAATGAGATCATGTCAAGATTCTAGTAATACAGCATAGGAATGTATACACAAAACAACGACTTGTAGTCTTTGCCTATATATTAAAATACTCCGATAAACAGCCGGCAACCTCAAAATATAACATGGAAGCTCTTAACGGACACGCGGCTCAAATTGATCAAGGGATAGACGAATCTCCTCCCGCCGCCGCAGCACGACAATTTGTCGCATCTCTCCCTCACACACACGGGTTGTCCTCAATTCCACAAAACCAGTAAACGAGGGTTCAAATCAACCCTCACCATCCTAGCCTGGACCAAAAAGCCGAAAAGGCTACCTCATCTCTTCCACTCATAATTCCATCCTTCTCGACTCGGCGTCTCCGTCTGTAATCGCCCGTATTCAATCGGAACCCCATCCGTAAACACGCCTTTCTTATGCATTGAAACCCGAAACAAATAGCCCCCATCTCCCACGCCTGTACGTAGCTCTTCGCACGCATTGCGCATGCTAGTATACATGCGTTCGAGCTCCAGATCTCTGGCGGCACGGCGTTTGGCCTGGTACAGGTTCCAGGCACGATGGATGGTCCAATGGCGGAGGTAGCGGTCGCGAGAGAAGCGGAGGGGGCGCGGGGTGAGAGGATGGTAGAGAAAGTAGCGGATAAGGGCTGGAAAGCGGGTTAGGATTTGAGATCTAAAGCCTTGTTCCTGGGGTAGATGAATGGGAACAGGAACGTGGCAGTGCTACTTACTGATTCTCTTGTCTGCTTTAGCTCGGCCTTTTTTTTCAAGAGGAGCACTGGATGTGAATGACCGGCTAGATTGAAGCACTTTTGATCGGTAACAATCCTGCGCTAATGCTTCACGACAGGTGTGGTTCACGAGAGCTTGGACGGACGGACGAAGGGGTATTCTGAAGACATTTGCCAGTGAGGCGAGAATTGGAGATATTTGTTGCCTCATAGTTGATTAATGGCTAAAGCCAATTAAACTAGTCAAGGATTGAGCAGGTCGAGGTGGAATCGCTGACACTGGGAATCTGCCAAAAGGTTTCAAATGATGATTACAGATTTTCGACGAAATGCCAAGCTATTAGCCGCGAAATTACATAATCAATGGAGTTGTCCGTCTATGTGATTGGATGCAATAAGCGCTCTCATTTCCACACCGGTTTCAGTTAGGGGCATGAGGAGACTATAAGATCGAGAAGAGAAGAGCGAGGTCTGAGAGCGGGTATGTATTGTGGAGTAGACATATCCATTAATCTACACACGTAATGATAAGACAACCCGTCCGTTATCGAGTGCGATTTCCAACCGGATTTACCCCAAGATCATAAGCCGTCATAATCATCCTGGAAATGTTCCCGAACGCCACGAATAATAATGCTATCCATGCTCAAGATGCGGATAATACCTAGTAGTGGAAAGGGAGCTCGCTGAGCACATAGCCTGTCAATGGCAGCACTCAGAGTCATACGTGCAGGAGACGCGGAGGTAAGGCCGAACGGTTCCATACCTGGATATCGAACGTTCCAGCTCACGGGCCAACGACCCGCTTTTTAGTTCGATCATAATTCAATACTCTCCTCTTACGATGTGATTGTGCCAATTTCCACCGGCAGTAGAGCACCAAAGCATCTTTAAGGAGAACGAAGAGACAACCGCCGACAATGCTTCTTCCCCACCTTGTCTGAAGGAATCCCGCCCTGCTTTTATCCACGGGTGCCGTTGTCCATGACTTGGGCAGGGTAACCTTTAATAGTCCGCCCATTCCAGCAGATATAGCGGGGAACAGAAGCGCCCCAAGAACAGTGTCGGCAATATTACTTGTATCGTGGATAATCTCGTTCTGGCGTCTTCCGAGAATCGGATTTGCGGCCGCTCCTTGCTGATTTTCTGCTTCTTCTTGCCCTGCAGCTTGTTGGTTGTCCCCACCTTGAGCGACAGCTTGTACAGCAAGAGGAGGGTGATCATCATCCCCCATGCCCAACTCCAATTCCAGACCAATCTCCATTAAAATTTCCCCCTCATTATCAGGGATCTGTTCACGGTGATGGATATGCCCATTGTGGTTCTCATCATGGCCAATTTCTTCGGCTTCTTCAGCCTCTCCAGCCCGTGGTTGAACCTCTGCTATCCACTTCCTCTCCAATCTTCCAAACAGCTTTTCATAGAGCAGACCATAAAAGGACTTTGCATAGGGCAGTGCAGCAAACGTTACCGATGCACTAGGCGGCCACATATCTAAATCCAGTTGTCCTTCACCTGGGCGATGTGTGGCAAAGAATATTACCGGTATGGCCGGCAACAAGCTCTCCGCATATCTCGTCCGCGAAAAGATCAACGTCAACGGAATCACCGGCAGCCCCAAATTCAGTCTCGGATTCCACGACTGGCGTGCCCCAGAATCCAATATCCGCTTCGCCTCCTCCGGCCCAAAAATCAGATACATCGAATAAACTCCATGCGCACAACACCCGGCCCAAATTGTACCCGCCATTGTGAATAATAACCCAGGCAGCACCAAACGTCCGGCAATTTTTTCCGCTTTGCGCATAAAGTCAACCACCAAACTCCTCGGTCGAGCTATCACGATCTCCGATTTACACTGTGGACAATGCATCTTCGCCGCCCGACCACTATACCGTCTTGATTTCGGATTCTCCAAATCAGCCAACCAATCGAGTAAACACGCCTCATGCGCGTACAGCGCACACGGACACGGCGAGCGCCACTCCGCATTCAGCGGCGAATCCTCCGTCTCATCGGTGTAGCAGATCCAGCACTTCTTAGGCTCTTCATCGTGGGGAGGATTAGTCACAGACGCGGAGATGTTGCTCTCTTCGGCTTCCGTAGTTTCCTTGCGCTTACACTCTAAGAGCTCCTGATCCACTTGCTTTTCTCTTTCCTGTGTATTATTGGCGGTGATCTCCTTTTGGGCGTCTGCGAGAGAGGCTGCGGTAGGGCTTTGTCGCAAGGGCGGTTCAGGGCTGCGCTCAGGTTTTCGTGCACCGCGCGCTTCTGCGTAAGGAGATAGGTCCAGGAGCTCTTCTTCCTCCTCGTTGGGTGATTCCTGTGATGATGACTGTCGTACCCGGCTGGACGACGCTGACTGGGGAGGGAACGAGGCCATAGCGGGTTCCTTGGTAGTATAAATTATTCAGTTATATTAAGTATTCCAGCTAAAAAAGGAAGGATAACAATCGTTACGTGGTAAATGTCATTTTTTCAAGAAGACCCGGTTTGTGGAGTCGCGATGGAGGGGATTCAAGAGCTGGGTTCGATGCCCTGGTGTAATGGTGTATGGCCTGATAAGCTGCCGGCGGCAGCGGACGTCAGAGGCGACATTGGGTCACGTGATGTACTGCTCTCCGAGCCGGAGCTTGCGATCTAGGCCGAGGCTGGATGAAATAGACTGATTGTAAGCACTTTTAAGGGAATTTTGTTGCCATCCGAGAAGATAATACTAAATTCGGGACTTCCGATGCTAAAAGGATGAACTTGTCAAAATGTCATATTTACAGACATGCAACCCAAAGAATTAAAGCCACCTGACTACTCCATTCGCGCTGTGCAATGGGCACGCGGACATCCATTGATGAACTTAATTCAAACCCATTTTTTTAGAACCTTGAACAAAAAAGAGAAAAAGGTAAAAGAAGAGAAAATTGCACCGAGCCATACAATCAAGACATCAGAATGAAATATCAACGCCATGGATATCAAAATGGGGCAAAAGTTTAGAGCAAAGAAATAAAAAAAACCGGCGCTAGCCAGGCTCGCAAATTAAAATTTAATGTCCAGATCGTTTCTTCATCAAGGCTCTTCTCTCTTTTTCTTTGGCTACAAGGAAGGCAATGTCAGTGATCAGTTTATACAGGCGACCGAAGGTGTAGGGCCTCTTACCTTCATCGTACACTAGGAACTCATGCAAAGCCTTTCCAGCGGGCACCATGGGAAGGACGGGAACCTTTTTATCGGTGATAACTTCAAGGAGAGCAGGACCATCGGTCTCAAGCAGCCATTTCAGGCTTGATTCGATGTCTTCCGGTTTTGCGCACCTCTGTGCCTGCACTCCCATAGCCTCCGCCAACTTAACGAAATCGGGGTTTTTCTGGTGGGTATGGGCAAAGCGGTCCTCGTAGAACAGACTCTGCCATTGTGTGACCATTCCCTGCTCTTCGTTGTTCAAAATGAGTGCCTTGATGCCAATGTTAAATTGGGCAGCGGTAGACAATTCAGTGAGGGTCATATTAAATGAAGCATCGCCATCGATATCAACAACCAAGCAGTCAGGCCGCGCCACCTTCGCGCCAATAGCGGACGGCAAGCCGTAACCCATAGTGCCAAGGCCGCCAGAAGTAATCATCGTACGAGGGTGTCTCCATCGGAAGTGTTGCGCAGCCCACATTTGATGCTGACCGACACCGGTCGTGATAATAGTACGATCCTTCATGTGAGCTGTGAGATCGCTCAACTTTTCAATGACGTACTGGGGTTTGATAAGTCCGTCTGGGGTTTGTCTCTCATATGAAGACAAGGGGAATCGGGCTTTCCAGTCATTAATCTGAGAAAACCACTCTGGTCGCTCCGCTACCGCTTTGATCTGGGGAATGAGTAGTGCAAGGTTATCGGCGCAGTCACCCTCAACAGCCTCTGTAGCCTCGACAACTTTGTTAATGTTCTTGGGCATGACCTCGAAATGAATAATGCCTCCACGGCCTTGTTGGGCGGCGGCCTTGGCCTGAGGAGCAAACTTGGCAATGTTACCAGTGACACGGTCGTCAAATCGAGCACCCAGCGCAATGATCAGATCTGCCTCTTGCATCGCCATGTTGGCATAAGCTGATCCGTGCATGCCAAGCATATGGAGCGATTTGGAGTCGAGTTCATCGAAACCACCAAGACCCTGCAATGTGGTGGTGACCGGGATACAGGCCTTATCGGCCAGCTCTTTGAGGAGGGCGGGTCCCTCTGGGCGGGCAAGGAGACCCTGGCCAACGTACAGGATGGGCTTCTTGGCAACGTTGACTAGATTGGCTACACGCTTGACGGTGGCCTCAAGTTGTTTCCTGCTAAGCTCACGGGCAGCGAGGGTGGCTGCACTTGGATGTGAAGGAAGGGTGGAGGTCATGGGGATAGGTTTTCTCAAAATTCCGGCTGTAACATCCTTGGGCAAATCAACCAAAACGGGGCCGGGGCGGCCACTAGTAGCAATTTCAAAGGCTTCCTTGATGCGTCTTGGGAGTTCGGCGACATTCTTGACCATGACGTTCCACTTAGTGCAGGCTCTGGAGATCCCAATAACGTCGGCTTCCTGGAAAGCATCGGTGCCAATAGCCGTTGTGGGGACCTGGCCACAGAAAACGACCATCGGCGTACCGTCAGAGAGGGCGTCCTGCATTGGAGTTATGACGTTGGTCGCTCCAGGTCCAGAGGTGACCAGCACCACTCCAGGTTTGCCAGATGCTCTTGCATAGCCTTGTGCCATATGACCAGCGCCTTGTTCGTGTCGGGGGAGGACGAAATCGAAGTGTTTCGAGTTGTAAATGGCATCAAAGACAGGCAAAATAGCGCCACCAGGGTAACCAACTACTCCAAGTCAGAAGCCGATCTCACAGCCACGGGATGGAATAACTCACAGACGTGCTTCACGTCGAGCCTTAGCATCATTTCGTGGAAGATCTCGCCCCCACTCAGTCCGACAAAGCTAAGAGAGATAACATGAGCAACCGACTCTACAAGGCCGTAAGGAAAGGAAAGCCAGGGCCAACGTACGAGTCATCCAAGCCTGGGTATTGCCTGCTCTGCAGCGGCGATGCATATTGTTGAGGTTCCTGATTAAAAGCAGGACTCGGAATCGGCCTTGTTTGTCTGTGGTAAAGAATTGAGGCATTAGGACGTCGACATTCCCTCCAGGACCATGCAGAGGTAGCTTAAAAGAAAGAAAAGGAAGATGGTTCGTACGTTACAGTTGCAGTTGCAGTGCTCTGTCCGCGTTTTGTGGCCTCACCAGCTGATATCTTCTGCGCGGATCGACGGTGCGGGGAGACTGCAGCTACAATTTGTGTGGTTGAGAATTGTCTGGGAGCGAGGCGTGATGGTTTCAACTGGATGGCGCACAGGGCGCTCCTTGATGGTCTCGCGGACAGCATCTTTATGGATTTTAGAGCACCAGAGTCTCGATTAAAAGAACGTAAGGGGAAAGGAAACAGGAATTGAAGAAGAAACTGGGGGGGAGAAAGGCAATTTTAACGTCAAGGAAGAGCCAGCCGGATGTATGACTCTTGCACCAAGAGGGCGGTTTGCGAAGAATTGATTCCCCAGCCGAAAGTTAACAATCCAGCAAAAAAATAAGCCAATGCACAGTGGCCCGAACATCGGCGTGAGCCATGGGGGAGACACGCTCCGATTGTCGGGAATTCCTCGGCAGTCCATTGGTCAGTTCGCAACTCGCTAGTCCATCTTGGGTAAGGACTAGGTAGGCCCGTGTGTAGCGCCACAACCAGCTGCCATCCACAGCGCGTGATGACTCAACTTTACGCCCGCTGCGGCAGGCCGGCAATCACGTGAACGTCTTTTGTCCTGTTTGCTCGTCCGCCTGGTCTTCCAAGTCCAGCGCCGCAAGACGGAATATCGATTCGCTTGAGTGTCACCCCGGATTATGTAACTCGACCCCCTTCGGGCTCTTCCCACCCCCCAAAGGCCAGGTTTGGCTCAAGGAACCCTGGGCACTGTAAATGCTGCCCAAGTTTGAACAAGCTGGCGCACCTTCCGCCAGGTTTCCATGGGTGTAGTCCGCCAGAGATCATGTTTATCTGCAGCCTCCCGTCGGCTAGAAGCCATCGACTTGTGCTTCCATGGGCCGAAAGCGGAAGAGCTGCACTGGGACAAGCTGGGCGCCCCTGCGAGTCCGGTGTTAGTGAAGCGTTCAATAAGTGCAAAAATCCTCCAGTTATTCTGTGCTTTCTGAAGGCATGCTGTTGGAGTTGGGGTTGGGGGAAAACACCGCCATCCCGAGCGTCGCTCAGTAGAACAGTCGCCCTCCAAAATGGGCATCTTCCGGACGTTCATTTTCCTGGGGCAGGGCGTCTCACTTTTTATATTAGTTAGTTAGTATTTGTTTGGGCGCGCTGTAACATAACTCATTAGCTCCGTCTCTCCCGGACGCTTGGAGACGGCCTTTCTCCGGTTCGGGAAGTGGGGCGCTTCATGGATTAGTAACCAGTAACTAGGCATTGTCATTCGCGGGGCGGGCCTCTTCATTCGCGCAACTCTTTTCCCTTCCGCGTCCCTTGCCCGTGTTCCACCATCCCGACAGGCATCATGGCAGAGCTAGTTCCCCACACGCAGTCTATCGCTGATATCTATCCTTCAGACGTTGCTGGGGACCGCAAGGTCGCTCCAGATCAACAAGCCAGGTGGATTAGCCTGATCAAGGCTTTCAGGCACCTCTATGCCCAGTCGCCTGATTTTGTTGCAAGAAGCCCAGGCAGGGTGAACATTATCGGCGAACATATCGATTATTCGCTCTATGATGTCCTCCCAACCGCCCTACGCGTTGACGTCCTCATCGCCATAAAAGCTGTTCAGACAAACGGCCAGGATGGCTTTGTGCAACTCTCAAACGTCTATGACGCTAAATTTCCCGCTACAGAGTTTCAAATACCCCACGACCGCGACGTCGAAATCGACGCCAGCAAGAACGACTGGGCAAATTATTTTAAAGCGGGATTGCTGGTAGCCATCAAGTTTCTCCGCAAAAAATCAAACCGCAGCAGTTTCGTTCCTTCAAGCATAAAGGCTCTGGTCGATGGAAATGTTCCACCAGGCGGCGGCCTCTCAAGCAGCGCAGCATTCGTCTGTGCCAGTGCCCTGGCCGTCGTTAAAGCTCACGGCTGCGATATTTCAAAGCAAGAGTTATTGGATATTTCTCTAGTCTCCGAACGTTTCGTCGGAGTTTACTCAGGAGGGTAAGTGGTACAGAATGGCGATTCAAGGCTAGCGCATTATACTTAACCAAGCTCCTGTAGAATGGACCAGGCGGCATCTATTTTCTCACGCCATGGCTACCTTCTATATGTTCGATTCTTCCCTAGATTTCACACACAATATGTGCCGATTCCCAAAACAGAACCCGAACTCACGTTTCTGGTAGCCCAGACTTTCATCACATCCAACAAAGCAGAAACTGCTCCAAAGCACTACAATTTGAGAGTGGCTGAATGTACTCTTGGCGCATTGGTTCTGGCAAAATTACACGGCATCGAATTGCCAAAGGATTCCAGCTCTCTAGGTTACAGCTTTCGCACCTATCATCACGAACTAATGCAAAAGGAGGGCCGTTTGGAGGACCCTCTTGAGTACCAACTAGACTCTATTATTCTAGGAGTAACCGAACTCCTGACCCAAGAGCAGGGTTATACCCGGGAAGAAATTGCTAAAATTCTAGGACTTACCGTCCCGGAGCTCGAATCCAAGTTTCTATCCGCTTTCCCTGTCCAAGCAGATCGATTTCTCCTACGCCAACGTGCCCTCCACTGCTTCAAAGAGGCACGAAGAGTCCTCGACTTCAAAGCCTGTCTTTCTAGATCTAATCACCTCGATGAGCACGGAGTTAGGTATCTGGGCCAACTCATGAATGAGTCACAGGAATCATGTCGCACGCTTTACGACTGCTCATGTCCTGAGGTCAATTCAATATGCGAAATTGCCCTCCAAGCCGGTTCCTTTGGTAGCCGCTTGACAGGTGCTGGCTGGGGCGGATGTACTGTTCACATGATCCCTCAATCCAAGGTCGAAGCTGTCACATCAGCTTTAAAGAGAGAGTATTACAGTAAGCGATTCGCCGAGCTAAACGAGGAAGAATTGAAGCATGCTATGGTGATTAGCAAACCTTCTAATGGGTCGTTTGTGTATGTGAATTCCCGTCATGAACATTTCCCGCTGGCACTAACGTTCTCCATAGCATTTCCGGCGCTGCGATTACAGATGTAGAGTATGAAAACGGGGTATAACACATATTGCGAGGATAATAGCTAACTGTTCTACAAATTGGAATATATAATAATCACAGTATTGAGCTTTTTTGGAAGGCTTTCTGGGTATTAACAAACTTGACACGCGAGCTAAATTACGGAGTGCATACTGCGTGCCAAAAGACTTATCTAAGGTTCAAGCCACTCCCGCCTTTAGTGCAATGATCTCCAGGAGGCTCCACCAGCAACCCAACCTGAAGAATCCGTACATATTATCAGCTTGCCGCTCGGTGCCTTGCTTTTCTGAAGGCAGTTTTCTTGCCATACGAAGAAAGTTGACAGCAAAGCTAAGCCAGACTGTCCTCTGTATTAATGAAGCATTTCAATAACCAGATTAAGGTGCTTGTGGAGAGGAGATGCTGCCACGAAGGAGATATGTTCCATACTGAATTGAGGAATCACACACTCCGAAGCATGAAGGCCACAGACACTGATACTAATAGATAAAAATTACGACCTGGGGAATCTGTCCAGACAAGGATATCAGTGTGAAACAGGGTTTTTCTTTGCGGGAGGGCACGGACTACCTGTTGTCCCTTGAAGCCGCCTGCCTGGAAGTAGCCAGATGGAATAAAACATTCCAACAGTCGCTACCCTCACCCTCATCTGACCTCAAAAAAATCAATTTTCTTTCAGTCTCTTGGGAAGAATCCATCGCAGAGGTTATATATAGCCAACATGCTATGCGGAGTATAGCCCATCTAAATAGCACCGAACGCATCCCCCAAAGCCGGGCGTCGACGCAAACTTGCCGATCAAGATTTCTTTCCAAAAAAAGCACTCAATTTCTTCATCCCGGATGTATTCACTTTTTTCAACTCCCGCACTCCTCGTGACTCTTTGGCTTTCTTCTTCTTCTCTTCTTCGTCTTGCTTCCGTCTCTTTTCCGCCGCAGCTTCTGCCTCCTCGTCGTTCAGGCCACGTTTGCGACTTACGTTGTCGTACAGAGAGCGTGACGCTGCTTCCTCTGCGCGGACTTTCGCAATATATTTTAGGTGTTCTGTAAGGGTGGTGAAGTCTTTAGGGCTGGATGGAGAGGCGAGTATTTCGTCGACTTTGGCGGAGAGATGGGGAGGTAGATAAGATGATTGGATGTATTGCAGTGCTGTACGAATGCGAAGGAGTTGGATTAAGTCGGTGCTAGGGGATGCATTGTCGTTTTGGAGAGGTGTTTGGCTCAATTCTGTAGGTGGTGTCGATGTACTTGATATTGAAGCGGACGACACTACATCTGTAGTCGCCGTCGTTGACGATGCAGTAGTGTTCACTGACACTTGGGACTCCATGCCGTTTTGTGATGAATTCTCTTTGCTTTCAGTTACCTCTTCAGCTGCAGTGGTCACTGAAGTCCTCTCTTTGCTGATACTCAAAATTGGGAGCTCCAAGGCCCGCCGAACGAATCGCTCCTCCATGCTAGGTGGCAGTCCACTTCTTGCTATTCTTTCCGCCTTGGACAACAGTTCTGTGACCAACTTGTCTTCGCTAATTCGGAACATTGGTTCTCCTGCCTCAACCATATCACATATCGCGCTCATTCTATGTTCAACTTGTGGTCTAAATCTCTTGTCCAGCAAGATATTTCGAAGGTGTTTTGACAAGTCTTCTCGGGCATCAAGCACATCGTCTAGAGGCTGGAAAAATCGCCGCGACGACTTCGAATTCGGCGATGGAGCGAGGATAGGCAGAAGGAAGAACATTACGTCTATGGGTGTAGCAACGAGGAGCTCTGCTACTCTGGATGTAAATCCATTTTCTTGTGTAGCTGAACATTTTTCGGCGCTTTGCAACTCATTCTGGGGCTGCCTAGATGGCTTTATCCCCTCTGAGCTGCCATTGGTCTCCGTTTCTGCCCCTGGCGGGTGTTGAACGAACAGAATGCTTCTAGGAGTTGATGCTGGTGGTGCGATCAAAGTAAATTCAAAGAGGCCAAGTTTCGGACAGAAGTAGTAGCGACTTTTAGCGCCTGTTCTCGGATCTTCAAGAAGCACAAACCGGGCGTCTTCGCATGCACCGGTGGGAAGGACAAGGGTTTTTGGTTGCTTTTGGGGTTGAGCAGTCGTCGAATGTGCTGCTGAGACGCTGATAATTTGTGTGGGCGCTGGCGCCGAGGATCGGGTTCTCATGATTAGGTACAATGCATTTATTGAATTACTCAATACTCCGCATTCAACTTCAAAAATTCAAGCCTGAAAGTAGAGTTCGATTGGGCGTCGATTTCCTTGTTTGTTTGGGAAGACAGACTTCGAGGATCGCAGATCGTGTGGTCCGGAGACGCGAAATGCACGCGCTTGGTCGCGTTTCATCAACCTCAATTCAACCAAGATGCAGGGGAACCTGGACTCCCATCGGATACGAGCAGCAGCCTCTTACAAGTAATGCCATTCTCTTAAGAAAGGAGAGCGCGCTGACCGAAGAATCAAATCTGTTCTCAGATCCTATGCCTGTTTGGTTTGAGGATTGCAGCGCGTCAGGAAACATCCTCATAGGCACAGCTAAAGCTGGTCACACTAATCAACTCGGATATAACACGGTATTTGTGGATATGACATTTATCTTGGTCGCCATGAAAATCACTGGGCCATAAAAGCCTTTACTTCATAGCAAACATGCCCACAAGTATGCTCTTTGCTATCTACCCCTCGTTTGACCCCGCTGACATCCAGAGCCAGTGGCCGAGATACCATGGCCTCCCAAATCTCCCCATGATGCTCTCGTGAGCTCGCCCGGCGGACGTCGAAAGTTTGAAGAAATACAGAGACGAAAACACCTTGCTCGTGCGAACCTAGCAAGTCCTAGCAAAAGCAAAGCCAGCGAACTGTTGGACGAGCATACTGAGTATGCTGTTGATGACGACGATGATGAGGAGACATTACAGCTGAAGCTTGCAGCAATTGAGGCCAGACTGAAATTAAAAAGGTTAAAACAGCAGAATGGGACAACATCGAAGCTTACGCGCGCCGACGTGGACGGTGACGGTGGTCGCGGAGGACCCTACGAGTCGAGTGTTGGAGGGCCGTTTCTCGGGGAGAGAACAAGGAGGGCAGAAGATCCGAACAATGCAAATGATGTTCAAGTACCTCTGTCGCCAATAAGAAAGTCGGCCATTTCAAGAGATCCAATATCCCCAAGACGAGTTGTCCTGGGCATTGATAAGGGCTTAAAGGGGAGCGAGGTGTCTCTGAGGCGGCCACCAGCATCCAGGGATTCTGCCAGACCGGGAAGCTCTTTTAGTGTCACCCGACCGAGTTCGTCTTCTCGAGCGGGTCCTACGATGGTATCGCAGAGCTTTCCGGCGTGTGACTCTCCAAAGATTAAAAGTTTCAGCGAAAGACTTCGTGAGACCAAGTCACTCGACAAAGCCAAATGGGAGAAAGCTCAACGCGTGGCACGAAGTCGGAGCACTGGCTTCACGGTGGATAAGAAGGAATTGGAAGGGTTCAAGGCGGCTGCTGAGAAGGCGGCAAGCCAAGCGAACGTCCCTCAAACTACGGAAATGGAAAATCACAAGTTCAGTCGGGCTGACATCATGCAAGCCTACAACCGCCCACGATCCCCGCTACGTCGAGGCGGGACAGTTTCTACAAGTTCTGATAGATCTTCATCAAGGGATACGAATACTTTGGGGCAAAGCAACTCTGTTCCTCAAACTAAAGAAGAACACGCAGATTATGATCAGAGAACCCCTGACCCTTCCAAGTTCGAGCCCTTCTCTGGTCTTCACCTTTCCAATCGCATCTTACCACACTCGTACGTCTCCCGAAAAACAGAGACTATGAAGAGACTACGCGTCCCTGATTTGCTCAGGACCGTTAAAGGTCCCGAATTTGAACTACCTGACACGGATGGCGACTATGTGGTGTTTGGCATAGTGGCTTCCAAGTCTACTCCAAGGGAACACAAGGAAAAGAAATCAGGATCAGGCAAGGAGAAAGATCCTTACGACGACGGTCTTAACAATTCGAGTAAATACATGGTTCTCACGTTAACCGATTTGAAGTGGAGTATTGATCTCTTTCTATTTTCCACGGCGTTCCCCAAATATTACAAAATGGCTCCAGGGACTCTTGTTGCAATATTGAATCCATCTCTTATGCCTCCACCTCCTAACAAGATCCACACAAATGCCTTCAGTCTCACCATATCTTCCTCAGAAGATACGATCCTGGAAATTGGAACTGCCCAGGATATCAGCTTCTGCAAAGCTGTAAGGAAAGACGGAAAAGTCTGCGATGCCTGGGTTGACGGTCGTAAGACTGAATTCTGCGATTTCCATGTAGATATCCAGCTACGAAAGACAACCGCAAAAAGGATGGAAGTTAATAGCGGTCCTAGTTTTGGTCAGGGTCCTCGAGGAGGCCGGTTTGGGAACCGGGGAGGTCGCGGTCGTGGCGGACAAGAGAACGGTCTCAGGAACGAGGGAGCTATGTATGATCGGTCAACCGGATCGACATACTACATTACGCCTTCAATCTCAGGAGATCCGGGTGGAGATCCCTTTGGCCATCGTTCAGCCGCTGGTTTAATAGATGCTGATAACCCATTCGCTGCTGGTGGTCACCTTTTCCATCGCCGTGGTGAAAATCAGAGTGACAGGTTTCGAAGACGGATTGCAGACGAGGAAAGAGAACGCAATATAGCAAAGCGACTCGGAGAGTTGAAAAGTGTAGGCTCGGAATACCTTCGTGCTCAGCATAATAATAACACTCCTCGACCACCAGCCGCGTCTTCGTCTTCCCAAACTGCCAAAAACGATGATTCTCAATCCGCCCGCGCAGCACTCGGACTTGATAAACTGGCTAGACACGCCGGCAATATCAAGCTAGGTCGGATCAGAAAACGAGATTTTGAAACTAGTCATGGTGCCGGAAATAACAATGGGAGGTCGTCGCCTGTAAAGAAGACAAGGTTTATTACTGCAAAGGGGATTCGCGAAGCTGGCAGAGAGAGTTTGGGAACAAATCCGGGCACCTATTCAGACGATGACCTAGACATTGTAGCAGAATAGTGTCCTTTTATTTCTTCCTGTATATACATATGTGCGACTTTTTAGCCTTTCAATTGCTTTACGCGGGTGGGCTAGCATTGACGCGGCAATTGGCCGGCGGGCCAACGGGGACTTGGTGCATATTCAGACATTGATGGCAGTTCTCTTTTTGTTAAATGATTGTGATGATGCATTGATCAGACACTCAGAGAGGTTAAAAACTAATAAGTCTTTGAATTGAGCCTTCATTCTTGTTAAGTTGATCCTTAGGATTTGGATAGTCCAACGTTGAACACATTTGAGCCACTGGATGCGCATCTAATGCACACAAAACATGAATGAGTAGTTAATGAAGCCTTATTACCTGACCTAGACCTAGTATCTCTTATCCTAGCTAACCCAGGATTGTAAATTCAAACCGCACTGCACCAGAAAAGACAAAAGACACATACAGATGGGTTTAATAAAGAAAAAAAAAACCACCGACCAAAGTCCACCCAACCCGCCTGTTGTTCCAGAACCACCGATGGATCATTGATTGAAACTAGGTATGAAAAGAAAAGAAGAGCCAGCCTGTGATCATCAGCAGGAATACATACCCTTGTAAACCCCAACCACAAAGGTCCATCTCAAAAAGAGCACAGGAAATAACATCATGATCACTGTATGCACCCTTTTTCCTTTTCTTTTCTTTTTTCCTTTTTTTTCCTTTTTTTTTTTTTTTAAGAGGGGGGGGGGGGGGGGGGGAATTAAATGCCAAGGACCAGGAAACATCAGAAAATGACAAAGGTCCTTAAAAGAAAATGGAAGAGAGTAAAGGAAAAAGCACAGGTCATCGTCATCGTATCATGGAAAACAAAGAGGAGAAATAAAACATTGAAAGATCATCGAATCTGGTTTTCAGAAGGAACTCGAGAGAAAAGAATCAAGAAGGATGGAATATTCCCACTCCAAAGAAGTTGCGCCACGTTTTTGTGACCTATGGTAAATGTTGTAAATTTGTTCTCACTTAGACTGATGAACTTTCTTGGATTGGTGGGGAGTATCGTGTCCGAGAGAGCTGGAGCTTCGCTTCTTTCCTTTACCGGATGGAGAAGACCGAGCTTTGATACGTGTCCAACGATCAAAAGGGCTAAACCGATTTCCAGTCGGACTGCTAGAAGTATCTGGAGTAATCTCAGATTCGGACTTCTTGGTATGAGAGCGAAGGGAACGGCCCGAAGCGAGAGGAGTTGAAGGCGTGGCAAGACGCGTCATCTTAGACGGGGGAGTAACAGGATCATTATTCGCGTCAGTTGCCTCGCTTTGGCTCGATGCATTTAATTGTTCTTCCATTTTTTCTTCTTTTCCGTTTGTCGCGTGTTCGCTCACCTTGGCAGCTTTTGCTTTCGCTGCACGAGTGCGTAGCTGATCCGCGGTTGGGAACAAAACTCGTGGTTTGATAGATGACCGAGTAAAATGGCGGGTTCGGCTAGAAGGAATATCATCCATGGAGCCTAAAAGGCCAGGATCGTTGTCACCATCAGACTCGTCAATATCTTTAGGCTTGAATTTGCGAAAGATCTTCTTTCCTCGGCTATCGAAATAGTCATGTAAGCAATATTCTCATAAATGAAGGTCAACCAAGCAACTTACAAAACGCAGAGCACGCCGTCATCACGGTTTACCATTTCATCCACTGCGGGATCGCGATCAATGTCATCCTCGTTGACCTTTCTTCTCTTCGCTTTGCCATCAGATTCCTCGACTTTCGGAGTTTTAGCTTCTTCTGGACGGCTAATAAAGGGATTATCCTCTGAGGAATTCAGAGTTGGAATACGGTCTCTGACGTCCGTATAGATTTCCACAGAACCGTTATTCTCTTCCGGGTTGGAATGAAAACTCTCCAATGAAAATCCACTGTACTTTTTGCCTCTAGGGCGCCTCTGGGAACGTCGCTCTAAGTCCATGGCTCGAGCACGATTTGTGAATAAGTCTCGTGCAATAGCTCCAGAATCCGGAATGTTTTTCTTTCGAGGAGTTTTGGCAGGAGTTGGAAGCATCCCTACAGCCATGGTGGTCTGCTGGAGTGTATTATCTGAAGATTTGTGTGAGGATGGAAGCGAGGGGAGTGTTTTCTTTGTCACGCGACTAGCGCTGCTTTTAGTGTAAGGTAAGAGAGAGTTGTGTTGTATATCAGAATTGGATGAAGGCGACTGTTTGGTTGAGTTGGGGGCGGATAAAGCGGCGTCAGAGTCATGACAGAGATAATGGGAGTTTCCGTCGGAATCTGAGATAGTGTCAGCAAATGAAGCTCTCACAAGAAATGTTTTTCATCGAAAGATTATATTTACCAGAATGAAGTCTATCACTAGAAACATGAGACTCCCCATCTTGATTTCGCACATGAAGGATATCATTGCGGGTTGCTAGGCGCTTTGATCGTCGTGGTGAGCCAGAGTAGGGGGAATACCCATTATATCCGCATTCATGGGTGGGAGCAGGAGGAGTACGTAGTCTTCCTCGAGGGGGGGGAGTGGTTGCCATTTTACTTTCCCGCGATGGCTCCTTGTATATGCAGTGAGTATATTTGAGAATTGACGAGCTAAAAGTATCCGGTTAGCTTAAACCCTCAAGATAACATTGCCTGGCGATGCGGAAGGACTTACTACTCTATAAAAGTTACGAAAGCTAGGGAAGATCGCAAGACGTTGATTTGGGGCTTGTGGAAATAATGTAATAAAGTGCTCCCATGAATGTGCCTTGAGAAATCAGTAGGCGGTTAAGCGATCCTTTGCTGCAGTGCAGCTCTTATCCTAGGTCTTCCAGACCCCATACAGCAAGACACACAGTCTTCCAAATACTCGGACGATAAGGTTGCCCCAGTAAACAGGTGTTCAGCTGCCAATGGACGGGTATTTAGGCAGCAAGGTAGCAACACGAATACAGGATGGTCCAGGATTCTCGTAAATATCGAAACCGACACAATCAAGCCGAAATCCTGAGATGCTGGGGGAAGCGCGTTCAAAGAGTGCAGTGGCAGCCACGGCAGACCAATAACCCAGAGACACGGAGTCGGTTTCAAAGCGATGTCAATTGCATCAATATTTTCGCTAGGTTCTCCAAAACGTCGAATGTGGGTAGGCTAGACAGAAGTTATTTGTATGGAATATGTACGGAGTGCTCATAGAATTGAGATCCAAGTGCCGACAGCAGGCATGGAGTGTATTTGGGGAGTTTGGGCGTGAAGTCATCAGCTTCGACGATGTCCCGGCTTTTGTTGGACGCGCGGAGGTTGGGTGCGCCAAGAAGCAAGTTACCAGCCACAATCTAGGCCGAATGCGGTTAAGCTTAAGCCTGATCAGCCGCGCTTTAGCCAGAAAATCAAATTAGCGCGGCGGGAGACATCGACGGCAGGCAAAAGTCCAGGGAAGTACGGAGGACACACGCGAGTACTAACTAACTAGTATCATATCCCAGCCGCTCTCCGCGAAGTCAGCCTGTTAGGGCCATTGAACTGGTTACGGATAACTAAACGTGTGTTTTTTGGGTGATCCTGTGGCGTGAAGGCATCACCATGGCAGCTCCTACCGATGATCTGGAAAATCTACACCTTCAGGAAAGCTCGGAGGAGGACTTCTGGCACCCGAGCTCGAGACAACGACCAAAGCACACCGTTGGGAAGTCTTCAGAAAATCCCTCTGGACAGTCTGTCCCATTGCCTGAGGAGAGAGAAATTGCCCTGCAAGCGGAATTACATGTACTACGTGATATCAATAAAGTAATCGAGGGTACTATCGAGAGCTTAGACCGCGCCAAAGACAACATGGGAGTAATTAGCCCCCTTTGCGCGCTATGTCCTGACTCTTGCTCACCAGTTGCGTAATAGAATGTTTCTCGGACTGTTGGCTCGGCCTCCACCCTTCTCGACACGTGGACACGGATTCTCTCCCAGACAGAACACAACCAAAGACTCATTCTGAACCCTTCTTGGCAGGGAGCGACGCAGGATATCGCCGACATGGAAAACGAGGCTGTCTTAAAGCAGCAAGAGGCAGAACGACGGGAATCGGAACAACAGCAACGAAAAGAAGCGCTAGCTCGAAAAGCAGCAGAGGAGGAGCGCAAGAGTGCGCAAGCCGCAGCTGCAACATCTCGTGGATTACGAGGAACATCATCGAGAGGAAGAGCCCGGGTGGTTGGACGTAATCCCTCCATTTCAAGTACAACGCAGAATTCACAGACGGCCTTACGAGGTACAACTAGAGCTACTACGGCTAGAGGGACGACTGGCTTAAGAAGACCATTGTCTTCTACAACTCGAGGGTCGAGCGTCACAAGTAGCCGGGGACGACTTCGCAGGACTTGATGCTGTTCGTCGATGCAATACTTTATTGATTTATGTTTAAGATACCCCCAGTTGAATGCATAATATGTAACGGCATAGAATAGAAATGGCTTCAATATGATGATAATTTTCTACATTCATAGAACAAATGCTTATATTCGCTGAAGAACGTAGCCGGCAAAGCCCCTGCGAATGATAATCCTGTCGTCAGCTTTCTTCGCGCTGCCAAGAAGAGTGAGTACTGACGCGCGGAGACAACTCCGCAAGATGCAGCATCAAAACAGACGACGATATCTCCGCATACACACATATGCGACCATCGGCCTAAAGAGCCTGGCGTCACCCATGGAAAAATAATAGAAAATTACTCACAAAATATCGATTAAATCATGAACTTCGCACCGTACCAAGATGAATCTCCAGACGTCGAGCGCGCGCTCTCTCCCTCCATCATAGACGCCAACCGCACCAAGTCCGCCCGATCTTCACCCCCAGTACAAAATGTTCCGTCAAACCTTCCCTCTCCGAGCGCCTTTGCCGGCCAAGGAAGAAGCAGTTTGGAGCACAATGTGAGCACGGGTTTCGGAAGTGAGCGGTACGTTGAAGGCCGCAGGTCGGATGTGAGCGCGTTTGAAACAAGCCTCCCACTCCCGCTGGGCGTCGAGGCAATGCTGGCATATCTATTACTTCCTCCTGCGGGCGGAGTTTTTTTGCTGCTGGTGGAGCATAAGAGCGATTATGTACGGTACGTATAAGCAGGTGTTGCTACTACCTGCACAAATATCTTCGAATTGCAAACAACTCTGACGAGAATACTCTTCTAGGTTTCATGCCTGGCAGTCGGGCATGCTGTTTACCACGATATTCGTACGCTATACTGGAGAACGGTCCCTTCGACCCTGATCATCACGACTAACTACTCTCGATACAGATAATCCACATGTTATTCGCCTGGACGAGCATAATCTCATGGCTCCTCTTCATCGCTGACATATGCTTAATCGCGTTCCTAGCCGCCCACGCATACCGTGACGGTAAGTCTCGAAAAGAGAAAAAGTCCAGCGCTTAATCCCGGCTGTATCGGTTTCTGACAGATGCAGTTGACACTCTCGACCACTACGAAGTCCCTTTCTTCGGCCGCCTAGCCAATTCTTTCGTTGACGCTGAATGAAATGAGTCTTTCCCCTCTTCGTATTTGCAGCTACCCAGGAGGATTTCCCCGTATAATATATACCTTTTCCTTGAGCCTTTTTTTTTTTTTTTGGCCTTCCTCACTTGCACATATATACCTTATGGCGGCAGTTTCTTTTCCCCCTTACCAGGGAATTTTCGAAAGGTCAGGAGTGAAATGTAAATTAAAAATGTCTTGATAGGCACCCCTAGAGCAAGCTGTATGATTATTCTAGCCCTAATAAATTTCTGGCTCTTTTTGCCCTCTATATGGTCTGTATATTTCCATCCGGGTAGCCTGCCTTTATCAAACTGAGCTTCTCATTCGCCTCGGGACCCGGCAACACTTTGCCAAGGAAACAACAGTGCTAATTGAGGACTTACTTAAAAGCATTAGGCTATTCAGTTCTTTTCTCTTCCACATTGTTTGTATTGGGCTGGGGGTGGTTGCGTACTACCGGGGAATCGACAGGTCATGTTGGTGCTTATAAAATGAACAGATTGGGCTCAAAAAGTTAATGAGTTCCATATGTACCATTTCTCATTAAACATCACTGTGTAATATTGATAGACAAAACACAAAGAAGGCTAAAAAGCATTTTCAAACAGAAGAAAGGCTGATGGTCAATATCACATGGTGAAGGGGTAGATATCAATTAGCTTATGCAGGAAACAATTGAAAGTGACAGTTTAGCAAGAGAGCACGGGTATGGAAACCAGAGAAGGTCGTGAGAAGGCAAAAAGGAAACAAGATACCAGATGACAAAAGAGAATGCAAATTTGACTCGACATGGAAACGAAATGGTAGCCCCTAAAATCAAATCCAGAAACGCTGAAAGTCTCAAAAATTCCAAAGCACGACACCAGGCTTGCCAAAGAATCATAACCACTAGAAAGTCATATCTGTACATGCGAAGCGCAGAGAATCATCATCGGCATCATGAACATCGTCTAACAGCGTTGCAAGTAATTGCTTGGTACGAGTCCAGGAGGAGTCGGGTTTCCAGTAACTTCCGCCTCCCACCAACCATCATCCTGATGGCGGAGTACAGCAAGAATATCACCCTTCATAAAACCTAGCTCTTCGGGGATCGCAGCGGTATAGCTATACATCGCTCGTGCTAGAGAAGTTTAGCAGGAAGAAAAACATCATGAGAGTGGAAGAACTCACCAAAATGTAAAACTGGACGACCGTCTCTACTTAACGGTCTTCCGTCGGGTGCTGCTATACTTCTGCTTCTACTACGGTACGGCTGAACACTAGACCCGACATCGGACGCTGAACCGTAGTACGTGCTCATGGGACGGTGCGTGTTCTCCATGTGGCTGTAGGATCGGGAATGCCCTCCATACTCTCCTCCCATATGACCTCCGGCATGCATTTCCATTTGAGTGGTGGAAAGCTGAAGCTCCATACCACTCGAGCTAGCAGGGCGTTCAGGCCTCGTAAATTGCGGCTGAGGAGAGACAGCACGATGTACAACGCATGGAGAAGCACGTGGAGCAATTTTGGGTGATGCACGGGGCGCAGGGCTGGGAGACGCTCGTTGTGGGCGCGGTTGCGGAGAGTACTCACGCTCCACCATGGGCTTTGTGGGAGTGGTACTAGGTGACTGTCGATATCGGCTGTTCACGCTGCTCGATTGATATGAACTTGGAGTGGGCTTGCTGATGCTGTATGGGGATTGACGGCGTTCTGTGCTAGCCATTGGCTGAGGGCTGGCACTTCGTCTAGGCGCAGGGGATGCGGCCCGAGAGGCCGGTTTAGTCTGCTGGGTGTTTTGAACAGGGGCTGTATTCTGCTGTGACCGGGTGGAGCTGCTGAATAAGCTCTGTGTCTGTCCTACGTACTTCTGGGTCGTTTTTTGCATCTGGGCCGACGTAAAAGCTGGTCGAGGTGCATCCAGCCATTTAACTGGTGCTGTAGCATTGTAAGCTGGTGGGGGTGTGCCGCGTTTTGCACTAGCTTTGCTACTATCCTGTATCGGAGCTGGAGGTTGGGTGGGTTCGGTGACAGCGGCAGCTGGAGACGATACTCCATGGTATCGGTCAGCCGAAACTCGAACGGAAGACTGCTTCCCGACACCCTTCAGTTCCGCAAGGGCCTGAGCAATGGGGTCCAGGCCACTGTCCTTGTTTGTGGCAGCCTGGGAGCCTCGTCTTGCCGTAGACTCTGGTGACGCAACATCAAAGACGTTATTCCCAACATTGAGTTGGAAATTGGCACGAGGGTCCACTGGTTCTGGGCTTGCGGTTCGAGGTTCGGGGTCCAAAACTGGCTGTCGTTGATATATTTGGCTTGCAGCCTTTGTTTGTCTTGAACTCGCCCACGTATTGCGACTTGGCTGTGTTGGAGCAGCTAGCTGAGAGTTCTGGCGTTCTTTCTCGTGTTTGCTTTTTCTCCTGAACGGACTATTGCTAAAGAAGGCACTCCTTTTTTTTTGAACTTGCTGTTTTGCATTTGTCATGCCTGGCATTGGAACACCATTGACAGGCTTTGTTGGGGATTGTTTCCCGCTGGGCGGTTCAATGCTCGAGAAAGAAGTTGGATTTGAGATATCACTATGTGACTGCGAATCCCGGCTAGAGGGGCGGTTAGCGCTGATAGTGGAACTCCTCTCTGATGGGGGGCCCGTTCGACAGAACATTGTCATGCCATCCGTAGGGTATTCATTATGGGGGATTGTTGGGATATCTCCATGCTGGCTTGGTTCGTAGTTTGGAGGAAGGTTATTTCCACGCCTGAGATCCATGGGTGGAGGATGTTCTACTGGCTGGACTGGTTGCATTGGCTGTGCTCTCTGCACCCTCTGTGATCGCGGTGACTGTTCTGCCTGATGTATTCGCTGTATTTGCCGTACTTGACGTGCCTGCTGTTCTTGGTGTTCCTGATGTGCCTGCTGTACTGGGTGTCCTTGCCGTACTTGATGTGTCTGCTGTACTTGGTGTTCTTGATGTGCTTGTTGTGCTTGTTGTGCTTGATGTCCCCGGTGCGCCTGATGTGTTTGCTGCACTTGCTGCGCTGAGTGAACTGCGTGCACCGGTTGCAACGGTTGCACTGGCGGCATTGAATGAACTGGCTGAGCTGGCTGAACTGGCTGAACTGGCTGAGCTGGCTGAACTGGCTGAACTTGTTGAATCGGTTGAATTGGTTGAACGGATTGAACTGGCTGAGCTGGCTCAGCTGGCTGAGGTGGGTTTATCGATTGTTGATGTTGAACGGACTGTACAGGCTTTTGTGGAGTCACTGTTGTTTCTCGACTGGACGGGGTTCCAGAGTCTCCGTGGCCCATTCTCCTTGCAAGGTCAGAATCCGGGTCATGATGGGACTCGTAGGTGGAAGGTTGTGGAGAAGAGCTTCTAAAAGCAGGATTGATTGTGCGTTGAAATTGGGCAACCGAATAACCGTCTTCCTCTGATGTCTCCGAGCTTGTGTCGTTTAGATCCCCACGGCAAAAATTAATGTATCTTGGAGGGTCAGGTATCTCTTGACCGGTACCTTTCTCCTTAATGAACATGCTGATATCTTTTTCGACTTCGCAGTTCTCTAAAGAAACTCGTATTTTCTCGCAAGACTAAAAAGTTGTTAGTAGTTCACCATATACCCGTCGTAATGGAGGTGAGCGTACCGCATCATCGCTCACACAAGCAGTAGATGCTATATTTGCATAGGTCCAAAGACTACTCTTCGTAAAATCCAGCCGCTCCTCCTCAAGATCTTGGAATTTCTGTTCAAATAGTCAGTTTTATATTGCATCAATTTAAAGAAGTTACGCACATCACAAGCAGCCTTCCACTCCTTATTCCAGCGGCCCGTTGTCTCTTCCAGGATCTTCACGGCGGCCTCATATTCACTACTATTTGAGGCTAGTTGTATCTGGGTTTTCTCCAGTTTTGCTTTGTTTTTCCGTTCTTCTTGACCCATAACCATATGTCCTTGGGCCAAATATCCTTTAATACGGAGACAGTCTTGTTCATATCGATCTCTTGACTGCAATTTCATCAGCATCTCGTCTCAACGAAAGGTAGTTTCAACAGATGTCATACCTTGTTGACCGCATGGAGTTGATGTATTTTGGTCTTCAATAACTTTTCAATGCCATATTGCACAATTTTTCTTCTTTCCTTCATCCCCCCTGCAAACGCAGCAAGAGGTTCTTCTAGCTCGCTTTTCATCTGCGATGCAATAGTACTATGGGTCTTCGCTATCGCCTCCGTCTCTCCTCTCATTGTATCGAGCGAAGCACGGAGGGTACCTGATTCACAAGAGCCCAATGGCTTCCTGCATAGCGCCAGCAATTTCCGAGCATATTCATCTTCAATGGCGGCGCGAGCTTCATGGTCCATAGTGTCAACAGGCGGCTAGATCATATATATCAATTGAACGCAGAGGAGGCGACATACTACTATAGAACGACTTGAGTTCATCGCATGTTGCTTTCGCATTGTGCATGCGTTCCATCATAGGACCCACGCCGGCATCATCTTTCCCCCAGAAGTTGTTCGCGACTGGAGTTCGCAAACTGTTAGCTGAAAAAGGTCCGTCCAGCTCCCACATCGCTTTCCACGCTCTGCGACTCACAGGATAAAGAAACGGACGGAATTCCCGTAATTGTTCCAGGCATTCTGAAGATGAACCCGTGGAAGTGGAGTACGCTTGAACCCAGATATATACGGGCCTCGTCTTCCCAGACAACAACGCCGCGTGGGACAAGGTAAAAGAATGTAGGAAACCAATTGACCCCCAAGTCAATAAAGAATAATTGTAGGAAAAAAAAAAAAGGGAAAATAAAATATAGACAATAAGCAGTAAATTGCAGAGGAATTACACACTCCCTCTTTGTCTGCGGGAGCACACGGCTGACAGCGTATCTCGGGATCCTTAGTGTTTATATTTTGTTTCTCGGGGCAACCGACGCACTGCCGTCGCGGAGCTTGGATGGCAAGTGGAGATTTAGCTCTGCTGTGCGCGCCATCGGAGCCGCTAATCCCTTTACGGAACGCCGCCAAGCCCAACCTGAGCCGAGACAGCCCCAGACACCTGCCTGCCAGCAGCGGAGATATATATGAAAATCCCCCGTAGATAGGAGATCTCTACAGTGAACTTGGTGAGATTGTGGATAGTTGGTGATATTTGGAGGTATCAAACTTGTGGAACGCATATGTAAAATTCCCACTACCGCTGAAAATATTCTGGGTAGAGACGACAGCGTGATGCTTTTCGATCCCATAGGGCCGGCATGACACGAGCTGAAATCTGATATTATAACGAGAGCAACTTTGGATTTTCTCGAGGATACTCAGCTTATATGAATGCTCCGTAAGCCTAAGATAAATGCAGCGAGCGCACGAGAGTTAAATTCGAAGAGCTCCAGAACTGGTGATGACTAATACGGATGGCGTCGCATCAGTGAAATCCAAACCCTTCTGAAGCAACTCTTTATGAACACTCAGGCCCTGGAAACCGCCCAATCAAATCGTATAATATACTAATCAGTGGGAGTGGCGAAATCAGCTCCGATCTTCCATGGAGACGCTGCATTGGAGCTTATCGGTACGGAGGACCTGGCGCGTTGATGTCGTAGCTCATCCGCCACGCAGGAGTTGCGGAGGTTAATCGCATGGCTGCTGAAGTCGGGAGATTGGACAAACGAGCGGATCCCTACCCTCTGCGCAAACTGAATAATCTACGGACTACTCTGTACTCTAGGGAGGATGAGCGGAGGGATTAATCCGTTCCTAGTAAGTATTATGGCCTGGTTGATGGCTTTAGCTAGGGCAGCCAGACAGTTCTCTGCATAGATTACCAGACCAGTAGTTAATTAGCTATAGAATAGCGATCATGCCAAAATTATAGCTTCATAAGCCAATGGCCATTAATAGTTAACAAAGCCATGTTGCAGGAGGACGAGCACAGGTCCATCACACATTTTGTAGTTGATAGGGACAGGATAAAATAAGAGTATGCACTCAACTTGCGGAATGTTTGCATCCAATGTTTCTGTATATATATGATGGCCTGTTTACATTCACAGATTGAGCAGCATATGGTGTTTCAACTGATCCAAAACTGATACAGGGTACTGAGTACGGAGTATTGTGTGTGGTTCTTAGTTCTTGGTTGAGTGGGTGGCTTGCCCAGACACTTGCCAGACTGGCCCATTGAGTCGACCGTAGCGCCCAAACCCAGCTGGTCTGACCTGAAAACCTCCAACAACCATCCACTACATCACTTAGCCATACACTTCTCGTCCTCTCAGGCCCAGCTGCTCTGTTCTCCCTCTTTATGCTGTTTCCCTACCACTAAAGCAAGCAAGGCATTCAGTAGCGATCAAAATTATCAGCCAATACTATTTTCTCACCTTGTTATTCGCAGTCTTAACCCAGACTTCCTCAAATTCGCACAATTTTCTCTCCACAACCAGATCAGATGATCGCGTCTCCTAGATGACCTTCCCTTCTCCTTCTCATTCCGCCAAATCCTCGATTGCTTCTGGCACCGACAAACCCTCTGCTTCCCGACCTGTAAGGTCTCAGCAGTCACCTTGGGGTACTGCTGCGTCTCAAAACCCAATCCGTCGTGGCCTCACGCCGCTTGCGACCAACATCTCATCTTCCACCAGCGGATCTCCGTCCCGCCGTCCTCCCCAGTCACATAGCCCTGCCCCAAGTGCCTCTGCCACGTCCCCCCTGACATCCTCCTTCTCTGCTGTTCTCAGCTCCACGAGTCGCTTTGCCGTGGGCCGGAACAACCCGTCTCCCGCGTCCACTCCCGCGTCTTTCGCCGCGCTTCAAGCTGGCGCCCAGCAACAGCATCAGCAACAATCCGGTCAATCACTCACATCTCCAAAATTTCGAGCTCTTACCCCTTCCTCTGCATCGCATCTGGCCACCTCGGCGACTTCATCAACCGGAGGAGGCGGTAGCGGCGGGGGAGGCGGCGGTGGAGGTGGTTCAGGTGTGTCAAGGGGTGCCACGTTCTCTCCACGTCTAACTGGCGTCAATTCGCCGACTGGATTTGCTTCCGATAAACCAAATTCAGCGAGTGCAGCTAGCGCTGTGGGTTCCAGTCAGTCATCTCTCTCCAAAATTTCTGTAGCCCAGGTGTTCCTCCTTTTGGATTCTATCAACGAAAAAGAGGGGAAAGAAAAGTGGGAAACTAAAGCTGCTCAAATTCACAAAGTAAGCATTTCCTTGTTTTGCATGTGACTTTTGTCGGTGGAATGCACTAACTGAAGCGTTGTAGCTTGTTGGCTCGAACGGAATGGAAGTGTTCTCAAAGTATTTCCGTCGCCTTCTATCTGGCAACGCACCTCAAATCTTTCCAGGCACCAATAAGGTGGTCGAAAATGCTGGAAATTACCCATTGTTGGTTCAAGAGATGCAAAAGGTTTCGCAGGACATGGACCAAGCTAGGAAGATTGCCGAAACAATTGACACTTCAGAAGGCGACATATTTCGTGATTTTGATCTATCAACCTTTGTGGATCATTTTAAACTGGATCCAATTTCTAAGGTTGCATTAATATTGGCATTCAAGAGTGTAAGCAAAGCAGACCTCCGAACAAAAGGTTTGTATTCTTCGAATTTTCTTTCCTACTCTGTGAGCCGAATGCTAACAATGTGCAGCTGATGCGATCCTCTCTACCTCTGTACCCCAATTTTTCCAAAGTCTCTCGGCAGTTTCCGACTCGAATAAGGATTTTAGTTCATCCTTTATTGGCCTGACTATCGAACGCTTCATATTTAACCCTCCTCGAAACCTGAACGACGACCTAAAACGGAAACTTATATACGCTGCTAGAATGCGATATCAAGTTTCTGACGCAGATGTGCCAGCCGAGATAGAAGCAGCACTTCAGATGTTCGCCTTCTCAGATCCTCGATTAACACTCCTTCGACAAATTCAGGGCCGCGGGCCAAGATCCTTTGCAAGTAAGGATGCAGTCCTCGAGGCTATTACTGCTTCAGGACCAGATGCCTACAATGAAGAACAAATTGCGAATGCCATCCTTTTCATGATCTATTCTCAAAACTGGCAGCAATCCTCCCCCGAATTGCTGGTTGCCACCGTCCAGCAAAACCAGGCGACTCATCCAATTAGCTGGCGAAGGATCGTCCAATTTTTCGACAAGGAAGGTCTGAGAATCAATGCACGACAGTTTATTCGCTTATTCAACGCCCTGTTGCCGGTGGTACATGATGACCCTCACTTTGATATCCAATGTCTTTGGGGTGGAGAATGGGAGAATAAGGATGTTCAATTCTCTTTTGTCACCGCATTCCTCTCTTCCAATATCGATACTTCCAGCATTCCAAGTTTTCGCTCAACATTCTCCATTGACATTTTCGATGATGCATCTGAAATGGTTCGCCAGCAGGCAGAATCAATTCAGAACAATCCCCTTCGATCTCTTGATGCTGTGAAAGCTATTTTTGATCTCATACTTCTCACTCCCGGAACGTGGGCTTTGCCAGAGAGCCAGGCCTTTGTGAAAACCATCCTGCAACATGATTTGCCGACCTTCCTCTGCTCCGCATTTGCCATTCCACAACCATGGACAAATGTACAAATCAATTTCGTCATTCGGTCGTTCATGATATTTGTGTCTAAACGTCAAGAAGGCTATCAGTTTGCTCTCCATGGTGTGTGGAAATTGGATCGCCAATGGGTTGGGGACCAACTATTCCATGCATTTACCCAGGATCCCTCATGTACAGATTTGATTTATGAGCACGCAGTTGAACACGGCTGGTTGGACTATCTCTTGGGATTTACAACCGGCTTGGCTATGGATTTGGCATCTTTAGCACACCGGAAAGATTCCTTTGATTTGGAACAATGGGTTAAAAGTGCAGCACAAAAAACTCCTGTGGATATGGGCGGTTTGTTATCAAAGTTCTTAAGAATTAAGGCTGAAGATGAGCTTCGAGTTCGGCACAAAGAGCAGGCTGCTCCACAAATGGTTAGCCTGGCTGTCAAAACAGTTTACGCGCTCCTTTTGATATTAGAAGACTATATTACCGACCACGAAAATCTTACTCCGATTCAGCGTATCTGCCTACAAGCCTATCCTCGGCTGATTAACTACGGTGAAGGCTTTGATGATATAATCGAAGCCAACGGCACCAACGGCAATGCGATTCCAGACGAGGTTGAAAAGCAAATGCAAGACCTTTTCGGAAAGATGTACCATGAAGAGCTCTCTCTTCGAGAGATCCTGGAGCTAATGAGACGCTATAAATCTTCCCGTGACCCTGGGGAACAAGACCTCTTCACTTGTATGGTTCATGGCTTAATCGATGAGTATCATTGCTATCATGAGTACCCACTGGAGGCGCTATCGAAGACGGCTGTTATGTTTGGGGGCATTATCAACTTTAAGTTGATATCTGGAATCCCACTGAAAGTTGGTCTTGGAATGATACTTGACGCCGTTAGAGATCATGAATCCCACGAATCTATGTATAAATTTGGCGTGGAGGCAATTGAGCAGCTTGTCTCCCGCCTTCCTGAGTGGCCTGGTTTCTGTGGGCTCCTCCTCCAGGTCCCAAGCCTCCAAGGCACCGCAATCTATCGAAAAGCCGAAGACGTGCTCCGTGCACAAGGTCATCGTCTCAATGATACCGACAGAGACGTCAACGGTTTAGCGGATGGATTGGCACTTGCCAATGGTACCGTTGATGATCTTGTTGGTGCCGACAGCACGCATCGAAACTTCCGCTCCCTCCATGTTGATCCTCCACTACGTCCGGATATCTATCGCGAACCAGAAGAAGACGTTCATGACAAGATCCTTTTTATCCTAAACAACGTTTCAGAGCAGAATATACATGCCAAGTTGAAGGACTTGCAGGACGTGCTTCGAGACCAACACCATCAATGGTTCGCATCGTACATTGTTGAGCAGCGAGCGAAGGTGCAGCCCAATTTCCAACAACTTTATCTTGAATTACTAGGTCTAATTGACGACAAAACTCTTTGGGCTGAGGTATTAAGAGAGACTTATGTTAGCGCAATTCGACTGCTGAATGCAGAATCTACTTTGAACTCTAGCACTGATCGTGCTCATCTGAAAAACCTCGGTGGCTGGCTTGGATCATTAACTATAGCAAGGGACAAGCCGATCAAGCATAAAAACATCTATTTCAAAGATCTACTCATTGAGGCCTTCGATACTCAACGGCTTACCGTCGTCATTCCGTTTACTTGCAAAGTTTTGGGGCAAGCAATGAAATCGACCATTTTTAAGCCACCAAATCCGTGGTTGATGGATATCATTGCACTGCTAATGGAAATATATCACTTTGCGGAGATCAAAATGATCCTCAAATTTGAGATTGAGGTGCTCTGCGGAGATTTACAGCTTGATCATAAGACTATCGAACCATCCAGTTGCATTAGGGAGCGTCCGCCACAATTGGAGGATGGCTTGGTTGCCACAAGCATTGCAGAAGGACTGGAGGGTTTCGATGAGATGTCTCTGGCCGGCCTGAATCGGGCAAGTCGCAATGAGAGAATATCGCCAGCTGCAATAATTTCCAGCCTGCCTAACCTCGATCAAATACTTGTTTATCCACCATCGGCCAATGCGGTTATTGACCCTAATGTTCTCCGTCAGATCGTTCACACTGCTGTTGAACGCGCAATTGCAGAGATCATAGCTCCTGTGGTCGAACGCTCCATCACAATTGCTTCGATTTCGACTGCCCAACTGATCCTGAAAGATTTCGCCATGGAGCCTGATGAGGAGAAGGTTCGCCAAGCCGCTGGTGCCATGGTTCGTGCGTTGGCTGGCAGTCTTGCCGTGGTGACGTGCAAGGAGCCTCTGAAAATTAACATGACAAACTATATACGTATGATTCAGCAGGAGTATTCCGAGCAGCCTATGCCCGAAGGACTGATTCTTATGTGTGTCAATGATAATCTGGATGCAGCCTGCGGTATTGTCGAAAAAGCTGCAGAAGAACGCTCTCTTCCCGAAATCGAGAAGGTCATCGAATCACAGTTGGAAGCCCGTCGTCGACACAGAATCGCCCGTTCAAATGAACCCTACATTGATCCGTCAATTAGTCGTTGGGGATTCTTCATTCCGGAACCGTATAGGCAAGTGCCGGGTGGTCTTAATAAGGAACAGCTGGCCATTTACGAAGAATTCGCTCGCCAATCTCGTGGACAAAACCACATCCAAAATACTTCGACCGATTCAATCAAACAGCTGCCAGATGTCCTTCAGGAAGGTTTTCCTGCCATACCCAATTTGTCCACCCCCGCGGAACAGCCAGCTCTTCCTCATCAGATGACACAAGCACAACAAGATGCCGGCGTGCAGCAACAAACTATTGCTAATGCACAGCCTCAATTGAATGGTTTCTTGCAATCCGCAAATCCTCGTGAAAAGGTCGAAAAGCTTGTTGGTGATCTTCAACAAGCAGCCCACGATGCGCCCGAAGACCATATCAAAGATCTCTGGCGGGACAGCCCTATCTTACAGGAATACAACCAAATTCTTCGTGCGATTTTATCGTCACCCAATGGCGAAGAACTTGCAAGGTTAACCGCAACCAAAATTTGTAGCACCCTTTATACTCAGACCGAAAAGCCTTTGGAAATCGAGGTTCTCGTCCATTTGCTCTCAAAAATTTGTGAGCTCTCATCGCTCGTTGCGCGGTACACATGGGCAGTCCTCGCTGAAGTTGAAGACGGGCAAATGTTTAATGTTCCCGTGACCGTGGCTTTAATAGATGCTGGCTTGATGGATCTCCACCGCGTTGATTTGATCCTCGCTAAACTGATCAAGGAAAAGAATGTGGCAGCCCTGGAATTGCTCGCAGCACTTATGGCTCGAGTCCTCTTCAATGACGAGCCTTCCGCGCTAAGATCCGATTTCTCTGGAAGCTTAGCTGCAATGAATCAGTGGCTTATTGAAGACCCAAATCTCAATGTAGCCAAAGACATTATTCAAAAGCTTCATGAATCTGGTATTCCGGAGTCTGTGAACGCTTTCCTTACCGACCAAGCTCGCTCCACGAGGGATCAAATGGAGTATATCTTCAGCGAATGGATCGGAGTCTACAAATTTGCCGGAGCGAATGACAAGATGTACAGCACCTTCCTTAAAGATATGCATCAGAGACAAGTGATGAATAACCAAGAAGATTCTGCTTTGTTTTTCAGACTGAGTATTGATATCTCTGTGGCTATGTTCGAGCATGAATATCAGAATTTGGGCGGAAACCTTGACGAGGCCTTCCTTTACATTGATGCTTTGGCGAAGCTGGTTGTCCTGCTGGTGAAATTCCAGGGTGACGGTGACCGTGCTGTGAAGAAGAGCAAGCCATCCTATCTTAATTCAATTCTTTCGCTCCTAGTGCTGGTCTTGAACCATCACCAAGTGATGCGGGGCGACAACTTCAACCAGCGGGTCTTTTTTAGACTCTTCTCTGGTATTCTCTGTGAATATGCCATGAGTGGCCTTCAGCAAAGAGAAGAGCATAAGGAAATGATGCGCGTATTCTCTGATAAATTCTTGTCTCTCCAGCCAAAACATTGTCCAGGCTTTGTCTATGGCTGGTTATCGTTGATTTCGCACCGTGTCTTTATGGCGGGCATGCTCACTATGGAAGATCAGTCGGTAGGTGTCCATTTCTCGCGTACAAACAATGATTCACAGCTAACTAGAGTACCAGGGCTGGGAGCCATTCTGCGAAATAGTCCAGGTCATGCTATCATACACTGGCGAACAGTTAAAACCCGGAAGTTTCTCGTTCGTGGCAAAGGACTTGTACAAAGGTGTTTTGCGGATCTTGCTCATCCTACACCACGACTTCCCCGAATTTGTTGCAGAAAACCATTTCCGGTTTTGCACAGTTATGCCGGCACACTGCAGCCAGCTGCGTAATCTTGTGCTCAGCGCATACCCATCCTCCTTCCAAAAGCTTCCCGACCCTTTCAGAGATGGCTTGAAGGTTGATCGGTTGGATGAAATCCATCAGGCTCCCAGGATTGCGGGAGACATTGTTGCGCCTCTTCAGGCTGCTAACATCAAGAATGCTGTTGATAACGCCTTGAGAAGTTTCTCGGCGACGGATTCCGCGGTTCAGCAAATTTGTGATGCGGTTGATAATCCCTCGGAGAAGTCCACCGGCCTTTACTTCGCCCCTATCAATGTTGATATCGTTCTATTGGAAGCGCTCGTCCTCTATATAGGTCAAAGTGCCGTTTCCGCCACTGGCCAAAAGGCCGGGACCCCAGCTCCCAATAACTTGCCACAGTCCGCTTTGCTCGAGAAATTGGTGAAGGTCCTCAATCCAGAGGGGCGCTATTATTTCCTTAGTTCGATTGCAAACCAACTACGGTATCCGAATAGCCACACCCATTACTTCAGTAACGTAATGCTGGAGTTGTTTGGATCCTATCCTGCGGATCAGCAAGGGACGGACATTCGCGAGCAAATCATCCGGGTGTTACTTGAACGACTAATCGTTCACCGTCCGCACCCATGGGGATTGATTATCACGCTCCAAGAACTCCTTCAGAACAGCAGCTACCCGTTCTTCCGCCTGCCATTCATCCAAGCCGCCCCAGAGGTCAGTAAAAAGATTATTACGGAATGCTGTAGCATGGTGCTGACTTGAGTCCTCGAAAGATTGGTCGTCTCTTCGAAGCACTTCTTCAACACATTCAACAACAGAGCCCTCGACCGACTTCTTAGATTCATTGGACATGTTTGGTTTGGGGTCGATAATTAACTTTGGGTCATATCCCCCATCTATACTCTTTTTACCAGATGCTTCATTATTAAAAAGGTCACTTGGACGGTATGTGACTATGACTACTTACGAAACGGCTATGGGACAGGGACTGTATTATCGGTATTCGGCTCTCTGTTTTTGTGTTTTCTATTATTGATTTCTCGGTGCTGATGGGGATGGTCCTCTGGGTTCTTTACTTATGTTGCCTTCTTGGACGGGCATGCATGATCAGGGGTTAGTTGCCACAGTTAATATGATTTTCTTTAAAGTAATTTCTCGATAGTATGACTTGCTCAAGTCTGTTTTCACTACTTTAAAGTGACATTGGCATGTATACCAGGTCTTACAAATTTTGCAAGAATTGTTGTGGCTCCTAAAAATAATGGAGACAACTGTACAATACACACCATTGTTCAGGCCTATAAATACATCTAGTAGCTCTTGCTCTGGGGTCTCGATGCCGGGTTTGAGTCTTCCCAGTGCTTGTCAAGGAACCTGGACTTTGGGATGATATCACATGTCTTCAACCACACCTCACCAATGTACTCAGCGACAGCTCTCGCCCTTCCTGGTCCGGAGGGCACATTGCATCTAGCATGCAATGGCCGAATCAGATTCAGAAAAGGGCATAAAGCCCAGAAATCCTCTCATGGTAAGATTTGCACTTGTATCTCCCTCGACCTTTCAGACTGATTCTCCCAGGCGACAATAACTAGCCCGTTCAAGACGGTCGTTTCGAAACCTGCCCAACGCGCATACTTGGGGACGCTATTCTTTCTAGTAACGATATTTGGACTTTTGGTCGTGTCCATTGTATCGTATTGGGTCTTTTACTACAATTTTGTACCTCAAATTAGCTTGGAACGCGTGGTACACCTACAGTTTGGGTAAGTTACGCGCGTCTGGAGACGGAGCTTTCAAATTGCAATCTACAGTTCCGCTTGCTCCCTATGAAATATCTAGTAGCTGAATGGATATTTCCCAACTTTAGGCATGGCAATCCCTTCGGAACCGCCGTGATTGGACCCGAACTGGCTCATTCACAGGCCTACGATATTTCCGTCATCCTCTGCCTTCCACGTTCTCCTGTGAATCTTGCTGAAGGCAACTTTATGGTGGACCTAGCTCTTTTAGAAGAGCCACAAGATTTAGTTGCAAATATATCCACCCCTGCAATCGTGCGGTCTCGTAGGTCGGCTATACTCACATATTCTTCCCCGTTGGTAGAGACTACACGAAGGGTTTCAAGAATGCCATTCTATGTGTTCAATTGGAAGCGTGAGGCGGAGGCATTGACAATAAATATGATGGAACGGGTTGAATTTCCAAAAGACAAGAAACATATCCCGCGGAGCTTGAGATTGGAGATCCAATCCCGGGAACGTATGCACTTTTACACGGCCACGGTTAGATTTGATGCAAGATTTGCTGGGTTGAGGTATGATATATTTACTTTGACCCTCTGTCCAGTTTTCTTTTTAGATTTTATCATAAATGGATATGCCGATTAACTATACTAACAACTCGATAGATGGTTGATGTATAACTGGAGGGTTTTGTCTTTCGTGACCTTTAGTTCAATGTTCTGGCTCGCATCGGTAGCCGCAACTTCTGCTGTTTGGTTGGGATTAAATTCTGTGCAGCAGCAAACACAGATAAAACCAAAAATTGAGAAGACGGACTCTGAGGATGATGATGTGTCCATCAAGGAGGAAAGCGACGACGAGGACCACTTCCGCGTCCCAACAACCCCGAGAGGGAAAAGAGCTGCCGATACAGCAAAGGCCATAAAGGAAGAAGAGGAAATTGAAGGGTCCGCCATGATCGAGCCACTGGCGCCCGAGACCTTCGGTGCTACTGCTGAAACTGGAGGTGCCAGCGCAAGCACGCAGTCCAGGCGAAGGTCTAGTCTGGACACCCAGGAATATGGACGCTTGCAGCAGCGGAAAGGCCGCCTCCCTGATGATCAGGATGAAAGCTAATATCCTCTTCTTTTGTATGCATCCAAATGCATATATACATATATTCCTAGGTCGACAATTCTAAACATTTATGTCATAACATTTAATTCAGGGACTTTAAAGGAGCAAAAAGGCTTTACTTCTCATGCTTTGTTTATTTTGCAATGGTGATGTAAACCTCTGTTCCCTTGCAATTCTTGAGGTTGTCTGCATCAAACTCTCTCAGCGGGGGCAAACTGTGGTACAACATTTCCAACACCAAGTTGACAACCTACATACAATCAGCATACCCCTGCAAATTTATTAGCATCTCTTCAAAAAGAAAAAGAACTTTTTTTTTTTAAAAAAAAAAAAAAAAAGGAAAAGATAAATAAGCTACTATTCTCAAACGCTAGGTAAATCGAGCACACAGGAGATTCTAAAATACAAAATGCACATTCTTGTCAGTCAGCTCATGTCCAAAGAGGGGCAGTTTGCGTAACTCCGTTGAACCCTGAAATCAACTTTGAAGCTGACTATTTAACTCCTGAATTATAGGTTGTGAATGATGATGGTCCTCCATCAAACCAGTCGTCCCCATACGTCCATTCGCTAGTCAACAGTCTCCAGTCCGCCGGCCACACCGTCTCCGTCGTTCTCCCGCACAGGCAAAGATCATGGATAGGCAAAGCGCACCTCGTCGGCGCAACCGTAAAACCTATGTATTTCCGTCCAGGCACGCTACACCAGGATGACGGGACAATTCACCACCTTCCGCGCGAATTCGACGGCGAAACCGGTGGAGTTGGAGATGAATGGATGCTCATTGATTCAACGCCAGCAAGCTGCGTCCAAATTGGTTTATTCCATTACAACCAAGGCCGGGGGCCCATAGATCTTGTTATTTCTGGTCCAAACTATGGAAGAAATACTACGTCTGTGTTTTCGTTGTCGAGTGGGACAATTGGCGGCGGGCTCGAGGCAGCTGTGTGCGGAGTCAAGGCTATTGCCCTTTCTTACGCTTTTAGCTCTAGGAACCATGACCCTGTGATTATTGCCGAGGCATCTAGGCTTTCTATTCGTCTAATCGAGCATCTGTACAAGAATTGGGGAGAGGGAGTGGAATTATATAGCATCAATGTTCCTCTTGAACCCGGGGTGGAGCACGCTAAGATATTGTACACGCCTATCTTGGAAAATCGTTGGAAATCAGGGAGCTGCTTTGAAGAGATTGACGCAGAGTCAAGCGGCGAGGGCCCGGATTTGCAGGAACAACAGTTACGAGAGGGCGAGATGACGCTGAAAACTGGCGAGAAACCTTCTGGTCCAAAGTATCATCACCGACACTTCAAATGGGCACCCAAGTTCACAGACGTCTACAAAAGTATTGAAGAGAGCGAACCAGGAAATGATGGCTGGGCCGTTAAGATGGGATATACTAGGTAAGGGAACACTCAGGAGTGTCATGCCCTTTTATCAATTGTATTGAGTGCTGACCACTTTTTCCAACAGTGTCACACCCCTCAAAGCCAATTTCATGCATTCACAGGGTTATACTGGGGAGATAAAGTTGTGAGTACTGGATCCTGGGTGCAGGTGATAGCGTTCGACGAGATATAGAACATAGATTCTTCCATTCTCCGAGATATCATAGACATGCATAGCCTATTACACCCTGTTTTGAACATTCACCTTCGCTCCCATGTTAAGAAGGGCCTTGTAATACATACCTTCTAACTGGCTAGTTGTTATTTATAGGGAAAGAAGTGTGCCTAAAATTTACGCGGTAGTGGAATGCGATGACGAATATGTTCAACCCCTTGTCCTTGAAGCTCTCCAGAAAGGTTTCAAGGGAGTACCTTATCAATTGATATCCTCGCCATGCAAACCCCCTAGCCCCTCCTCACCAGTCCTACAATATCGAGTCTATGAGAAGTCCGACTTCGACCACGTGCTTGCACATCCATCGACGTCCCTAGTGAATTCGTATGTGATTCGAAAAGCACTCATTCGCAAACATTATCTGTCAAACACAGTTGCGAATTGGATCACCAAGCATCCTAATAGCATTCTCCGGAAACACTTCAAGCCTGCGGTAGAATTCGAGCTGGATTTTGCGGAGTTTTTGGACGAGGCATTGCTCGAAGCCTACGAGTTGCGGGACAGCTTTGAAAAGAATGAAGAGAGAGAAGAATCAGAAAAAGAGTGGTGGATTTTGAAACCGGGGATGAGCGATCGGGGCCAAGGCATTCGTCTCTTCAATAGCGAATCTTCCTTGCAGGCCATATTTGAAGAATGGGAGGAGGAGGAGGATGAAGAAGAAGCTGAAGACGAAGGCGAAGAGCAAAAGGATAGTGACGGTGCGGCTAATTCTTCAAATGATAACAGCGATCGCCTCGACAATGGAGTTGTTACATCCCAGCTACGCCATTTCATCGCCCAACCTTACATTCACCCTCCACTTCTCCTACCTTCATCGGACAACCGGAAATTTCACATTCGCGTGTATGCATTGGCGGTAGGCTCCCTAAAGGTCTATGTCCATAGAGAAATGCTGGCTCTCTTCGCTGAGAAACCTTATGCTGCGCCGTGGGAGAAAGGAGGAGTGGAAGAACTCACTCGTCATCTAACCAATACCTGTCTTCAGACGGACGAAACCGGAAGTGCTAATGCTGATAGTGTCCGCCGTTTTTGGGCTCTCGACGATAGTGTTCCCTCGATTGCTTCGAACTGGAAATCGCGTGTTTACGAGCAAATCTGTGCTGTTACCGGTGAAGTTTTTGAAGCTGCAGCCAGGGGGATGATGGTGCATTTTCAAACGCTTCCCAATGCATTTGAATTATTTGGCGTCGACTTTTTAGTTGACGAGCATGGTGACGTCTGGTTGCTGGAACTGAACGCTTTTCCCGATTTTCGGCAGACTGGATCAGAGCTCAGAGACCAAGTTGTAGGAACATTATTTGAAGAAGTAGTGGAGGTCGCAGTTAAACCATTTTTCGGGATTGGAAACGCAAGTGATCGTGATCCTCCCACCACCGACTCTATGGATGATGAAAGCAAAGCTCGACTCCGTCTAGTGACCAGTCTCGATCTGGGTCTCAGAAAATGAAGTCGAATATCTCACATCATATTGCCATGGAGTTACTAAGTATTTTTTTTCCTTTCTTTTCTTCAAAACAAGACGCACATGGGAGCGCGAAGCTTGGACATGATACGGAGTACTAATTAGAAAATGACTAAACTGCAATTGATACAATTCATCGCCTCCACGACTTCAACGACTGACCGTCCTTGGTGCACAACAAAGATTATCTCCGTTGTGACCCGTCTGTTTGTTACCATCTTATCTGCACGACTGCATTATCGCCGGAGTGCTGACGTTTAAGTCCGGCAACGAGCTCCAGCTGAGTTGTTGGCGCTAGTCCGTTTTAAGTGACGGCTCCAAGCCGCATCATGAGCGGCTGGCTGGGTGAACGGCAGAGAACGACCTTTGCTCGCGGGTTTAACAATCTCACGCCCCCACGACGTATGCCAAGGATACCTTCGCCAACAACAACTGGGAGCTGAGTCTGAAGATCTATTTAACCGCCCAGGTCAACAGCTCATGCACCCCGCAACTGCATGCACCTGGCCACCCCTCCGGCATAACCCCGTAAACTCCTTACCGCGAACAGAACTACCTAGACAGAAATGAGTAAATGCATTGTATATAAAGAAAGGCCAAGGACGAGAAGAATTCGCTTGCTAGTCGATGCCAATTAGTGTATAAAAGCCTCCGCTGCATTTGCGATTCCTGTTCAATTTCCGTTTTTTGACAACATGGTATACAATAGCAAAACGATGGCCCTTCCGCAAACTTTCAAACAAGCAGTCTTCAAAGGAGCAGGCAAGCCTCTAGTTATCGAAGAGGTATCCCTGGCTCTTCCTGGTCCCGGTGAAGTCTTGGTCAAGGTTGAGGCCTGCGGTGTCTGCTTCTCGGATACTTATGCGCAAAAGAATATGCTGGGAGGCGGATTGTAGGTCATATTTTTGCTTGGGTTTAAATATGACATGGCTGACTCATGCCTCCCTTTAGTCCAATCGTCCCAGGCCATGAAATCATTGGACGAGTTGCTGCTGTTGGAGATGGAGTGTCTGGGTGGGGACTGGGTGATCGAATTGGGGGTGGGTGGCATGGAGCGCATGATGGTATGCTCCTCTTTCCCTTTTCCGAAATCTAAAGGGGGAACCAAACACTGATTGTTACGTCTCTGGACAGGAACCTGCAAGTCGTGCAAGAAAGGCCTGTTCCAAATGTGCTCCAACAAGCTGATCAATGGCGAAACTAGAAGCGGTGGATGTGCGTGGCTCTCATGCTTCCTTTTCAAATGTGGCGTATTAATAGGAAAAGGCCATCAATACTGACAGTTCGAATACTGTGAAGATGCCGAATATTGTACCCTCCGCGCTGAAGCTGCCGTTCGTGTGCCTGACCATGTCGACGCAGCCAAGTATGCCCCCATTCTATGCGCTGGAGTGACGGTCTTCAACTCAATGCGTCATATGAATGTTCCTCCCGGTGAAACTGTTGCCATTCAGGGCTTGGGGGGCCTTGGCCACCTCGCAATCCAGTGTGCGAACAGATTTGGATACCGTGTAGTCGCGATATCACGGGACAGCAAGAAGGAGAAGTTCGCCCGAGCGTTGGGTGCACATGAGTACATCGACACGAGCAAAGAAGATGTTAGCAAAGCGTTGCGGAGGCTTGGGAAAGCCTCAATGATTGTCTTAACAGCGCCAAACGCAGATGTTGTGAACCCACTATTAAATGGGCTGGAGGCACGAGGGAAGCTACTAATGCTAAGCGGTGAGTCCTCCAATCTGTTCTGTGATTGGTGACACGAGAAGCTAGGAAGTAAGGCTTCACGGACCCGGAGGGGGGAGAGCCAATGTCTAGACCCAGGGTAATAACCATTGCTGCATGAATAGGACCTGGTGAAGTACCCATTAATAGTAGTCTCATGGTGAGTAGTCCGTACGGGAGGTCTCGAGCAAAAAAATGTTTCTGATGCTTTGCCACCTGAAATAGGTCGTTTCCGGTCTTTCCATCCACGCCTGGCCTTCAGGGCATGCTACTGATTCAGAGGAAGCAATTGCATTCACAGAGTTACAAAACATCAACTGCATGGTCGAAACATTCCCTCTAGCAAGGGCAAATGATGCATTTGGTAAGAATTCACATAAGAACTAATTGGTCCCGGTGCCCCTGCTGACTTCTCCTTTAGAGGCAATGTTGAAAGGGACGGTTCGGTTTAGGGCCGTGATTACCATGGAGTAGGATTGTGCAAAGGGAACATACCCATGGGTCGCTTTCGAGAGAGAGAAAGTAAACTTCAGCCCAGAGGTTGCCTAGGGTTATCAGCAGAGAGGCTGTAGGCCTTGGAAGTCGATGAGGTTGAAAGCGAGGTTCACTCCGAACCCTAGGTCACATTAATCGAAAATGGGCAAAACGCATGGTCGAGTACCTGATATAAGCTACTCATGAACTTAGTTCACTCACGTTTTGATAAAGTCAGCTTGGTAGCAATGTAACACGCGTATGTGGTGGCCATCAAGGAAGACCCTATGCTATTCTCTCTGGTGTATAGCGCTTGTAGTTAATAACGAATGGATAGAAGCATCCAAACCAACGATATTAGTCAATACGTTCTGGAACATTGAAGATGGTTTGGTGTCCAGAATGGTGATTATAACTACTTGTTGGTCATTTCTGTTGTTACTCCTTACCAGTGGCGCCCTTGTTAGTATATGGTTCAAACTTCTCGGAAAACACGGAGTCGATACCGCCAATCCAGTATAGAGACGATCACCAAGAAAGTTCGACGAGGTTGCAAATACCGCCATGTTGCCACCTGACTTCTTGAGGATGGTGCATTCGCTGTTGATCACGGTGCGGGCAAAAACCGCTGCAGGTGCGATTGGACATGCTAGGATGAAACCATTGCTTTGCATTTTCCTGCGAAGGTTTCATGCCTGCCGCTACGGTTAGGTGTGCCACCGTCCTGTACAATATGTGCAGCGACGGTTATGTAGTCAACGCACGAGACTACGTGGTTTGCGGAGACTGGTGTCCAGTTGAAGAGCCGAACGACGAGATCGGAATCGTCAATGCGGCCGGTGAGCAGCAGGGTAAAAAGGTCCATCGGAAGATTGTGGTAGACGAGTTCGAGAACATGAGCTGATGTTGCAGCCACATCAGAGCGAATACCTCTCCATCAAGAGGCAGTTTGTCTGTCAGGAATTATTCCCTAGATATTTTTCGCTCGGTCTTCATTCCGTAAGGTACTTCAACTAACTAGCTTTTGGGAGATTGCATCTTAAAATCCGGGGAATCCGGCGCGGGCTTCAAGGGATTGACGGTCTCTATGCAGACCTTCACTGTTGGCACCCACCGTGTCGACACACTTATCCCAGAAGGCGGTGTAAACTGTATAAACAGCCAAGCCTAACTTCGTATTCAACAGGGAGTATGCAAGCCGCGTCACATCGCCGCCGTAAGAAGCGAAATTTGGGTCCAGGAAGGACGTCGAGATTGTCAACCGGTAGATGGCAGAATACGTGGGACGTGGGAGGCTCGTCTGAAGCTCATACACGCCGTCATTTCGATGATATGTAGGTCACCACAACCGCTTACACAACTCCGTCTGGCGTTGGGAGCTCGAGGTAAGAGCCTAGATGTCGGCTATCTTCGCGGCGAAGGCCAAAGTCCTAGCTCTGTGGTCCATGGTTTGGAAGGAGGCGGCATCAAAGAAAAATTTTGGAAAATTTTCGACATTGTCAGGTCGCTATAGATAGACTTTCCACCCCTGAACTCCGAAGAGTTTTAGACCTGTTTGAGAGCTGCGATGGCGTCATCACACAACGATGGTCGCATCATTACTGTCCACATGGGCTTTTGGCCTCATCGTAGTTGATTGTCTTGGGGTGCAGTTTCCAGCCCATACCGCATCCACAAGGCGAAAGCAAGGCAGGCGAGTTCAGAAAAGTTGAGGAAGTTTGCGACGATGATTGTCGTAATCCCCGGAGTTGGCCTCATCGACAATCCGTACCGCACAGTGGTATGGTTGCCAGAACAATTCCAGATGATCGTCCTGTGTGCCTGCGAGGTAGTCACAAGCAATAAAGTATACAGGAACAGAGGCTTCCTGCAAATGATCGCTATTTCTCTGAAGGGGCAGCAGATTCGTTAACATCCTGCTAGCTAAAGTGGGGAACGCATTATCGGCGAAGCAAGTTAGTTAGAGAGCATGGTTCGAGGAGGCGCGCATGCGGCTGATGAAGTAGAAGATAGAATGTATATCATGCAATTGTGTCCAGTGTGAGCCGTGCGGGTTATACTCTCTCTCGACATCTTCTATCTCCCCATTCGGTTCGGATTGTTTCGAAGTCCTAGATAACGGCCTTGCGTATGAGGGGTATAGTCTCGACGGAGCGGTCTGAATCCATGAGCTGCGCTTCCAACCCATTAACCGGTTGTTTTGACCGTAACCTTTGTATACGAATAAATGTCAGCCATTTGCGACTATCAGAGGGATTCGAAAAAGAAACGACGAACGTGGCAGTGTAGGGAAGAGCCCGCACTTCGCTCAAACTCCACCAAACCCATCTCTTTTGGCAGTTATGGCAAAGGTAATTGCTATATCATTTGATATGGCGTACCCAAAACCGGGTCCACAAGCTCAATCACGCTGGTTTCGCTTTGATCGCACGCTTGGAGGTGCGCAGCGGAGGAAGAGCGTCGAGGAGGTTGCAGGTCGAGTTTCGCACTGGCCAGTTATATTGGAGACATCGTGCCAATGGCAAGATTGATAAATAATGGATGTCTTTAGCTAGCTACCACTTAGGAGAAAGAAACCTAATCTTCAGCTTTATTGCTCTACACCAAGTACTCCGTAGTTGGGCCCCCATAAATGCTATGATCGTGCCAGTGAGAGGGCGGGAACAGCCTTTGTAGGGGCAGCTCAATCGACAAACTCAAAATTGGAGAGGCTGGCTCTGCGCTTCTCCTCCGCTCAATCAAAGAATTATTCCCCTCACTGCATACTGGTATACTACTCCGTAAGGAGTTATAATTGCTGCCTGTTCATGTTGAGACCGGGCCGTCATCTTTCAAATTAAATAATACGCATTTATTTAAGCATGCCATGATTTGGCTTTGGCATTACTGTATACAGAGCACAAGCCTCCTTAGCTAGTTAGTCACTCACAAGGTATGTTAAACCCTCTCTTGGTTACTCCGTAGGTATTCAAGACGTGGTTAACAACAGGGTTGCAGGAGGCAAAAGGAGGGAAGAAAGCAGTGAATTGCATTCCTTGATGCTAACTGCGGGCAGCATGGACAACTTCTCATGTCTTTGCGTATTTAGCGGCACAGCTCTGCTCTGTTTGGCCTGGACTCTATTAGAACTGGCCTTTCAAATAGACGGAACGGTCAATATACATCAATATATCATAAAGCCACCGAAGTTTGTAAAGCATGTCTTGCGTCATGTTCTTATCTTCATCACCTTTCTAGTCCTGACTACGTAGTACGGAGTACATGCAAGTGTTTCCTTTTGAAGTGTTCCATCAGTTGACATTGGATGATGATATGGGCTGCTGATCCGCAATGTGACATTGTAGTTGAAACCTGTGCAATTGCAGATAGGCCATCAAAGCACAAGATGCATCCAAACTGTCTTACCCTCTCCACATAGCTGAGCGGGAAATCGCTCTCTGATGTTCAAATTTTCTTTCAGCGGCTATTGTCCCTACACATGGTTCCGCCAGTGAGCATTGAGAAGACGGCGCCGGTCTCAAATATACCTTGTCGCCTCTGACGGGGGTCTGAACTTGGGTTGGTATGAGCAACAATGCGTACGGCAGGCAGTAGATTCCAGAGACCTTGACCCTTCGAATGATGATGATCCATAGCGTAGACCCTGGAAGTATGTTATATTGGATGGAGATCAGATCCAGAAGACCGTATCCCTAGCTTCTGAGTTTGTATTCGTTGCGTAGCTGGATTGCTGGGCACTTCCTGTGTAACACCCCTCAAATAGTTACACACCCAAGTTGAGACACTTCGAGACCGAGACCAAAAGTCAATATCGCTACCAGCTTTACTAAGCCATTTGGCATCGATTTGTGATTTCAGAATATTCCCACTGGGAATCTTTCGCTAGGGAAAGGCATGGAAGGGGTAGATAGGTAAGTCACCCTTAGAAGGATACTGGCTCCGTGGGACCAATATGTCCGCAGGATCAGCGACCCAATCCTGTGGCATCTTGCTCGCACGGACACTTTGACGATGACCACACTACTCCGTACATGGGCATCAATTCGGGCCCGAGTCCATGGCCTGAACATGTAATAGGAAGTTTCTTTAACGTCCCAGTATTCTGGCCCGCAAGATACCAGCAGGTGCAGTTTCGACTGCATGAATTCGCTCCTTCGTTTTCTGGCTGCCATCGAATATGGCGATCGCTATACTGGACGATTTCACGCGAGCATCCCATGGTTTGGCGTTTGATTAAAAAAAAAGAGAATCATTTTGCCTTCGCTCATCGACGTAGAAAAGGCAAAAGCCTCTGAGCATGCGATTCCGGAATCAGGATAGCAATCAAAACTTGCCATATGGAATGTTTGTAAGCCCCCTCGTAGGAGTTGCTGCAACCACAATTGTGCCGCTTGCACTTTTCATCAACATTGTTGCGCCACATGTCTCCCAAACTGTTGGCAATTGTTGGCTATGTGGCCATCCTTCTGAATTTCGGACTTTGCTTCCTTAACCAGCAACGGTCCTCGGCTCCTGGGTTGAGTTTTCCAAGAATGCAGCAGTGCGCTCGGACGGCTCAGCCGATTGCTTCGTTGTTTCCCCTTGAAGAACATGTAAGCGTAACTATGGCAGACTGTCGTCTAGCAAGTTCACTACTAATTCGAGTGCGAAAGTTTTAACTCCTCATGATAGGGTTGTGTTAAACTCCTCGTGTCTTTATTTTGCCAAGCCTTCCCTGCTCCGTGGCTCGCTCGTCCTCTGTTGTTTACCAGCGTCCCTCGTGATTAGAATCCATCCATCATATCAACTGCTGCTCGGGTTTAAACTTCCACAGCTCCCAGTAGTGGACAATCCGGGGTCCTGGCAACGACTGCCAATGGACGGGGTTCGCAGGGGCGTGCAGGGATCTAGGATGTCCCGCTCCACTTAGTTACCATCTTTAAGCACATTTCTGTTGAATCGATGGGGTGTCGCGGCTAGAAGCGTAACTGGTCACCAAGCAAGGAGCCAGAACTCTTCGTTATTATTGGATTTGCTGGGCCTGCTTGACGTTTTTCTAGGGGTTTGACACAATTTTTTTTCTCTCTCAGCTTTCGAGATTCCAGCAATGTTTGTGTGGATCAAGTTTCTGTTCTTGAGCACTGTTGCCACTCGCTCGTTCGGTATCCAGTGATTCTTTTCGTCCTGTGAGAATCAGCTTTAGAGGCTTTGATTCTCAGCCTGGTAATAATATTTAATATTTAATGCTGCGCTAGCTATACCCTGTTGCATCTTCGCCTCCGCAACTTGTTTGGGGACTCAACGTATCTCAAAAGGGCTCAAACAGGGTGACATTCCGTGAGGGATCTCCCATCCGCAGGGACGGAATAGGGGTGGGAATGCGTGGTTCTCCAAGGAGAAGAGAGCTGCCTTTGTCGTTTGATCACTCCGCTCCAATATAGACACGGACTCTGGGGGAGCAGAAGCTGGCTGTCGGATATCCTTTTCGCCTTTCACCAGTCCATCCCACGATGCGCCCGTGAGGTGCCTGCTGGCCGCAACCTTGTCGTGCAAAGCGCCGCCCTGGCCTGCTCTGGCGGACTTTCCTGTTAGAGTAAGACCGCTGCGATATAGCCTGTGCCTTCTGCTTCTGTACGCTTTCCCCCTCGTTTGCCTCGCTCTTGCCCTCCGCTTTTTGCGCTTTCCATAATAAGCCAATAAGCGGATGAGGCTCGTCTGCACGTCGTGCCTTCCTCTTCTGCGTCTGCCGCTGACATCCTCACCGTCCGCCTTTCGCTTTATTCCATCTTCACCCGCCCATCACCACGGATTCTCCCGCCCCAACTGACGAGTCCATGAGGCCTTCACTCCTCCAGTCATCGCCTGGCTTTTTGGCATTCTGTAGAGCTCTTCTTGACGGTGGTTGAGACCTTTTTGCATCTTTTTGCATCTTAATTTATGGGTGTTGCCCTTTGCATTCTTGATTGTTCTTGATAAATACGTGATTAGATATGGCCGGGATCCCCTCGGGCTTCGAGTTGGCTCTCGTGAAAGTGCTATATTCGGTGTTACCCCTTGTCTCCGCATGTTTTTTCTTCATCGCCACTGGCATTCGATCTATAATAGCTCCCAAGGAAAGGCTGAATCCCAGCCGGTCAAAACGGCATTGGAGGTTTACAGTCGGAATTTGTGTGGTGACTATATTCTTTAGCTATGTGAGACTCTGCCAGAACCATGCTCTTTTTTACGGGATCATGATGTGCTGATAATCAGTATGTGCGCTGCAGGTAGCCGATGCTATAACTTCAACCTTTACCTTTATCCCGGAAATTAGGCCCCCAACAGTGCCAGGTAGACTTGTGAGTGATGCTGAGGCAATACCTACAATGTGGAGGCAGCTGATAATTGTACTCATGCAGTTCTACTCCTGGGCGTCGAGCCTGCTCTGGTTCATAAACTTTCTATGGTTCCTTGATTTAGCAGGGCCAGCAACGTATCCGTTTTACGGGACCTGGGTAGCCTATTTGGCAGGTGAAGGCTTACTTCTCCAGGTGTCCCTAAAAATACATCTTCCACGCATAGACACAGAAGTCTTACTGGTAGCTTGTCGGTTTGCTTTGCTTGTGACGCTTGTCCTAGCAGCTCTGCGCTCTCATTTTGTGCCGACAGAAGAAAAACAGCCAGATGAAGAAGCTACGCCCTTATTATCAGCCCAGGAGGTTACACAACAAGATTCACAATCTACTCGTCCATCGTACGGCTCTTGCTATTCACGGGCTGATGAATCAGCCCAGCCCGATGTCGATATATCAGCTAAATCTAAAAGCCAGAACGGAGACAGCACTGAGGACAGTCTAACGAATGAAGAAGATGAAAGGACTTTTTGGCATATTGTGGAGTTTCTTAGGGTATGTGTGTTTTCTCATGAGGGGTGAACAGGCCCTAATTTATGTCATAGTCCTTTTTACCGTTCTTCTGGCCCTCGGGGAAGCCTGCCTACCAGCTTCTCTATCTAGGCATTGGAGGATGCTTAGTGGTCGAGCGTATCATGAACGTAATCATTCCGTTACAACTTGGATTGATAACGAATCTTCTAACAAAGTCCGATGGTAAGAAATTTTGGATATTCAAGCTTACTATACAGGTTTTCAGGGTGTGTTATTGACAGTGCAGTAGGGTCGATCCCTTGGAAAGAAATAACAGTCTTCATTGGCCTACGTTTACTCCATTCTAGCGGTGGCTTATCAGCCCTGAGGTCCTTTATGTGGATGCCACTCGAGGATCTTTCGTACCAAAAAGTTAGCACGACAGCTTTCAATCATATTATGTCCCTATCATGCGACTTTCATGACAGCAAAGTATCTGGCGCGGTATGGGAAACCATTGTGCGTGCCCAGCAGGTTAAAGATGCAGTCAACCACATTTGCTTCATCCTCATTCCGACCATAGTCGATCTGGCATTGGCTGTCAGTATTCTTTACTATCTTTTTGATGTCTATATGGCATTGATAACGGCAACGGTTACTGTGATGTTTTTATGGACATCTGGCAAAATAATCGACCGACAGAAGAATAAACAAAGGGACTGGATTGATAAGCGAATGAAGGAATTTTCGATTCTTTGTGAGTCAACCGCTAACTGGAAGACCGTTGCATATTTCAATCGCGTGCCATATGAGGAACTTCGATATCGTTCATCTGTTAAAGACCACTTGAAGTCACGGGTGGGCTTCAGGCTTTGGAGCGGCATTGAAAATAGTATTCAGTCACTTGTCCTTTTGTCGGGGCTTATGGCGGCTTGTTTTATCGCCGCCTATGGAGTGGCAACGGGTTCAAAACCCATTGGAAGCTTCGTAATGATGCTCAGCTATTGGGCCCAGCTATCTAATCCCCTCCAGTCACTTGCCAATGGATTTGCAGGTATTGTCCGAGATATGGTTGATGCAGAAGAGCTGCTTGTTCTGTTGCAGCAGAAGCCTACTGTCTCTGATATTCCCGGTGCTAAGCCCCTGGTTTTCGACGACGGTAATATCGAGTTTGATGGAGTCAGATTCTCCTATGATGGCAAGAGAGAAGTCTTGAAGAATGTTACGTTCCGGGCCCCTGCTGGAAAAATTACCGCAATTGTTGGAAAAACCGGAGGAGGGAAATCGACTATCTTAAAGTTGCTTTGCCGATTCTATGATCCTGTCGCAGGGGTTATCAACATTGACGGGCAAAACACTTCAAAGGTTGCTCTTAGTAGCCTGCGGGAAGTTTTGGGCGTTGTTCCCCAGGATCCTGTATTATTCCATGATTCAATCATGGCTAATATTCGCTATGCCAGTCTTGGTGCCGCTGACGAGGAGATTGTAGAAGCCTGTAAAGCTGTCGCCCTTCATGAAAAAATCATGAGCTTCCCTCATGGATATGACACTGTGGTTGGAGAACGTGGCATGAAATTATCCGGCGGAGAATTACAGCGCGTCGCCATCGCACGAGCCATGATTAAGAATCCGAAAATAGTGCTCCTGGACGAGGCTACCAGCAGTGTGGATAGCGAGACAGAAGCCCATGTACAGAGGAGCCTGAAGATGCTCTGTGCGGGTCGGACCACGATTGTTATTGCGTACGTTTTTTCGAAGTTTGTCCAATGGAATACAATACCATAAATGCTAATGTTCTTACTAGACATCGACTTTCCACCATCATGAATGCTGATCAGATATTGGTAGTCAACGACGGTGAAATTGTTGAAAGAGGAACTCATCCCGAGCTTTTGGAGAACAGGAGCTACTACCACCGCTTGTGCAGCTGGCAAGGGTTCACCACTGAAGGACCGAAGGACAAGCAGTCTCAAGTTATTATTAACGATATAAATCCTCTAGAGGCGACAATGGAGAATAGCGCGCTGCCGATGCGACTGCAGGATCCTGCTGGCAATAACTCTGCCCAAATTTCTAACGCCGAACGTCCGGGCATAGCATATTACGCTGCAGAATCCGAAATACCGCCACAGGATCTGATTGACCAAGATGAATTGTGTGAACGTTGTGGTAACTGCTTGAATATAATTTCGTCTGCAATGGAGACGTCGAAAAGAATGGCCCACCCTAGCAGGATTCTGAAGCCGGAAGCCCCTGAATTCGTCCCTCGAGCGTTTCAAAATTATGTTTCAGGGCCCTTGCACCCTTACTATATTCAAGTCGACGCGAATCGCAGCGCTTCTAACCAACGTTATACTGACCATCCGCCTAGTGGTTACGCAAGCGATACTGGAGAAAGTGTAGAGATATGCACCGGCTATGAGGAGAATAAGCCTTCTGAACCAAAACGAAAAATTGACGATGGTCACATGCCCACATGTCCTCCCCTCAATGATATGCCGGGCAACGGTGTTAAATTGATCGCAATATCTTCTAGAGAACGATTCCCAGTAGGAAATGAACAGCACCATAGCGTTATTGAAGAGGTCTTGGGGGCCATAGGAAACCATGCAAAGAAAAATATTATCCGTCGAGAACTGTCAAAGAGTGAACCGGCAGGCCTTATGATTGGTATGAATGGAGACTCTGGAGATGTGGACAGAGGATTGGAGAGCTCCCCAGTTTCCCGCCATGACATTCCTATTAGCCAGGAACCTGCGGCCAAAACCAACGAGATCCCTCTTAGGAAACACCGCCGCCGCCGTCGTCGAAATAATTGGCGGAGAAGAAAGGAAATGAGAACAACTGCGAGTACCCAGTCTGGCACGGATGGCATGCGGTCTTCGGATCAAATGGATGCAAAATGTGCCATATAAACTGTCTCGATACTGGAACGAGAATGAAGTCGGTTGCCGATCAGCACCTAGAACCCCGTCAGCTCCGCTGTAGAATTTCCCTTCCCGAAAATCACGCTCTATTACGATCGTATGAAACAAATTTGGGATCTACCTCGACAAGCTGCTTTCTTGAAACACTATTCCCTAAAACTTTGAATTAAGTGGTAAGCGATATCTTCATTGACATTAATTTATGGTAGTATATGTAGCTTCCAGACAATATATATTTCTGTAAAAAACCAAGCGTTTTGATATAAGTCATCTTCTGTGTAAAGAGGAACACGAAACTATCCTTGGGTGTAGTGAACAACGTGTAGCTATACTGCTTCGAATTACAGATATCCTGGCATAATTGAGGGCACAAGTTCCTTGTCTTAAATCACTAGAATGATATTAACACAATCATCCGAACTTCTCTTTCGCAAGAGCACGAAGATACGTCATGGTCTCTTCTTCTTTCTTTCGATAGGATTTGAGTCTCTCTTCACGTTCTGCTGCTCGTGCCCGCAGAATCTCTTCCTTTCTGATCTCTCTTTCATTCTTCTTCCGCATTTCTTTTTCACGCTCGCGCTTCAACATCTCCAGGTCACTCGCGCCACCCATTAGCTCTGCATCTGGTGCTTCACCGGGAGATGTGCCTCGACGGGATTCCGCAAATTCTCGATTGGCGAATGCTGCCTCGCGGCGTTTTTCCACACGGCGTTCGTGGGTCCCTGGTTCGGCGCGCGGAGCAATTTCGTCTTCGAACCGGCGGAGTTCGGATTTGTGCGATTTTAGGGAGTGTTTGTGGGAAATGCGGGCTTCTTCACAGGCTTCTTGGGCGGAAGAGAGTTGGTCCTCTGTATTACGTTTTGGTTAACCGGAGGGTACATTTATGAGATAGGAGAATAGTAGGTATTAAATGTAAATGCTTACCTCGACGAAGTTGAAGGTCTTGCATGGTAGGAACTTTAGGGCCGGATTTATCAACACGTCGTACATCATCACGGTTTACTGATAAGGCAGCATTCTCGATAGGTACTTGAGGACCGTAGGACCCCTCCTCTTCCTCTTCTTCCTCTCCGGAGCCTTCTGAAGTTTTGTCTGTGGGGCCCAGCTGTTCTGATATCTGGGTAGCCCTTGCATGATCGTATGGTAAAGAGCCCCTAGCATCCCTTCGTGTAGCTGAGCGATTCCTCCCACTGTATTCATTATAGGATGAGGATTGCCGTCCTGAAAGACCCACAGCGCTACGGGCGTTAACTGAGCCTCTGCTGAAGGCGCTGTCTCGAGCTTTCTCAAAGGTCTTAGGATCGTACCACCCTTCTGCGAGTTCTCCACGGTTCCTCAAGTACGTCAGTACGTAGTTTTCTGACAAAAGAAACATATGAATTTCTAGAAAGATAGACGGGAAGAGAAAAGGAGAATAACTTTGTTAGAGGAATGGAAATATCTAGGGAGAGAATCGTCATTTACCATTTGCCAATGAAACTCTTCCATCTTCCTTTGGTTTCCCGCTCACTGAGTTCCGCCAAATCGATACCTTTCTGGATATCTAAGTACATTGCGAACATCGGTTCGTAGTGCGCTAAGTCGCGCTTTGATAGTGACATTGCGCTGAAAGGTAGAGATGGCCGTGCTGAGTCGGCATGGCTGCTTTTTGGAGTGTCTCGTCTACGGCGATTGAAATGTCGATTACTTGACCCGCGCGGGGAGCGGGAGCGAGATCGAGAGAAAGACGGGGATAATCTGGAATGTCTTGGGCGATTCATGGCGCTTTTCCGGTATTGGGTTGATAGTCGAAGACGCCTTTTTGCCCCCCGACGGTTGAGATGGTATTAAAAACAATTTGAGAGGGAGTAAAACCGGAACTAGGTACTTATTTAACCGCGCCATCTCCAAGGCCAATCGACGCTGAACTTGTTTTTGAACAACGTTCCTATTTATTCATTATAAAATATAGCTTGACTACATTTCTCTTGAGTGGATTAGTCTTAAAACAAGTACAGATAGAATAGTAGAGACATATTACTCTGGAATCCAGGGGTTCAAAGCAGAATTCCATTGATACGCCGCTCCTTAGAATAGTACATTATCAAAACGACTAAAATATAGATAATGCAAGGAACAAGAAAACGAAATCGCCAAAAAATGGCTCAGCTACTAAGCAAATGAAGTTCCACTAGGGATCGATATCCGACTCTTGTAAGATTTCACCCGTTATTAATTAAAGCTAAATAAATTGCCCTATGGGAACCCTTTAGCTTGAGGGAGCGCTGGACGGCTGAACATCTGCACCAGCACTGGAGCTTTCTCCAGGATTCTCTGTGGATGACGTTGTTGTGGCGGGCTTAGACTTGCTTGCCGCAGCCATTTGCCATGCAGGAATGCTCGCGGGTTTACCCAGAGCTGCGAATGGACTCTTCGAAGCTTCGCTAGGGGCTGTGGAAGTTGCTGACGTCGATGGCGCGGGTGTAGAGGCCGCGCTGGTTGTTTGGGCCTGAGAAGTACCTGGCACGCTGTTTGCTTCCGGCTGGTTTGGTACGCTCTGGGCAGGAGGGGCGGCAGCAGTTGTACTGGCACCCGCGGCAAGTCGGTTTCCAAGTAATATCTTCAAACTCTTCAGTTCTGCACTGAGATCTCTGAGTCGTTTCTCATTTCCTTCCCTTGAGCCTTCAATCGCCTTGGGGATTCCATCTTTTAGGCTTCTGACCTCCTCGCTAATACGTCTGGTCTCGTCGTCGCGCCGACGAGAAGAACTCTTCAGTTCCGCAACTACATCCTCGACCTCCCGGAGAGCGGCATCCAGTCTCTCGGTTCGCGCATTTTCTGTGGCTTTCAATGTCGAAGTATCTGAGGAGAGCTGATCTAAAAGCGCGAATGCGCGTGAAAATTGTTCATCAATACTCTCTTTGTCCTGTTGGAGTTGAGGTGGAGTTGGAGGCGCTATTAATGGTGTGATGTATCTCTACAATCGAATAGTCAGTCTCTACCATAGTAAACAATTGCACCCAATTTACCTTTGCTACCACATATAAACCATAGCCAACACCACCAACGACCGTGGCCATGATGAACCAGTCTCGCCAATCTCGCTTGGGAAGCCTACAGTAAATCATTCGTTAACTGGTGTTTTAACAAAAGCAATGTATACCACTTGTGGCAGGTCATTTACTCAGGCGGAGGCTGTAGATGCTGCCATTGACCAGCTGGTCCATATGCGTAGCCTTGATTCAGCGCCGCCTGTCGACTGACGGATGGTTGTTGAGCGACATATCCGCTGGTCTGATTCGTCCCGGCACTCGAGGGCGGCTTTTCTTCACCTGCTCTCGAAAAAGCCAAGTCAATCTCTTCTTTGGTTAAATTCTTTGACTGAAGAAAAGCAATCTTTTTCTCTAGGGGTGCGGAAGAAACCGAGGGATCTTGTAGAACTATGAAATGTCAAGTTCTAGATCAGTATTCGTCAACCCACAAGCAAGAAGTTATTCAGCACAATACATACAAGAGACCTAAACAGAACATCGTTAGTATCTGCTAGTATGGGGAGAAATAGTCGGGAAGAGCACATACTGCGGAGGAGATCAGCTCCTCGCGAGCCATTGTGAGAGTTTCTAATTGAATCAACCAAGCTGGTAATGATGCCTTTTGCTAACGCCTCAGCTGTAAGCGCTCGAAATGAATCAGTAGAGTCGTCGTAGTCGCCTGAAGCCCTCGCCGTGTCGTGCTCTTTGAGGGCAGAAAAGGAAGATCAAACTGGATCTGGCTTGCCGTGACGCCAAGAAGTCGTTATGCCGAGGCTGGACCTTTGCCGGAAACCCCGTGATCTAGCTTATGTACTAGCCAAACCGCTGCCAAGTCTTTACCGATTATGTAATTGATAAGTGCATTGTTTACGACGAAACCCAAAATAATCAGCATCGCCAGCTACCAGGGACCACCAGCCAGGTTTTCTCCGGACGTGCCGCATGTATTTGGGATACTTTGAACTCTTGTGAGCTGTGGAAGACTATACTATTAGGCTGCACAGAATATTGTGATTATTGGGTTGGTGGATCTTCTCGTGCTGCTCGATCATGGCGCAAGACACTGGCTTGTTCAGCATACGACGTCCACGGGAGGTATGGTCGCAATCCATTGACGATACAATACAACACGATTCAAGCAAATTGTGATGAATGAATACTGATGTAGCATTTGTCGCAGACTCTTGGAAATGTCCAAAACCTTTCTTCTATCCCTCAGCCATCTTCCTCCCTGAAACGAACCAGTTCCGTCGCAAACCTCCAGAACCCTCCTTACACATCACAACATTCGCGCTCGACGTCCGTTGCTCAGTCTGCTAGCCGATTACAACCTCCGGTCTTTGGGAGGGCCTCTTCGGGCGGAAATTTTGGGCCCGATGGCGCCCTATCCTCCGTGCGACGCTCTGCGTCAAGCAACATTCTTCACAGCGCAAGCGCACGTCGGCAGAGCTATGCCCCCATATCCATGCCACCTCCCCCGCCTCCACCACAACTTCAGCGGAGGAGCAGTGTGCTATCACGACCTTCGATGGGGCCTACACCTCACCAGTCCTTTTTCGCCCAAACTCCAGTCCCTGCGGGGGTACCACGCGACCCCCGCCCGCTGAGAGATCGAAGCTTCCAAGCGCGGATAAGCCAAGAAATTTTGGAATATTTGACGCATAATAACTTTGAGCTTGAAATGAAGCATTCCTTGACACAGAATACGCTAAAATCGCCCACCCAAAAGGACTTCAACTACATTTTCCAATGGTTATATAGGAGAATCGATCCAGGACACAAGTTCCAGAAGAGCATAGATTCTGAAGTGCCGCCGATTTTGAAACAGTTAAGATATCCTTTTGAAAAGAGTATCACAAAATCGCAGCTTGCCGCCGTTGGGGGGCAGAATTGGCCAACATTCCTGGGCATGCTTCATTGGATGATGCAGTTGGCACAGATGTTGGAAAGGTATTATCTGGATCAGTACGACTATGCGTGTGCAGAAGCTGGTGTCGATGTGACAGGAGATCGTATCATTTTCCGCTTCTTGTCTGGTGCATACCATGATTGGCTGCAAGGAGGCGAAGATGAAGACGATGAGGTAGCGGAGAAAAGGCTTATTCCCCACGTCGAAGCTATGGCTGCCGAGTTTGAGCGTGGAAACGAAAAATACGTCCAAGAAATGCAGACACTTGAGGCAGAGAATAGGGCTTTGCGGGACCAAATCGAAGAGCTCGAGAAAAGTGCGCCGGACATGGCGAAACTGGAAAAGCATTTTAAAATTCTTGAGGAGGACAAACGGAAATTTGAAGACTATAATCAAAACGTCCAAGGAAAGATTGATAAATACGATAATCGGATCAAACTGCTGGATGAGGAGGTTAAGAAAGTAGATGCCGAGCTTCAAATGGCTGAAGAGGAACGGCTCAGTCTGCAGTCGAGTGTTGACAAGCAAGGTATTACAATACAGGACATCGACCGTATGAATACGGAGCGCGATCGACTTCAAAAGAGCGTCGAGGACATCCTAGTCAGGCTAGAAGAAACCCACGTAAGAGTCATGGAAAAAGAGGCAGAGGCCAATCGGAAGCTCGAGGAGTTGGAAGAAGTCGTCAAAACATACAACTCGCTTGGGTACCAAAACCTGCTGATTCCTTCAACGGCTGTCAACGCCAAAGATTATGATTACGAGCTACGCCTAAACGTCAACGAAAATAATTTCTCGTCATCCCAGCTTGGTAGATCCCAAAATCGAGGTTCTCCCGAAGGCGATCGATTACTTGCTGATGCGTTCACGGGGTACAGCCCAGCTAATCTAATAAACTTGGATCTCCGTGGTATTGTTCGAAGTAGTTTTGTGGCGCTCAGAAAAGAAATATACGAACGCCGAAAAGTAGCGCTTGACGACGATATGAATCGTCGGGACTTGCTAGACAATATCAAAGAAGCTATGGAGGAGAAGCGGAACGAAGTTGAAGCTCTCGAACATAAACGACGAGCAGCGGAAGAGGAATTCGAAAAAACTAAAGAAATTACAATGACGCAGAAATTGGCCTCAGATGCTCAAATCGAAAAGATGGAAAAGGAACTCGCCAAAATGCGTGCAAGTCTAACGGAGAGCGTACAGTTGATGGAACAGAGGGAAATGAACACCAACATTGAGTACGAGCAGCTGGTACTGCGAGCAAACGCCTTACGGGAAGAGCTCCATACCGGCGTCGAGAGTATGTTGAACGATATTATCCGATTCAAAGTCCATATCCAAAAAGGTCTGGAAGATTATGAAAATTTCGTCGTCGACGAGGTTGAACAAGAACTGGGTGGCGAAGACCTTGACGACGAGCTGGATGGTAGGGAGATTGAATAAGTGGCCAGAGCTCTTTATCGATCTTGCAAATCTTGATATCCTCACGGTTTATGATTTATGATGGCCTGGAGTATTTCTTTTTGCCTGGAGCATTGGATTCTTAATATTTTGTTGTCGGTTTCTGTCGGTCTGCTGGTATAGTATATGGCGAGTCTCATGAGTGGTCATGATATTGGTTATAGGATAATGCTTTTTGTCAATAAATTTGTCTTGCTGTGCAGATAAGTCGGTGCGCTGCATATGCATTTGTATGGAGAAACTAGCCATCATGCCCCGTATTTTCCTCCACGGCAAAGGTTGCTGGCGGCTCGGGATTTATCACGTGATAATGATTGATTTAATCTTATCTGATATTGATGACTAACCATCTGCTGAGCCAAATGTTAATTTTTTCGCTGAGATGCGCCTGGAGCTGCGAGAATCAAACGGTTTTTTCCAATGGTCAGCGCCGACAGACCCGTATAACACTGTGTTACTACGGGGCTAGTCATGGTTTATACACGTCAATTCGGGGTGACTTTTTAGTTGAGCTGGGATCTTCTCCCAGGATCCTTCCTGCTGTCGTGTCATGGTCATTTGCCTAAGGCCTGCTGGTAGAATCCTTCTGGGCCACAGGTTTCGTTTCTCTAATCGAAAATGTCAGGCTCTTTTTTCATTTAGAGGCTTCAACGCGAGGTCTATTTCCTCCGGCCCCTCCGTCAACAACCCTTCCTCTCATCCATACACCGTTAGACCTCCTCGCTCAAGGGCAAAGCACCTTCGCTGTCCTGTTCCTCGATCGGAACGAACCGACATTGCAAAATGGATTCCCTTTTTAGACAGATTCCTCCCGTCGCATTTGCGGGAGGGCTCCGTCGATTGTTTGGAGGATGGAGTGCGGAGTGAGGCCGAGCAATGCCAGGCGATACTACAGCTACTTTTCCAGGCCAGATCCTTCATGAATTTCGATCTACTCGCTTATATGGGCTTCAAGATGAACAGATGGAATGCCGTAAGGGCTCTTGTGGATAAATTGCTTGACAATGCAGAGGCATTGCGCTCGAAGCATGCCGGTCGAAATGATCTCCCTTCGAATATCGATTGGAAAAGTATGGGGCGATCGTTTGACGAGATTACCGGAGATGAGCTTTATCGAACTCTAGCTATATCTGTCCAGGGTAGTACCGATTTTCGATCCCTAGACTCGTACGATTCCTATTCCGAAGAACCTATTTTGGGAACTCGAATGGGTGAAACGAACCTTCGCGTTGGGACCATGGAGGAGCTATGGCAAAGCCTGGGTTATTTCATCATCGAGGCGGCAGATATGCGCCAGGAGGAATCGGCGTTGATAATGCATCACTTTTATTATATCGTTGCTCGTCTGCACAATTTAGACTACATTCCAAGCAACGTTTACAAAGATACACCAATTCGAGGATCTTATCCGCTCTTACGCCCACCAGCAATGCACCTGCTATCTACACGTATTATGACTATTCTGACAGACACGATGTTAGAAGCAAGAATGGAGGAATTATCCACTTCTACCGACCAACAGTCGTCCATGGAATGGTTACGCTCCTCGAAAACAGAACTCGGGTTCGGTGTTTGGCTTGAATTTATTCTCTGGTGCTGCGTAGAAGGAGGCTATGCTCGTGAAGCTGCCTGGATCTTGCAAAGCACACGAAACCGCTCGAAGGAATGGAAAGTGGCTAGCTTCGCTCGGCTGCTAAAGACCATCGGCCCAATTGATCCCAAAAAAATAGACCATCACGACACTTGGGAACAATGCGGAAACTCGTCGCGAATATCAACCATGGGGAGGCCCAAGGGTTCATTTCTAGGAATGGGAGAGCGAACCATCACTCATGAAGTTGTCGTTGCTGTGATGGACGGACTTACTAACGCTGTTAGAACCGGTGTCGGTTTCCGGGGAGATTCGGCGCCGCATGTCTGGGAACGTCTCGGTTTACTCCGGGGACTCCTAAATAAAAATATGCTCTACGTTGGCGCAGGGTTCGTTAATTACTTGATTATGAGAATCCTTGAGGCCGGAGGCATCGTTGCTGAAGTGAAGCCTCAAGCCCTTGAGCTGCTCCTAGACGTTTCGCCCTCGATTACGACTGCGGATGAACTTGAAATGCCACTCGAAAAACTGGCTGAATTGTCAAACAAAGGAGTAATTCCGAACAAATCCGCAATGATATTGGGTTTATACCATTATACCTTGAATGCATATGCATCTTCCGGTCACATCTCGGGCACAATTGACGTTCTGGAAAAGCTTGTTGCAGCCGTGGATTATACGCGAATCCACATGATCCGTCAGTCAATTATGGAGTCTAGATACGTTACAAAAGCCTATAATGTGCGCAAATCAAGCCTGAAAACCCCGTTAAACAATGGATCAAATGACCATGAAATGTCGCCATTAGGTAGACTTCAGCTGCCTCCATCTTCTCTCAGCCTTCTTCTCAGCGTTTTCACCAATTCGCGGGCGTTTAGCCTAGCATCGTGGGTCGTCAACCCGCGTGAATCTGCGGGACCGATAATTCCGTCTGACATGTACAGGGACGAGGTTCTGGCGCCTACCCTGATCCAGTTCGCAACCGCAACGAATAATAGTCACTTGCTCTCCAATGTTTTGGAACGCGTGGCTCGCCCGTGGCCAGTATCCATTCTTCATCACATGCTTGATTACAGGATCGCAAACTTTCGTTGGAAACATGCTCTTGAATTGCTAGTACAGCTCCGGGACGTTGAACGAATCCAATGGGTACCGAACAATGTCGCAACCCTTGCCGCTACCATCATAAAGCTAGATCAGCCGGACAACCTTCTTCCACAATTTTCTTCTTCCGAAGACCAGCGCCAGGCGTTAGAACAGGCCACACATATCTTAACGTATATGCTAGAAGGTAAATTCAGTGCTCGTGAAGACTTCTCGAAGGAACGTGATTTTCACCCTGCACAAATGTTATATCAGCTCCACCGCATCTTCAAATCAGCGGGGTCACCCGCTCTTTTGGATGTTTGCACAAAAGTGAAGCTCAAATGGCAACGTCCCGTTGAATCTTCCTGCTATGTACCAGCTAATGCATTTCGCACTCTTATCGCCGCTGTCGTCGAAGTTTACGGTAGTGCTGCTGGTCGACAGCTCTACACTAAATGGTGCATGTATCCTGCGACCCCTCGCGCTCGACGTATTGACTCCGGGGGTAACACTCGGCTTTTCTATTCCTCACAGCTGAATCCGGAGACTGGAGGAGTAGTTCCTATCTTCGATTCACGTTGGCATGCAGGCAATGCTGGAAAGTTGGTCATGCCAAACCTCGATATCGTCCGAACCATCGCGCTGTGTGCCCTTAAAGATCAAACGGACTTGACGACGAAGAGCAAAGAAGCGTCGCCCGAGGTCACAGACGAAAGTGTCACTTCTGTGCTAAACTGGTGTATGCGGGTTTTCTTTGATTTGGGCTTGACAGACAGGGAAGTCGACCGAGAATTAGACGGGTATTTAACTCGTATCAGAGACAGATTGCGACGCGAGCAAGCCTCCGAAGAATAATACATATGTAAATATGTTATCTTGATTGATTACTGTGATTAATATAATAATTTAAACACTCCAATATCAGCGCAGTACGGAGTAGGGTTCAACATAACCTCCTCTATGCAGTTGAGTCGGGAGTATTCATGGCTGGCGGTGGCCTGGCCGCTGGCGGTCCCCGGCGCCACACCCACCCCTAAGAGAGACCAAAGGCGGCGGAAGGCAGTTTGATTCTCTGTGAGGACTGGAATTCACTCCGTGAATCCCTTAGTTCCAGAGCCTAAAGCTACTGGCTAACGCATTTAACCAATAGTAGCATACGAACACCACGACTGGCCTGGTCTTAAACATTCGAAACGAATAACAATACGGAGTACTCCGTACCTGGCAGACGATTTCAAGCGCCTTCAGGAGTACTATGTTATGGGGAAAGGAAAGGAGGTTTTTCTCCTGGAATTCAGATTGGATTGACATAAGCGAACCAGGGCATATCTATAAACCCACGAACCAACATATGCTCTCTCTAGACAATGAATATAGATAGACCCCACCTCACTCAGTGTGTGACATTTCTGTTCTTTAACCTGGCAGCCCAAGCCACCAGACATCACAAATACTGCTTGCCACATGTACTGCGGTGGAAACGCCAAAGCCAGCCGCTCCGCATCACAGCCATACAGTCAAGCAAGACGCCCAGCCCCATAATTAAACTCGATATCGAGGAGACTACTCGGCGCAACGAAGCTAAATCCACCAAACGGATCGTCCTGAAAGCCGGCATCCATTTCCATCGGCCTTGGACGAGTCGGGCTACAGGCACCAAAACCCTCCTCGCCTTTGTTCATTCTATCGCGGAAACTTCCTTTGCTTGTCACAACTGGGCTAAGAGGCAGGGTCGTGAAATCAGCAGAGAAATTCTCCGCAAGAGCTGGGTCCGTCACGACAGGCTTGATAGGTGGATCAAGTTCACGCCTTTCCAGAGCTTTCCAATCAATTTTGCGGAAGAAACGGTGTCCTTTAATTGTCCTAATGTCTTTTGGCATATTATATCCCAGGCGCTTGTGCGGCTCCTTCCGAAGGAGACGAGTAAGCAAGTCCTTTGCATCTGGGCCGAGAAAGTAGGGAAGAACAAGTTTCTGTTTGATGATCTTTTCTGAGATCTTTGCATTATTGTTCCCCTTGAAAGGAGGAGAACCGGTTAACAAGTCAAATCCTAATGCGCCAAGGGACCACCAATCACACGCTTTACCATACGGCTTACCCTGGATAACTTCGGGCGCCATATACTCGATAGTGCCTAGAGACGAATTGCAGCGGTCCTCACCGTTCACAGACACCTTGCTAAGCCCAAAATCCGTCAAGAGCAGGTGGCCTTCAGTGTCTAACAGGCAATTTTCCGGCTTAAGGTCGCGGTAAATAACACCAATATTGTGATGGAGATGCTCGAGAGCAAGCACCAACTCTGCCATATAGAAGGCCGCAACGTCCTCGGTAAACATGCGCTCCATTGCCAGGTGAGTAAATAACTCACCACCTTGTGCATACTCCAGGATGAGGTAGAGCTTCTCATGATCCTGAAAAGCATAATACAAGTTAACAATGAAAGGATAGCGATTGACACTTTCCAGAATGGCCCGTTCGGTCTTGGTCTGCTCGACCAGCTTCTTATGCACAGTAAGAGACGCCTTGCGGAATTGCTTCTGGGCATACAGGGCACCAGTTATTTTATGGCGAACTAGGAGGACGGTCCCATAGGTACCCTTCCCAAGGCAGGTCAGGGGTTCAAAATCCTCAGCAGACATCTTCCGGTAGAGTATGTTTCGTTTTTGTTCCTTAGACAAGCCGTCAGAAGCCCCTTTTTCTCCATCGTTAGCCTCAGAGCTAACGAAATCGTGTTCCAGATGAACTTCGTAGGTCTCGGTCTGATCACTGTCGGACACTACACTTGCGCAGCTGGTTCCAGCTTCGGAACCCATCACACTCGCATTGCTTGATGGTGCCTCACTTGGAGTTAAGTTGAGCGCATCCAGCTGCATTTTTAGGGCACTGATTCCATTTGGGGTCGCTGGTCGAAATGCAGGGCTCTTCTCAGCGCCTCTAAGTGGCTGAAGGAGTGGTGACGGTGCTTTGGGTGTACCACTCCGGCTAGTGCTCGCCCGATTATTACCGTATTCTGGAGGAAACAACTCTGGGAAGGCGGCCGGATTCTGGCGACGTTTATTTCTCCGCTTCTTCTTGGAGCTTGTTGCCCCAGTGGGCTGGTTGGAATTTCCATCATCACGTCCTAGGGCTGAACCTGTCCAACAGCCTCGAGTCGGACTGACCTCCGCGGTCATTCGGAACCCAGTGCTTGAGCTTCCACTGTCGCGAGGAGAAGGCCCCTCTCCTGCTCCATGTGGGAGGCATGGATCCGTTTGTTCCACATTTTCGACTGTTTGAAGAGCAAAGACATCCGATACAGAGAGTTCTTCCAGTGTCCACGCTCCCGAAGCCATAACGGTACTAGTTGCGTTGGGTAAGAGCAGAGTTTTCGCGCTCTGGCTGGCTCAGGGCGGTCGAAACTTGCACGGTCACAGCAACTGCACCGGGTCGAACGGGAGGATCAATTTGGGTACGGCTTTCACATGGAACAACGGGACCCGGGCGAGCTGGCCGCACTTGCGGACTGGTTCAGAGGAACCGCAGCAAATATCTGTTGAAAGCAGAGAGGTGAGCCTGAGATATAGACGGCAGGAGAGATACAAGACGGGTTTCCTAAGAAAGATACCTCGATAAAAAAAAAAAAAAAAAAATCTCTGACAGGCGCCGTGCCTTCAGACGGCCCTGGGTTAGATTACCGTCCGCCCTGTTCAGGACGGACTTTGCACCGGTACCCACACTACGTCGTCAGCCGGTGATCCTGGCACACCGTCTCCAAGATACACGATTGGATATGCTGAAATCTCCTGGGTTGAAGCTGGGTTAATGAGTGAAACGGGGAAAAGGCGCCCTGGAAGCACGTTGATCTGAGACGGGTACGAATTCGGTGCGCGTAAGCCCATAGATAATGTCCACACGATATATATTTCCTGGATGGTTGGAGTAAAAATACTGCCGGATCTGACGCTCCTTACACTGAACGAAAAGATATGTCCTTTCGACGTCAAAATGATGAAACAGAGACTGCGCTGCCCAAAAGAAGTTGACGACGTGCAAAAAGTTGCCAAAAACAATCGAAACTTGACCTCAAACTGCCCAATTAGCGACCGACACCCACCATTGGTCACCCGCGGCAACTAGGCTATATCTGGACTAGCGCACACTCCGGCGGCTATTGCAGGGTGTTTCCGGTGCGTGAAACGGTCTTTTGGAGATCAGATCAACCGCCAGAAAGTGACAAGCAAAGAATTAATTTCAAGTGAGCTTTCCCAAGTCCACTGCAGTGTCTCATAGAATTGCCCTCTTACATTGGTATAGGGGCATATGTGGCTCTTTCTATGTGAAAATATCTTAATTCAGAATAGCAAAGCAGCACGGAGTGGACGGCTGGTTCACATTTTCATGTTGAGAGTCTTTCTACAAAGCCAGCGTCATGCCCAGTTTTACATTTCCCTTACAAATTTCCTGCACCGACACCCAATTTGCGGAGGGCCAGCCCCAGTACGCGCATGGATACCCCGACAGGGTTCCGGAGAGTATATGTAGGTAGTGCTGCCGGCCGGTTCTCTGAACCTACAGACTAGTCAATCGGGGCAACAGCGAATCAAGTGGGGGCGCATTCCCGGGGACCATGGCTGTCTCCGTGGTCAATCTTCACAAATGTCACCAGCTGTAACAAGCATGGAGCATGGAGGTTGGGCCCCAACATACGTCGCTGCTGCCCGGGCTCTGGGCGCCCAGTGGGAGGGAGGGAGGAGGGGGGGGGGGGGGGGGGTTGGCCAGGGAATATTCTCTTATTGTTTTTCTGAGCCCCATACAGACAGCATCGTCATCAAGAGGGAAAAGTGCGGTATTGGAGAGGAGCTGCCCGTCCCTAACCCCATTCGTAGTCATTCATTCATTCCCCAAAGAAACTGGCTGTCCTCGTCATCTCCACGCCAGAGTGTTCCACGAAAGCCAATGCGCTCGGCTTATCTACTTTCACAGTCACCTCGCCCCAGCCAAAGTCAATGATAACTAATCTAGCCACCTCAGTTGCAAGCGCCTCAACAGTTTCGAAGGACGACGAATCGACGAACTAGCCGATTAGAAGCATGGGAAGTTAGTCCATCAGGTTCACCGGCGGGCTTTAAATCAACGTAACTAGCGGGCGTACCTCAGCGGCTTTCTTCGTTATTTGCGGATACGTCTGGGCAAAGGCAGCAGTCCTAACCGTGTCTGACGCCACACACTTGAATATCAGTGCAACGTCGACAGCTTGTTTCTCAAGTCTCTCATGCTCATTCACGCCGATGATGCAATAGCACCGTATGTCCTCAATCCGAAATTCCCTCTCACTCTCGCCGGACACGTTGGTTCGCGTTAGGCATCTCAACCCTCCAGCAGCCCGTAACACAGCCTTTGGAAGGTGAAGAATCATCTCGGCTGTCATAAATGGCCCCAACGCCATGCCAGATGAACTCAGCTGGTCATATCGCTCAGTGTCCACACTACTTTCAATCAAGTCTGCCAGTCCCGCCAGACCCAAGCCTTTTGGCGCGCCGCTTTGCGGGTCTACAGCTCTTGCGATAGCTCCCCTTATGTTTCCTTCTAAGGTCTTGTATAAAGCGCTGTAGTTGAGTGTAGTTCTAACGTGGTCATTCCGTGCGGCTTCGTTTATCAGGGATCTCGGGAAAGCAACACGGAGGGAGAGTATCGCGGGCTGAGGCTTGTTCGGTCGACCCCAAGCATCAGGATCAACGATGAGGGGAAACGGGAAGCGGATATTTCGCAGGTTGATATAATCAACCGGTTGGGCGGCCATTGTTGCTTGTGCTTGCTGGAAAGGGAATCGAAAATGTTGGGAAAACGGTTTCCTTGGAATTGCAGGAAATTTTAACCTGGCGGAGGGAATGACAGCGGGGAAAATAGCTCGCCTCAGCAGGTAATCTCGGACGCGGCCCACCGATCACGTCTCGCAAACATCATGAATTTTTAACTTCGCGGGGTCTTGCCAGAGTCGGTGCACCAGGCCTAACAGCGACTTGAGAGCGCCAACAAACTCAGTCTTCCGGATCTTTCTCCAGGCTAGCTTCAACTACAATTCCCAATTCAAGCTATATAGCTGGACACAGCATATGCAGACACGTAACTGTTATTTATAAGGGGGATATTATGCTTTCTGTTTTTTAATTCCCGCTAGCTAGTACATAAAGCATAACAGCAACAATTTCCTCCAAATTCATTACTCAAAGAACAAACCATCAAAAGAGAGACAGAAAAGACAGAGCATAAATCAGTCATAAAACACGCAACAGAAAGGTATTGTATGCGTCAAACAGCAAAAGGAAGAAAGTTACATACGTATTTGCACCAGATAGATCGCTTTCTTCGGACTTCACAAAAGAGCACTTTCGTTGTATGGCGTCGATCCAGGGTGTATGTTCAAGAAACAATCATAAAGCGAACATGCATGGATATGTCGTAAATAATAGGATCTGAATCTAACACAGCCTTCACTGCTGGGAATCTGGGGGTTCTTCAGCCTGTAAAAGGCAAGGAGAGGCAGTGACGGCTGGAAACGTGTTCGTTCTAATGTAATAGATATCAGGGCCCGGACGCGGGAATTCTATCGGATGCAAAACTGCCAGGAGAAAGCAGGGATGACAGGTAGGGCTTTATTTTTGGAGCAATGGGTAGAAGAGGGATATCTACCAGTAACCGCGACGATCATAGCCTCCATAGTCCCCTCTAGGTGGAGGACTCAAAGGTCGCCGTCCATATCTGCCTTGCATGTATGGGTCATCATAATGACGTGGTGGAGGGGGGCGGAAGTCATAAGGGTCATCATATGGCCGGCGAGGGGGCGGATAATCATCCATACGAGAACGTGGTGGCGGCGTGCGGCGACCATACCCGTCGCGATCATAGTAATCGCGACGCATAGGTGGAGGAGATCGCTCGCGATAGTGCCCACGAGGACTGTAGCCACGTGGGGGACGCCTGTCGTAATCATCCATGGGAGGATAGCCACCACGACGCACGGGGGAGCGAGAACGATAAGGATCACGAACTGGGCGGTCATCGGGAGCTTGGATCTAGAAAAAGATGAGACCAGTAATCCGGGGTACGGAGCCAGGGAATCCCTACGTCCTGGGTGCAAGTCACACGGGAGCCTTTGAATTCACGTCCGTCCAGTTTCTCGATAGCAGTCTTGAGGTCGGCTCCAGTCTCAAATTCGACAAACCTTTCGTGGTGGTCAGTTTGATGCTTCCTTAGGTTGCCAAACAAGTCACCTTACCCTCGTCCTTCATGGTCACGGAGTGTTTCCGAGTAGACAACGTCAAGGCCAGACTGTCTGGCGAAATCTTTAAGATCCTAATAAACCAATTCATGTGAGTCCAGTTCCAATGGAAATAAGTCCTCCGGATGGCCACAGATTCGTAAGGTTGGTGAAGAACAATCCCAAGATATCTGTGTCCAGAAACGAATGCTTCTCCAGTTGCGAAGGAGCAGAGATTCCGCTCTGAATGGTGGTGGATTGAGGAGATCCAAGGCAAGAGCAATAGAGCCAAATGTAGACGGTGAAGAGCGCATGAAGAGAGCCATGGTGGTGTCGGCCAGCTTCACACGCAGCACACAGAGAAAAGACCAAAAGAGTGGACAAGTCTCTGGTGATGAACCGTCGAGAGGAAGGGGGTAGTGCGGAGATTATCAAGATAAAAGCAAGACGAAAGAGTGCCCAATGGGTCCGAAATGGAAACAGAACTGTCTAACCTGCCAACTCGTCTCTGGAAGTCCAGAAATCTGCATACGGTAAGGTGTACGGCGTGGACGTGGAGCATTGGAGCGATCAGAAGGTCCCGAGAATGTTTCTTTGTGCCGTGGGCCACGTGCAAACTGGACCGTGAGTCTTGAGCCCTTGAAGTCCGTTCCATCTGCAAAGCATGAGAGGTTAAAAAACGGTGAACCCTCCAGGCACAAGGGAAGTTGTTTTTTTATGAAATCACATACGGTAAGCTGTAGAGCAAACCCGAAAGTCTCAGTCAGTAAAATTGGAATCCATGATTTGCGAGCCTCGGGCGTGAAGGAGGAGACCAGTGATGGAAAGTAGAACGGAGTCCTCACCAGGAACGACATCCCGTGCGTCCAAAGCATCCTCGTATTCAATGAAACCAAAACCACTCATAAGCTTGATATCCGTGATTTTTCCGGATCCGTGCTGGTTGAAGTGTTCTTCGACGTCCTGTTTGGTGACTGGAAACAACAGAGTCCAGGCAAAAAAGCCATGCCCATTTTGCGTCAGCCTCTCGCGGCCAAACGAAAATCCAAGATGGTCAAGCCAGGTCCATGAGAATTTGTCTGGAAATGAATTAAAAGAGATCTGAACAGGCCGCTTATTTGCAATTTCGCATTCCAATTTCCTATGCCTCTGTCCCTTCCATCCCGCTTCCCCGGGAAAGGAAGTAGATCCAGATATCCGGTACATGAGAGAGGAAGAGTGTGTATGTGTGTTGTGTGTTATGTGTGGGGTAACAAGGACCATATCATCTGTACCAGAGAGGGCGAGAAGAAGTAAGATGTAGAACCAGCATACCATTTCGGGGCAGATTGCCGAGATAGAGGCGCGTTGACGAGACCTCACTCATTGTGGGCGATATTTATTAATCCTGATTAAGGACGTTTGGTTTTTGGACGGACAAAGGATATGATGGAGGCCTCTTCCAAATATTCGAGTCCAACTCGAATACGGAGGATTCTTCTCGACTTTTTAAGAGACTGCTCCTCCTGGGATGGAATGTAGAGTCGGTGTGGTCCTGGACGGCTCGCGAGTAATCCAGTTGTGGTGGAAATCGAATTGTTGGAGGTCGGAGGGATGTGATTGTTGTGAATTCACCCAGAAGCGCTGAAATCCTCAGCCTCACTTTGAGTGCCATCCACGTGCCTCCACTAAACCGCTTCAAGCCTCGCAACCCTCCACTCCGCTTTCTTTCTCGCCATCCAACGAGCTGGATACGACTGATGGGTGTGGTCTGGCACATTACAGGGTTCTTCGGGTTTATCCTCGCAAGATCTGCTTCATCCACTTTTTTTTTTTTTTTTTTGGTCTCTCGAGGATTGTTACGTACAAGGCACAACTACTCCGTACGGGCACCGCAGCGGTGTATTTTAAGGCCGCCAATGGCCGAGCAACAATGACATGTTCTATCCACAGGGCTTTTTACGAAAAATGCTTGAAAAGAATATGTGGAGTGCGAGCGGTGGACCAATTTTATATACAAAAGTGCGAACAAGGGGTATGTATACTTTTTACTGCACGTGTCAAACTGCATGTCTCCTAAGTCATGAAATACTTCGGGCCTTCACCACCCTGGGGCGTCTGCCAGTTGATATCCTGGGTCGGAACTTTGATGTCGCACGTCTTGCAATGGATGCAGCTGTGGGGAAAAAATAAGTTAGAAGGGAGAAGAAAGCGCTTTGAGGGGAGAAGACGGCGCAGAACGAAAGGAGGACAGCAGAAAACTTACTTTTGTGAGTTGATCTGGAATCGCACCCCGTGGGGTTTGGACGGATCTTCAATGTATTCGTATACACCCGCAGGGCAGAATCTGTTCTCGACGCCCTGATATTTGGGCCACGCTGCATCTGTGTGTTTGTCCCAATCTTTCACTTGCAGATGAACCGGCTGGTCTTCCTCATGATTGGTTCCCGTGCGGCTAACGCTGGTCAGGATGTCGAAACTGATCACACCATCAGGCTTGGGATATTCAATCTTGGTGCACTCGGAAGCCGGTTTTGTGGCTGCAGAGTCCGTGGAGTGATGCTTGAAAGTCCATGGCGTCCTTCCCTTGAACAGATACGTCTCCAACCCGGAGTACAGAATGCCGCCAAGCAGACCGAACGGACCGAACGAAGGACGTATGTTTCGCACCTCGTTAAGTTCCTTCCAGATTGAAGATTGCCTCAATGCGTCTTCATACTCGTATAAAAACACGCTTCCTACATCCTCTGTTCCTGACAGAGCGGAAAACGCTGCTTTTGCGGCCAGTATACCGGAGAGCATGGATGTATGTGTGCCCTTGACTTTTGGAACGTTCATGAAGCCGGCACTGTCCCCGATCAGCGCGCCACCAGGGAAAGCGCATTTCGGTATTGACTGCAATCCACCTTCGACCAGAGCACGCCCCCCGTAAGAGATACATTTGCCCCCTTCCAAAACAGATTTAAACAAAGGATGGTGTTTTAGTTTCTGGAACTCGCCGTAGGGAGATAACCACGGGTTAGGGTAGTCGAGGCCGACAACCAACCCCACAGCCACCATATTATCACCAAAATGGTACATAAATGATCCGCCGTATGTGTCCGATGGTAAAGGATACCCCAAGGTGTGAGTAATTTCTCCTTTGCGGAAATTCTCAGGCTTCACTTCCCAGACTTCCTTGATGCCGAGGCCGTATGTTTGTGGTTGGCTGTCCCGGCGTAGGTCAAATTTCTTAATAACTTGCTTGGTCAAGCTTCCGTGGCATCCTTCAGCAAGAAGAGTAACACGGGCGTGGAACTCCATGCCCCTCTCGAAAGAATCCTTGGGCTTCCCATCTCGTCCGATGCCCAAATCGTTTGTAGCTACGCCCTTCACAGATCCATCTGGCTTATAAAGCACCTCGCTCGCAGCGAAACCCGGGTAGATCTCAACACCCAACTCCTCGGCTCGCTCTCCAAGCCATCGACATAGCTGGCTCAGACTGAGAATGTAGTTGCCATGATTTTTCATCTGCGGCGGCTCTGGCAACCAGATCGCAGAGTTTTCAGTAAGGAAACGCATCCTGTCCACCTTTGCAGGTGTAGCGTGCTCGAATCGCGATGGGTTGTCTTCGGACAGCCAGTCCGGGAACAGCTCTTGGATCGCCGTCGGCTGAAGGACATTGCCGGACACGATGTGATCTCCGATTTCACCAGCTTTTTCCAACACCAGAACGCGGAAGTCTTCGTTACCCGCTTCGTTCGCGAGCTGTTTCAATTTTATCGCAGCCGCGAGACCGGCAGGACCTAAAGAGGTGTGTATTAGCACAATGATAGATAGTACTAGTATTCTTCTATAAAAACAAGGGAAACCTAACCTCCTCCAACGATGCATACATCGACACTGTCCGATTCTCTCTCGACCTGCGCCGGATCAAACTTTTCCTCGCCGTCCTCCGCATTCCGTCGGGCCGGCGTCCCTGACAGGGTCCTCTTCTGGTTTACAATCGCGGGCCGAGCCCAATATTCCCTTCGTCGAATCCCCCTTGCCGGCTGCTGCTGGATGGCCTCCGCAGCCCGTGTAGAGTAGCGAGAGCAGCAATTGGTCGATACGGCTTTCGTCCACGACCGGCCGGACGCAGGGAGGACCTCTCGCCTCAAAAGCGGCAGAATGGCGGCTTTCGACGCCATTTGTGCGACTCCCGGTTGACACACGAGCAACCTCTTTTTGGTTTTCTTTTCCTTTCAAATGCTCATACCCTCACCCAAAAGGAAAGTAAGTAAGAAGAGTAGAGAGAGATAGATGGGAAGGGGAGGAGTTTCTATCCCTGAGCGGTGCGGATGTCCGAAAATCTTCTGGAGGAGTTAACTAGCGCACCTTTGCTCCGTCATAAGTTAGCCAAGGTAGACCGGAGGACGGAACCCGAGGCCAGCCGACGGGCAGCTCCCGGCCAATGGGAGCGCAGCTGATGTCAATCAGTCGGTCATGTGATGCCGCCTGTCCTGATTTGACGCTTTTCAGCCGCTCGAGGAATTTTCGCAGAGAAAAACGGTGACTCGAGGAATTATAGGAGCTGTGTATCTACGGAGTGCGCAGGGAATGGCTGAATTTGGTATTAAGAGGGACATATCTGTGGTTGAACAGGATGGCTACAGCACTGTAGGCTGCAAGTATACGGAGTACTCTTGTGTGCTTCGGGAAGGATGATGATCATGTAGCGCATGCATTCCTGTGTTACCTTCAGCTCTTGTCAAACAACAAAAAAGAAGAAAAAGCAAAAAAGAAAAGTAAGAACCAAAGCACATGTAGCTAGGAGGGGGAAAAAAAAAAGGAAAAGAAGAATTATTGATGCAGGAGTAACGAATGATTCTCAAAGCGGAAATAATGCACGCATCCCAAAGAACACTCGGAGTACAGAGGACTCCGCGTGTTCTGTAAAGGATACCTAAAACTTCCTTAAGGTCTCGTGCGATGATCTTCTCCCTGTGCGTGGTCAACATTCAAATGCTCGAGGGCCCCCAAAAGTCGTGATTTCTTTCGTCCCCCAGTCAACTACGCATCATGTCATTTTTCGATCAATCATAAAATAATCGCGACCATAACCCCGGGAGGGGCAAGCAGTGGCTTTTCTTCTTTTTTTTTTTTTTTTTTTTTTTTTTTTTTTTTTTTGGCCCCAGCCAGCTTTGGTTTGCGAAAGAAGGCCCTTGTCCCGGCGTCCCGTTCATCGTAAATTAGGCTGCATATTTATATATCAAATGCGCCCAGACCAGTCCTTGAGGGGAGGAGTCGCGTTAGGACAGCCCAACCCCTCCGATTTTAATTGGGCTCGTTGGCTAACCCCGGGCGACCGGCGACGTTGTTGAGAGAGAGAACTCCGCACCAGCATCAAAGCTGTCGGTATTACGCTGCAAATTCCGAAGCTCAGGCGCGCACGGAGTACTCCGTACAGAGCGCATGCATACCTGGACTTTGGCGACAGCGCTCATTAAAACTTTAGCAAAGTGACTCTCCACATACTCTGCACAGTCTGTACCAGGTCAATATTTCCTTTTTATTTTTATTTTTATTTTTTCTTTGTTCTACGTAGATTATTTTTGATTTTCACTTTCTTGCGGCGGTGAGAAACGCGCAAAGATTGGCGTTCCCCATCGAGGTTCCAGCGTTTGGGAGATGCAGGACGGACATGGCCGATTCCTTGAACCTACAAAGGGAAAATCGAGACGTGTCTCTTTCCCAAGTTGATCTTGAATTAAAAAAAAAAAAAAAGAAAAGAAAACGCGCAAAAAAAGGTTCTGCGCTGGGACGCGATAACGGGCCAAAGCAAGGTGTGGCCCGGCGGGACGCGAAAGAGCCTCCTGGCGCGAAGGGTGGATGAGGGGGAAAAAAAAAATTGGAAACGCGTTAAAAAAAAAAAAAAATTCCATGTGAAAAGGGGGAAAAAGTGTATCGCGCAATCTGTCGAATTCTGCGCTCCAAGGGAGAGGGCGACGAAGTGTCAAGGGCGGTGGGTTATTGGCACGCACCGAGAGCGGGCTTTTGACTCAAGCCAGCCCTTCCAACTCGCAGCCAGGGGTGGCGAGGCAGAGGGCCAAGGAGGCTTCGGCAGCAGTGATTGGCCGGGGTGGCGCTTGGTGATGCAGCGCAACCACGAGCCAGGGAAAGATAGAGCTTTGGTGGAGCAGCTCCGGTTCCAGGATGACGCTGCAGGCAAGCTCCGGTAGGGCCAATCACAGCCAAGCACGGGAGATTTTCCACCACAATCTGGACAGAAAGCCAAAGCAACGGCCGTGTCGATAGTGGGCATAAGGCTTGGCTGTGGCCACATCAGCCGGGATGAGTCACAGATATATAAACAGGCCCTCTCCCACCTCAGATTCTGGCCTGCTGTTCACATTTGGGATTCCCTCCTGGTCTTGGCACCGTCTGGAACGTCATCCGGTTCTCCTTCCGCCGCGTTCTTCTTCCGTCACCACCACCACCACCACCACCATCACCACCGAGCACATCCCACCCATACGGTGTACTGCTGAAGGAGAAAAATAAAAAAATAAAAAAATAAAAAAATTCATTTAAAAAAAAAGGGGGGAAGAAAAAAAATAAAAATAGGAGGGATCAAGCGCTAGGAGATAGTTACCCCGATTCCAGACTCACGGTACTTAAGTGTTGCCTGTTAGTCATAATTCTTTCCTCCTCGATGCTCTCTTAGGCACACAATGTTTTAATGTCGCATCACAAGAAATTATATCAATTCACAAAGACCCATACTTATTTGCTGTCGCAGAGCCCCATTCCAGTACACAGGTGCTCTGCTTGATCTCGCTTCTTCTTTTCCCTTCCGTTCCTTTTCTTTCCATCCAACGGTAGAATATCCCAAGGGACACCGCCGGCCACCCTCGACCGTCGTGTTCCCGCGTCTCTCTTTTCTGATCCAGGTTTGCGCTTGCTGCTGCTGCTGCTCTCGACGTTGTCGCGTTGTCTTTCCCTTTTCGGAACCGTGACCGTCGTCCTGTCCCATCTCGCTTCGGTCTCGTCTGCAATCGCAATACTTGACTGGCAAAGAACAACAGAAACCTCGGCTCGTTGACCCGGAGGCTTACTGGCGGAGTCTCTTCAACGTCCAGTGCATCGCAAAAGAAATACCAAGGATATTACTGACATCGAGCTATTGTTGTTGCTATTGGTTACCAAGGTGGAACTAAAGACCAAGCTTTTGTGGTGAACACTCCCCCCTGCCTTAGCTCGCAGTCAGTTCTTGGAGGAGACATTCAGTTGTTCATCTTCCGCAGAGTGGTAAGTGAAGCCGGTGGTGAAGTGCTCCTCGTCATGTTTGTGTTCCTTGGCGCTGCTCCCTGGCGCATATCACTGTGGATGGCAACCTCCGTCGCTTTGCGTTGAGCCCACAACTATAAATTTACCCCAGCTTTTCGTTGTTGCTGGAACAACATTGCTAACATCATTTGTTTTACAGATTGCTTTGATCTGAGATTTGTTGCAAACATCCCTCAGGTCATTGAGAATCCTGCATTCTGCAACACAAAGCAGTTGACTATGGAGTCCCTTACGACCCATCCTTCTACCGCGCAACAGGCAAAGGCATTCACGTCCCCCGCATCCTTGTCGTTCCCAGGAGGCGCCGGCGATCTCACCCCGCCTTCCGAAAAAGACCAAAATGGGATGAACAGCGGCCAGGCAAACAGCCAGCAGGGCGCAAACGGTGCCGCTCCTGCGACTCCGGTTGCTACCCCTGGAGCTGGGCCCGGCGTGAGCGGCATTGTGCCAACGTTGCAGTGAGTATTGAACCACTGTCCTTTCTGGATCACCAGAATGCTGAACACAATGTGTCATTTTTTTTCCTTAAAGAAACATTGTCGCAACGGTCAATTTGGACTGTCGCTTGGACTTGAAAACCATCGCACTGCATGCGCGAAACGCAGAGTACAATCCAAAGGTACTGACATGCGCCTTTCTTTTTTCCTCTTGGCTCTTGCTTCAAGTATCTGGCCATTTGTGCTAAACAGAACTTGCCTTTTTTTTTTAAATAGCGTTTCGCTGCCGTCATCATGCGTATTCGCGAGCCCAAGACCACGGCCCTGATCTTCGCCTCTGGCAAGATGGTTGTTACCGGAGCTAAGTCCGAAGATGACTCAAAACTGGCGTCGAGAAAATACGCTCGCATTATCCAAAAACTCGGCTTCAATGCCAAATTCACTGATTTTAAGATCCAAAACATTGTCGGGTCGTGTGACATCAAGTTCCCTATCCGTTTGGAAGGTCTTGCAAGTCGTCATCACAACTTCAGCTCTTACGAGCCAGAACTGTTCCCTGGTCTTATCTACCGTATGATGAAGCCAAAGATCGTGCTTCTCATCTTCGTTAGCGGGAAGATCGTATTGACTGGCGCAAAAGTTCGAGAAGAAATCTACCAAGCCTTTGAAATGATCTACCCTGTGCTAACTGGTAACGTCTCCCCTTCCAGGAAAGAAGTTTATCTGAATTGCCTCAGCTAACCCCGGACTCTAGACTTCCGTAAGGTTTAATGCTTCCTTTGAGCATGAAGTGCCCATACTGTGCTTCTGTCTCAGTGTATTAACATATTTTCTCCTGACATTGCGATTGCTTTCCGCGCTATTCGTTGTCACCCAAGTGATCCTTGACGGGTGGAGTTATTCTTTTAATCCCCCATCAATCTTTTCCCTTTTTTAGCTGTCTTACCTGCATTTCATGGCGTTTTAGCGATTTTTTTTCTTTTTCCCGCTCCGTGTACTTGCTGGATTCGGATTTCCAAAAAAAGAGAAAAAGCGGCGTATCTCGTTTCCTTTTTGCCATCAGCTTGTTTAAATTAGACAAATCGCCGGGTCTTCCGCTGGTTTGGGATGGGTTTTCATCGGCGTATACGGGGGAATGGTGGTATTTTCTACGACCCTTTTTCTCTTATTTGCTGACGCAGGAGCTTGTTTGTCGGAAAGCTCTTAATTCTTATTTTCATGAGTTTGCATTGTGGAGTGGTTTGATCCCAGCTCTCACTTTGACTCAAGAGGCCTGGAGTGGACAGGAGTTGCATACACACACGAACTCGCAGATTACTTCACGTCGTGCAGTGGAAAGAATGTATCATACCTACTAGGTAGTAATAAAAATGAAAAATATCGAAGGGAGAAAAAAAAAAAAAAGGAAAAAAAAGAAGCAGGCTTTCTTTATGTCTTCACATGTATACGTATCCCTTAGTATAACGCTATTCGCTAGATCGGTAAAAGATGAACTTATATGACTTACGCTTGGGGAGGGCAATATTAAAGATGTATATATCTACGGAGTAAGTCGAAGGCCTTAAAGCTTGCTCCCCATCCTCTTGTTATTCTTCGCAAGCTCCTCTGCCAGTATCATTCCTTTCGGGCCAGATCGGCTTCCGTCCTCTGTCCAGACGATGGGGATCTCACCATTGGCGACGGCGAGCTGTTCCGGCCAGGACCAGAGCTGTTTTAGTTCGGGATCGAGTTTTCCTTCGAGGGCGTCGACGACTTTATCTCCGATCACAGGGAGGAATTTGAATCCATGTCCGCTTCCGCCGGTTGCGAGGAAGAGAGAGGTGTAGGTGGGGTGGTGAGTGATCAAGAAGTCACCTTTGGGACTGTTTGGGTATTGGGATGTGTTAGAAAATACCTTTTCTTCTTTTTCCTGAGTTGTCTTTCTTTCTTTCTTTCTTTCTTTCTTTTTTTTTTTTTCTCTCTCTTATGTGTGTGACATGATTCGATGTTAGCAAGGGTTATACGCACGTGTCTGAGTACCAACATATTCGTGTTTTGACAAACGGTCTGTCTGCGAACGCGGGAAGCATCTCCTGGAGAGCGGTTCTGCAGGCTTGTTCGCCTTCTGGGGGGATGGGAACACCGTTTTCAGGGAGACTGGGCTCGATGGTTCCGTTACCACCTGATGGGTCTGGGACGGATTTGGGGTTTCGGTAGCCATAGGCGTGCCGGGCGACCTTGAGAAGGTTGTTGCGTGGTGGGATGATGAACATTCCCGTCGAGAAATTGAGGATCGTGGGCATGTTCGCGAGCCGGGCTTGTTCTTCGTCGGTTATTTGGATGTAGGCGAGCACCTGGCCTGTGGCATCCGCTCGGCCGCGCAGGTCGACGAGTTGACCTGTCCATGCACCAGCAGCGAGGATGACGAGGTCTGCAGAGATCGTAGTGCAGTCCGAGAGTTCGACACCGGTGACTTTCCGATTGCCGCCTTGGTCGGGAATTGAGAGTAGACGTTTGACGTTTCCGGTCTTGAATTCGACCCTCCCTGTCTCGTCGAGAAGCTGCTTTGCGAATCGCACCGATGCTTCTGCGTCACCCCAGCCGGAACCCCAGTTCACGTATCCACCGGCAACGTTGTTGCCCGTGCCATAGCCTGGAACCACACTCTCCACATCTTCCTTGGTCGGCAAGAGCTCAACTTCCTTTCCGCTCTTGTCTAGGGCCTTGACGTTCTCGTAACTGCTTCTCACGTACGCACCTGTCTCAGCACTGCCGGAGGAGACCAAAACCAGGCCATTGCGGTTATATCTCCCCTCGTGGCCCCATTCAGTGGTTCGCCATTGCTCAATTGCAGCCGTCGCGAGACGGGCGTAGGCATCATTGGCGTAGTCCGCGCGGATGATACGGGACGCATCGACGGAGGAGCCGTGAGGATTAGGAATTGTGGGAGACGATTCGACGAGGGTGATTTTGCCAGAGTGACGACGAGAAAGGGCGAGGGCGGTCGATACTAGCAATGAGCGGAGTTAGTTGTTAGCGCTTTTGAACTGTTGGTTGGAACTTTCTTCGGGTAAAATGACATACAGCCGAAGACGCCGCCGCCGACGATGAGAATAGATTCTGGTAGTGGTGTGGCTGCCATATCTTTTCGATATCAATGCCAATTTCTCGCAATCGGACTCCGGCTTGTGTGTGTCTGTCCGAAAGTGCGGTTATAAGCTCGTTTAAGCAAAGCGGTGGCATGCTTATCTCGGCTGCGCACCTTGCGCGATAACGAGGCCGCCGCCGCCGCCGCCGCCGCCGCCGCCAGCACCGAGAAAGTGGGGATGCTTCGGGCTGGTCGTTTGTCTGGCGCATAGTGCCGGGATCGCTGCTATGCTCGAAAGGCGCAGTGAGCTCGAATAGACTCAAGAGCAGGATTCACCGGATCAGTCAAATTCATCACAACGACAGATTCGCCCTCGAAAATCTCCCCGTGAGCTCGGTGGAGCTGCAGAGAGTTGCAACAAGGATCGAGCAAAGATGCAGGGTTCGCCCTTAGTTAGCTAGCTCCAAAAGGCCGGGATCTCCCCCCAAAAAGCGCGATGCACAACTTGAGAATTTGACCACACTCAGGCAGCGAGTTGACCAACTCTGCCAGAACAATCTCTGCTGCCACACACTCTGGTGTTTTCCAATCGCTTTTTCGCGGCTTCGAGCTTGTCACTCGCTTCGTGATTCTTTGATTCTCCGGCTCTCCACTCGACAACGACGACAAAAAGGAATATCGCCCGGTGAACGATCTTTAAACCCGTCCCTGTCTTTATTACTCCACCAAAGAGGCGCTCTTATCCGAACGGCTAATTCGTTGACCTGAGGTTTCTGCACGTGTCCAATAACACTAGTTTATAGAGACCATGCCACCAGCAGGCACAAAGCATTTATTGGGCAAGGCTAGTTCGAAACACATTGGCCATGCGATGGGACGCAAATCACTGTTTGACCCGCTCCATGCGGCATCACCACGGAGGTTAGTGTGAGAATGATGAAAGATTCTCAGTCCTTATTGTCCCCGAGCGTTGGAATTTGGCGCCGGTATGACCCGTCAGATATGATCTCCTTTTCATTTTTTTTACCCCTTGGTGAATTTATCGACAAAGGGCGACTACTCCAGTCACCTGCCTTCGAGAAAAATCCATTGGGATCCCCATCGGCCTAGTATCTGCTCTTCTCTCTTCTACGCGAGTTTCAACTACAGCTGACACAACTGGAAGCGCTAGAGCTGCGCAAAAGAAATCGCCTCTTCCGCCTCCGACGGCCGCGCAATCCTCGGAGCTGCCATCTGCGCGGTCCGTGCGCCCCAAAATGCTCACCCTGGCCGCTGTTGCGGTCTTCGCCTTTTCAACTTATGGCACCTACCTATTCGTGAGCTATAAAAAGGCTGTCGAGGCGGCGAAATCACTAGATGTTCCCCACGACCTCTCAGATCGTTACGATCAATCCGCGCGAACATATGATGCAGAAGTGGAGACGGCAGAGATGCTTATGCGACTGGGAAAACGGAGGAGAGAACTAATTCAAATGGCAAGAGGGAATGTGTTGGAAGTCAGTTGCGGGACAGGTCGGAATTTTGACTACTACACGCTGGGCGAGAAGAGAGCTGTGGATGAGCAAGGGAAGGCAGCGATTCGAGGTTGCAGATCGGTCACCTTTGTGGACCAGAGCGGTGAAATGGTTCAAGTTGCGCGGGAGAAGTTTGAGAAGAAGTACCCAGCGTTTAAGCAGGTTGCTTTCCGGGCGCAGGATGCGATGGAACCTATTTCTCCTCCTCCGGGAACGACAATAAAGATACCGGTTGGGATGAAGGAGCCAAAATTCGATACGGTCATCGAAACGATGGGGCTCTGTTCGACAGCCGACCCTGTGGCGTTTTTAAAGCATCTTGGGGAATTAACCGAGCCAGAAAAGGGGCAGATTCTTCTATTGGAACACGGTCGGTCATACTATGGTTGGTTGAATAAGTTACTCGATGATCTTGCTCCCGCACACGCAGATCAGCATGGATGCTGGTGGAATAGAGACATTGGGAGAATTGTTGAGCAGAGTGGACTTGAAGTCGTGGAGTCTAAGAGATGGCATCTAGGCACGACTTGGAAATACGTTTTGCGGCCGAAAAAGGAGACCGAGCGCGCGGATAAAGAAACAGATATACAAAACCAGGACTAAGGACAAAGCTGCAGCGAGCGGCATTTTGCTCTTTTGGCTTCAGAAGCAGTCATGATATTGCTGTGGATTGCAACTTGTACACTATAGAGATACATGTATGATTATGAGCGTAGACAAGCATATAGGCGTTGTGCATTTCTATACCCCTTTGATTCGAGAGACTTAGGTATGGCTACAATACTCTGTACCAGCATGTAGTTCCATCCATTTTATTTCAATCATGACAGAGAGCGAAGCTCTGGAGATGTTAATTGTAACCTTTCTGTAAGCTGTGGCATGGAATTGTTGGTATTTTGGGGGGTTCTTTCATAACAACAACCCTGCGGCATTAGTTTGGCTTGCATTGCATCCGTCGACCCCTGCATCTTATCTCCCTTGTCCCGCATTCTCCAGATCGAAGTAGATATGTACTCCGTATTTTGTTTTGATATATGCGCATAGTATCTCGTTTCTAGATGACATGACTTGTAATCAATATATTAACAGGTTCCTGCACACTGTCAACCCGATATCAGAAGCAGTTCACCACACAAGGTCGCAAGTACGGTATATATGACACCTCGGAAGGAATTTTGCCTTAATGGAGCCGTGAATTTCCGACAACAAGATATTTCCCGGTGATGGTATCAATGAAAGGGTTATAGTATCTCGTTTAGAGAAATCAATTTAGCATCGAATCCATGAAGTTCACCATCACTTGCAATACTGTATGCATTTAGCCATCATGAATGCTGGTCGCGTTCCCAGAAGGACTAGGTAGGAAGTTTGAAGAAACAAATCACGGTGCCATAGGACCTCCAGTTTGCTTGCAATTCTTACTTGCTAGGCCAAAAAAGAAAAAATGAATAAAATACGTATGAAATTGTTTTAAGAAAGCCAAACCGAGCCTGGCGTCTCTTATGGGATGATAGATCACCAAAAGTTTCTTGGCTGCGGCCTGGTGCTCATTTTATCGCAATCAAAGCGGGAAAGGAAACCTCCAGGGAACAAGACTATAAGTAACTCGCAAGGAGCTTGGGGGTGCAGCCTTGCCTTGCCTTGCCAATTCAACTATAAACTCCAGGTCACACCAGGAACGGTAATCTCGTTCGGCTGGCTTGGTAGGAGAACAGTCGTCATTATTTAGGAGATATACCTCCCATAGATCTTCTTAACATTTCATCGTAACCCGGCATCTCGTCGTGGGGGAATATGGGCTAAATTTCCAGGGAATCCGCCAAACAATACCGCACCCAGGTGGAGTGACCGCCGTCGATAAATCCACTTCGCTGAGGTTCACTTGAAACGAGATCGGATACGGACCCCAGAGATACCCGCCAGGCAGAGTTGCGGTTGCAACCCATTCTTTAATTGCCTAGCAAGTTCTGGGTACCCCGTATGGCAAGGAGTCTGGATGGTGGTTTGGACGACGAACTCGGTATCCCAACTACCATCCCGATTCGGTGCAAAAACGGTTGTCATATCTGACCTACACCGGACTCCGGTTCGACTATGGGTGGAAACCCCGGTCAATATCCGAACTCGAGCGCGAGGTCCAAGAGATGGAGGTTTGGAGGGATCACCAACGGTGCGCTGATATTGTCTCTGGAGAGAAACGGAAAGGATCATCTTTCTTTCATCTGCTCGTTACGCTGTTGCATTCTGAATGAGATGGAACGCAGAGAGATCGAAAGTGCTTACCAAGGAAGTCGACTCGGAATGTGCCCCGCATATTTTCCGCAATATAAGATAGGGCGGTGGTTCAAAAGCTTCCCTCACGCGGTTTGCTGATTTTCAGGTCCACCAGCCTTTTCTTGCAGTGATGGCTGGGCGATTTTTCCACAGGTCGCTGATGCACATTGCTGTGGAGGGGGAGACAACCTCTGATCGCTGAGGCATCAGGCGCATTATTAACCCGGCCAATGATGGCTGCAGGTCGGCTCTCAAAGAAAACGCACATCCTTGCATACAATGATGATTCATGATGTGCATGCATGGCGATGACAGGGTTGTACAGTACCTCGTTATACTCCGGGGATGGACAGCACGAGGAGGTACCGGTACTTCCAAGACGCGCGATTGATGGGGTGTGTTATCCTGATGGGGAAAAGTAATCATCTGCTCTTCGCTTCACCTCTCACGTCTGCCTCTCTCAGGCGGGCTGCTGCAGGCCACATCGCATGCGGGCTTTCGCCCTCGCTCGCCACGGCCGGCAAAGCCAGACCGCGGCGATCTCTCTGGTTGGTTCAGTGGCTCGGTGTCGTGTGGTCGAGGCCGAAGATCACCCGAGATCTCCATCACACTCCCATCATATCCTCCCGCCAATCCACCATCATGCCTGAGGACATCGAGACCGCATCTCAAGCGCAAGATCTCGAGAATACAGATTCTGCCGAGAGTCAGGCCGGGGGCGTTTGCCGGCAAGCCCGGTAACTAAGGAAAATAAAGAACTAGTACGTCTTGCTGCATCGTGTCTCCCTCATCAAACACGATACGGAGTATGCATACATCATGAAGGGGTGCTGACTGCCCAATGGTCGGTGATAGAACTAGTTAGCCTCTGTTTGCCTTGGTCCGGTCTGTTCAAGTCCGAGAGAATCCCAGTTGATATGTCATTTTACTCGTACGCTCGAATACGAAGCTTTGAGGATTTGAGGGCACTCCGCACAAAAGAAACAAGACGCCCATCAAGCCCCAGGTGGATAATATGAATGCATGGGTTATCCAAAGACGGTGCTTTTGTCCCGTAACAGGATGTTTCTCCGGATTACTAAAAAGCGGAAACCTGATTTGCCCCTCTACCAACAGCCTCGACCTTTTTAATCCCTTTTTTTTTTTTTTTTTTTTTGAATTTTCCTTTTTGTCGGGGAACTCTGCAGTCTCCCGGTGATATTGGTCGAACCTTCAAACTTTGCTCATGGATCCACACAAACCGGCTTGACACAGGAGCACCCCCAGCCAGAAACTCAGTATCCCGCAACTTGTCGTTATTGCACCTAGAAGAGCTGTTCTTGATACAGAGTACATGTATCTCTGGATGTCAGGATACACCGCATCGAGACTGCGGAGAAGAGACGGATCCTCTCTTGGTGGGGAAGTGCAAAGTTGACCACGAGCAGCGCTTTTGTGCGCTCTGGCGGAGTGTGCTGCGCAGGGCCTGGATGCCGTCTGAGTGGATAATCTGATCCGGTTGGCCACAGCTCGATTAATCCGCATGCACTAATGGCTGCCCTAGCAGGGATATGAGGGCCTTAATATGAAGCAGCTATGGGCGGTGAATGTAGCATTTCTGCCTTCCCTGCATCTCTTATGTACGAGGATGGGAATAATTTCTGAGCCTCCGTACTCCGTATGCACGGTCGAGAGTTCAACGTCCCCCACAGCGAAATGAATTGAACGAATCTGAAGAACGAGGATATGGTGCCTGCTTTCCACGCTGGTTGCTCCGTCAACCCGGACCCTCCGTCATCGATGCGTCTTTTGCCTTCGCGTTCTCCGAAAGGATTTGACATTTCAATGGTAAGTGGCAGGCTCAAGCTTTACCCAGCTGCCTGGTCGGAGAAGAACTTCCACACGGCCGTCGCCCACTGTTCCATGAGGTTTATCTCAAATAGCATTTCTTGTTTCTTTCGTGGGAGAATCTTATTTGATGAGCCCGAGGAATGAACGTGTTTGCCCGCGTTGGTTCAGCCAACCTTGCAGCTTGCCCTTGCTTTTCGCCGCACAAAACGGTGTGACACTTCCTACGCACGGCTCCCCAAAAAAAACCCTCAGCTGTTGCTCAGCTGGGTCATGTACCATGCGATGTGATTGGGACGGACAAGGTTCAAGCACCACCAAGCGCCACCACCACCCACGACCACTAAACTTGAAAATCCCCTGTTACGTTCGTCGTTTCTGCAAAGTGGAGAGCTGCTTTTTCTAGTGCGCTTCGACTTCTTCTCACGATGCACCCCGATCCACACTGCCCATAAAAATATCCAATCAGACCGACATGAAACGGCCCATAATCTCCTGAGTGAAACCTACAAGCAAGCCAAAGCACCGATCCTTCCCAGACAACTTTTTCTTTTTTTTCTTTTTTTTTTTTTTTTGCTGGATCGCATTCCTTTGTCCTTATTTTTTTTCATCTTTGGTTTATCCTCCCCCCCTTAAGTGCCCCAAACATCCCCTTTCAAACATAGCAAATACCCCTTCGCTCCCCTTTCTTTTCCATCTCCAACACCGGATTCATCGGCTCATAATCATCTCACCATGCCTTACAATACACGCCGAAAATCCCTCTCCTTACCCTCACTCGGCATCCACCTCCCTAACGCATCCCGTTCCAATCGATCCTCATCCGCGTCCAAAATTCCAGCCACCACCGAAAATCAACCACCTTCGAAAAAGGTCAAGAGATCACACGACTCCGAGTCGCAAAGCCCGTCGGGCACATCTTCGAATGGCCAAATATCGCTTGATGGGAGGAACGAAAGGCTGGCTGCTGCCTACGGCCACACGCCACCACCCTCTCCGGCTGATACCGGAATCGTGGCGAAGATCAATACTGAGGGAATAAACGATGACATTATTGTCGCTGTTATTGAGCAACTCGAGAAGACGGGAAACAGGCCTCATCTGATTAAAGAACTCGCGACAGTGCTGTCGTCCATTAACGACACTATTGCAAAGTGAGTTATCTTTCTGATCTTTGATTATGCGAATCTTGCTAACCCCTTGTAGCTCGGCAAATGCAGCAGCTTTGATCTCATCTCGGCTCAGTTTGTACCTAAAACGGCCCTGGACCGCGCTCGCTCCTTGCCCGATTGCCAAAGAGCAAATACCCGTTCACCCACGGAAGGTTTTCTTCTATCTGACGAACTCAACCCCTCAGCCTTTGCCAGAGGACTCGAGTGATATTATTTCGCCTCCCGCGGCCGCAAAACAAATCACACCAAGTTTGTCTAATGCAAGCATCGACCTTGACGATTCAGATGAGGCCTTGGAAAGAGCGCGTATGAGTCCAAGCCCTGAGGTTGATTTGTCAAGCCCCGCGTTCGAACATGAGGAGACTGGCTTGTCAGTCGAGCACTCTACCCCTGGAAGACCGCCAACCCCGACAGGTAGCTATTCAGTGCGCAGCAGGATGGCCCACAATTATCGCATTTCGCATAGTAGTCGTGCAGTTTCACCGCCTTTGGAGGGCGACGAGAAGGAGTTCACCTTGACTGCAAGTTCTGTTCGGGAGAGAACCTCGGCAGAAGACTCAGCGGCAAAACAAAAGGACAGTTCCGCTTCTGAAGGAGGCGCTGAAGGCGATGTGTCGCGGGACGAGGTGAACATGGATGATTGTTTCGTTTCCCACGGCTCCCACCCTCAAAACCACGAATATGGATACTTTCCCTCGCATCTCATCCGAAGCGAAGACCATGTTGATGCCGCAGATGCACAAGTTCTGGGCACATCACCTTCCCCATCTATATCGTCCGAACTATCTTCCTTGTCATCGGTTTCAAGCACGGCCTCAGAAGCTGCAGTCGATGACTGTGCTGCTATGAGTCCCGTTGTCTCTCTTGAGCCTATCTTATCTCCCGGCAAAACAAAGGGCGTCTCTGGCTGCAAGCGGTCGTTGGAGATGATCGATGCTGGGTTTGGCCTTCACATCGACGCGGCGCTAGATTCTTGGCTTGATCTCCAGAGTCCTGAAGCTGTGGAAATCCACGAGCTGGACGCCATTTTTGCAGACATCTAAGATAATGTCTTTCGATGTTCTCTGAAATGGGACTAATATTTTACGCATCTTCCATATTCGACGAATCTGTACGATCTTTAATTTTCGTTATTTTTTCACGATGTATTATTGATATGCTATTTCCTCAGCGTCCTTGTCCTTGGGTGGTATGTACCATGTATTATCATACAGCTTTCGCGGCGTTGGTGGTCGATGTTCTTTGCTTTGTTCTCCGGAATAGCGTGGCGCAATCACCAAACAAATGATATCACCGGAAGCATGTTCCCGTTTCTATTTTAATTCCCCTTTTGTTATTTCTCCCTTCTCTGTTTTTCTCCTCCCTTTACGGCAGAATTTTAATATTCCAGCGATTTTTTTTCAACTATCTCCTCTCTGTCTCATTTATGCGGTTTCTATGATATGGAGCATCTCGCTTTTTTACTATACTTTTGTATTTTTGGAGAACGGAGTCCTGTATAAATATTGCGCTGGCGTTGGAGCGGTGATTTGAAATCCCCACCATGCAACTTTTTATTTTTAGCAGGACGGGAAAAGAACAAAAAGCGATGCTTATGGCCAGATAAAACTGGCTTTTACCACGTGAGGAATGTGTCTTTTTGCGTTTGCATGCTATAGGGAATGATAACTCGCGTTGATTGCCTAAACCTGACAAGATACTTTTGGGATACTTTCCAGACCAAGGTCATTAAGGGTAATTCGAAAGATGGATTTTCTATTCCCATTTGGTTGATTTCTATTCGGACATCCCGAGGAGGAAGTTCGGGAGCCACCATGCACCAGCCTTGCGAACCACGGTGGCATATTTCAATACGTAGATTCACTGAAGGACATAAGAGTGTTCATTAGAATGAAGAGAGACAATAATTTCCCATCCCTAGATTATTCATATTTTCATCCAGTTCCATAGATATATGTTATAAAATCCCCCTTTAATATTCGTTCCTTTTTCTACTAGTCCAGTGGCGGTTTGGGAGGGATATTACCCGGTGGCCGAGGCGACGCTGCTTCCTTCTTACGCTGATAACTGGCCGGTATGCGTGACGATTGCGGTTTATCGTTCGGTGTGGTGGGAGCGGATAGGGAAGTCGGAGGAGGGGGTCTATGCTCTGGATTGGAAGTTCCATTTAAATTTGTGGTCTCAGGTTGAGGTGGATTTGTGGTAGATGTTGGTGTTGCCGTCTCAGGAGACGTAGAGTTGTTGTTTGAGGAGATGTGAAGGGTAGATGTCGCGTTAGTAAGGGACGGTTGGGAGGATTGGTTTGATTTAGGCTGTGAATCGAATCGCGGTTGTGTTTGAGAATGGGGGAGGGGGCTTCTAAAGTTCGGAGCTGTCGTTTGGTTATCATCAAGACGCTGGCGTTTTGGAGATGGTTGTTCTTGCTCTTGATTCAGTCTTCCATTAGTAGAGACGCTGTGCGTATGCTGGAGAGGATTTTGTTTTGGAGAGGGTAGATTGTCGGCCTCGCGGCTTCGCTTTCGTTCACTAATCTCCCCAGGGGATAGAGATCCGTTTCGTTCATCTGGGTAACCGTCTTCTGTGCCATTTTCATTCCCTCTAGAGATAACATGTCTCGTTTTGTCGGTTGAGTCCCCTTCATTCCCCGGGATAGAAGGATACTTTTGTCCAGGCTTGGGAAGCGGAGATCTTTCGTACAACTCTGCCATTCTGTTGCACGCTCGCTTCAAATCTCTTAGCTCAACATCCAATTGTTCCCACCAAGGACGGCCAAGAATATCGTCATCAAAGGAGACGTCGCAGTGTCTGGCCGCGGCATACAGTGCACTCGCCGCTATTGTCCGGGAGGTGAATTGCAAGCACAGGACCGTAAAAATGGAATCGTTGATAAATGCCCAGGCAGAATTTCGCAGTGGCTTGTTGTCCTGCTGGTGCAAATAGCACAGGAAGTCATAAAGAAGTCGGTACGGCTGCTCGAGCTGAAGATCAAAACATAAGGCTTCCAAGAGAAGGTCTTCGTTGTGCAGGATCGTGTCTCTCCATTTCCAGAATTCTTTTGACTGCTCGTCCACCACGACATTCGGCTGCTTCAGCGCCACCCGACAACAAGCAATTATCAATTCCCGCATCTTGCGGCAATTCTCCTCCACCTTTGTCGCCAGAAAAAGAGCTGTGGCGGCGATAGAGTAAGGGTGCATTCCTGGCCGTTGTGGCAGATCCACCATACTGTATCGCATGAAAAACCTATGAAGGTACACACTGGCCGTGCAGAGTGTGAGCTGCGGAAGCTTTAGTAGAATGCCGACTTGCATAATAAAGTTGACGCCCTTTCCCCGACTGGTATGCTCTGATTCGATCGGCATGCCGTCTAGAACTGACGGCGACCGGAGGAGTTCTGAATCTGTGAAGAGCCATTGAGACTGGGTAGCTAGGAGAACCGGATTCGAGGGCGAAGGGACCGGAGGAGTGGAAGATTTTTTATTTGATGAGATCGAAGGCATTTTTGTTTCTACCTCCGCTATTGAAGGAGGACAGACTCGCAATGCCAATATCTCCTCGGTTGACGCGTTTGCAAGGGTAGAAGCTTGCGGGCTTCGGGCTATCGGTGAGTTGTAGAGATGCAAAAAATAATGGTCTGCATGCGGCTCGGGCACAATCCACACAAACCCTTAATTATTTATATTCCTCCCCTCGCACACGGGTGCAACAAAGACATTCAGGAAATGTCTGATGTCATGGACACGAAACGGGGAGCGCATCCGCGCCTCAACACACCCGGACGATGGAAAATAAGGGGCACTCAGACGTAAAATACTGGTGGCAATAACGTATATAATGTGGGAGAGTGACCAAAGAGGCCTAAAACGATAGCCCAGGGAGCGTTATAAGCTTGAAGCCGGGCAGACGGAGTCATGCAGAGGGATGAGAAGTGAGGACGGCGCGCAGTGGCAGTTCGGAGCATAGATATTCCACCCCGATCAATGGCCGGTCCGACCTCGTGGGTAATTGACGCTGCGTGCTCTGTTATGGCCGTTGGTCTACGACTTAAAAAGCCATCTGCAGGGAATACCGGAGCTTTGAAGAGTCATATATTGTCGTTAATTGCCTAACGCTATCATACATACAAGATTTATTGAACCAACCAGGGTATTTGTCGCATAAAAGTCATCAACATATAATCCTTTGTAGAATTCCATCACACTCCAAGAAAACTGACCTGCTGCCGAGGAAGGGATCCCATACCCTCAGGTATGCTTACTCTTCTTCGCTAACTTCGCTCTCTTCGTCACTGACGATATGGCGCTGCTGCTGCTGTAATAGTAAGTTTCTGGCTCTCTCTTCTTCCTCTTGCTCCCGCACAAATGCCGCCTCCATTTCAGCTTCCAGGCCATCATCGTCAGGCTCATCATCGTTTGCTTCCTGTTCACTTTCATTATCATCCTCATCGCTCACTTCTTCTTCCTCCTCTTCCTCATCCTCTTCGTCCTGTTGTTGCGGAGGGCGCTTTTGCCATGCTCGGCTAACGGCGAGTCTCGGTGGGGATGGCGAACGAATATCTTCATCACCTTCATTGTTGCCACTGCCGTAACCTCCCTCATTGGCGGACGTATTGCCCGAAGCGAAATCGCGAGGATTCAGCTTGATCTTCGGTCGCTCGGGAGGAGGAGAACCCCAGTCAATTATCAGATCTCCATCAACTACTATATTGCTGTTAGGCGCTGTAGGTGCGGTGGGTGATGCTGATTTGGGTTCTTCTTCTGGCGGAGGCGATTCATTGACAAGATTGCCGGCATCAACGCGGGGGGTTGGTTTAGATTTAGCCTTGGCTGGGCTTCCAGCTTTGGCCATAGCTGATTTAGTGACTCGTTTTATCTGAGGTCGTAGTGGACTGATCTGCGGCTTGGTTTTCGGGAGAGGCCTCGGATTGGCCTTCACGGAAGACACAGATGATATTGCAGGGCATGTTGAATGCTTCTCGGAAACGGGATCAGGAGTGGTTTCAGACGAAGGCACTTCGGCCCTCCTTTCGCTCTTGGCCTCTTTCTTGGGAAGAAAATGTCTGTAGTCATAAGGATTGTCCTCATCGGCCACCTCCAGTGTATCGTCATCGTCCTTGTTCCCGTCTCCGTCATCTCCCGAAATCCCTTCATTCTTTGGTAAAACCTCAAGCTGGCCATATTGGTCCAAAACTTGTTTTTCTGTTTTCCCCGGTGCGGAGCGTAGGTTAAAATTCACCTTCGTCGAGACCGGCTCGAGAATAAATGCCTTCCGTTTCGGATCGAAAACCAGCACCAAATTGCTCGATTCCGACTCGGGCACCGAGGATATGGGATCAACACCGCCATGGTAAATGTACGTCAGATCTGACCGTTCTGCATTACCAGCTTTATCTTGTATAGTCAGCTTGTAAATATCTGGTGTATCGGTGGATGTGATCGTCGTCTTCTGCCGCGGTGTAGCGCCTTTAGGCTTGTAGTTGTAAGCTATATTGATGAATTGGGTATCCCTCGAAGACGGCTTTCCAGCCAGCTTATCTCCAAGGAGGATTGGGTATTCAGCTTGTTTTGTTGGGTCAATCAGCCCGCCGGCAAGATTGGGGGCTGTAGGGACAAATGGAGCGGCCATTAGGTGAGCTCAGGAAACTGTTACTGTTGATAATAGAACGAACTTAAGTGCAAGTCAAATCATCACGGCAGAGGACAACAAAAAATACGGGAGCTTTCAGAGTGTAGGTTGGTATCAATCGACAGGTCAGAAGAGGGCTAGTTGATCATACGAGGAATAAGGTAAATGAGGTGAAGGCTGTGTAACATACACATCCTCCGGGGAACTGGAGCACGCCCAACCATTGAAAGCAAACAGCGTAGCGGTCGAGCGTGAGCGGCGATATCGTGGCATGGCGGACAAAGAGCCCACTTCGGGTGGGAAGAAAGCGCGGAGAGTAACGATGCCGGGGCCCCAGCCAATCAGAACTTGGCATTGTCTCGCTCCTTGACACCTCCGGGGAAACCAATCCCAATCCGGTTTAGTGGCGGAGTTCATTCCGAGATTGGACTACGCGAAGGCTAAACCGAATTGGGAAAGGCGCTGGATCAGGTTTCAGCCGCAGCACCAAGCCGCTTAGTGGCTGCCAGGAGTAGCTGGGAGGCGGACGGGATGGACCATACAACAGCGCAAGATTGGTCTCTACAGAGGGATGGAGGTTGGAGTACGGAGTATTGAGCATGTCTACGGAGTATTCACAGATTCAATTAACCCTGTGTTGGTGCAGCTTGTCTATGTACACGCTTCCCTTCACCCTCACTCCTGCCAGCGGTGAGAGAGTCAAGTCGCTCCGCCAGCACACGATGCTGCTTCATGACCTTCTCCCATTCAGGAACCGTGTCTGTACCTTGGTCGAGGTCCTCGCCTCCCTCCTCAGATTCCTCTCCTTCCAAGAACGATAGGATCATGCTGAAATCTCCACCCAAACGTCCCAGACTTGCAGCGCAATACAGCACCTGGGTAAGCAGACTCTCCCGCGACCCCTTGTCCCGAATGTTGGGAAGATAGGCGTTCAAGGTGGCCATGAGAAGTTGCGCAAGATGCATTGGGAAGGTTGCTAATGCGGGGGGTAGACGGCACAGCGGGTCTTCCGTTCTGCCCAGTGTCTTCGGGTTTGATTCCACTCCGTCAAGAGTGAGCTTTCGAAGATCAAGGCCCGGGATCGAAGCAGCCGCCAAGTCTGATTCAGTAGGCGCTGGAGCAAAGATGTTCCTGTACAAAGAGACAATGGCAAAGCTTTGTTCTCTGAATATCTCGATATACCGCTTGAGAAAACGCTCTGTTTGGTGCCCCCCAGACCACGAGTTTCTGGTGCCGTTAGACTTCTCACTTTGCTTTTCATTCTGCTGTAGTCGTTTGGCTTTCTCTTGGTCTGCAAGCTCGCGCAACGGTTCCAGAGCGTCAAGCATCTTCAGTAAATTTGCCAACCGGCACACAAGAAATAGTGCGCCAAACGCCCCTTCGTTGTGCGTAGAATCTTTGCCCTGCCCAGCTGGATGCTCAAGTTCCGGAGCCACACGACGAAGCCAGCCAACTGTCCTCATCGCTGCAGCCAACCTTATATTCTGTACTCTAAGGCTCGCAATTAAATTGCTCGCCATGTCTCTCATTGCATCCTCTGCCTGGCGAGAGATGTCCCTTACCAAAGGGGAGTCGGGATACAGGGTCTGGAGGCGCTTTATGTGTGCAAACAAATCCAGGGCTGACGAATAGCTGGTCCCGGCAGCCGCATTGCCCGCCGCACCGGCATTAATCGAAGACGAGGAGACCGCTGTAGAAAGCAGTGTAGGCAACTCCAAGATATCTGACAGTCGATCCACATTGCCAGCTAGCTGCATTGCCTTCCTCCTTCTATCCAGGATCTGATTCTCCGCGCTTTTACTATATCTAAAGGAGAAGCGAACGGCTTCCTCGTCAAGCTTTGGTATGGCATCTCGTAGTTTCGCGGTGTCTTCTGCAAGGTTTGGCAGGGAAGTTCGGAGAGAGGATAGATGATCCGCGGAGGCAATAAATGTCTTGTGAGAGCGATTGGCGAGCGCTTGAAGCGAGACCAGGCTCGAGTGAGAAGACTGAGAAAGGGACTGAAGCTCCGTTGAGTTCAATGACGAGAGGGATAGTGTAGACAAGCGGCTTAGGTACTTGGAGGTGGTGGCGTCGGTCGAGGGAGGAGGCGGGCATTTGGAGGCATCGTCGCGGTCAAAATAGGGGACGAGAAGTTCGTACAGGGGATCCGTCATGATGAACTAAACTCGCTGCACTGAACTGTGATACTGCGCATTTGGCCAATTGCGACCGTTTTTATGTAGTTGAGTTGGCCCGTTCAAAGGTATTGACGACCGTTTGATTGGATTGGACTGGGGCAAGCTTGTGCGAATAGCCGCTGAGACGAACCGCGATCGAGAGACCACCGCCCAGGAAATACGGAGTAGTCATGCACAATTGTCGGTCAAGGGAAAAAAAATAAATAAAAAGCCCACTATTTTTCGGGTTGAAAAATTGTCCTCAATCTAAATCAAGTACAATTTCGCCCTGCTTCAGAAGGACATATCATCGATCCCGAGTCTGCCAGGCCTTATCAGTCTTCGTCATCGCTTATCTTACTGTGTTCGAAACCAGCCGTGACCACAGGGATTCATCTGCAAAACATTGAATAACCATGGGCAAGCCTCGAGTCTGTGCCACCCACGATCCAAAACCTCTTCTACCGCTGAATATGCTAACACCGCAAATGTGATTACACAGCTAATTATTCTCATCCGCCATGCGCAATCCGAAGGAAACAAAAACCGGGAAATCCACCAGAGCGTCCCCGACCACCGAGTCAAACTCACTCCCGAGGGGCACAGGCAGGCCCTGGAAGCCGGGCGACGCCTGCGGGCCATGCTACGTCCGGACGATACTCTACACTTCTTCACCTCTCCCTATCGGCGAACGCGAGAAACAACTGAAGGCATCCTCACCTCTTTGACCTCAGACGATCCATCCCCATCCCCGTTCCCTCGAAATACAATCAAGGTCTACGAGGAACCCCGGCTGCGGGAGCAGGACTTTGGAAATTTCCAGCCATGCTCGGCGGCAATGGAGAAGATGTGGCAGGAACGTGCGGATTACGGGCACTTCTTCTACCGAATCCCCAACGGAGAGTCTGCCGCAGATGCATATGATCGAGTAAGCGGATTCAATGAGTCACTCTGGAGACTCTTTGGTGAAGACGACTTCGCCAGCGTGTGTGTGCTGGTCACCCACGGCTTGATGACACGCATATTCCTCATGAAATGGTACCACTTCAGCGTGGAGTATTTCGAGGACCTACGAAATATAAACCACTGCGAGTTTGTCGTGATGGAGAAGAACCAGGATAACGGAAAATATATCCTACAAAACCAGTTACGTACATGGTCCGAGCTCAAACTGCAGCGGGATCTGGACAAGCAAAAGGCCAAGGCTGCCCGAGAGGCCGCGTTTGGGACAGATATCGCCTCGACAAGCCCAGTGATGTTAACCTCCGTTGTCCCCATTCGACGAAAATGGGGAGGCTGTCCGGATGGCTGCAATCACGGTTCGAAATCGTATAGGAGAAAGAGTCCTTCCTTGCAAAAGCAAAACTCCCAACCCGCACCAGAGGAAGCGACAGCTAATAATGATGGCGAAAACGAGCAGCAAGAAGCCCTCATACCACACCCGGAGCACATCGACTTCACCAGCCGTCCAGTCAACCCCAAGCCCTACCTAGACCACACCCACCAGACCGAAAGCGAAATCACCCGAGGGCTCGCCATCCTCCAACTAGGCGGCGGAAGAGACGCCGGCGGCTCCCGCAGCGGCGCCACCAGCCGCGCCTCCTTCGCCTCCAACCGTCCAGACGACGAAGATCTGAAAAATCTCTACGCCAACGGACCCATCAACCCCGGCGGCATAGACGACCAGGAGGACCAAAACGGGCAGACGCCCAGGCCACCAAACATGCTCAACTTTGCCGGCAGTCAGCACCAGCTGCGCACTACTCTCCGCGACAGCCGGCCCCATGCCATGGCAAATTCCCTGGGCGACACGGACGACAATGGCCTAGCCTCGCGCCGGTCGTCCTCGAGCCTTTGCTCCAACGACGAAGACGGTGCGGCCGAAAAAGACCCTCCTCCACCATCGACAAACGGAGAAAAGGCTATCTCCGACGAACTTCAGGACGAAGAGGAGGCCGTTGACATGATCAAGGAGCGCGAGCAGGGCGTTCAAGCGAGCGTATACTGACTGCTAACTTTTTTTCTTTTTAACGCACGTAACGAATTTATTAGAACTGAGAAACAAATAAACCTCTCTTGGCTGACCAAAAGATATGTAGCATGTATATAGCTAATCTATAATCCAGTCCATACTATCCAAGAAAATATGTTTGATTTAAAAATACATGTTTAGCGTTTTCCAAAATCCTGTAGGATGCCCCGGTCCTCCCTCCATGATATGATTTTGGAATAGGAAAATAGGAAAGGGAATATGTTGCAACGAAAAAAAGGACTCATCCAACCCTCACCAAGAATTTTTTCAATTTTTCATCTGTCCACAACTACTCTGTACTCTCAGCTAATTTTGCACATGTAGAACACCCCAGCTCATAAGAAGGATATAAAACTGAAGAAAGACAACTCTCTCAACTGAAGCGAGTCAGACATGTTAATCGCACAACACTAAAATTTCCCTCTCAAATAAACACAAAGCATAATTCATCCTCCCTGAAAACCATCTTCTTATTGAAACTCTCGCAAGTTTAAAACAAAAGCAAAAAGACTGGAAACATTCCCACCTTTCAAACATGGGACCGTAAAACACAATTGAGGGTATCTCATTCCTCAACCAAACCAAACTAGTCATTTTTTCAAAGCAGTGAAGCGAATTCAATAAGAATCTGACGAAATGTGGCATTAGTGGTAAAAAAAAAAAATCAACAATAGAAAGATCGGCCGAAAATCCGACGGCAGCATTTTTTCGAGTATTTTTGGTAGAGATGGAAGCGGGATCACACAGAATGGAGGGAAAGATCCGGGATAATAATAAAGAGGAAGAAACAAGGCAAAACAAAGGGAGATATATGCCACAGAAAAAAGAAGGGGGAAGTTAGGCCGACAACTGACTCAAAGGCATCTTGTTCAAAGAGCTCAAACTAGCACTGGTTCTTGCAGCAAATCTGCAACAAGACAAGACGCAGTGACAAGCAAACAGGCTCGCTTGTTAACAACCTATGGAACAAAGAGACGCTTAGAAGCCGGCCAAAAAGGTCGCAGTGCAAACATCAATTAAAGGGAATAAAAAAGACATTGAAACGCCAGGAAGTCTTCGATGTAAGTTTCAACCAGTCAAAAAAAGTGAAAATGAAGTTGTTCTATACCGGGGAAAATGCGCCTCCAGGAAAATGCCAAAAGGGAATTTGCTGGGCCAAAAAAAAAGGGGAAGAAGAGAAATAGCGAGAGAAAATAGAAAAGCATAGAAAGAAGCAATAAAATCATAAAGTCATCCTCGAGCACTTGAATACGGAAAATAGGAGACGTGAGATCATCCCCAGCTTGGAAGAAGAAAAAAAGATCAAAGCAACAAAGGAGCGAAACGATGAAATGCAAATCGAGAAAAATCAAATGAACACACACGAAAGGCGAATTTCCGCTCGTGAGAATGAGTATAGAAGAAAAGAAGCCACATGCTGGACGAGTTCCAAATTCTCGTGGGATCCATGGGCTTGCAGAAAGACTTTTTTCCGACACCAAACAATTTTTGTAGACGATTTTTTTGGGTCCTCTTGAGACACTCAAGAAACGCACGTAAGAGGAAGGTTCGCTTCGCTATAATCGATGCATTAAGTCGTCGCATTTGAATTTCGCGCGTCATTAAACAGGTGTACTTTGAACAAATTAGGAACGGTCTGGAGAAGTGAAACTCATCCTGCCACCGGCTGGACACCAAACGGCATTGCTGGGAGATAATGCTCCTGGCTCTTGGCACAGTACAAACAACCACACGCACTGCCATGGCCAGTCCATGCCGTTGGGGAAAATCCTTGAACATAAGATGGGGTTGGCCGATACGATGGCGGCTGAGAGCGAGACGTAACAAATTGCTGAGGAAGGACCCAAGTTCGTGAAAATGGAGCCGGATTATTAAATGGCCATGGGGCGGCTTGGTAGTAATCCGGCGTGGTGGGGCCAGTGTGAGGTGCAGATGGCGGTGAATAGTCCGAGCTCATTGGCGTCAACCACCCGCCTCTCTGGTACTGTGGTGGAATCGGTCCCTCTGGGGATAGCAGAGGCTTGGGGATCGAACTGTGTCGCTGGATGCTCGTGTCAATCGGAGCCAACTTCGTGCGAGACTCGTGATAGACTCGAGCATCGGACTTTGCACGCCAGGTATCCCAGTGTGCCTTCCAAGTCAAAAATCCATCATTCTGACTGTGGATGCGATTATGGATCTTCCAATCAAATGCAAACAACCAGTCCAACTCCATTGAATTTAAGTCCGAAACAGGGATGTTGCTGACCTCCGACCACGATCGATTCTGAAATGTGTTATCATCGAGGAACTTGCTGCCAAGTAATAAACCGATCGTGAGCATGCGATAAACTTCTCCGGTCCCGGATGCATATACTTCCCCCGTAGAGAGCATCCGCATTCTTGAGGAGAGATAGTACAGGCCTAAAAGGATAGTGGAGCTAGGTAAACGGGTCGACGAAAGAATCTGATAGACGTATTTCCTAAACTGTCGCGATACTGTCGTCCCTGGGTAAACGCTTCGGATAATGTCAATATCTGAAAGTCTGATTTTGGACGTGTACAAAGCATACATTCCCTGGGCCATTTCTGCCACAAAATCTGTCATTTGATCCATATCGTAATCCAAATGTGCTGCAACTCCGCCAGTTGACTTTTGCTCCTTGGGTCTCTGGTCTGACTGAGCCGATGGTTCGCGACGTCTGTACTGAGGTGGGACGGCGCTGTCCATGGGGGGAAGCGTCGTGTTCGATCTCAGGGGAGGAAGATTTGAACCAGCATTCATGGACGGGTACATGGTCTGTCGAGATAGCATAGTGTTGGCTGCCTTCATTTCTCGATTGGCACGAGTGGAACGCAACGACTGCTGGTGTATTGACAGCGGATGGCGCTGGCAGTACCCCGTCGACGACGGGTACTGGTCGGTGCAGTCGCAGCCGTTTGCATATCTCACAGGATAGGCTGGGTGACCAGGAGGATAGTAAGCCTGATCAACCTCCATTCGATTACCGAGATGGACGTGGGGAGGAGTTGGTGGGAAGCCATTGTTCATGGCAGCAGAGTAGAAGGACGGCATGGTGCAGAGTAGGTGGAGCTGGGTCGAGGAAGAAGATGTAGACGGCAGAGAGCTGGAACCAAAGAGGTCAACGACTGCAGGGTCCTTGCGAGTACGTTTTCCAAGCCAACCCTTACCCTTTTCTACACCCTATCCCAGGTCCCGAGCTTCAAGAACTTCGACGACGAGCCGAAGCTCTGCAGACGTCTTGAGAAAGATAAGAGAGATCCCTAGCACTGCGACATTGGAAAGCGGTGTCGATTACTTTCCCAAGAGTATACGGCGCGCGAGAAGCAGGCTGGCAAGCCACAGGCTCAAGAGCACTTTGGGACAGAAAGGAGGCAGAGAAGTCGTTATAAGCCGGAGTCAAAAATAAAGAACAAGGACAAAAAAGGCGAAAAAAGCAAAAAAAAAAAACACAAAAAAAAAAAAAAAAAAAAGGAAAGAAATCAAAGGTCAAAGGAATCTATCACTGCCGAGATATCGTGCAAAGCTCCCAGAGTGAGGATTTGAAAGCGGCCGAGGAACGAGACTTAGTGAAAAGCTCGTTTTGAAGCTGAAGCAGAGAGAGCTAGTCAGGAGGAGAGGAGACGGTGACGGGATGGAGCAAGGGAGCAGCGTCAAAGGACTAGAGGGAGTGAAGGGGAGGATTATGAGGGAGAGGAACAGGAGGAGGGAGGAGAAGCGAAGGAAAAAAAGCGAGCGAGGCGGTTGTGATGGTTTGATGACAGGCTAAGACAAATTTGGGTTTTCTGGATAGGGTGGAAAATTTCAGACTGGTAACACCCAGTTTGAGCGGGCTAGCTGTAAGTTACCCAGCCCATTACGCCGTCCGTACGCCCAGGCTGAGTCGCGCTGCTGCTAAATAAACCTGGCTCACCCAACCACCCACCCGGCGAGGTCCAGTCATCCTGCATCCAGATGACTTCAAAAGGTTTTTCTCGAACTCGTAATCCGGTTCCTCCTCCGGGGAGGCAAAAAAAAAAAAAAAAAAAAAAAAAAAAGGAAAAAGAAAAGGAGTCCACTCTATCCATTGATCCAAGGTTCTCCGTTTTTACTCAACACGCACGCTTAACACACACGCTACCAATACAACCTCCCAGCGCCTGGGCCACAGTAAGGTTTTTCGATCGAAGAAAAAATTGAAATGAACGCAAACTGGGACGGAAGATGCTTGCTTGAGTATCCACTCATATCGATGATATTACTAGCTCATCAAAATCCATACATATGTAAAATCGCACTTTTCAGTGATGTGACAATGCACTCCGTGGCCTGGAGGGGGGAGGGGGGAAATGGGGATGTTCCGTGCTTTTGAGACACGAGAAGCCCCCGGAGGTACTCCATCCAATGTCCTCGACCTGGACGAGGGCAGCAGAAACATGTAACTTAACTCCATGCTCGCACTCCCCCGTAACTCCATCAGGACTGTCAAATCTGCGCTCAAAACTGCCAATGTCGCTGAGAATTGGTCGATCAAAAATACACGGTAATGGGTCCGTAAGGGGCCTCTTTTTTTTTTTTTTTTTTTGGCAGTATGGATGTATGTACAGTACCTCGCTGGACATGTGTCTTTTTCTAGAACTCAATTTGCTGGTCCAGATTGACACCGCCTTCGCGCTCTGTCGGTCGGAACTGTAAATCTCTGTGCAGAGACTGCACGGAAAAACCGGTCCAAACTGCGCCACTGGCGAAAGAAACACTCAAAAATAGAGCATTTGACTGGGTCAAGTGGAGAGCAGACAAGTAAACCAACCAATTTTGGCGGGATTCCGATCCACACAGAGTATCTTTTTTTTTCGGTGGCTATTTAATGACCCTGCGAGGGCCACAAAGCTCAGGGCGCGGTAATGTTTGAGTGTCACTTCCTCCTGACAGAAAACGTACTTTACAGGTCAACCAGAGGTGGTTATGTAACGCTGTTGTAACGTGCTTGCCCTGTCATCCGTATTAAATGATGTAATAGCAGTACGGGGTTCCTGGTGCAAATCGCGCTCGGGCAGTCGCTGATTTTGCCGAGCCCACCAATGAGCATCCAGGCAAGAGCGTCCGCCTGCTGACATAACTGCACGTCCGTACTCCGTACGGGCATACAGTAATCATCATCAAACGCACCCGTAACTGGCGGGCGAATTGAGTCCCCATAGTCCTCCGTACACCGGGACATATATGAATACGGCCAACCCGTATACGTATTACCGGGGAGGAACTCGACGGAGAGGCATCCAGTTGGCACAGCTCGCCTCCGTCCACTCAGACGACAAAACCCCCTTCACCGGGGAGGAGAAAGAGGAGCACCCACATGCTCACTCCCATCGATAAGAGGATTTAAGCAACATTGCATGGCTTAGGACACGTAGAGCGAAAACCCCCGGTGGGACAGGCATTAATAGCATGTACATACGTGCTGGAACAAACCGAGTTTACCGCCCACCGGGTATTATTCCTGGCCATCCCAATCAATCGTCGTCTCTCGTCTGAACTGCCGACCTGGAAGATTTCTCCCAACCCCCGACCGCCAGATCCTGACGAACCCAGCCGCCCGAGGATCCCCATCCCATAGTGGAGTTTCTTGCCGTTCTCACCAATGGCAGAAATCGAAATTCGAAAATTCTTTTTGGCTCCCTTCCGCATCCTCATTCGAGAAATTCGCCCTTTCTTTTTTTTTTTTTTTTTTTTTTTTTTGGGGTTGTTGCCGGGAGCAACCGCTCGGGGTCTGTCGCGAAAATCTTTTCCGTCCACAACAAAAAAAGGATAGGCACCAGCACGCCCTTTGGAAAAGTCTCTCTCTCTGAAATTTTTTTGTGCCTAAATGATTTTTGTGCAGCTCATGTGTCCCTCTGTCGTCACATTCTCCACAGGCAATTTGGTGGGCAAGTTTTTGTCCACGGGTATGCAACATTTCTCGGCGACAAATTAATTAACGCCTTGCAAGTTTGCTCCGATGCTGTCCGAAAACAATATCAACACATTATTAACTAACTAGCGACGGAGTGTGCCCGCTCCCATCTGCGCAGCAAGCCCCGAAACAACACACGACAGACAAGATTATTATACCCGCTGCGTAGTCATGAAGTAGGCGGTGTCGAAAGTAGCCAACTGACCAGCCACCACCACCACCACCCACCATCACCACTCCCAGCAGAACTAAGCTGCCTGGAAACATCTTGTTGGAGCCTGTGGCCAGCAGATGGCAAACCTCCTCGCGAAACTGTCAGCTGCTCGCCTGAGTCTTCCAGACCTGGCAGCCACCATCTCCGGTCATCCAACAACAGGCTCGGTCTTGGTGTGGCCGTCACACCTCGTCAGTTCGTCACTGCTGCCTGCTTCTTGTGTATCCGGAATCCAGACTCCCCGTAGATGACAAATGGCAGGCCAATCGGCCCAGGTAACAGCTGAGACCAGGAGCAAACAGCGAACAGGACACATCTATTCTTATGACGAAACACAGCATTCACACGGGGCCGAGTTGCCACCAACCCCCGCTGGTTTTGCTCTTCCCTGAACGCACATGACGAGCAGAGGAAACAGAAAACGGGAACGGCTAGTCAGGACAGAGCCTGTATGTCACCCCCCAAGTCATGGCGGCAGCCTGATGATAAATCATTGCTTTTCTGGAAAAATGCCCCGGACAAAGCATTCCCGTGCAATGATGCACACGTACAGAATAAGTTACATGTAACCCCTGGAACCCCAAGCCCGGGAACGCCCTTTTCTCCCCCAGAATCCACATGCTCCGCTCCCGATGCCTCGTTGGGCATCGATACTTCTAAATATGCATCCCGAGGCGGCTCGCCCATCCAGCCACACGGAGTACAGACATTGGCACAGATACACACCCTTACACACATACATATCAAGGAGGAGAATGCAACCAGCGAAAGTGCGGGATTTCGAGGGGTAGCTCAAAGCGCGCGAGTTCGTGAGAAAGGTTCGGCCCCTTCCCCTGCCCCTCATTCTGCCCTGTTATTTTCATCCGTATGGAGCAGTTCCTCCGTCTTCGCCATCCTTTCCCCTCCCTCTGAAAACCAAAACCCCGCTGCAGGCAAGAAACTTATGTATGAACATGCAAAAAGTTTTCGACACGATGCCCAAACAAGCAAGAAACCTCGCTTTTCCCCGTTGACTCAAAACTCTCGCTTTGTTCTCTCTCCTTGTCTTGTCCTTTTCTTCCGATCGCCTGCACACTAAAGAAAAAGGCTCTTTCGAATTTTCTCCAGCGAATGAGCGCCAATATACCCCGGTTCCATGTGAGCCATATGATCTCCCTGATATAAGCACGGCAGGAAACGATCTCTATAATTAAGGCTGATCCCGTGTCTACTACATACCTAGCATTGCTGCCAATTATTCAACTGCGGGTTACAATTTCTTCGAATTTGCCCGTTTTGAAACAATGTCTGGATCAGAGCTGGCTTGGACCACCAGTCAACTCCGGACCCTGGGAAGCTCATTCCGGCTAAAATTTCCTACTTAGTTACCATAGGCCAAGGTCAATAAGGGAGATCCCGTCATTCGACCAATGATCACTCTGCAAAGGATACATATTTGACTGGGCAATTGGGAGCCGATCAAAGCATGTTAACTTATCCAACGTGTATTTCAGCCTTTGAACAAAACACAAGCGGGAAAAAGCGCGAGAGAAAAAGGGAATAAGGGAGCAATTAAGAGGGGCAAAGATCGCAAGCAGAGAAGCATTCCATGCAGATGGTGTACAAGTTCTTGGGGAAGAGAATTTCCCGTAATGTTCTTTCAGCACATTCTTTCTCACAGTCATTCCAATCCCCACAAAAGCAGGTGTCCATGTATTACAACACTCTTTTATGCGACAAGATCATTGTGGAAATTACCGCGCTCTGATGCACTTGTTCCTCTTTATTGACAACACAATGCACAAAATCTGTAGCGCAAGCTCCTTAGCCATTTCACAGAAGATGGGGCATTGAACTTTGGGCGAGTCTTTCAAGTCCGTGAGATATTTGTTCGGGATGCTGGCTTTTCATCATTTGCTCCGCTGCCACTTGGCTGGCTGCGACAACCGATGCGTCGAAGCGGGGCCTTTGAAGGTTCTTTTAATCACTTTGATCAAGAGATTGCCAACGCAGAACTCCAGCCTTTCTAGTTGATGTTCAATCATGATATCCTTTGTGGATGCAAGTTCTCTGTGTTGTCTGACCCGTCTTTCAGCTTCTGTATTCCCAGGTTAGCCAGGCGTTGGTAGTACACACGCCAACACCTGTCTCATTTTCAAGCCAAGAGCGTCAACTGAGTCGAGCTTGAGGCTTACCAGTTTTTTCTTTTTTTTTTTTTTTTTTTTTGGTTCTTCTTCTTCACTCGAACGCGGCTGCGTGCCGACAGAGTGTAAGAATCACTTTTCCATACACTATCACGAGTGCTTAGATGAGATACCTATATGCTTGATAACATGTATCCCATACCCATCAGGCGGCATAATCTGGGATATGTAGCAACCATACCTGCAGCTTCAACGTCCATCCCGCATTAGGTTCAGACTATCCGTCGCTAACAATACAAAACAAGGACGGTAGGATGATGGTCCGTACCTGGGCGTTAGCTATCAAAACAGATGGCCAGCAGAATCAACCTGCTGGGTCAAAGTAGGGCTAAGCTGGGCTTTTGAGTCGAATATTTTGGCATCCACAGGAGTAAGGGCCTTGTACTTGCTGCTTCTCAACTGAGAGCGCGCTCCCTTACATGGACACTGCATCTGTCCTCTACCACCGCTTTAATCTGTTCTTCGGGCGTTGCATCAATCAATGTACAATTCAGCCTTTCTCTTCCTTACTCTCATCCTTAACCTTGCCTTTTCACTTGCTTACACCTCGCCCTGACATCCTCTTGCAATTCTCCTTATCCTTCTGGAGATGTCCCACCCTCTTCAGAGATGATATTCTAACCCAGGAATGGCGAAAAGTCCCGGGGTTGAACTTAGCCCTGTGCAGAGAGGTAAACTTGCGATTTAACCCTTTATCTCATTGATATTGTCAAGATCCCCCGTCCCGATCCCTTTGGTGCTTGCCACAGCGGAATTTTGTGAGCCCGAGGAATGGGGAATTCCCCAGCCGTTCCCAAGCCAACGAAGCTGTTAAGGAAGCAATCACAGGGAAATAAGCATTTGGTCATCAGTCATTTTACATTTGCTTTGCTGCCTGCTTGCGCCCTTTGGCATTCTTATCTATTAGCCGATACAGTTCGAAGGAAGAAGAAGAGAAGAAACAAAGATGCCACGTAACACATGAAAGAGCCAGAACACGTGCCGTAGAGACGCCGTAAAAGAATCCATTGCAGAAAAGAGCATTTCCTATCCCTTTGGCCTGTTTTTCCCCCTTTCCCAATTCGCCAGCATTAGCAAAGAATCCTCCTAGTAGAACAACAATGAGAAACCCGCAAACTTGTCCTAATCCCTTCCAGGCTTCAGGGAGCGTAAGAGTAGCTCATCTTTAGCCGGCTGACTCCCCGATTCTCTCCGACAGGAGTGAACTGCCGCTTCCATTCCCATTCCTTCATTGCCGCTTCAATGTACGCTTCGCGGCATTCCGGAGGCAGCTCTTTGAGAAGCTCCGTGTCCATATTGAAGATCGGCTCGCCGGTGTTGGGGTCTACCGTGACTAGACCGCTTGAATGCCCGCTGCCGTTTGGTCCTGGAGCGCCGAGAGCCGTGTATGACGGGGTTTCATAGTAGACATCTTGGACCGCATAATGGCGTGAGACACGAGATGCCACTTTGGGGAAGATAGTCGAGGAACCTAAAGGAGGGCCCGCAGCGGTGGTCTTGGGAGCAGGAGCAGAATTCTCTTTGCTGTCAGACTTGGTCGCGTTGGAGCCTTCGCCGCCGTTCTCGCTAGTAATGCCATTTAGGACTGGGGTCTCGGCCGTGGAGATCTGAAGGCGTTGGAGCTCGTTATTGGCGCTATCGATGAGCTTCTGCCGATCGGCTGCGCTCTCTTCCTGGGGCGGTTCGACGCGTTCTACGCGAATATGCGAGGGTTGCATGTCTCGAGGATAGAGCATAGTGTTGGTATGGATATCGTAGACTCCACTCATGGCTTCAAGCCGCATCTTGGCTAGAGAAGAGTTGAATGCACTATAGTGAAGCAGAAAGTGTTCGTGTCAGTAAACAAACATGTGCAACAGAATCACATATCTCATGAACTCAGCATCACAAAACAGAGAGAATTCAAAGCGTACCTGCTTGCTCTAGCATGCTCAACCATCCAGTTATCTCCGGTCACAATGACCTTCTTCTTCTTAGCCTCCATGGCTTTTCCAGCAGGCATTGGAACTGATGGTGCACCAGAATGATAAACACTGCTTGCTCCGTGCCAGGCAACGTAGCGGTTGCGATCATAAGTTTCACCGGGGCCAGGTAAAATATCTTCTGGTACGGCCAACTCGCCCTCAACGTCCCCACGCTCCTTAGCAGCTTTCACGCCGTAGTCATCAATAACCTTGCGGCCACCAATAATAATCTTTGCACCAAACTCTCTGAAGACTGACCGCGCGGTAACCACACCAATTGCACGGCCTTTGTATGAATGTGGAATGATTTCCCTCTCAATCAGGTTCCTCTTCTCATCATCATCAATGATGATCTTATAGAGCAACTTGTGCTTCTGGAAAAAGAGATATGAATCACGAAACCCAATACATCGCGCAGGTTCTGTTGACAGCATGTACTGTCTCTCACCCCGGTCTAAAATGGTGAATGTTCGCACTCGATACTCACGCCCACCGAGCAAATTACCAAGCTTGTCCACCTTTGTTTCACCCTCAGGATCCTCTGGCAAGTCGACTTCATCATTAATGACGTTCATCATATTCCCTTCTTTATCAACAGGAACCTGGATAACATGCGACGGCCCACCCCTCGACTTTCCCCATCTTCCTCCAGCGGATGGACGGCCACGACCTCTTTTTCGCGGAGGCGCGCTGGCATCGGAACGAGGCTCCCCTGTTTCTGGTGCCTCCCAGTCCGGAGGGCGATTTTTGGGTGGGCGACCGGGACGACGCTTTCGAGGGCCAGGAGGAATCGCAGATACCCTTCCCGGAGTGCGAGAGGGCGTGTCTTGACGGGATGGCTCTTCCGAGTCGGGGAGAGGAGTCGACGGCACGGTGGGCTCTTGTTCATCGTCGCCTTCAGCTATTTGTTCACCTTCTTTCTCCAGTTCCTGTCCTTTTTCTTGCTCTGGTTCTTGAGGCTGCGCTGACTTTGCTTCTTCGCCCGTTTCATCTTGGTCATCATCCTGCTCGGCGTCGTGTTGTTCTGGAAGAGTGGATTCCTCTCGATCTTCTGCCTGGGCTGCTGGTGACGCGGGAGCATCATGCATTTCGACATCAGAGTCCTCAGGAGTATGTTTCGCGACAGACTCTTTGGATTTCACAGAAGTGTTCAGTATTGTTTTTATTTCCACTGTGGGGATAAATATTAGTTTTACTCACTTCGAGCTGCGGGAGCTGCTTTCGCAGCTGCCCTGCGCTTCCTGGGCATCTTGAGTTTCTTGGTCAGACAGGTCTGGTCAACCTGAGCTCCTCCCTTGCGATCTGTGTCTGGGCAACACCGAGAGCTACAGGACGCGACAAACCTTAGGTGTGAGGTAAAGTGAACCAACTACTCCGTACATGCAACTAAAAAGAGGCTTACGTAACTAGCGCGCATAATTTCGGATTAACTATAAAGCGAGGCCTCTAAACATGAACGATAGGGATGCTCTTCTTAGTCCATTGCCGCAGATAATGCTCACCAACATTGGGTGTTGGAGGGCAGAGACTGCTCCTGGAAGGACGATATGTGGGCAGTGTTGCGGGGGAAACCTATAAAACTGCCATCAATGTTCACAAAGGGAGAAAGTGTAGTCATGCATCTTTTCATCCTGATACAAGACAAATTCCTTCCGTTCATCCATCAGCTCAAGCCGGAGGCTCTTTGCCTCTTCCATGTTAAATGGAAATCCTCCCAAGTCCTCTCGCACTTGATCCTTTAGCTCTTGAGGCAGGCGGCTCAGGACCCGGTCCAAGCATATCAACCTCCTCCACCAGTCACTTCGTTGAGCAGGAACCTCAGCGGTGGAAGTGATGCGAACATTTGGATCCACGAGGAAGAGAGCAACAATCTTCCGATGGCCAGGCTTGGTCGGATCTTTCAGCTGGAAGGGTTGTACACGGTGCTGGAGCGTGTTGGGGAAAGTGAGGAGTCGCCCTTCCTTACAACTCACACTTCCAAGCTCCTGAACCATAGGACCATGGTTTTCAAGGCCGAATACTTTTTCCAGCCAATCGTGGTGGTCCTGCGGGTACCCGACTTCCGCATCAGAATTTTCGAAAAGGCTCGCCCGGAAAGCGAGGCGACTGTCTGTGATGTTCTCGCAATCATAGTAATATAACGCCGATGCGCATATTCTCTCATTCTAGAGATAGTCAGCGACAGGAAGGGAAAACCGAAAGATTAATAAGATCCATACCAATTGCCCTTCCACATGCCAAGTTCCTCCCGGATAGTTCGGTTTCTCCGGGCTCAAATGGATGTTTGCCAATTTCACAATGACCTGGAGGCCTGAGTCTTTGAAATCCTTATGCAAATCGATATCGTCTCCCTGTTTCAACCTGTCGACGTTTTCTCCGCAATCGTTTACAAACTGATACGCGGAGGAGATAGGACGGGGCTTAAATTCGCCGGGTTCCGGGAGGATCACTTGCCTGTTGTCAATTTCCCACTGATTTTCCCTGTCCCAGAATTCGTCGTCGTCCTCATCCTCCATCTGGCTAGGCGCATTCTCCCGGTCCAGGTGATAAGTAGCTCTGCTGTAATTAATGCGTTTGGGTGGCAGGAAGGCTCGTGCACCCGACAGAGTCATATTCCAGAGAGGGATTGTGCGAGTAATTATTTCCTCTAACACGGAATATAAATCGTGATGATCGTCGGGGTGGAGGTTATTAATGTAACTTCTAATCTTGCAGCGAAAGTCCTTGGTCCCAAAGCTCACAGGGCCTGAATCCGCCCCCTGTTCAACAGGAGCAAAGGAAACATCACACGGGAGCCATTGGAATTTTTTGCTCCATGCATTTTGGTTTGAACGGCGGGTCCCTTGCTTTTCCCAACCCGGCCATTCAAGGACCTCACCTCGTCCCGACTGCTTTATACCTTCTTCAATTGTTAGGCACCCATTTCGGATGACACGGCTTCGCCCATAGACAAGTGGGAAGAGGGAGGGATGCACGAGATCGAGAACTTGATCGTCGGAGCCCGGATGATAGTCCTTTGCATCTTCGGGTACATTTTCTAGACGCGCCACGGCCGTCTTCAATGACTCCTGTAGCGACTTTGGGATTTTAACATCGGATTTGACGACATCAGCGTCAAATACGTAGACCAGCCCCGCCTCTTTGTACATCTTTGCCTTGAACTGAAGTTCCTTAATCACCCAATCCATCATATTCTCCGTTACCTCGTCTGGCTGGAGGTCCATAGCCTCGGCCCTCCACTTCGAAGTTATTTTATCGTCAAAAACCTAAAGTCGCATAAATGGCAAACAGAGTATCATCCTTAGCAGCCGGGCCTACGAATCAAGTCAGGAGACTTCGTACGTGTCAAACATTACCTTGTTCTCCCAGTCTGGTTTGTCAGTTATCGCTTCCATTATCTCAATCATCTTCAATTCTCTCAAAGTAAGCATAGGCATACTGGACAATTCCTGTTAGCAATCCGCATTTCGAGGTACCGTGTGGGGGAATTAATGTCTTAATTCTTACTTGTTGGTTCCATCCAGGGTATTCGAGAATAAAGGCCGTTCGCCGACCTGGCGAGGATCTCTCGGGCTCGTCATGGCAGCTACCTTAATATCACGCTGGCGTCGGATATAGTTGAGCAGCTCAATTGTGCGTGTTTGAGAAATGCCGTGGACTCCGTAAAGCGCTCTAAAAAGAGAGAGAGAGAGAGAGAGAGAGGGAGCAGCAGACCACTGCCCCGTGAAAAGGACGATCCTCGAATATAATGATTATACTCAACGAGCTCAAACCGAGAGAGGTGGCCGATTCTTAAATAATTCTCCTATTGTTGAAAAGATGGCGACCGAGCGCGAGTCGTCAACCGACAGCGCGTCTGCCTGCTTGGATTCCCCTCCCAACCAAGCTGGGAGCCAAGATTCGTGCCTGAACCCCGCGACCAGATGGCATTTTGGTTGGCTAGCGATACGAACTTTTAGGTCGTTCGTGAGTTTAACTCATTGCGGCGGGACCGTCGCTAGACGATCTTTCTCGAGATACGGAGTACACTCCTGGCAGTGCGGAAAAAAGGACGGGGAAGAAGTTAGAAGTCTGGAGCTCTGGAATAACCTTTTGCTTCTCGGCTGCTCCGAAGCTTCTTGAGACTCATCAAGCCTCGAGCTGCTCAGGCTGTTGACCAAACATTCCGTCTGATCTAACAATGCTATCTTCAAGCCAGAGAGGCACATGGAATGTTGAATTCCAACCAAGTATTGTCCCATTACACATCCCGCCGTTAGCAAAGGCAAGAGAATGAATGGCTGTGTACCCGTAGTTGGCTATGACGTACCCCAGCTGGAGTGCTAGGAGTTGAATCTGGTCGGTTGAGCTCCTTAACTGCACGTGTATCAGGATGTCAGGGGAGCCCAGGGTAAGTTATCATGACAAGGCCCGGGGCGATCGCATATGGACATCAGATGGTGAACACTTGTGAGGTGTCTCTATGGTGTTATTACACTGTCATGGAATTATTGGGCCGGCATTCCCTTGGTTGAAGCATAATAGCATGAATAGTTATTTAAATGCGCCGCCATCTTCCCGCTCACAGAATTAAGCTCCAGTCGTCGAACCTGTCTTCTGACCAGACACAGTCTCACTTCACTTCACTCTCATCATCTGAGCTGGTACCATTGAGACGTAGGATATAAACCGAAAGATACCTGTTGCTAAATGCAAGACGTGCCCGCAGATAGCCAGAGGCGGGCTGAATTTAAGGTTGATTCGATTGACAAACAGTCAAACGACAAACACCGCGGGTTGAAATGACGCCGAACATTGGACGCTCTTGAAAGCCGCCAAATTCCAAGAGCGTGACGCCGAGGTCTGCGCGCAGGCGTACATAAGCAGCCAGAGTCGACAAGGATGCAGGCAAACGACCACCTGCCGAGTGACATGTCGCAGGCGCCACGGAGTCGACTTCCCACACACCGCTGGATCTCCAGGTGTCCAAATCGGCCGCGATAGTAAGATAGGAGTCATGGCGCGGGGAAAGATAGTTCCCTGGGTTTACGACTTCGGGCTATGGATCTTCGCGTTCTGCCTCAATCTCTTCTTTCGCGAGATCCATCCCAGGGCAGCATGGCGTATCCCCAGGCGGGGGCCAGTCATCATTGTCGCCGCACCTCACGCTAATCAGTTTGTCGATTCTGTCTTGTTGATGCGCATCGTAAAGCACTGTGTCAACCGTCGTGTATCTTTTCTTATCGCAGAAAAATCCATGAGAGAGCCATACATCGGTGCCATGGCCGGGCAGATGGGTGCTGTGCCCGTCGTGCGGGCAATGGACCATGTCAAGCCCGCCCAGGGCCAAATCTACCTGCCTGACCCGGAGAAGGACCCAAGTCTTCTTCGGGGGAAAGGAACTGACTTTACAAGCCCTCTGTTTATGAAAGGCGGATCAATAATCCCACTCCCGGTGGATAAGAATGGCCCTGAGCAGCAAACTATCGAGGAGATCCTTGGACCCGAGGAGCTACGACTTCGAAAGCCGTTTAAAGCCTTCAAGCCTGATCACCCGCTTTACTCAGGTCTACGTACGGGCACTACTTTCAAGGTCGCGCCGCACATCGACCAAGGCGAGATGTTCGATGCGGTGTATAGCAACCTCTGCGCCGGGGGCTGCATCGGTATATTCCCTGAAGGAGGAAGCCATGATCGCCCTAGCTTGCTTCCTTTGAAGGCCGGTGTTGCGATTATCGCGTTGGGCGCTCTAGCACGAGACCCGGACTGTGGTCTTTCCATTGTTCCATGTGGCATGAACTACTTTCATCCACATAAATTCCGTTCGCGTGCTGTCATAGAATTTGGCAATCCAATCCAAGTCCACCCGGATCAGGTTGAAGCGTTCAAGGCCGGGGGTGAGTCCAAGCATAACGCAGTGGGGTCATTGCTTGGGACGATCCAAGCAGCACTCGCCGCTGTCACACAGCAGGCTCCGGATTACGAGACGATGATGCTCATCCAGGCCACAAGGAGACTATACAAGCCATTACGGATGAAGCTTCCCCTACCCGTGGTGATTGAGTTGAACAGACGGCTTCTCAATGGCTATACACAGTTCAAAAATGAGCCCCGAGTGCTTCAGCTTAAAAAGGCCGTGTCTGATTATAACCGACAGCTGAGAGCTTTGGGAATTAAAGACCATCAGGCAGAATGGGGCGACGTTAAGAGCCGACCATGGTGGTTGGTCTTTGTGACCTTGATCTACCGCATCGGCGAACTTTTCACATTGGCCGTGGGAACTTTACCATCCCTACTTTTGTTCTGGCCGGTTTTCGTCATTTCAAAGGCCATTTCCCTCAAGAAGCAGCGCAAGGCCCTTGCCGCTTCCGTTGTTAAATTGCAAGGCCGCGATGTTGTGGCCACCTGGAAGATGCTCGTCGCTATGGGGCTGGCACCGGCATTATACACGTGGTACACAGTGATTGTGACAATCTGGCTCCGGTACTGTCGTCATGAAGGCTATTATTGTGACGTGGTGCCTTGGTGGATGAATGCAAGACTCTACATACCAGACTTCATTCCTCTGTGGATCTTCTATATCTTCTTCTTTGGGCTAATGATTGCGGTGTCTTTCGCCGGCCTACGTATCGGTGAAATTGGTATTGACGTGATGAAGTCTCTGCCTCCGCTCTTTGTTGCGCTGAATCCATTATCAGCGAGTTCGCTGGCCAAGCTCAGGGCTCAACGCCAGGCAGTAGCGGCGCAAGTCGTGGATGTTATCAACATGTTCGGACCAGAAATGTTCCCCAACTTTGAGTCTGAAAGACTTGTCGATCACGGCCAGATGCACAGTGATGCTTGTCTATCTCAATTGAAGACGGTGCCACTCAGCGAGTCGGAATATGAGGGTGAAAGCCGAAGCCGTGACAGTCGAAGTAGCTCGGGTAGCAGCGGCTTACCCTACGATAGCTTCCTCAAGCCCTTTGCTCCTCTAGAATCCAACCAAGATCTGGGTAAGTTGAACAGGCGAATCAGAGATGCCATGCAGGAGAGAGGCCGAAAGCGTTTCACAGACGAATATTTGCTGGATGAGGATGATGAATCAGACGACATCTCTACCCGTGGCATAAGAGCGCCGATGGCAGATGATAAAAAGACACGGTAATCCTTCCAAGGATTCGGGGGAGACCCGATGATCAACTGTGTGTGTTACCATGTAGTATAGAAGAGCCAATCGAAATTTCATGCGAATTTTTTTTTTCTCACCCCTGTTGAAAGAATGATTCTTGTATTTTGTCCCAACGTTTTAATCCAGTTCGCCTTTGCCACTTACGAATCGAGTTCGGAGAGGGCTGACCGTTCGTCAGCTCAATCCCAAGAGCGATATGATAATGCACCTTGAGATGCACTTGGAATAGTGGAGTGGCCGTCCGTTAGAAAGGGCTTCAGATCCGATTTTACATCGACCATCTTAAGAGTCGCAAAGATCATTTGGAGTACTTGGTTACATTTTAGGCCACTATTATACGTACTTCACATCTAACAGGACTCTATCAACAGCAGCTCGTGTAAGTCCATATGGCGCACTACCGAAATAATCGCTCCGGCCATCTCTTTCGTTGGCTTGTTCGGATGGCTTAGCTCCATCTCTTCTCATACCAACTTGTCATTGGCAATGTCGCGGTGTGAATCTGATACCAAGTACGGCTGGATCAATGGTGCAGAGCCACTTGAAAATTACGCGCATGGGGGGGATCATTATATAATGATTGGGCATACTCTTTACAACAGATATCGCATCGTGAGCAAGCCAGTCTTTGACAGGTATTCGACTGTTTTGCTCGCTTTGGACACTCGCTTAGAACGTTATGTTGCCGTCAAGGCGGCGCCGCAAAGCCGGAATCAAACTCGTTTCTGTATCATTCCCCTCGTTTGCCACCGTTTAGCAGCGTCTGGGGCGCAATCTACTCCCTTGTCTCCTGGACGAATCCGAAGTGTGATGGCTGTAATGCGGCCTCTGCAGGAAGATCTCTTCCAGCTGCTTGATTTAGTCTTGTTCAGCTTTCGATTGAGAAGCCATAAAAATTCGCCAGCCTGAGACAGTCACTACACAGCGGGACGAGGAACCACTTTTATCCAACATCTCACCAAAGGCCTTATCACTACTCTACTTTGGGGAAAGGTAGGAGTATTCAAACCGTCCAACGTGTGGAATTAATGATTTCAGCAAGGCATTTTACACCAACCTGAGGTTGTTGTTGATCGGAGATATGCCGCGCAACATTTGCTTCAAGCTGTTAGAAGCTTAATTTGTACCCACAGACTGTACTCTTATACCCTGTGGACATTTTGAGTCTGGCAATAGTGCTATGGGAGATTATTGGCATGAAGGTCATCTTTAGTACTAGTTAGATGATAGAGGATGAGATGGGGTTCCATCACATTGATAAGCTAGGAGCCATGCTCTTACGGCTGATGAAAGTGCTGTGAGAAATAGGGTCGATCCTCTGACAAGGATGGACATCCAGCAGAGAGCCAGCATGCCACCAATTGATAAGATATTTGAGGGACGGGCAAAGGAGTATTGATTGAAGTGTTGGATAGAAAAGTTTGGCAGGGAGAATGCTGCCGCCATTTCTAACTTGGTGTGGTGGAAGCTGGTTTTCCAGCTAGAAGAGCGCCCAACAGCTGAAATGGCTCTTAAGTTGGAGTGGATGCTCTAGTGGGTGTTGTCTGACTTCGAGCGGAGTTTGCGGGCATAGAAGAAGCATAGAATTGTAGCGAAGAGTTGTGTACCTGGCACCCTGAAGGTGCTGTATATGTGAAAAAAGGAGCAGGCCAGCGAGTGGCCTTTACCATAATGGGGAATGTCAATTGACACGCTGAGATCCACGGAGACGGTGGTGTGATATTATGAGATGACCGCTCCGTATGGGATCCTGAGGAGGGATGAATGGATCCCATCAAGGATGTCGATCAAAAACCGGCCTGGAGGAATATGAACAAGTGACCGCACAGATAATCCAATTATCAAGAATTATCAAGGCTTCAGTGGGGGGGAACCAGGTAAATCTGGGCATGCTGGATGACGGTGCCTATATCACTGGGTGTTTTTAGGGAGCATGCGCTGTGATATCATGTCATACCCCAACGCGCAAAAACCTGGCCGTTTGTTCCTCCGAGCTGTCATCCGCTATTCACAACTTGTTCTAGATCTTTGTTTTTTTTTTGTTGCAAGTCGTAGCTCCCGAGCCCAGGAGTGATTTACGTCCAGGCTTCTTTGTTCAACGCGTCAGCTGTCTCGGGGTCTATGGGGGACGGGGGTTTTGATGGCTCCGGAGCGGAAAGCATTTCTGGAAAAATGAGACTTCGAACCGTCCTCTTCAATGCCTTGGTAATCGGAAACATGTAACTCCGTAACCAATTAGTATGCGTGGGGTATGCATGTACTGTACAGTGTACGGAGTACATACATATGTTATATACCTCCCTCGTTACCGCCGCAGCTGTAGCTGTCGCCCGCATGTTTCGTGCTCCATGCTCCGTACCCAAATGCGGCCGTTTGGGAGACCTGGTGCGACAGTGGCTCAGCACGGCGGCGAGTCCATGACAGTGTGGCTTGAGGCAACCACGCCGAGACTGCCCAGCGAAGCAGAGTTTGCGCCACGGAGGGCGGCCGCTGCGATCGTTGGCCTGCGCGCTCTCCACTGCCTGGATGGAACGGTTTGATTAGCAGAGAGCCCGCTTACCCGTCCGGCTTGGCCGTTTGATTGGCCGTACTCGTCCCTTTGCACTGTTTGCTCGCCCACCAGAAGGGCCCTCTTGAAGGCTGCTGGTGCGGGTGCTGGTGCTGCTGCCGGAGAGGGGGCGGCGCAGCTCAGCTCGACTTGCGAAACCGCCCAGCTTCGCCTTTCGGAGTACGAGTAAGCTGACAAAGTCCCAAGCGCTCACCTCCTCTTTTCACTTGCAAAGTGAAGTGAATGGCTGGCAGATAGTTTTGTTGTGAAATGCTCACCACTTGAAATACGAAGCTGGTTACTCCGTACGAAGACTTCACTTTCTCGTCACTCTACGGAGTAGTGAACCACGCCAAAGGAACAGAAGAGGAACTTTGCCCGTATCTGTTCGGCGTGAAGGGGATTGTTACCAGGTGGAGCTGAGACCCGAGTCATTCTTGTTGCCTGCCTTCGTCAACATATTAAGTTCTAGATTTCATAAAAACTTTCCAGTCTTTCCCTGATCCTATCTCCCTTTGTCTTTTTTCCTAGATACATCTCTCTACAAAGCTCAAGGTCAACCTACACTGCCTGGCGTCGCAAAAAGCCACCTGTTGATACCGAATTATCCTATCAACTGTCACTCATAGTACTCCCTTGCAGGTACCAGAAAGTGACGCCTTGGCTCCTACATGAACCAGCGAACACAAAACAGAGGTGAGAGAAACGCCTTTTTTGGTTCTCTTTGACCTTGCTATCCTTTTCTCGCCAGCGTTTAAAAATCCTTTTTGTTTAGCCATTATTATTTTCCTTTTTCTTTCTTCTTTCTTTATTTTCTTCTCTTTTTGTTTTGGGCGGACCTCATTTCTCTTGCTTCGCTCTAATGTCTGCTTCGTTCTGATGTGCGCTTCACTCTGAGGCGTCCTTCGCTCCAATCTTCAATTTCGGTCCCATATCTGACAACCTTGTTAAGTGTCGGCATATATCAGTGCCATCATTGTCTGCTGACTTTCGCGCCACTTTGTACTTCAATCTGAACCCAAGCAGATAATAGTTATCACCATCCATCCAGCTGACAGCTTAAGAAATCCACAGTTCAGATCGATATTTATGATCTTTTGAACAACTTGGTTGTGAGTTGATCCCAAATGTGGAATAAGCCTTGTTTCAATCCCCGAATCGCCCCGAAACAGGGCCTTCAGTTCCTGTCGAACCCCATTTGTTAGCCTGTAAACTCAAGGCTACTTTTGCCTCCCCCACCGAAATCCCTTACCCAATGCCTTTCATTATTGCTTGGACCCTTGTTTTTTCTCCTCTCCGGACCCAAATTCCCATCTCTGAAAAAAATCTTGCATCTTGCCAAAGTATTCTGTTACCTCCTCTTTTTGACTTCTTGTTTTGTGTTTTGCTGAATTTCCCTCCTCTTTTCTGCACAGTCGCCACGTCTTCCCTCACCACGCGACTCGACAACGCATCTCCACCGACGACACTGCGATACACGTGAAGCGCATTGTCACGACTGCTTTGGGAGGTAGCTCTATCTGGAGGAGGACACTTTTAATGGGAGTCAGCCATGGCTGAGAACGGCGGAGTGAACCCTCATGCCCATGCTGATCTGTTGCGACAAGCGATGCTGCAGAAGTGAGTCACAGTCAATCTACTCTTAACAGCTGCTGTTCATTGCACAAAATGTTCTCCTCTCCATGGCATTGGATCGTTATGTTGCCCTGTACTCCTCATGTTACTCTGTGGTACTCGTCCGATTTCGCGACCTCTCGAAAATGCGAGATTCGAGCGAATCATCGTTGTGACTAGGCTTGGCTTTCAACTACGAGTTTTATGATTAGTCGGCATGCTTTTCATGCTACTATCCAATGTTTGTCACCTCCGGAGTCTCCAAGGGTCTCTTCGCTTTATCTCAGCCGGCTCTGCCCGCGGCTGAGGGAGACGGTGGCGTTCCCTGCACCTGTTTATACCCTTCCCCAAGAATTCTCACTTTTCCTCTGGAAGCTGCATACGGTGATGCAACTTCCGCGATAATGCTTGAAATTGGAGCTCATGGTGATGGCTAACGTTTCCCCCACAACTAGTTCTTCTATACATCATGACGACGATGTTCAAGACCAGATCGGCTCGATGAGTTCGACTCCTTCCGGTATCGCGACGCCGCAACCCGACCTATCCGACAAGCGTTTACCGGGAATAATGCACAGCTTCTTTGCACAGGTTGGTGCCAGTTCTGATTCCGCTTCAGGTGTTGAGAATCAGGGAACTTCCTATATGACATCTCCACCCCCCGAAACAGTCGGGTCTCAAGCGCATTTACAATTCAATCAAGAGGAGAACATATCAGAAAATATACCCTCGTTGTCTGGGTCGACGGTCATGCTGCCCCATGATCAGGACTCGAGGATCGGTGCAAACCCCTCCGCTCAGCCAAGACAGGGTTCTTTTGAGGTGTTGAGACCTTCAGACTTTAACCCCTTGCCCACACCTCCCCATTCCTCATCGTCATTTTGTTCTATCGCTCAGAAAGATGGTGAAGAAGCAGAAAATGGGGCAGCTGCAGTCGACAGGGGAATGACTTCTATCTACCAAGCTTTGAAAAAATTTATCTTGCCGAAGACCGCTATGAAATCTAGACGACACACTTCTTATCCTGTTTCTAGCATCTCTCATGATTCAGTCCATGCCTCTCATTTCTCCAACCCTTGTCTCCCTGATTCTTCAACATCTCTAACTTGTGATGATTCTCAAAATATCTCCAAATCTTCTGAAGAATTGGTAAAGCTGACTGACAACGCGGCTGTGATCCTTCCTATAAAGAATACGCCCCCACTTACCCCTCGCGCGATGTCGAACGAGCTTCATCCAGCCGACAAAAGAACCGGATATTCATCGGCCAGTTCACCGGCTCGCAGTCAACCCGAAGCGCGACCGAGCGATCGCGGTTCAGTGACGCCGACCGGATCGTCTTCTTCTCAACATGGGACCTTATCGGAATCCAATGGTCCGCCAGTTACACCTTTAAAGGGGAAACTATCTGTCAATATATCCGAAGGAAGAGGCCTGCGTCCTAGTTATGACCCCTACGTGGTATGTGTTTTTGAATGGAACGAATATATCTCCAAGGGCGCCCACCTTGAACAATCATATCAGACAGAAAACAGGAATAGGAACCAGCTCGAGGCCTTGACTTCTGTGCCTATCCAACGTTCCAATAGTGACTCGGGGCGTCCGATGGCAATTCCAATGAAAAGTCGACAGAGCAGTCAAAATAGCATGCTAGATGGATACAACCACAGAACCACGACCCAAGTCACAGATCCCCAGTGGAACCATGAAGCTGTTTTGTATGTGCATAGTCTCCTCACCCTCTTACTCGATAAACTTACTATGGCACCCTTGCGCGTTTCGCTGACTGTCTAGTAGCGATGTTCTCGGTGATGAATCGGAGATCGACGTTTCCGTCTATGACCGCTCGAACCAAGAGGCTTTCTTAGGTCATGTCAAGTTACGACTTAACCTGAAAGAAGATAAAAAGTCCGTCGCCGGATGGTTCCCTCTTGAGGCACGAGGTCAGGGCGATGGCCACGTCTCTGGTGAAATTCACTTGCAAATGTTTTTCCAAAAGACGGACAAAAAGCAGGTCGGTCCGAACGATTTTCAGATCCTCAAGCTCATTGGAAAGGGCACTTTTGGGCAAGTGTATCAAGTCAGGAAGAAGGACACACAGCGAATATATGCGATGAAAGTGCTCTCAAAGAAGGTCATTATCCAAAAAAAGGAAGTGGCTCATACGCTCGGCGAGAGAAATATTCTTGTCCGCACTGCGACGACAGACTCTCCGTTTATCGTTGGCCTGAAGTTCTCGTTCCAGACTCCGTCCGATTTATATCTCGTGACTGACTACATGTCTGGCGGAGAGCTATTTTGGCATTTACAAAAGGAGGGCAGATTCCAGGAACCCAGAGCTAAATTCTACATCGCAGAGTTGATTCTCGCTCTTCAGCATTTGCATCAACATGACATTGTCTACCGCGACTTGAAGCCGGAGAACATCTTGCTCGATGCCAATGGACATATCGCTCTTTGTGATTTCGGGCTGTCCAAAGCCAATCTTACAAAGAATGACACCACCAACACGTTCTGTGGGACCACGGAGTATCTTGCCCCAGAGGTGCTCCTCGACGAACAAGGTTACACGAAAATGGTGGATTTCTGGTCCCTTGGTGTTTTAGTGTTTGAGATGTGTTGCGGGTGGAGCCCATTCTACGCAGACGATACGCAACAGATGTACAAGAACATCGCCTTCGGGAAAGTTCGCTTCCCTCGAGACGCCCTGAGCGCGGAAGGCCGGAACTTCGTGAAGGGATTACTTAACCGAAACCCGAAACATCGTCTTGGCGCCAAGGATGATGCAAGGGAATTGATGGCACACCCATTTTTCCACGACATTGACTGGGATGCGATGAGCCGGAAGGACGTCATTCCTCCATTCAAGCCGAAGTTGAAGTCTGTTTCCGACACTTCATATTTCGACCCAGAGTTCACCACTGCTCTTGATAACTCCGCCTCCTTGAATGCCCGCGCTGCCGCTCTCGCCGCTGGGGCAGCCACCGAGTCCACACCGCTCTCGCCAGGAATGCAGGCCAATTTTAAAGGGTTCACATTCGTAAATGAAAGCACTATGGAGCAGAACATGAGGGATCTCCATCATGATTCCATGGATGAAGACTTCAAAGAAGATGACTCGTGGATCAACCGGACCAGGTCCGCCGAGAGCATCGAGTTTGAGCACCGGATGAGCGGAGTGGCGAGAACTCATGATGAAGGAGGAATCTTCAGTGACGATTATCACTTTGAGATGTGAAACATACCCGCGAGATATCCCATATACAGCTTGCATTTTTCACACCATTTTATATGATGTACATGACCGGGCAGGAGGATCTGATTTCGATATTTCGCGCTTTGCTGTGCTACCTTTCGGAGGAGCCGTATTACGGTATCTGATCCAACCAAAACCAAAAAAAGTCATCCGGTGTTGTTTCTTTTCTTTTTTCTTCCTATTTATCTTGCTCCATGCATGCATGCGTTGCGTACTCGGAAGTGATCAAAATCCATATCATCTGTCAAAGCTGTTCCGTTCTTTGCAAACATCTGCATTGGATTTGACTATGATATCCTCCAAAAGTCGGCGAGTTGCTGCTGACTAGTATTGACATCTATCGTGCTTTTTACCCTCATACCCCTCCGGAGACTAGGGAATAAATCTCACTCCGTGCTATCATTCTTGTTTCCCCGTCGCTACCCCGCCCCCAGTTTCTCAGTGGTAATTATGCTTGTCTCCGTGGCCCATTTCTCTCCTCCATTTGCTACTTGGGCTTTCTATTGCTGATCTCTCCAGTTTGCTTCGGTCTGGTCTTATTACTTTTTCTAGCGACGACATATGCATGAAATGATGTGGTTCCTGTGGCATGAATTTGCCCAGGAAATGTTTTTACGAGGTTCTTTTTTTAAACAATTGCATCAATAGCACAATATATCTTACTTTACCATAGCTAACAATATTTATGGCTCATGAGAAAAACGGACAAAATGTTATCTTCCTTCCTATGCTTTTCCAATATACTTTCTGTCCTCCATACTGCATAGGAAACTCGAAACTATGCGTTGTTGGATTTTTCCCCCTCTCTTTCTGTCTCCAAGATGTCAAATAACGAACATCACCATCCCCTTCAGGGAATGATACGGCACAAACGCCGCTTTGAGTAGCGGGTAGCAGCCATCCTGGACTGATGTTCCGTTGCATCTGCCATCTCGTCTTGCAAGGGCGCTGTCTGGGCCGCCCGTTGGGGCTAGGGTCTGCATACACCGGACGCCGTAGTGTTTGCCCGGCGTTATCCCTAGACCTTGAGGAAATTTTAAAAGTTACCTGTGAAATCTTCATACCTGAATGCCGGTAAACGGGGCTGATGTTTCAAAGCTGGCGCAAGTCTCTCTGCGACCGTACGTACGGCCACGTTCTCGTGCTTCCAAGGTGGTGCAGTTCGCCTGTCCAGCGAAAGAGCGCCAAAACAGGCAAATCATTTGTCCCTGATCAATGCTATCCTTAATTTGGCCTAGCTCAATTACCCGCTGGAGATGGATGTTTCGCGAAGGTTAAGCGCTAAGCCAAAAGCGGAATTGTACCTGCCCTAGCGCGTCTATCTACTCCCAGAGCGGATTAGCTCAATATCACCCCCTTTTTTTTTTGGGCCTCTTCGCCCATCGCGTCCGAGAAAATGGCACTCGACGGCGGCATCCCCCCCTTTTCGCGCTGTGCGCAACTATGACTGGACGCCCGTGCAAGAGCGGAGCTGAAAAAACACGAGTTCCCTCTTGAAACTTCCAGCCTAGTAACGCATGGTTCTGCCTTGGCCTGTCATGATGCTTGCCAAATGTTTGCAGGGCGACAACGGTTGGCCCTGTTCCGAATGGCGACTGACAAGGCTGGTTTAACGACATATCATGTGCCAGAAATTCGAGACCTCAGCGTGAGCACGGGAAAAAGGTTACGATCCCTGCCTTTTTGAACTCCTTTATTCCCCAGGAGAGGAACTGGGTTTCTCTGTCAGACCCAACATCTGGCTTTGCCCCATCCCCTCCGCGATAGGAAGCTAACTGGCGCGAATTGATCAGCTTTATCGAGTGGAGCTTGATCGTCAGTGCTTGCCGGCTACCGTGACTGGCTGCAGCGAACAAACCGCTCCCCCTTGTTCAGCAAAAGGACCGTGTGATGCAGAGTTTATCAACTCCTCTCCGCCTGCTTCGCATATCTGTCTCGTAGAGCTCAGGAGACCCTTTCTGGTTGACTTCACAGCCGAATTTGCTCCTCATGTTCGTGTGTCTTTTTACGAAAAAAGGATGAGTGTTGTTGCAAGAAGACCACCTGAATCGCCGCGAATGTCATACAGCAGATCTCCTCCTCAACCGTCCTATCGAGATGGCTCACCGCATCGTCAATCCCCTTCTCCCGCCCATCCACGAGTAGTGGTGCCTCCGTCCCCACGATCATCTTCTTTTTCGTATATGAATCACCATTACTCCAATTCAAACGCCCCGAATATCTACTCTCCTACAGCCCCTCACTTCCCCTTTCGATCAGTGGGGCGGAACCCAGCGTTTCCAGACACCCCGGCGCCTACCTTCCCAAAGCATTTGCCTCAGGAGGTGTACGAATGCATTGTCCTTCAGTTACAGTTGTTGCATAATCACGGGGAAGGATGCATAACTTGCTTTGTGAGGGACTTATATTCCCTCAGCTTGACGAGCAGAGCATGGGAGAGGGCAGTGAGGCTCAAACTGTAAGTATCAATCGAACGATTTTAGTAGCGCTATGATCATATGCTTATTTGTTCAGGTATCAAAAAATTCATATCCATGGTGCCGATGCACCTGGTCAATTGAAGAGGTATAGGTGGAAAAGGGGCAGTCGATTGAAATTGCTTCGACGAACGTTACGCGAGAGAAAGCTGCTAGCAAACGCTGTCCTTGAGCTTCGAGTGCCAGAGCTCGACCTCTTAATATCAACCGGGAAGTATCATGCTGGTTTGCAAGAATACGTTGATTTAGTTGCGTCGGTTGTCATGGTCTGTCCAAACCTCGAACGTCTTTTGGGAATAACACTCCCATATACACACGAATTTGATCGCCTGACTCATGCATTGTCGACTCGGAAGAAGCTTAGAGAGCATGCTTGGATTATCGGAGAAAATGCGGCCGTCAGTGAGCGAGCCATGCAACAGTCGCCCAAACTGCTGGATCAAGGCCAAGCCTACCAGTTCCTGAGCTTCCATACCTTCTGGAGCAATCTGGAAACGTTAATGTTGCACTCACTGGATTCAACTGGGATCTTAGAGCACGGGATTGTTTTACGAATGTTAAATTTTCTCCCAGCTCTGCGTCATTTATCTGTTTCATGCCTGAATGCTAATGATTTCACGGATCGAACACTGCTGTTTTTGCCGCCACTTATTTCCTTGCGCCTTGAGTCCCTCTCTGGTGTGACGGAAAATGGATTGTCGCGATATACATCGAGGCAGGAAGCAAGAGGGTTGCAGTCGTTGACACTAATAGAGCAGAACATCACTTCGTTGCTAGTGATTTCTAAGATCTTTGCGTCGTTGAGAAACTTGCAGCGGTTTGCCATTGTGCAACAAGCTACGGCCCCAACGCTTCCTGGAGGCCATATGGTATTCCAGCCGCTTCTCGCCTCGTCAAGCTTGAAGCAACTTCACTGGGATCTTGCTAGCCCAAATGCGGACGCTCTGAACCAGTTGGATCCCCAGCAACTGAGGAGGCCACAAAAAGCCCCGAATACTCCTAATTTCCACCTTTCCCAGAGTATCCTACATGCCGGCTTTCCGTCTCTCAAGACTCTTCGTGCCCCGAGCGATATCGATCCTCTTGGAGCATTACAATCTGTCTGCCGCCCTACTCGAAACGGCCAGATAATGCTCCTTTCAGATCGGTATAGTCTCCCGAGGAGCTCCCAAGGTACGCTTTCGAAGCGTCCTCTGGCAATGCCTGGCGGCAATAACCTTACTTCATCCCGGATACGTGCACAAACCCTGATAGACATTGCGGCGAGAGAGGTCGACCAGGGCATTAAGGTCGTGGTCACAGATCATTCTGCAAACCAGATACTGGCACCCATGCCAGCATTCTCTGATTCCAGTTCGGAAAGCGAAATTGATGACATTGATAATATCCTGGAGTCTATCAAGGAGAAGAAAAAGAAGCCATCCCCACCCAAACGACCCTCCCCTTCTTCTGCTATCAAAGTCCACGAGTTCACCATCCCAACCTGCATGGGCCGAGTATACAACTCAGTCTATAATAAAATAGCTGCTACAACCCCGCGCTTCACCCTCAAACCAGACATTCCCGGCTCCGACGCCGATGGTGGTTTATTAAGCTGGAAACATATCCTCACAGCCAATCAAACATGGTCCTACTACACTCCCTTGTCCCCTTCTCTCTCGGTCGTCCGTGCCGGCACGAACTCCAGCTTGACTGACGACATCCCTTCTCCATCACCAACATCCTCTCGTTTCACAATTCGTACCGCTGGTGCAAGTAGCACTGCTGGTTCTCTCCCTTCGCCACGGACACCCACTTCTCCAATTCCTCCCCTCTCTCCCTTGGGTCCAGCCCCAGGTGAGCAGCCCCTGTGGGTGAGAGATACATGTAACGGATCATGGAATCAGGGCCATAGGCTGGGCAAAGAATGGTGGATGCATATCGAAAGGGAGAGAATGGGAAGCGGAACTTCAACGACAAAGCTACTTGAGTTGCGACATTTATTTTAACGAATTTTACTCCTTCATTTCCTTCTCTTTATTTATGCTGTGCATATAAAGACCCCGGAGATAAAATGACTGCCTTTTTTTCCCCCCTTCGTTTTCCCCTTGTTGGTTTGTTAAAATGGCGACTCATTAATATCACCCCGACGTCGCTCGCTATTTGTAATTGGTGTTTAGCTGGATGTGGATGGTAAACGAGGGAGGCTATATACACATGGACATCCATTACCGTATAATGTTTACAATTTATTTCTAATAGCATACATCTTTCGATGTAGCCTTTTCTAACATTCTATTCCGAGAAATTTGATGTACGGTGTTCTGAATCAATTTCCAAAGAGTCCAAGAGCGTAAATTATCCAATGTATTGGATCACATTCTACATGCTCACTACAGATACATCTTTGTGGGAGAAGTAGAAAAAGTGGCGGAAAGAAAACATGATATTAGGCTGAGGGCACACGGGGAGCTTTTCAAACATAAATGCCGACATTGGTATCCTTCTTCTTCGCTTGGACCTCTGCGATGGCATCCACATAATGCTCGTGGCCTACTTTACTCATACCCTTTCGTAACGCAATCATACCGGCTTCCACGCAGACTGCCTTCAGTTGCGCACCGCCAAATTCGTCTGTGCTCCGTGCCAACTCCGCCCAGTTAACACCGTCGTCCACCGTCATCTTGCGAGAGTGAATTTTCAAAATCTGTGCACGAGCTTCCTCGTTGGGAAGAGGGAACTCGATCTTCCGATCTAAACGACCGGAACGGAGCAAAGCCGGATCGAGGACGTCAACACGATTGGTGGCGGCAAGAACCTTGATCCGATCATCGGAAGCGAAACCGTCAAGCTGATTGAGGAGTTCCAACATCGTACGTTGAACTTCGCGATCACCAGACTTTTCAGAATCAAAACGTTTCGTGCCGACGGCGTCGAGCTCGTCAATGAAGATGATAGCGGGTGCTTTCTCTTTGGCAAGAGCAAAGCAGTCACGGACGAGCTTAGCGCCGTCACCAATAAACATTTGGACGAGTTGGGGACCAGCGAGTTTCAGGAATGTAGCGTCTGTCTGGGCAGCACAAGCTCTGGCAAGAAGAGTCTTACCAGTACCGGGCGGGCCATACATGAGCGCACCTGAAGAGATGGCGATTAATTAGTACATAATGATTAACCAGAAACAAAAGGATTCAAACCTTTCGGAGCTTTGATCCCGATTTTCTTGAACCGTTCAGCCTCTCTCATCGGCCAAACTATAGCTTCCACTAATTCCTCAATCTGCTTGTTGAGCCCACCAACGTCGGTATATTGCTCTGTTGGTTTCTCATCAACTTCCATCGCTTTTACTCGGCTATCGTATTCTGCTGGAAGCGTGTCCAGGACAAGGTAGGAGTCCTTATTCACCCCTATCAAGTCACCAGGTTTGAGCTTTTCATGGTCAACGAGGCCAATAAGAGGGAGGAAGATTGTTTGGCGAGTGGATGTCTTAATGACGGCTGATTTGCCAACACGAGTTGCGTCCAGGTCTATATTGGCACCTTCTTCAACTGCTTCCTTCTCGACGTCAAGATCTAGAAGCTCAACGACATTCCCGACTAGGTATGGTAATTGCCTTAAAACAAAGTGATATCACACGTCAGTCATGCAGGTAATGGGCAGTTAAAATAGGTGTCGTACCGATTATTCTCAATTTTGTCCAGATTGTCCTTTATCTTCTCCTTCATGGTGTTCTGCTCGTGCATCAATCGTTGATACTCGCTCTTCATAATGCGCATATCATTGTCCAGCAACTTCCGTCGGTTTATGATATCTCGCGTGCTTGACCGTAGGATCTCCTCATCTAGCAGGTCGTCTTCCTCTTTCTTTTGATCCGCATCTTTCATTTCTGCGTCCCCATCCTTGTCGGATTTCTGTCCATCACGTTCCTCTTGCTCCTTTCTCTTATCCTTATCTTCGCGCTCAAGATCTTCGAGCTCTTCGAGCGTAGACATGGTGGCGGAGCTGAGTTATGGAAGTGGAATGACAGGTGAGTGAATGTATAGCACAAAAGAAAGCTTAGGATAGAGGATAGGTATGTCGGAAAGGGATATGGAGCAGAGAAGCGTAGCAAGAGGTCGTCGATCGAGCGTTATGGGTTCTGGTTGTCGTTGCAAGGCAGCTTGTTCGTCCAGCTCGTAGCTGCCAGCGCTGGATCACGTAAGCGGAGCTGCCGGTCATGTGACCTTAGGCGTTTCGCGGCACCGCTGCCTATCCTTGCAGGCTCCAGACTATTACGAAATGACAGAGGGAAAAATATTAAAAAAAGAAAAGGAAAGGAAAAGAAGCGAACTAAGGGGGCAGAGAGAGTGTGGTATGAGAGAAAGAGATGCAGCTCGTTTATACAAGCTTCTACAGCATATAGAGGTATAGGTACTCCGTAGTCAATGCCGACATATAATATGTATGTATGTATGTACATCTATGGGTCAAACCCGCAGCCACTGCAATCAGGGGCCCGAAATCCGTCTAAATACGATCCAGGAGCGCCGATCGGCCTTTATTGAGCAGTTCATAGCGAGAGATGAAATCGTCTCGGTTAACTGAGTAGAAGTTGATGCGCATCAGCTGCTGATTGCTCTGAAAATGGGTGGAAGAAGGTTAGAGGGAACCACTCACTATACCCACCACACATTCTCCTAGCTCCTGTGAAAGCAGTCCGGCCATGAAGCATCCGCCAGTTGTCGAATACTAAAAAGCATACTAGTTCAGTAACCCTATCTTGGTCGAAACCAGGGGACATAATGCACATACTTAGCGGCATTCCCGGCTCTAGCTTAAACTTGAGCAAGAGCTTAGGTCGCTTCAGCATCTGGGACCATTCCCGTGCTGCAACATACCAGGCGAGTAAACTATCTTGTGAGCCTGTAAAATTTGCACCACGGTCTTCGTCGTTCCACCGAATCTGGTACAGCTCGCCTGTAGGCTGCCTATGCGAGAAAGTTTCGTGTGTTTTAGCAGGCATAATGTGGACATGCTCATTGCCACTGGCATGATGGCTGAAAATTGGATTCGATAGCACTGCGTATGCATCCGGGTTTTCTGACCACAAGGTGCGAGCAGCTTCAAATCCGTCTACTAACGTTGATTCACCCCCATCGCCGTCTGTATGGGAGAGGAGGTGGAACATCTGAAGTCCAGAAGGGTCCGTGAAGTACGCATTATCAGTATGGACACCAAGACCTTGTGTTGTGTAGGCCATGTCCTTCATCGCCAAATCCGAAGTAAAGTCCCAGAAACCGCCTTTATTAATTAGCACTTCATATACCTGAATGTAGATACCGGGAGGATCCTACCATAGTGCGTCGGTCTGATGAAAGCGATTCGCTCCAGTAGTTTCTTCGTGGCCTCGGGGTCTACCGGGCAACCCTTGACAAAACAGAAACCGTATTGATGCTAGCAGTTGTTAGACGGAGAATTTGTTCTTAGACATAGTCTGGTATCAACGAACAATTTTCTGAGTCCAGGCCTTCACACCATCTTCTGATTTCATGATCCTATCGTAGTCCACTTTTGGAAGTTGAGAAAGAGACCCGGAGGCATGTTCAAAGGGCCTAGTAGGATATTAACTCCTAGAATAGCCAAAGAGGCATAAAGACTGCTAACCTAAACGTAGGGCCGGCACCAGGCTTATGTTGGCAGTGAAGCTGAAGCCATGGCCATGTATATGTACTAGAATGTCCATCAGGCCCTGGTTCCAAAGTTAGTCTGTACTGACATAGAGGGGTAGGGGACCCTACATTGGATCTCAAGATGTTGCCCCTCCACGAGTCGAAAGCTTGCGGGGCGAATATCGAAAGGAATCTAACTAGTCATCAGTATAACCCAACCACGCACAGCCCACTGAATGGGAAGTAAAACCGAGTGTGTGTGAACTAGTCGTTGTTTAGTCTCAGGATGGATGCATTTGACACAGCGACAATTTTCCCTGGTTGACTACTAAGTGATTCCGTCTCTCACAAACGGGGCTTGACTGCGAACCTCAGCCAGAACGGTGCCCTAGGATATAAGATTAATACCAAGTCATCCACTCTAAATAGGGGACGAATGGGCGAGTGTGGTGCGCGAATGCGACAGCGCTTTTCGGATTCCTACCAATAGGTCGTTCCCAGGTCCCCCATGGCGATGGGGATGGATTCGGCGAAACTTTTTTTAGCTTCCTTCCACAGATTGGGTGCTAGAGGAGGAATCTAACCGGTTAGTCTCTCCAGTTATGAAGGGCACATAATACTAACATCTTTCGTGGGATGTTGTTGAGAACTCGGAGGTAGATCCGGGGCGCCATTCGGAGATCGAGGAGTGATCGATTCCCTGTACTCCGTAGAGATATTCCATATTCAGTATGGGTATCCAATTGCAAAGCGAAGACGAGTGCGTACTGGGCAGTCATCGCTCGGCAAGCAACGCTGAAGGATCTGAATGCTTGGAAACGCATTGTTGCGCAGCCAATATTACGGAGTACTGGCTTTAGCATGACGCCTATATACATCGGAACACCAGCAACTGAATGAGTAGATTACTACTTTGCCGTTATGTTGAGAGCGTTTTCGAAATGAGTACTATTAATTTGATCAGGTTTGTCTAGCTGGGTGCAAGAGCAATTCACACGACCGGGAGGAGAGGCGCAAGTAAATATATATAGGTTCCCCAAAAGCCAACTCCGCTGTTCGGGAGTTGCAGCAAACAGCCGGTGAACCCCCTCGTCTCCGGCCGGGCTGTCGTGTGCCAAGATCTTCCCGGATGCGCTGGTTAACCCATACAGGCTAGTCTCGCAATGAGCCCACCCAACAGAACGGACCCGGTGTTGCAAGCTGCAGAATGCCATGTGAACGACATCGACGCACAGAGAACCATCAGCTATAAACAAGCGTGGTTGACCGCTACGGGCGACAAAGCAGCTGTGGTGGCACTTTTTTTATGTGATTGTAGTGCATAGCGTGCACCAAAACCAAAGGCATCAAACATCAAGGAGATGGACGTGATATGCTGGGACAAACCCTAGGCCAGAGAACGTATACCCACGGTGATTGAAGAGGGATCTAGGACGGAAAAATACTATCTACTGTGGTAGAGGTGCGATAACAAATGGACTGGTAATACGGGCCCAAAGAATTTTCTCCTGCAAGTTCCACGATCCGTTGTCCCAAGATGAGATTATGCTTTAAGTGCCAGAAGTACGGCCTTAGCGAGATTCATCGCAAATCTCCGAAAAACCGTTGACATTGTGCTGAAAACCCAGGGTACATTGATGGGGAAGAGAACAGAGGGAATTCTGGATGCGTTAATTGCGAGAAAAGAAAAAAAATAGTACACTGGGTCTTCAGCGTGACTGATAGGAGGAAGATTTGCGAGAAAAAAAAGATGCTCCAAGACGGCGCCAAGACGGGGCCCGCAGCAGCCACATGCGGGAGGATGCGGTGGATATCTACAATGGCACCACCTACAAGATGCCAGAGAGAAGCCCTGCCCGGTTGCCAACGTCCATTGGTAGGAGGATGAAGATGAGAGCGAAAATGCCGAGCAAGTCCCGCGGAAGACTTGTTAAATGTGCGCTCGTGTTGTCTTGTATAACAAAGGTGCTCCCTCCATGCGATTCGCACATCGATGCTCCCGTCGCCATACTCGGGTAAAATTTTCGGCTTGGCCGTCTATGCGGGCATTCACTATGTGGCCCTCCTCGCTACACGTCTTGAAAACAACATCATGAACTGCTCTCGAAGAACAGTATTTAATGTGTCTCTCTTCTGGCAGTGCTCAGGCGTGATGTGATGGTTTGTCCTCGCCGCTGTGGGCTAGCCAGATCTGGCAATCCCCGAACCCGAGAGTCCGCAGGAAGTTCCTCACGTCAGTAGCCGGATCCCTGGAGAGTATGGTACACCATCTCACCGGGACCCAGCTTATATTGGAGACTATTCCTATAACTAGCCTGCGTCGGCGGACTAGGGCCTTGAGATCCGCCTTCTGTGCGCCTAATCGCTTGCCAGAGATAGTTCAACGCCAAATCACCGCTCATGTCACCTTTTCACGTTAACAGAGAACGACCGCCATGCGTATCCGCGGACCACTGGATCAACTCGAGCAATTAGTTCATACCATCCATTCTGACTGGTTAGTTACAGATACAATTGCAACCCCTATACGGAGTACTAATAGGAACGGTACTGGCGGAGCACTAGTTTACTGCACCCAACTAGGCCGACGAGGAAGAGTCTTCACGTTTGCTCAATGATGGGAGAGCGTCCGCTCGAAGCACAGTGGCCGTATCAGCTGCCCGAATACCGAGCCTGAGTTGTCCATTAGAAACGTGGCTCAGCACGCGCTAAGCCGTCACCTTGATCTGAAGCATGCTCATTGCTATCCTTCTTTCACATAATCAACGTATTTCTTCAACAACATGTAACGTGAACGCAGGGGAAAACTTGTCATATTGAGGAGCTAATACTAGGATCCACTAAGAAATCCCTTTTTGAGGGGGTGAGAGAGAAAAATGAAGCAGTGATGCAACTACTCGCAGTGGGAATTGGTATATTGGATGTGGTCAGTGTCGCTTGTTGTATCTGATCATTAAGTGGCTCTTTGTCAATTACTCGGATCTTGAAACCATGTACTAATTTCTAAACTAGACATTTCTAGGCTACTCATTCAGATGCTTTATATCCCTACATCTGACCAAGCTACTAACAATCAGCTAATTTCCAGGCGTTCTAACCGTTCTCCACATCCCCATTCCTATTTACCCGAGACCTTGATGACAAGGTATCCATTCCCACCCGCCGCCGCAATGCCTATCGTGGAATCAGCAAAAAAAAAAAAAAAAAAAAAGAGAGAAAAAAAAATGATTAGAAATCTCTCAGCATCAATTGCACCGATCTATCCTACCTAAGAACATCGTAGGGTAGCAGCCGTACCATATCTATTATCGGCTTACAGAGGAACTTGAGGACCACTGGAATTGATGGAAAGGTGGCCCTGTATCCAAGTTTTATCCTAGTACTAGGTGTCAATTCGGTGGGCGGCTCGCGCTGCGTTATCATTTGAGAGGAGCAACGCTTGGATGAGAAGCCCAAGGCATGCTCAACTGTGCCATTCTCACCGAGGATATTCTTTGAAAAGAAACATGTGCCAGGGCTCCTTTGTTGCTGAACTGTTGTCTGCCTTGTCCTCGGTCTTGCTGCTCATATTGGCGAAGCAACTTGCATGACTCCTTGCAGATAGAATAAACAAACGTGGATAAGAGCATGGAAATCAATGATAGTGATGTCGAGTAGAAGCAACTTGTGATATAAACATTCGAAAATCAAAAAGAGAAACAGGAAGAAAACGCAAAGTCGCAAAAACCGGTTATGCGGAATCTCCGAATCCCAGCAAGCCAACTGTACAGTCTGCATTTTGGCATGGGAAGCACAAGGCTGGAGCTCCTGGAGGGACTAAACAATTGTATGCGAAATCCAGGCTCCACCTGTAGGGATGGTTATCTACCCGCTATATGGAGTCGTAGTCCCGGAGTTTGTAATCGCCCCGCCTTTTGGAACTCGGGCTGAAGTAGGATATCGTCGCCGATAACTCGTATAGAGACAGGGATCCTATTAATTAACCTAATGTAAAGGAATATAAAATCAAGGCATAAATAGTCATCAGGCTTGTATAACTACAGGAGATACCGATTAAGATATACCAGTGAGACTGGAGACATTTAGAGCTTGCTCTTCGATCCGACAACCTTCACCAAGGCACGACCATTTCCGAGAACGACCTTCCCATCTTGGTTCTTCGTTTGAAAGATCACTTCTTCGAAACCGTTCTCGCTTTTACCAGTTCTCCACATCTCCGTGGTGAGCTTATCACCAGGACGCACGGGTGATGCAAATCGGGCCTGGAATTCCTTCAGATTTTGAGGGTCACTGCCGCCGAGGTTCTGGAGAATGGCATGAGCGGCCATGTTCCAGCTAAACAGGCCGTGAATAATGATGCCACCGAATCCCAACTTTTTTCCCACCTCAGGATCGGCATGGAGAGGGTTATAGTCGCCGTTCAAGCTGCAGAATTGGTCAGTTTTCTGTGGGTTTTTATCGGAGAACTTCCCTAGACGTACCGATAGAGCAACGCGGTAAGGGCGGTCGTCTGGAACTCATAAGTAACATCTGGCTTCTGGCCCTTTGGAGGAGGATAGTTAATGGTCGCCGGGCCTGTAATCCGTTAGCAATAGCGTTTAAGATAGCACTTCGCGAGGACATTCTCACCTTTTGGTCCTCCCCAATTGCCCTGGCCAACATAGAAACCACTTCCAATAGCGGAGGTATAAACTTCCCCAGTCTCCTTATCCACGATATCCTGCTGGGTCTCTACAACAGAACCCGCCTTGCCCTTGTCGTAAACGCCAACGACTTTGGATCGAAGTTCAAACTTGCAACCCTCGCTGGTAACAGGGAGCGGCTTGTGGAAAACCATCTTCCGCTGTCCATCGAGAACACGGTGGTTATCAAACTTGGGGACACCGGGAATCACCTGCTGGGACTTGGCTCCGTGGAAGTCCACGATTTCTTGATCGGTATGCTTGAATGCTACACGATATATTGGTCAATGCCATGTGTCCACTGATTCGAAGAAGAGAGTCTGCATACGGAGGATAATAGGATAAGTCGGGAACATTGTGAATTTGGGGTCGAACTCCTGCAGGTAGTTGTCAGCCATGTAGGCAAGCCAAATCATTATTTCTGTCTGGATGGACGAACGTATAAGAAATGTAGCTCATCAGCCGTGCAGCCGATGCTGTTTGCGAAGAGAAGAACATCTCGTTTCAGCCAGCTGACATTCCGAGAAGGAAACTGATGTCCGGCTCCTGGTCCGCTCATGATGGGAGGATTATTTGGGAAGATTCGAAAAAACGTGAAATCGAGTCAAAATATTTTCCACATTGAGAGCAATTGTGAATTGTGAATCTGCGGGAGTTGTCCTCTGGACTGCGAGAGCTCTTTTAATATCCTGGAGCTCTGTCCGGCGAGCTTGCGGGGCTCGGTATAGCGTTTTGGCGTTCATGCCGAGGCACTGGCCGACTGGCTTGGGTACAAAGGGTCTGGAAACATTTTTCGGCCAAAGGAGCTCGGGAGACAGCTTGGCCATTGTTAAGGAGGTATCCTTTACCACCGGCTATTTCTGACGCTCTTCGGGGAAGGCTTTATTCACAAACGATGCCTTGAAGTGCGCTGTTACGGAGCCACGATTGTCCGACGTGATGATTGGTAAGATGGAATCCTACAAACTTTGAGAGTTGACCTTAAGAATTATAAGCAATGAATTGGTTAGATTAAGCATCGACTCGAGGGTATCTATTGCAAATCGAGGAGCTGTGAAATCCTATCCTTGACCATCGTTTCGTATCCATACCACATACACCCAACGCCTTTTTTTGGGGTTTTAATTAAAAGCCACATAATGCAAAAATTGCGCGCCCTACCCATGCAAGCTACCATGGATAGGAGAATAGCATCGAATAAAAGGGACATCTTGATGACGCGCGGAGGATATGCAAAAAGCCATTTACAGACATATGTACGTAAGATGTTTAGCACCTGTGGTTGGAATTAGCAGCGATTCCTAGAGGTACACTCCATAGACGGTATAAACAGGCTTACATCTTATATTCACAAGAACCCTGCGTATAGCGATTTTCATCTGGTGTCTCAAATCTGTACGAGATCTGGATATCAAGATCACGCTTATTTTTGTCATTCGGTCGGTTGCTAAGGTAACCGGTCACGCACTCGTTCTCTTCGATAGTAATAACTTCGTTAATGTAGAAAACGGTCTGTTTCCAGTGAGTGTACTTCGCATGTGGGCCAGTCGAGAATCGAATTTGCTTATGGCATGCTGTGAAGTCAATGTCAAACCAAGCAATGAGAGCATGAATGAAGTCATTTCTCTTTGCAGTGAGATTGAAAGGGACCTTAAAAGCCAAATCCGCCGGAGTAACGGTGTATAAATCAAAGGTTATGATGGGACAAGGATCCGTTACAAGAGCCTTCAGCTCAACGGTGTCGACAAGTGGTTCGGCCAGCGCAATTTCTTTCATCGGCGAATAGTCGAAACCATACACATTGTCCCAAACTATCAAACGGTTAGCGTCTCTTTCCGTTTGTATATAAAACCAGAGTCACTTACAGCCGATTTTCTCATCCTTATACTCGCCATCTTCGATTCCAGCCAGGTACATGGTGGCTTTATCAGGGAAAATCTTTCCACCCGGAACGAGATAATTATCACGAGCATAGAGGACGGTATCCAGCATGCTCTCATAGAGCAAGAAGTATCCCATCCACTCTGAGATGATTATATCAACCTTTGGGAATGGCAGAACAACCTCCTCCATTTTACCCTGGAGAAGAGTGATCTTGTTGCTCATCCCGTTAATTTCTACAATTTGACGGGCCTTCTCAATGATGGAGGACATATCAACACCAATGACGTGTTTAGCTCCAGCGCGGACGGCAAACCTTAGGAGAAAAGCAACTGTTAGCCGACAGCCTTGAGAGAAATACGTAGGACAACCTACATGCTGAGGATACCAGTGCCGCAGCCGACATCAAGGACAACCTTGTCCTTAAAGATATGTCTGTTCTGGTAGATAGCGTCGCGGTATGAGCGGGTTCGAACCTCGTCTTTCTAAAAAGGAGCAAACTCGTCAGTAATGCTGCCCTAAATTAAAGACGAGGCGAGAAACACGTACAAGCATCTCCTCATGAATTCCTAGTAAATTTGAACTGATTAGCATTTTCAATTCCTACAAAATCATGTAGTGCTTAAGCTCAGGGACAGGATTACCATGATGATCATAGCTAAGAGATATACATTAGCATTTAGACAATTAACAGTGTGAAGATACCATTGCTAATCATACCTAGTGAAATAGCGTACTTCAGCGTGATCCATTCCAACCATTCTGTCAGCACTGGAAGTCATCTCTGCTGCCGCCGTCGCTTTCTGAGCTCCGTTCATGGTGACGGGGTTATGATGGAAACAAACGCGGAGTAAAGAAGGTGGGGTTTCTTATTTATGTAAAGAGAGGAGAAAAGCACAAATTAAAAGAGAAAAAGGAGATCTGTAGAGGAAAATAATAATGGAGAAAATTTACTTCTTTTTCCAAACACAGATGTTACTGAACAGCTTAGAGACAAATCTTGAAAGTCGGTCAGGTTTCTGAAGATACAGCTTTTCTGATAACAACTCAAATCAGCCTTTTCCACTATCGTCAGAAGTAGCTTAGTGCATCTGATTGAAAAAAAAATTGCTCAACCAAACTTTTGTGCTGGAGATGACCTCATCATTTAAAACTAGAATACAATTTGTTAATTTCCCTGGTTGTAACCCAAGAACAAGGGCGATTGGTTTAGTGGTATAACGTCTGTTTTGCATTATCGCGAATACAGAAGGTCGGGATTTCGATTATCCCATCGTCCAAGAAATTCTTTTTTTATTTATTTATTTTTTTTGATATCATCCCTTCACTGGACCTCTAAAAAACACTTCCACTATTATTCCTATGCTCTCTTTTTTTCAAATTCTATTTTTCTGAACATTTTCCTCCCCGTGCTTATTTTTTGTTAGACGAAGCTCTAACCTGGGGGCGGTCTCCGCAAACTGCCGATCCCCACCGCCATCACCTTGGTGCTTCGGACTGTCATACCCTTCTATGCGTCCATGTTGGCGGTACAACGATGAAGCTGAGCGGGAAGAACCTCCATTTGCCGCGCATATCGTGGTTCCTAGCATTCTACCTATGGGTAATTTTTATACAAGCTGCCCAGGCGTCGCTCGGTGACCGACTGCCAGACTTTAAAGAATGCGTCCAGGTGTGCTTAGAGCTCCTACTCCTGAGATGCCAAGTTTAAATGCCTTATCGCTCATACAGTCGTCGTCTTTTTAGGTTTGCAAAGTAGAGAACTGCGAAAAGGGACAGCTGTCATTGCGTCAGTATTCTGATTGTTAACCGATCGTTTGATTGCAGCTGACGATCGGAATCCGCTAGCGATACACTTGCGACTTTTCCTTTGGGATTGCCCGTCCGAGTGCGATTATACCTGCCAGCATGTCATCACTAACAAGCGGGTCTCCCGTGACCCTCCAATGCTTCAGCCTGTGCTCCAGTTCCATGGTAAATGGCCGTTTCGCCGTATTTTGGGGATCCAGGAGTTCTTTTCCGTTTTCTTTTCGCTGCTGAACTTTCTGGCTCACCGGCAGGGCATGGGAAGGGTTCGCGAATCGATACCCGAATCATATCCCCTGCGAAAATACTACTTGGCGTTTGGATATTTCGGGCTTGCGAGCTGGATCTTTAGCATGATATTTCATACTCGAGACTTCCCATTGACGGAGAAGCTCGACTATTTCGCGGCTGGAGCTAGTGTACTATACGGTTTATACCTCGCCATTGTCCGGATATTTCGCCTCGACCAAGTCCGTCCGCGTCTTAAACCCACGTTGCTGCGTTGGTGGACAATACTCTGCTGTGGGCTCTACTTGGCTCATGTGTCATATCTGAGCTTTTGGACCTGGGATTACTCCTACAACATGACGGCGAATGTAGCAGTTGGTATCACACAGAATTTGCTCTGGACATGGTTTAGTATTTCTCGATACAGAAAGTACATGAAAGGGTGGACTGCGTGGCCGGGAATGATAGTCGCATGGCTGATCCTCGCTATGAGTCTGGAACTTCTTGATTTTCCTCCGGCGTGGGGATTGGTTGACGCCCACAGCCTATGGCATCTAGGGACCGTTGTTCCTACCATTTGGTGGTACACGTAAGTTCAAACTCCATGCGATGTGAGGCGTTTTCCGCTAAGACTCCATGTCTATTAGGTTCCTCGTCAAAGACGCGCAAGACGATCTTATGGGACAAAGGCTCAAAGCATAGGTTGCTTGCGATTGAATCATTCGGGGTGTCGGATCTTCAAGGATATGTTTTGAGCTCTGAAAGGCTTATGACAAGGTGTTTCGGATATTTCTGTGGATAGAACTTGAGCTCGAAGAGATAGAGGGATTCTAAGTTCACTTGAAGTGTATTCCTTGCTTCTTTGTCTCTCGTATATAAATTCAACGAGAATAGACAGGCGATTCCTCAAAAGTACTCACAGGATGAACTCTGAGGGGGATATAAAGGGAAGTGCCCGGCTGTAGGGCGGGAGAGTGCTGTATCGGCCTAGCGATGAGGAGCACAGACTTGCGACGAAAGCATCCGCCGGCCACGCACCTAGAACAAGCAAACACTGCAAACATTCACTCTTCCATCGCATGTGATGCGCTGTTCCGCTGCGTGATTAGCCAGAGCCCCTGTCGTCTGATGTAACTAACGATGTTTGACCTGTTTGCAGCTCCCCTGCGCTGCTACCATTTCCCCCACCGTCACCCCACGCTGGTGCTCAGCTGCTCTTCATTCTTCCAGGTCACCAGGTCTGCTGCATGGTGTTCCTGAGCTTCAAGAACATTCTCATCATTAGACCCTCTCTTTTACCTCATTTGCACCCGCTACCTTCCTACTTACGATTGGAGAGAGCTTTCTAAAGCAAGCCTACCGGGTTCACCATGGCCTCCGTGGACACGAAGAAGGCCATCGTTGATGCCGCCTCGGTTTATACAAAGCCGGAGGGCAAGGTATTCGAATATGGAACTGCTGGGGTAAACTTACTCTGAACAAGCTGTCGTCAGTGTCAATGCTAATGGCTCGATCCTCCGTAGTTTCGAATGAAATCGTGAGACCTATATCCTTTCCATGCTTCCGCGAGCTCTTTCCGCAACCCCTCCTCTAGGAAGGCCTTGGCTGACTATGACCGTTGTTGTGCCATATCAGAGAGCTGCTCAATACTGTTGTGTTTGCCGTTGGCCTTTTGGCAGGGCTGCGCTCCAGAAAACTCAAGAGCCAAACCATTGGTGTGATGATCACCGCGAGTCATAATCCGGCGTGTGACAATGGCGTAAAGCTTATTGACCCAATGGTAGAGATCCTCGATGTTAACTGCTGGGTTTGAAATAGTTTTCTAACGGCTGTTCCAAATCTATAGGGTGAAATGCTTGATGTAGGTTCTACTCAGCCCATTAACCTGTGAACGGACTGGTGATTTAACCATATGATCTAGGCGGAATGGGAGTCTTATGCGACGAAACTGGCAAACACACCGCTTGGGGAGCTCGGGGACGTGTATGAGGAGCTCATCAAGGAGATCGAAATAAATATGGACAACCCTGCTCGGGTGGTGTTCGCTCGTGACACCCGTGCCTCCGGGTCCCGGCTCGTCGGCGTTCTTACCGCTGCATTCAATGCCACCGGCGTTGAATACACCGACTTCAAGTATTTGACAACCCCGCAGCTCCATTATATTGTCCGTTGCAAGAACACTCTTGGCACTCCTTATGAATATGGCGAACCCACTGAGCAAGGTTATTACGAAAAGATCAGCAAGGCATTCAAGACTGTCATGAGAGGCCGAACAACCAATGGCCCGGTCACCGTGGATTGTGCCAATGGCGTTGGGGGGCCAAAGCTGAGAGAAATGATCAAGTATTTGCCAAGCGCCAAAGAAGGCGGCGTGGACATCCACGTTGTCAACGACAATGTTATCAATCCGGATAGTTTAAATTATGAGGTAAGGGACGGTGTCGATTTTCTTTGGACTCATTCGTTGACGGCTTGACACTTAGTGCGGAGCGGACTATGTGAAAACTAGGCAGCGAGCCCCGCCCTCGTCAAAAGCTGCAGTACACGACCGTTGCGCTTCCCTGGATGGAGATGCGGACCGGATCGTCTACTATTACCTCGATACGGGAAATATCTTCAAACTTCTTGACGGAGATCGTATTGCAACTCTAGCTGCTTCGTTCATCGGAGAACTTGCACGTAACGCTGGCATCGCGAACAAGCTTAGAATTGGTGTTGTTCAGACCGCCTACGCCAACGGGGCAAGCACTCAATACGTTGAAAAGGTTCTTAAACTTCCAGTTATCTGCACCCCAACCGGCGTCAAGCACCTTCATCATGCTGCCATGAGGTTTGATGTTGGCGTTTATTTCGAAGCAAATGGGCATGGGACTATTACCTTTTCGGAGCAGGCCCTGAAGATCATCAAGACAACTGAGCCCCAGTCGCCAGCCCAGCAGTATGCTTTACAGAGCCTTATTGCTCTGACGGAACTCATTAACCAAGCGGTTGGAGATGCGATTTCGGATTTGCTCTTGGTTGAAGTCATCCTTGCTCATAAATGCTGGACCCCAAAGGAATGGATATCGACATACACTGATCTACCCAACCGTCTTGTTCGGATTGAAGTGGCAGATCGGTCGATTTTCAAAGCGGTGGATGCGGAACGCAAGCTGGAATCTCCTCCTGGACTTCAGCAGCGTATCGATGCTCTTCAGTCACGCTACAACAGAGGTAGAAGCTTCGCTCGTGCTAGCGGAACAGAAGACGCGGTTCGTGTTTACGCCGAAGCTGCAAGCAGATCTGAGGCAGATGATTTAGCTACTCGTGTTGCTGCTGCGGTTCAGGAAGCTGGTAAACCGTAACCATTCTCGGGTTTGCTTTGCAGCTAGTTTTGGTTTCAAAATATATCCCCAGTCCTTATGTTATTGGAGATTCGTCGTTTCGAAAAGCTGAAGGGCCAGAGATTCTTCTCGGAGACGAAAAATAACTGAATAAATGATACATATCTTGTACTCTGACAGCGGTTTGCCATCTCGAGGTTACCAGCTTGATTCTTTCTATTGCAGCGGACATGATTACTCACAAAATCACCCTTGATTTATTTCTTATGTCACTACTCTTGCAACAACGAAGGCCCGGATTTCTTACCTTCTATGGTCGTGGTGCCAGGTGACTGCTCATCGCAGGCGAATCTGATAGTCAAAATAAAAATAAAATAACAAGTGAATGATTTCAGATCCACTGATCGATGCAAGATATCGCTAACTCATTAAACAGGATGTCCATGCTACAAGCCAAATTAAGTGAGAAACAGCTAACCACACATCATCCTTCCTCACGATCCATCTCATCCCGACTCCTCTTTGCACCCTTCCCTATCCTCCTATTCCTTAAAGTGGCACCCTTTTTACCTCTATTCTCATGTAATTCTTTCATCTCCGTAATTGCATGACGCTGGGCCTCGCCTACTCTATCACTTAACACCATCACTTCTTCCTTCTCCACTTTATATTCGTCCAATTCTTTGCCTAGTGCAGCTTCGATGCGTTGCCATATTTCAACGTCGTATTGCGTTACAAGGCTAAATGCACGTCCACTTTTGCCTGCACGTGCCGTACGCCCCACACGGTGGATGTACGTTTTGCTATCAGAAGGTAGATCGTAGTTAAGAACTAAATCCACAGATGGAATATCAAGACCTCGGGCGGCAACGTCAGTGGCCACGAGGATATTTCGACTGCGGGAACGGAATTTGCCTAGTGCACCTAGGCGGGCTGATTGTGAGAGTTGGCCATGGAGGGGTATTGCGCCAAACCCGAGGGCACGGAGTAAGATGGCGAGACGCTGGGTTTCATTAACTGTACGGGTGAAGATGATGACCGACTGGCCGGGAAATTCGTTGAGAAGGTATATAAGGTAAATATCCTTGTGTTTGTGAGGTATAATGAGGCAGTTCTGGAGGAGGGTTGAGACGGTTTGATATTTATTGGACGAAACGGAGACTCGGAGCGGATTTGAGAGGGACGCGCGCTGGAGGGATTCAACTTTTGAACTCATTGTTGCTGAGAAGAGATATGTGCGGCGCTCCTTTGGGAGCACTTTTAGGATCTTATCGAGGATTGGGCCAAAGTCAAGGTCCAGAAGTCGATCAGCCTCGTCCATAACAAGGTATTTCAGGCTGCGGAGTGAAAAGCCCTTTGTGTTTTCCAAGTGGTCCAATAGACGTCCCGGAGTCGCAACAATGATGTGAGGTTTCTTTCCAAGGGCGATAGCTTGGGACACCATATCCATTCCTCCGACTATCACGGCGCAACGGACGGAAATAAGGGAACCAAGCGCTTCAAATTGCTGGGATATCTGGTAAGCGAGCTCGCGAGTTGGAGCTAGGACCAAGCCAAACATCGATTGCGGTTTGTCCATAAGAGCTGTGGGATTCAAAATGTAAGCAAAATGCGCAGTCGACATCCACCTATAGCGAGCTTCTCACCTTGTAAGATTGGCAGAGCAAATGCGGCCGTTTTCCCGCTCCCGGTTTCCGCTAAACCGATTAAATCACGCCCTTGCAATGCAAGAGGAATCGACTCAGCCTGGATTTGGGTTGGAGCCTTATAACCTAGCGAATCGCATGCCTCGCATAGAGAATCAATGATCCCGAGATCCTTGAATGACTTTGTGGTCGTAGCCTCAATTTTCTCGTCATTGCCGGGGGTTTCCTCCAGAGAAGCCGGCGATGTCTCTGAATCTGAGAAGCCATCTTCTGCCTCGCCCTGCGGAGGGGTGTGCGACAGCTTTCTCCTTTTCATGGACGGCATTTTGTTTGGTTTCGCTCCCGTGAAGCTCAGACGCGGGAGATAGCGATCTATCAAAAATTTTGGTGGTATCCCCTTGGCCCCTGCCGATATGGGCGTATGGACCACCGTATAAGCGGCAAAACCAATGATCCGAGATAAGGAACCTTGGCTGCCCCCAAGAAAAAAGTCCGCAGAGCATGGACTTCGGCGTCTCGAGGGAGAAAACAATCAAAGACTCTGTTTATCTTCTCGATTTCTTTTCAGTTTTCTATTCTCTCTCTAGTTGATTAGACCAAGGCATAATGGCCAAAAGACGCACCAAGACGCGTACCCATATCAAACCAGCTCCGCAGGGCGGGACTTCCAATCTGAAAAATGGGGCTGCTTCGATGAACCGGTCCCCAAAGAGCATGGTGATCCGCATGGGTGCCGGAGAGGTTGGCCCAAGTGTGAGCCAGCTTGTTAAGGATGTGCGGTCAATGATGGAGCCAGATACAGCATCGCGGTTAAAGGTATTGTTTCCTCTCCCATGTTCTCTTACTTCTTTTGGCAGAATGCTAATAGAGCATAGGAGCGGAGGGGGAACAAATTGAAGGATTACACTGTCATGACTGGCCCTCTAGGTGTTACTCATTTACTTTTATTCTCTAAGTCGTCCACCGGGAACACAAACCTCCGGATAGCCCTCACACCGCGTGGCCCTACATTGCATTTTCGAGTCGAGAGTTACTCCCTATGCAAAGATGTTACCAAAGCACAAAAACATCCAAGAGTCTCCAGCAAGAGCCATATGAGCCCTCCGCTACTTGTGATGAACAATTTTATGACATCCGAATCCGAGGAAGATACCAGCTCCAAGAAGATACCCAAACATCTAGAATCGCTTACGACCACGGTTTTCCAATCCCTTTTCCCTCCAATCTCTCCTCAAGCCACACCTTTATCCTCAATCCGCCGTATAATGCTTCTCAACAGAGAGCTGCCATCTGCATCCAATGGCATAGACCAGGATTCGTACGTGTTGGACCTGCGACACTATGCCATTACCACCAAACGACTTGATATATCAAAACGAATACGGCGGCTAGATCCTCGAGAACAGCGGCGAAAAGACAAGAAGGACAGGACTGTACCGAACCTAGGTAAACTCAATGATGTGGCAGAGTATTTGCTTGATCCCTCTGCCGCCGGCTATACCTCCGCGAGTGAAACTGAACTCGACACTGACGCCGAGGTTGAGGTGATGGAAAGTACCACAAGAAAGGTATTGAATAAAAAGGAGCTGCAACGTATGAAGGCCGGAGAGAAAAAGTCCAAAACCATACCGTCACCGAACGTCGAAAAAAGAGCGGTGAAGTTGGTGGAGCTGGGACCTCGGATGAGACTTAAGCTGATGAAGGTGGAGGAAGGGCTGTGCGGAGGTAGAGTTATGTGGCATGCTCTTGTGAACAAAACCCAAGCCGAAGCGGATAAATTAGAAGAGACTTGGGAGCAAAGACGCAAAGAGAAGGAGCTTCGGAGGCAAATACAAAAGGAAAACGTCGAGAAGAAGAAAAAGGCAAAGGCCAATGATGGCCAAGCTGCCGATGCCGAAGATAAAATGGACGAAGACGGAGACAGCGAGATGTGGGATAGTGAAGACTTCAGCGAGCATGAGGCACACGATGATGAAGATTGATATACTGTGACTCCGCGATGTCCATGCATCTTCTTGAATCGATCCTTCTGCACGTATCACGGAAGGAGCTCGAACAGGTCAGAGACTTATTTTTTCCCATGACCATCATTGTCCTCGAAATTCGTTTTTATATGACTGGCGTTTTCCGCATAGATTATGCCTTGGGTCAAAACCTTTTGTATTGGTATATGATATTTATGGCTATTATTGTTTCTATCCGTTTGGATTCCAGTCGTTTACAATATGTTTCTTGATTACTTCACAAGAGGCCCCGTACGGAGACCCTATGATCTCGCTACTGCACGGGAAGTGGGAGGAAGGCATCTGCCTCTAGAACCAAGTGTGCATTCCCTATCATGCGCTATTCGTGGCTCTGATGCTGCTGAGAATAATTGCTGATATTCCATTGAAGCATATGCCCAAGATGGGTTCGAAATTCCAAGCGAGAACATCGCAGGCCCATTACCCCAGAACTCATTTTCCTCCCAAGAGCGCAGGTTTCTGGTGCCATCGGATCAAAGGAATCCAGAGACGACGGCAAGACTCCAAATTCTCGATTTGCTCATCGCACACAATTGGGAAGAGCTGAATAAGAAGCTGGATTGCCTCCTTAAGCAGGGCACTAATATCCACTGGAAGGAGGTTTTCGCCGGTGTTTGGGAACAGTACCCTGCTGTGAAGGAAATCGAGAGTACGAGCCCGAACTCCTCTTATGAAATTAGAAAATCACTAACACTTTCAAGTTCAGCTGATTATGGCGCGAAGTCGTGTTGTCCTTACATTGTGTGACGAAATTACTGCCATCTGTACCGAAGGCTCGCTGCTGGGTGTCCAGATAAATGTTTTGTTGGAAAGATTCCAACTTTGGCCTATCACTAGTCTGACCAGGCTTTCTCTCGCAGAAATTGATGCGTCCCTCAGTAAGATTAGGCCCCATATAAACCAATCAAATCTTGAATATATGGACGAGAAACACGTCATTATTCAGGGTGAGCAGTTCGCTGTGATAAGCGAATCTACTGGTTTGAAATTAGGTCGGGCAAAAAGCATGATTACTTGTGCCATGAAGGAGGAGTTTTGTCTCCGTTGTGTGAAGAGATCTGAAGGCTATTTATATGGCATTGAGAAAGAAATCACTACTCCATGCTCTCGAGGTCATGGGCTTTTTTGGCTCCATGACCAATGGATGCCATCTCGGCAGAAAATATTTGACCCAGAAGCGGAAGATCAGCAGCAACCGACTATCTGGGACTACTTGTCACCCGACTCTAACTCTTGTATGACCGATTTTGCGCACGATGACGCGGAAGATCAGCAGCAACTGAGTATCCGGGACTACTTGTCACCCAGCTGTAAGCCTTTTATGATTGATTTTGCGCACGAGGATGCGGAAAATGATTTCACCCGGAAGAGGCAAAGGAGGCGCTGTGGGTATGCTATGGGATTCCGGAAGTACGGGCAGCTTTTTGACATCCCGGATGGCGACTGAAAGGGCGAGGAAATTTGTAGTTATTGTTAGATATTATTCAACACTCGTCATAACAACTTCGACGATTCCCTTGTTCAAGTCCAAGTAAATAATCAATAATTAGATAAGAACTATGACCCGTGAAGAACCAGATTTCAGCTCTTGCGTGCTAAATAATCGGTGTTTCCAGGTTATCAAAGACATACCGATCATTCGGTCGTTCAGGGGCGGACGGGAACAGTCCCGAGTACTCCGTACAACGATCGTTTTCTCCAATCAGGCGGCTGCATTGCCTCGAAGTTTTTCTTCAACGAGTCTCCCAACCAATTTCTCCAGCGCCCCTGCATCCCCGCCAGTTTGGCCTTGGAAATATGCTTCGACGCTCTTCTCCACATACTTTCCAACCATATCAATTTCAACATTCACCAGATCCCCCGGCTTCTTCTTCGCAGTGACAATCTTTTCTTGAGTGTATGCAATGAGCATGATTTCAAACCATCCATTTTCTCCGTCAGCTACTTTCGTAATGGTTAGACTCGCGCCGTCTAGGGCGATGAAGCCTTTCTCCACGATGTAGCGAAGCACTCCATTTTCCTTGGGTTGAAGTCTGAACACAAGGGAGTTTCCATCCGGGGTCACAGAGAGGATAGTCGCTGTGGTGTCGACGTGGCCCTGCACGAAGTGGCCGCCCATACGTGTCGACGCAGTCACCGACCGCTCAAGGTTTACCCGCGACCCTGATGTTAGAGAGCCGAGATTTGTGCGGCGAAGTGTCTCTGGTGCGACGCCAACTTTGAAGGAAGAACTGTCGAAGGTGGTTATCGTTAGACATGCTCCTGTAAGTCTCGCAGTTCGTGAGCGGGGTAACTAGATCCGGCGCGAGAAGCTGGAAACGGCGGACGCTGTAATTGTGGACCGGGAGTTCTCACCATTGACACATATACTATCCCCTAGTTGGGCATCTGTGAGTATCTCTGCGCAGTCTGAAATAGTGAGGGAGGTTCCGCCGCCGCCGCTGGCAGTGTCATCCTGGGGCTCAAGGGCCGTGACGACTAGAGAAAGGGATCAGCGTATTCCGGCGGAGCTGCTTCTGTGCGTCAGGGACTGACCACCAACGGTCTCAACCAATCCAGTAAACATTTTGAACGTAAATCTCCTTAGCACTCCGTCCTTGGTTAAATAATGACTTCAGCGGCACACGTACGATTGCTTCAACATTTCTCCAGACTTGGCGAGTCGTTCGCGGTGGATTTTAGTGGCGGTTCGGCACCTCCGATGTCCGAGACTATGGAGAAACTTCGGGATACGCGGCCTAAAAGGAGCTCCCCTGCGAGCACTTCGGCTTGAGGAGCACCCGCAAGCTTTCCGCGGCTCTCTCCTTCAATTAGATTCAAAAGGCCTCCTCCTTCCTTCGCAATGTAACTGAAAGAAGCACGATCGTAATCACTGTGTCCATTTTGCGATTTCAGCAGTATGAGGGGATTTGTCGCATTGCGGAGCTTTGCCAGAAGGGCTAGCCCTGTTGTCTGGAATGATGGTGTGTCATTGGTATTGAGACGGAGCTATTCGACGCCAGTACACTCAGCGGATACATTGCCGCTGGCCGGTATACGCGTGGTGGACATGACTCGAGTGCTTGCAGGCGTAAGTTGGTTACGTTCTCTAAGGACCTAGGGCAACCAGGCTAACCCGTCCGTGATTAACAGCCATATTGCACACAGATTCTCGGCGATTTAGGGTGAGATACTTATTTACCGGCCTTTGGGACTCAACGGAGGCCTTCGCTGAGACCTGCTTGCATTCGACAGCGCAGAAGTGATCAAGATTGAGCACCCCGTTCGTGGAGACGATACCCGAGCATGGGGCCCTCCGTTCGCAAAATACAAGGAGGGCACGAAGGATGGCCCCGGAGAGAGTGCGTACTATTTGGCGGTACGTTAATTGTGGCATTTTACTCTACTACTGCTCCTTATCCACTGATACCACGTCTTCCGCAGGTGAACCGGAATAAAAAGTCACTTGGCCTTTCCTTCGCACATAAACAGGGAACTGAAATCCTACACAAACTCATCAAAGATGCGGATGTGCTGGTTGAAAATTACATACCTGGCTCCCTGAAGAAATATAAATTAGACTATGAAACTTTGAGTGTCTTGAATCCCCGATTGATATATGCTAGTATCACTGGGTATGGGCAGACAGGGCCCTACAGCAACAGAGCAGGTTACGATGTTATGGTCGAGGCCGAGATGGGTTTGATGCATATTACCGGTGAAAGGGATGGACCTCCGGTGAAAGTTGGTGTTGCCGTGACTGATTTAACTACCGGATTGTATACTTCGAATGCCATCATGGCCGCACTCCTAGCACGAATGAAAACGGGCAGGGGCCAGCATATCGATTCCGCCCTGAGTGATTGCCAGGTGGCCACCCTTTCAAATCTTGCCAGTTCAGCTTTGATTAGCGGCCAGAAGGATTCAGGAAGATGGGGAACCGCTCACCGTAAGTTCTACCCAGGTACCGAAAACGGATCCTGTACTAACCTCCTTGGCTTCTGCAGCATCCATTGTTCCTTATCGCGGATATAAAACCAAGGATGGTGACATCCTTCTTGGTGGTGGCAATGACAAGCTCTTTGGTATTCTCTGTGAACGGCTAGGCCACCCCGAATGGGCAACAGATTCCCGATTCGTTACCAATGGCCTCCGCGTGAAAAATCGGGAAGCGATTGATCGTCTTATCGAGGAGATAGTCAAACAGAAGACGACACAGGAGTGGCTAGAGATCTTTGAAGGTAGCGGCATGCCATATTCGGCTGTGAACGATATTCAAGGAACTCTGAACCACGCTCATGGTAGGCATTGAGATCCCCATTCGTTGGCTAAACAAACCTTCCTGACCCTTTTTCAATAGTTCGAGCTCGCGGAATGGTGCAGGAAGTCGAGCATCCTATCTGCGGCCCTATGAAGCTTGTGAATACCCCGGTTAAATATTCCCATGCGACGCCCGGCATCCGAACTCCGCCTCCAACACTTGGACAACACACTGATGAAGTTCTGCAAGATTTGGGTTTCGGCACTGATAATATAGATCAGTTGCGGCGCGATGGGGTTGTCTCATGACCTGTTGAGAGAAACTGCTACTCCTGGTGGTTGATGCTAATGCGTCAAATTTTAATACACCACTTCTCATTATCTAACTATTTCTGCTTGGTTTCATGATTCTACCCATAAATCGAACTTTCAGCAGAGTTATGCAATAATGTATCCTAGAAATAGATAAATTATCTATAATCCTTGCCCGCAGGAATATGTATCGCTATGTTTTTCCACTTGGATTCGCCTCATTTGCTCCTGGCCGCACACGTCTCTTCCATGACCCCCCTATACATCACGTGACGTGTATCCTGGGCCGGGAGGCGGACGGCGGGCTCCCGCCAGCACACGCTCAGTGACAATGGAGGGTGAATGGCCATTGTTAACTGTTTCCATGAATAGATAGTTCGGCGGTTTGGTGGATGTGATTTGAACTGCGCTCCAGCTGCCATGGACTTAACATCGTCCCTTTCCTCTCTCAATCCCAGTACCGCATCGTCATCAGACTCCGATCAATCGAAACAATCCCCGGCCAATCGATCCGCATTTCCCCTGCCTGGTGGATCTACCACAGCGGAAACGTCCAATGTTCAGTCGCAGTCATATGTGCCTCTTCCAAGTGTTTCCTTAAGTCCTCTCAGCTCTATTACACCTCTCTCGTCCTCGACAACTGAATCTATTCCGGGCCTGACAGCTCTGCCGCAACTTGTTGACGAGAGCACAGCAGGGGCCGGAGGGAACCAAGAAGTGCAGCCTACGGGTTCAAAATTGGAACAGAAAGACTTTGGCAGTTTTTCGGCCAGTGCAGATGCTAGCCTATTATCCATAAGTGGTGCTCGTCCATCCAGCACTGAATTATCATCAATAACTTCCAACTCCTTTCCCACACCTTCTACCATTGGGGTACTACCAAGGCCAGTGCAACCGACTATATCGACTGCAGCTAGTACCACGACAATGCCTCGTCCATCCGCGAAACCAGTTGCGGCACCATTGAAAAAAATTGCCCCCGCTCCTCCCAAGATAGAAGAGGTATCAGATAGCACCCCAGGATCTGTTCCGAAATCCGGTAAACAACAGAATCGCACCAAGAAACCAACACAGAAACGGAGTAAGAAACGTAAAGCCAGAACTTACGATGACGATGGGGATGGTATCATCAAAGCCGGGGACTCGAGCTCAGATGAATCAGATGAATTCACCCCTATCGCCACTCAGACGAAATCGGGAAGACAGATTCATCGACCCTCCGTTTTTGCCCACCAGCAAGGTACTGCACAGAGCTCCGCACCTGGAGCTACAGGGGTTACCACTAAAGTGTCCGGCCGAGAAAGCCCTCCCCGGAAGAAGAAAAAGGTGCGCAAGGGGAAAGAGGCGAATATTACCTGCGAACACTGCCAAAGAGGCCATAGCCCGTCGGGAAATCCGATCGTCTTCTGTGACGATTGTAATGGGGGTTGGCATCGGTTCTGCCATGACCCTCCAATCGAGGTGGAAGTGGTCAACGTGAAGGAGTCACAATGGTTTTGTAGAGCTTGCAGACCTGTCAAAGCTCCCTCACCTATCACTCCGGTGGCCAGTACTATGCAGAGTAAGCCAGTCGCGACCGCAACCGTCTACGATACCAAATTTTTGGAGTCAGAGAACCTAGTTGGTGGTTCGAAGTTCACTCGGGGAGAAAAATTGGGATATCTCGCTAGGCTCTCTCATGCTGCTCTTGTCAACCTGCTCATTCGAATTTCCGATGAAAGTCCTGAGTTACCGATTTTTCCTGCCAATGTAAAGGATTTACGCCCATCTCTTTTCATAGCACCGTCTATCGCAAATCCATCGGCCACAACAATTAAATCATCCCTCCAGGACACCACAACACAAACAACCCCGTTATCATCCGTTGGTACCTCCATCACCTCCCAGCTTTCCTCGGAACCTCCGAATCAACCCCAATCCTCCACACCGCCAACCTCTGATCCTGATCATCCTCATGCGTCAACAGCACATAACGAGGGCGACCACTCTGAAGACGAATTTGTCTCCGAACACCGACTTTATCCAAAACCAGGAAACGGGTTCCTTCTACCTCCCGACCCAGTCGACCTAGATATGCTACTTGAGGATCCGGATTGTCCAACATTTAGTCATGCACTACATGGTCCGGCGAAGCTGAGGACTGAAGGTGCCGAACATGGGGCTCCTATGGGTGTTGTGTGAATCCCAGATGGTCAAGGTTGATGGGCAAATGAGGGAGTTGGAGGTCTAGGGGCTTTATCGCTATTATACCTCCCCCCCTTTCAAGACCTTGGATGGACGCATTTTTATTGAACATAGCATTGTTCAGGTGCAAGTGGTTTGCATTTGTATCGTCTTCAGGGAATTGTATCCGCAATGGATGTAATTTGACTGTGAGTGGTGCCTGTGAGCGGACCTAAAAAGGGTTTGGTTGCATGGCCAAAGGTCAGCCACTTGAAACCACACTCTAGCACCAATCTCGTATTCTCAAGCAAACCCGGGATGACTCAGTGCCAGATGCAAACTGGCGAGCCTGACTGCCGACATAAGATAGCTTTCCTCCTACCCATGGGCTGAAGCTGTCAGAGACAAATTAAGAGTAAGTTTATTTGACTACCACCCTCGGCTCGTCGCAGCTAATTTTCTTAGAACCCCTGATTCAATCTCTTTTATTCCCCTTTATGGCGCGCAGAGCATCAGGAACATGGCTAAGAATTATCTTTTTGGTGGTTGCAGGCAAAGAGTGTTGGTCTGACCCTTCAGCACTGTCACTTTTTGCCTTGAACTTGGTGAGAAATTTTTAGAAGGTTTCTTTCCAGAAAACGCGATCAGAGGGGTCCTAGTGGCTAAGAATCTTGTCGGGGATATCTGAGGCGAATGAAGCTTGGAATGTAGTACGGCTTGACGGAAGGCAAGGTCCAGGGTGAGGAAGTTGATTTCTTTTGTTAAGCCTTAAGAGGATCTCCTTGGACCTTGATCTCTACCTCACAGTTATTGACCAAGCAATCAATAGCGTACTCCTCAAAGTATTTTCCCATCCCCTTCAGACATAGGGAGAAGCCCCAGCTTTCAGAGTGGATTGGGTGAACACTATTGAGAGAGAACAAATTCCCAGTACGCTGGATATGCACCATCAATCTCCCAAGCCAGTTATCTGAATCTCTACTCTTTCCTCATCATGAATAGTCATGATATTCCGGGGATGCAGTTCACCATGGGTCAAAGCTACAGAATGATTCTCTTGGAGCATAGGTCTAACAGATTTAAACATATGGTTCCATGTTAGACTGAGTATTACCACAGGGAAGAAGACCGGTGAACTTGACTCATTCCTCATGCACTCAGAGCTACGCGTTCCCACATTCCGCAGTCTATGCGCCAGGATGGATTTCCACCACCAAGATAGTGAGATGGTAATAGCAGCAATTGGAGCTTTCCAAGATAATATCCAGTTGATCTTAGACTCTTCAGAGTCTGTCCAGAAAACAGCCCTCGATAGCCTATAGGATTCATGAACATACAGGCTATGTTGAAAGAGAGTTCACCCAGAGACTGAGGGACTGGAATGTCTGCTGAATGGGTTTGAATATGAACCGTGATGTCTATGTTAGCGATATATTGGGGCCAAGCTTCACAGCAATCCCATTGTTGAGCTGCGCCACTACACACACAAAGCGACCTCAAAGAACCTTCTCATTCCTCAAGGCGCCAGATAGAGCAGTGTAGATGCTATTGCTTGCTCAGTTAGATCCCTGCTTAGTATACTGCTGCGAAAGAGCAGTGACTTCCAGGGCCTCCTGAAGATCTGGAGCATCATCCGCTTGAAATGATTCATCATTGCATAAGACAGTCTCTCCTAACTTGAGCTTGGGATCGGACTTGGAAAGGTTGGGTCGCTGTTGCCGGTTTGTGACTTGTAATTGTTAAAAAAGAGATGAAGACCTAGGTGACCGTGCCAAAGTATGAAGCTCAGGGCTATTTGCAAGCACGGAAACCTATCGGACGCCCTGCCCGGCAACATGCTGCTTAGGTGCCGTGGGTGACCGGATGCTACGGAAGGGAGCGCGCGGGGGCCTGGTCATTACTCCTAACCTGGCCTTCACATAATAGCATATCTCTTGGAAGGTTGTGTAGATGGACTGATTCCATTAAGTATCCTTCTACCAAAGCCATCAATATAGTCATGTGCTTCCCTATTTACATTATGAATTAGGGCAACATGCTCTGTTCCCCACAGCCTAGCAAAAGAGTCCATCAGAGAAGATAATTATTGAAAGTTGCCAACACCATCACAAACATTGGGTAGACAACATTCTGTGAAGTATACACAAAGAATAAAATTAGAGTACCGCAAAAGCATCGGGGAGGGTATCGCAAACAATTAAGGTATTATCCTGCAACTACAGCGCCTGGGTGGAAGGGGAAAAGACGAATCAGTTTAGATATGCTCAACAACTCGGGCGTTCATGGCTTGCTGAAACCCATCGTTTGTCTGGGTATCAAACGGGTTGCTATAATGGCTTGGGCCTTCACCAGTCCTCTCAGCCTCGTTGAGGGAATCCTGAATCTGTGCCATGGTTTGATTTGGGGCCGGCAGGAAGATGACTTTAGAGTTGGAGGTCTTGGCCATCTGCTGCATGGTCTCCAAATAGCGGATTTGCATAGCAGGAGCAGAGGACAAGATATCGGCGGCGGCTCTCATGAGCTAACGGCAACGTGTTAGTGCCAAAGTTTCTAGATTGGAGGTAGAGAAATAGATTCAAAGACGACGTAGGAAAAAAAAAAGGAAAAATAAAAATAAAAATAAAAATAAAGAAAGAAAGAAAGGGGGCGTACCTTGGCGGCCTCGACTTCTGCACGGGCAGCAATGACCTTACTCTCACCGATGCGCTTGGACTGAGCGGCCATGGACAGAGATTCCTGCAGCTCATCGCTGAAGATGAGATCCTTGATGAGCATGGATTCAACCTTAACACCCCAATCGGTGGCCACGTCGTCGATAATTTCCCGAATAGACTGGGCAATTTCCTCCCGACGCTCAATAACATCCTGCAGGACACGAGCACCAACCACCTGTCGCAGGGTAGTCTGAGTTCGTTCGATGAGGGCCTGGCGGACGTTCGCGACGCCGAAGGCGGCCTTGTGCGGAGAGACGACATGGTAATAGAGGACAGACGTCAGATGCAAGGTGACATTATCCTTGGTCATGCAAACCTGGCGCGGGACCTCAACAATTTGGATTTTGACGTCGATTGTCTTCAATTTCTCGCTGAGGACGTTGACTTTAACGAGGCCCGGATCGACGGCGCGTTCGAAACGGCCGAATTTGGTTACCAGGCCGACCTGTCCTTGGTCCACGGGCCTGAAGGGGTTGGGGCAGCACAAGCAGCACGGAATGGCACCAAGACAGCCGAGAAATTCACCAAGGCCGTGAACTGAGGGAGAACAGAGCAGGTAAGTCACGGTAGCTGGGGCGCTCTGGCGCGCGTATATGCATCAGGAACACCTACTAATTGCGGCATACCATCCGTGGCCCGCAGCGCTCTGGGTGGGATGGTTCAAGATCTGAGCGTAGCTTGGCTGGAGATCCTCGAGACGAGCGGGCTGGACAGTGATGATTTCACCCCCAGCGCTGCCGGGTTGGGCGCCAGCCTTGAGCGCGGCATGCGAAGGCTCCTGACTCGCAGCTGGAGCTTTACTGTTGCTCTGGGGGCCGAAATTTGTATTTTCCATATCCATATCGACAGTGCAACGCGACTTTAAATTATTATTTAATGAATAATGTGAAATGGGGGTAAATAATTTGGATTGCTGTTGGTCGAAGAAGATGAAGGGAACGAACAAAGGGCTAACAAGCGAAATTGGATATACAAAAAATAGAGGGTTCGGGGTCGGAACCTTGCTATGGACCCAAGAAACGCGTATCCGGTTGAATACGTGGGCAGAAAGAGCGGGATACTCGTAAAATATATGCGCAGAAAGCTGCGACAAAATCGAGCTTGACAAACAACCACCGACCGCGTGAAGCCTTAAAAGGGTTGGGAGAGGGGGTTCTGGGGAAGCGAAACTGTCAGCCATGCCAGTTCTCCACAGCCGCTTGGCTCTTCCGCCGCCTTGTGAAACGAACCATCTCGCTTCCTGGCTGCTCTCCCGTCTCTATCCGTCTCGCTGCTCTCAAAATCCCTGGTTTACTTGAACTTACTTCTACTCTACGACCAGCTCATTATTATTCTTGCGTCGCCGGTTTGAACTGCTCGTCATGTCTTGTGAGAGAGATCGCTCACTGGCCCCCTCAACGAATCCTCCCAGCAGGATGCCTTGACTCCGCACATCTCCTTCACAAAGTGGCTGTGCTTCGTCGAAGCGCCTAACCCCCGGGCCATAACACCTGCTATCTGGACCCTTACTCGTCAACTTTGGGAGAAGAAGCATCGAATATTCGAAAAGTCATAAGACTGCCTTGCACCGCCCCTCCGCCATTGCCGATTTTCGGAAACTTTGTTCCAAGGCTAAAAGGGAGGATGACGGCTCACGATCGTGTTGAAGAGAAGTTGGAGAGCTCGCGCTGTATAGCCCGATGCATCGCATCAAAGCACTGGGAACAGGATTTCCGAATAATCGGTGGACCTTGGACTTCGGCGGCCGGGCTTGACCCATTTCAATCTACCCAGCTAAATAGAAGCATGGAGGGGAATTTATCGGGCTCCGATGATGAGGAACTTCTTGGGGCCTCCCTCCATGTCTGTCTATCAAATTACACCACGCCACCTGGAACGAAGCTTTTGAATGTCGAGGCTTGTTGTTGTGGTCTCGTGCATCCTATCGAAGTATAATAATTGCGCCTTGCTTATCTTCCTTGCTGACATCTACAGGTGGATATCCTTGATAGCCTTGCGCCGCAGCATGGCAATGATTCCATCTCCCTTTGCTTCGTGTGAAGCGAAGTTGAGGACCTTGGGTTCGGATTACGGTGTTCATGGAGAGTAACCGGCGATGCTCTCATGTTTCACCGTATCATCATCAAAGGCTAACACGATGCTTTGTCATATGATTTCTAACCCGTACCTAGTCCCGGATGGAACCGAGAGAAAGGCCCATTGGTCTCATATACCTTTCCTGGAACAACAGGTTAAAAAGCCATGGATGAACCGTGGCAAAAGTCTGTCTCAGATTCTATTTTTGGACATCTGGTCTTTTCCCTTGAAGCTCGGTATAAGTTGCGCTTGTGTGCAGCTCATGATAGCAAATATGTATAACTATATTTTGAATGCGTCGCTTAAGCTGGTGGAAAGGTGACCTTTTTTTTTTCCCCTCACATTATCGTTTAACTGACAGCTCCCCATTGCTCTGGGGAATCGGCCTACGGGCCCTCCCTTTTGTTCCCATTTCGCCGTGATTAACTCGCAGGTATCAAGCCAGGTACGGAGCATACAAGGTAGCTACCGTATTTGCTCTTTTACCTAGGTACAAGCTCAATGCCCGTCAAACAAGTTAGGGAACCTTCTGTGACCCAAACGTTTCTGCATCATGCAAAACCCAGCTCTCAATTGCAATGCTTACGCCTAGTCTGGTAGATTTTCCGGGATATGAAAATGTACTAAGGAAAGGCCCATTACTGATAAGGTGCAGGGAAGGAATTTTTTTTTACGTTTTGCCCTGTGCAGGTTGTCCCGCGGCTTTTTCTTGTTGTTGTATTGACTACTCCGTACTCTGTACACAACATGCATACTCTCCGTCCTCCTCTCTGTGTAACCTGTAATTAAATGCACCTGCAGCTGGGATAAGAAAGGAATGACACATTGTTATTGTTTACTCTGTTCTCTATACAGTGTATTCTTTTGATTTTACTCCATATATGTACTTATACTTTGCTCTCAATTTTTAATTTTTTTTTTTTTGCTTCCCTTTTGTTGCTTTCTCTCTCTCCTAAATCATCAAGCTGTGCGATTTTAGGGCCAAGAGTTGATGATTAGAGCTTTTTTGATTCCGTGCTTTGGCGTGTGGGCTTACTGCCCGGACGCCATGAGATCATCAGCCCCACTATCACATGCTGACTCGAAGTGATATCAACATTTATCTATTTTAAAAATTTTCTTTTTTTTTTTTCCACAAGAGCAAAATGATTGTAATGGCTGTGGAGTTTAGAAACAGGGACAATTGAACGAAATGAATTAGAATTGGATACCAATTTAAGCCGCCCAGGGGAGTTGTATAGTACATACATACTGATAGGGAGAGGCGGGAAAGGGGTTCTCGACTAGAAAGGGCGATAACTGTTGAAAGATGAAAGAAGAACGAATGGATTGAAGATGGGATGATATGTTTCGATGACTTTTTTTTTCTTGCACTCCAAAAAAAGAAAAAAGAAAGAAAAAGAAAAAAAGAAAAAAAAGGAACCCAGCCCAGATAACTAACCGGAGACAAGAAGCGATTGCAAAACTCAAGCCAGCTAAAAAAGAAAAAAGAAAAAAAGGAATACAAACCAGATCCCAGTACACTCAGATTTTGCAATCTAGACCATGAAGTTCTAAATAAATCCAACCCAGACAGCGAGGACGACGAGGTACAAAACCAGAATGTAGATATGTGAAGACGCCATGGTCAATCAACTTTTGGCAGGCTTGGCCTTCTCGCCGTTTCGACGAGGCTTTCCGTTCTTCGCGGCCTCGTTGGTTTTCGCTTCAGGGATCAGGTATCCCCGAAGCCACAGGCAGGAATCCGCGGTGAGCCTTAGGCCAGTTGAAACAGCAGCTTTGCTGCGCGAGAAGGAACCGTCTCCGACCGCATTTCGCTCAGACGAATAGGTCTCGAGAACGTAGCCCTTCCCGTCCTCCGCAAGGCGGAAAGGGGCAGAGACGTATCCTCTGATGGTCTCTTTGATATTCTCCGAGGCGTGGATGACGGCGGGGATGGTGCTGTCCATGCGGTTGAGGCCCTCATTTCCGAGCTCGTCGGCTTTGGAGACGTACGGGGCTACGTAGCCGTACGGTTTGGCGAGGTAGGGGAGGAAAGGTTTGGCGAACTGGGAGTAGCCTTGGTCGGCGAGCTCGAGCGATTTCTGGCCGTAGGGATTGGCCTTTATGTTCTCGAGGGATCCGGAGACGAAGGGATATGAGGCGAGGTGCTGGAGACGGGAGTCAGTAAGAATGCTTTTTCGGGCCTTATGGGGTGGGATGGGATTCACGTACGTTGATGAATTGGGATTGAGGGTGATCTCCGTTGACAACTGGCTCGCCCATGACGTCTTTTTCTGCGTGTGGCATGGGATGAAAAAGGTAGAGAATGAGTGTATGGATTGATTTACACCAGCACAAGATAGGTTCGACTGGATCGAGGTTGTCAGGAAGCAGACTGGAGAGGCGATGATGATTTCGGACAGGAAGAGTCTCTTTGTCTGCTCTAGCACGGGGTGATCAGAGTACAGATCGACGGATTGAGCACGAGGGATGGACGATGAAAGGGAGCAGGAGAGCGGATGGGAACAGGGACTACATATATAGGACGAGCTTATCTACGAAACAGGGCGGCGGCGAAAAAGGTTGTCGGGAGAGGCAGGCTAGGTTCGGCAGCTCTCGCCTAGCAGCAGCAAGGTCGGGATGTATCCATGATATCGGGAGCGATGGGCGTGTAATTGGAAAGCTTCCACACCCCCCCTTCTCCGCTCGCTGCAACTCTGTGGACAATCCAGAGCCCTGCTTTTGCTGCTGCTTCGAGACCGTGGGAGTGCTCTGAGAGCGAATCATGGCGACGGGACGAGCAACGATCCTTGGCGATCCCCTGGGCCTGGCCACTGAGAGCGTGCGGTTGCTGGCATGTGAAAGTCACTGGGTTGACTAGGTACATGCGGCTCGTTGGGAGAGCGAAAACTCTCGACCGCGTTATCGAGCTGGATGATGCAATCCATGCATATGCCAGCGAGCATACGATGCCACTGGGCAGCGGCTGGCTCTGGGCCGCCGATTGCTCAAGACCTTTGCGTGCTGACTCGCTCAAGCCATCCATCCACGCTGATTCATTTCCCGCCCTCTTTCAGGAAAAGCTTGGGAGGCTCAACGCCAAGCGGGACGGCCTGGCATGTGAATGTGGATGATGTAAGCGGGACTTGGACATATGGCGCAAAACCCTGTGGCTCGAGCTCTGGCCACCTGCACGCACCGCCCGGCTTAATTTGTCATTTGGCGTGGCCACAGCTCTCTCTCTCTCTCTCTTTTGCTATGCAGTGTGTTGGATGTGCGTTAACTCCTACGCCCCCTGCTTCCCTGACAGGGCAACGGAGGCCGTTCTATCAAGTTTCCCATCGCTTCTCTGGTTACCCAAAACGAGTTTGCTTCGTGTCCGGGGCCACGTTATCGGGATTGGAAGATACACTCGGAAAGATTGGCAGGATACCCATGCCAGTCATGGGGTACGGATGTACCTGGAAGATACTACTCTTACCGCTGTCTGCTGAAGATACCTGCGTATAATATCTTGCGGGGATGGACAGCTATGGCTCTATTACACCATCTTTGCATATTCCGCTATCTCCTATCTCAATCTATCTCAATCTAGTGGATTATGAACCGGAGTATAGAGCTGCCCCGGCTTAAGCCTGTTTGACTTTCCGAATTGACAGTTGAAAGGATTATGTGTTACTGGATCCCCAGGGTAGATATGTATCCAACGCTTTCCACTTTTTATCAGAGAGTCAGAGAGAGAGAGAGTGTGTGTGTGTGTGTGCTCTTTTGCTAGAGAAGGCCCTTTTCGAAGTTACCAGGTGATGCGAAACCGCAGAAGCAAGAGGGATATGATTTTAGACCCCTTGGCGATTGCCTCATATGGTTCAACTGCCACCCAGCAGGGCCGTCGGTGTTCCGCCATTTCTCGTCCTGCCGTGGAATCTAATGTGGAATTCCGGGGATTATTAATGTATCCCACTGGTCTATAAACAGCAGTTTTCACCGATCTGCCAAATGCTCTTCCAACGCTTCTTCCTTGCCGATACTCCACTGCCCGTAGCTTCGAGCAAAATTTGAGTTTGGAGAAAAGCCTGGAGAAAAGGAGAGGTGGAGGAGGGTATGCCATGGTAGTCGTCGTTGCCGTTCGCTCTAGAGCTTCTTGGGGGCGTTGGAGACAATTGGACAAACCACTTCATTACGTATAGACAGGCGATTTGACCCTGTCAATTTTCAGCTTTCCCTCCTGTCTACTTTCATCATTGGCCGTTCTTGAGACAGATAGCGTTGCTCTCATTAACTCCTGAAATAACAGTTCGGGTTGCAAAAGCGGAGGAATGGGCTAGAAGCCGTGATCCCTGGTGGAATACAGTTGATTCTAGCGAGTAGCAAAGCCCTCCAGGAATACGACCGTTGATGGGCCAATGGGTGCCATGGCCACACTCGTTGTTCGAAGAGCGGAACATGGTGTCGGGGATGTCGTTTGGGCGGGGGGGTTAAAATAGCCACCTACCTTGCACTTATTATTCAAATGTGCTCCAACGTACGTGCATCCTCAGGGTACACACTGTGCCAACGACGAACCACGCACCTATCAGGCTTCTGGCTTCCCATTTTGAATCCATATTGCATTGTGGTCCTCTTGGGCTAGACCGGGACTCGGAACCGCCTGTTGCGATGGAAGTGGGCGAAGATGCTAGGTTATCCGAGCTTGGACGGCGTCCTGACTTACTCTGCTTGACCTGCAGAGGATGCGATTTAAGTGTCGATCAAACGTTGTTGTGATTTTGACTAAGGGTCCTCCGTCCTGCGTGCCTTGTATGCACATGCATTACATGTGCATGTATGGTATCCGCTAATGACGATGTTCGCTATCGTGTAATCCGCGATGGAAGGAATCAACAAGGGGTGGATGACGGTGACAAAGTATAGCTAGCCTTCCGCGCAAGAGAAGGCTGAGATTGCGATTAATTGCATGATTGCTCATCAGTCTCTGAAGCAGCTGAAGAGATAGGTTGTATCAAGCATCAATCGCGTGCAAGGATGGCTCGATAAGCAAATCGGATAACTACTACGAGAAATAGGATCGCTACACGTATTTTGGTATCTACATGGCTTCTTTTCTGGCTGACACTATCTCCGTCCTCACATCGTTGCTTGCTATCTATCCATTCACGTGTAGCAAGAGAATTCATGTGATAATGTGGTGATCCGCACTGGTCCCCACCCCGTTGCGTCTAATGGGTTGCTTGTGGACTATCAACCCTGGATATCAGGCCGATTGATAAGGGTAATATGTTGCTAAATTGGAAGAAAGTTGGAATCCGTAATGCAAAAGTTACTTCAGAAATGCGAGAAGTGGGCCGCTGGCGGGCTTCTTTTTGTCTAATTTTGGTAGTATTCGGTATCATACGAGAACCGGGTGCTAATTTGGGGGAATGAGCTGTGCATGTCGTGATAGTGAGCTTTGATGATGCATCAACGGAAGCGAAGGACCGATTTAACGAGGTTTGCGACCAGTTGGCCTGATGAACTTAGCTGATAAGGGGAGTTCAATGGATACTTATTGATATCCAATCTCCACGGGGATTGAGGATAGCTGTTGTCCAAAGAATACATACAACCGGGAACTGTCAACATGGCGATTCCATTTTGTGACAGGTAACCGGAATCCTTTTTTTGAGTCCTAATCCCAGCGCTTCATCCCTCGAAAAGTGGTGCACAAATTGGATTTTGTGTAAGTTCATCAAGCCATTGCCTGATATGCATGGATTCCATTTTGTTTTACTCCCTCTTCGCTATGGCGTATCTATGCATAAAAGACGCAAAGGTTTCATAGCAACCAGAACCATCCCATTAGAAAATGAAACGAGAAAACGCATTTAGAATCCTACCAGAGTTGTCAGTGAACCGGGCGATTAAAATCTGCGGGGTCCCAATGCCAGAAGACATGAGGAGCCAAACAGATGGGAAGATAAGACGTACGCAAAGGAGTAAAGAACCATCTGTTCTTGCCGCTTGTGTAGCGGTCCTCCAGAGCCTTCTTCACTGTCTTCTTAGCCTCTTCCCGTTGTGACACCTCCTTGAATGTATCGTTTGTGACGACACCCTTCAATCCCTCCAATTCAAGTGTGTAGCGGGTGGGCATCAGGTGGTTGTAGTTGACGGTCTTGATGAATGGCTTGACCTTGCTGCGCTTGGCGACCTTTTTGGCACCCATTCTCTTGGTGACCTTGGATGGGTAGCGCTCAATACCGGCAACGAGGGCATATGGGAAAGGGTGGGCTTTGGAACCGGCGTCGTATGGCTGGATGATCACGACCTGGAAAAGGTGCGCAAAAAGTGCATATCGTCAGCTTCGATGTTGTCCCTTTTTGTGGTTTTTGCTCTCCTCCCTCTTTCCCGCCCATTCTCCAAATCCAAAGAGTTCCAAATCTGTATATCGCTCTGGCTAATTTCTTCGATTCTTTGATTTCTAACTTCTTCCCTAATTGACGCCGCGCTCGGGACAAAAACAACAAATTCCTCGTTGGCAAATTCAATGCGATGAAAAATCGTATCGTACCTTCTTTCCGGCATATCGCCCTCTGGTGATGATGGCCACACGGCCAACCTTCATGACTAGAATGCGCCTCAAGTCAGCATCGCCCGAGGACACAGTCCAAGCCTATGGCGGAGGGGATAAAAATCAACGTACACTTCATTTTTCAAAAGGTCCGACCGGCAAGCTCTGGATGGCGTTTGGTTGAGAGAGCGTGAACTTGTCGACTTTTCCGCACGCCTGTTGAGGGTCGACCACTGACAAAATTCGAGGTGAACGACAGTGTGAGATTTGGGGCGGTTTGGTTGTGTGCCGACTGCTGATTGGCCCGCTTATCGAGAACCACGCCTAGCCTTATTAGGATAGTTTCTCCATCAGGACTAGCGCCGCCTGCCCTGGCCAGCCACTCAACAAGCCCATCGCTCTGGCAACTGAGGAAAAGCGCCGCCGTATCCCTGTTTGTTTACCTGCGACGCCCAATGACGGCTTGTTGCCATGCAGTTGGCAGTTGCCATGTCAGTCGCAGCTGCCCAAAAAAGCTCTGGGCGAGTCGCAGGCGTTGTTCTCCTGGCCAGCGGCTTTTGCGTCCTGCGGCGATTGTGTTTTGCGCCTGTGTGATTGTTTACTGCATGGTCCACCCTTTGTTACTTCCTTCCTTCCGCTTCCTGCCCATAACTAGCTCTTCTCGGCTGCATACATCAACCTCCATCCTCCATCCTCCATCCTCTGCCATCGCTACTCTCTTGTCATGATAGCTGCGTGATCATAATCGCTGGCGTTATTTGGTTTTTTATGTTCTTGTTTTTAATGATTAACGAAGTCCTTTGAGTAATTGTACATTTGCGACGTTTTTTGCCCTTTTTCATCTACACAGTTTAGCAATGGCCTCCAACGAACGAGAGGGCTATTCAGACCGCGAGCTGGTGCTCAAAGGTCATCATCATCGTCACCACCACTCGATCTCCGAAACAGGCCGTCCCCATATCCCAATGTATGTGAAGTTCGATTCTTATCTACCTCGTAGCTTTTCTTGCTCTATAGTAGCGGGATTGAGACTGATGGGCAAACTGCAGGTGGGATAGCGCCGACCCCGATAGAGCGCCTCCGCCGTTGCCATTGAATCCAGGCTCTGGCAGCCCCAAAACAAGAGCAAATGCTTCCGCGACTATACAGGCTGCTGCTGCTGCACTTGTAGAGAAAAGCTATGACAACACTCCAAGTGCATACACGGTCAATCCAATGCCGCTTAAGCCTTCTCCAGAAAAGTCTCTTATCAAGGGCCAATATCACAAGCGCATGCAGTCATTCCAAAATGCAACGACAAATAGCCGAGAATTTGCTTCTTACCTCGAAAGGAGATCACCAGAGAAGGCGCATCGTGCCAGTGTTTATGAGCCGGAAAATAGAACTCCAGAGAAGAAACAAACTCGATCAAGCAATTCCACTCCATCCGGGCGTGAATCTCCAACTCATCGACCGTCGAGCCGATACTTGTCGAAGCCCATTCTCGGAGAAAACACTCCCCCTTCTGCTACCATGCTTGCGCTGCAAAATATGCAAGTGCCTATCGACATTGATCTGCCCCAGTCGGCTCTCACCACCAGCGCAAATACCCCTTCGAAGCAGCAGCCTCAGAGTATTGAAGCTCTCTCTGCGCAAATCATCAGCTTGACCAGCATTGCGACCTCTTTGCAGCAGGAAATGGCCCAGTTAAGTCGCCGAAGCAAGGATAACGCTACCGACCTTGTCAGCCTGAAGGCTGCAACGAACGCACGGGACGAGGATATTCGAAAGAGCCTGAAGGAGTTGGCCTCAAATCTGTCCTCGAAAATCTTTGAAGCAGAAAACAATTCTCGGTCATCCGTACATCCTAATACAAGCTCTTACATGATCGACAATAGAGACTCGTCTCCAAGCTCGAGAAAGAGTTATTCCCTACCGCGCATGCCTAGTCCAAGTAGCTTTGCTGCGGCTATGGAAAGGGAGCTGACAGGATCACCAGCCATTTCCACGGACGGATCTGCAAGTATTGCGCTCCTCGAAAAGGTTTTAAGAGAAATGGCGACGAAAGAAGGGCAAGAACAGCTCTTACAACTCGTCGAGGGCATGAAGTCTAACTCAGGAGATAAAAACACCGATGGCCCAATGCTCAAAATGCTGGAAGAGATCCTTAACGTGGTCAAGGAGAGCTCAAATAGCCGCGCCCTTGTAAAGTCGAGAGCGCTGGGTGATAACACTGGGATTGACGCGTCAATGGAAGGATCCGATCAGTTGGCGAATGTGGTAGATAGAGATGGCTCGCCTATGCCATCCAACGCTATAACGGAGGATGTCCTTAGCATCCTCAAGCGAGTGAAAGCCAGCGTGAGTGAAGGCGGAGGGATAACAAATGAGGTCAAAGCACTTGTTCGCGAACTCCGTGGAGAGGTTCTAGGAATGGGTAGGGAAATCGCTCGAAAGCTCGAGGAAGCTGAAGCACGACGAGGTTCGGACGAAAATAAACCTATCCCTCCAAGCCAAGAAGAAATTCAACAAATCGTTGAGGGCGGACTAGTTGAATTACGACAGCAAATGGAACGATTGATTCACGAAAGCCAGAGTCAAGCAGCGCCGCCCCCAGTGCGCTGCAATCTGGACAGCGAAGAGATCTATTTGACATTGCAGAAGGCTCTGGAAGAAAGTCCCCTAGCTAATCAGCCCCCTCCGCAACCGGCAAAGCCTGGAATTGAGAGGGAAGAAATCCTTGAAGCCGTGCGAGAAGCATGGGAAACTTACAAGCCGGAAATTGAGCTTCAAAATTTTGGCCTTGAACGAGAAGAAATTCTGGAGTGTTTGGCAGAAGGGCTGAAGGAATATCAACCGAAGAAGGATGACATCGAGCCAGGAGCAACCTACGAGCAAGTTGTTGACGCGATCACTCAAGGACTACAAAGCTTCAATCCCCCACGTGTTGAACCAGACGTCTCCTCAATTCGGGATGATCTCGTAAACGCAGTGCGCGAATGCTTGGAGAGCTTTGAGTGGCCAATTCCTCCGGCAGTTTTCGAAAGAGAAGCTCTATCTCGTGATGATGTCTTGAGCGCTGTTAGGGAAGGATTCGAAAACCACGAGCCAGCGCCTAAGGAGCCGGAAATCAAAAGTGAAGAAGTTTTCGAGGCTGTTCGAGCTGGCTTTCAAGACGCCTCCAACTCTCTCAGTGACACCTTCGGCGGTCAAGTAATGGATCATTTCCATGAAGTTGTTGCTGAGATCAAAGATGAATTCAAGGAATACTCTGCTGCCAACGGCAGAGATACGGAGCAGGTCCTTGATGCCATCAAGGGTGGCCTTGAAGTCTTGCGAGGAGAAGTCGAGTCTTACGTCGACCGGGCAGCCGACGTGACCGGCAAAGACGAGATAATCGACACCGTAAAAGAGGGGTTTAGGCTTCTACAGGCAGACATTGAGAAAACGATTTCGGAATCTTCCCAGAACCGGCCTACCGACACCGTCGAACTCTTAGATGCAATGGAAAAGGAGTTCGAGCATCTACGCCAGACACTGAGCAACCTCCTTATTCGGAGCAATATCTCGAGTGAGAAGGACGAGATTCTCGATGCGATCCGAGACATCACAGAAAATGATCAATTCAAGAAAAACAATTCTGAGGTGTCGGATATGATCAAGGAGGAGTTTACGCAACTCCGCGAGACCTTGAGCATGGCCATTGTGAAGTCGAATCCGACAACAGAGAAAGATGAGATTATATCGGCCTTCAAGGAAAGTTTCGAGATACTTCTTGATGAGTATAATCGCAAGAAAGATAGCGAGAGCGTGCTGTCAAACACCAGCGAACTTCTTGACGCGTTCCATGATGGTGTTGATGTCCTACGGTCCGATATGGACAAGATTTTAAACAAAGCTCCGGACATGAGTGTTAACGACGAACTGCTGAATATACTCAGAGATGGGCTTGCTAGCGTCAAAACCGAGATTGAGCAGCTTCGGGATTTCCAAAAAGAGGCAGACGAGACGAATGTAGCCCGCGGTAAAGAATTGATGCTGGCAAGCGAGTCGTCTATTGGCGCCGACATCGAGAGCTTAAAGGTTCTAGTTACTCAGCTGCAAATCAAGGTCGAGTCAATTGAACCAGTACCCGAAATTCCAGAGATTGATCCAAACATCACAAAGAAGGAAGATTTAGTGGAAATGGTAGATGCAATCAAGGAAATTCAAAGCTTGGTTTCTGAGCTGAGCTCTCGCGAGAACCCGTTGGAGGGGGCAGCAATGAAAGAAGATGTTGAAGCTGTTGGGTTGCTGGTTGACAGCATAAAAGCGCGGCTCGACGAGTTATCAACTTCGACTAATGCCAGTTTTGTCACTGCTGAGCGGGTTGAAGGGCTTGAAGTTTTGACAAAGGAATTGAAGGACCTGATAACTGGCTTTGTCGCTCATGTGGAGACAGAAGGGCCGACGAAAAATGAAGTTGCGAATCTGGAGACGGTGCTCAAGGACGTGTGGGCAGCCGTTGAGGACCTTAAGGCTGCCGCATCTAAGGACCTAGAGGAAGACCCAGAAAAAATCGTCAAAGAAGACTTCCGGAATGTGGAAACTTTAATCTTCGAAATCAAATCCCAACTCGATGAGTTTGTTCTCCCCGATGTTCAGATGATGCCAACCAAGGATGACCTTGGCCTTCTCACAACCTTGGTTAATGAGTTCAAGGAGAAAATGGAGGTTGAGACCGAACTTACAGCACAAGCTTTCGAGGCTCGCAAAATAGAACATGGTGGCCTTGCGGAAAAGATCGAAGATGCCAAAGCTTTGATAAGTGGACTTCGGGACGAAATCAAGGAGAAGCTTTCAGAAAGTGATGAAAGCCTCAATGACCTTAAAACCATGGTTTTGAGTTTCAATGATGCGGCAGAGAATCTGGCAAAAGCGGAGACCATTAAAGAGCTGTCTGATCTTGTAAATCGCGAATTTGAGCGTTCTCATGGTGATCGCGAGGCTGCAAAGATGGAGACAGAGGAAAAGCATTCCGAGTTATTGTCTAGGCAGGAAGAAGGTCGAGACGCTATTCTGTCAGATCTAGGAGCAAGAATTGATGAGAAATTCAACGAGGTCATTGCGAAGTACGAAGACGCTCAAAGTGCTCTGGAGTCTAAGTTTGTGGCCGTCGAAGAGAGAGATGTGCAGTCTTTCGAGACCTTGACTAGCACCAGGAGCCTTGCAGAGGATATCAAGATGGTTATCGGCGGTATGGGTGATTCACTCTCTGAAGCTTGCGACAGAATGAGCGACGACGCAAAAACGTTCTTTGAACGGGTCGATCAGTCGTTTCTGAAAGTTGATGAGATGCATACCGATGTCAAGATGCAGCACGAGGATCTGAAAGGCCAATTCGAGAAGGCTGTCGCTGCGACAGACCGGTTAGAACGTCACCTCGCGGATTCGCATCCCGAAATCCTCAACTCCGTTAGAGATATATTAGCAATAGTCGGTCAACATTATGAACACTCGCGAAGGATGACAGAAGAACTCAAGACCGATCTATCTGCGATTCCACAGGCGATCCCACCACTTTTCCATCAGCTAGCGCTACCAGCTCCCGAGGAACCCAAGGAGGAACTAGAGAAGTACGATGATTCCAAAGTTCACGAGAAGCTCGACACTCTTCTTAGCAAGGAGCTACCAGAGTACGAGAAGTATGATGATTCCCAACTGCAAGAAAAGCTGGATGCGCTGCTGCTTAAGGAAATCCCAGTGCCGGAGAAGTATGATGACTCCCAGGTGCAAGAAAAGCTGGATGCGCTGCTGCTTAAGGAGGTCCCTGAGCCGGAGAAGTATGATGATTCCCAACTGCAAGAAAAGCTGGATGCGCTGCTGCTTAAGGAGGTCCCTGAGCCGGAGAAGTATGATGATTCCCAACTGCAAGAAAAGCTGGATGCGCTGCTGCTTAAGGAAGTCCCAGTGCCGGAGAAGTATGATGACTCTCAAGTGCAGGAAAAGCTCGACACTCTCCTTCTCAAAGAGGCTCCAGAACCGGAGAAGTATGACGATTCTCAGGTATTGGAAAAGTTGGACGCTATCCTTCTAAAAGAAGCTCCTGAGCCAGAAAAATATGACGATTCTCAAGTACATGAGAAGCTTGATACCATACTGAAAGAAACGAGCGCAACAACTGAATCTATGGCCCGGATAGACCAACTTGATGAGATCCACGAACAACTCACAAGCATGGCAAGGGAGGTTAGTGAACTAATGGCTACGCAGACCAAAATTGTCACAGAGGAGCGTAGTAATAAGGAGAAAGAGGCCATGGAGACAGCCATTGCTTTAGAGAAGAGGTTAGCGCAGAAGGAGAAAGTGAGGGCAGAAATTGTTTCCCTGAACGAAGAAAAGCAAAGCCTCTTGGAATCAGTTCGGTCACTGAAGGAGGAGAACGATGATCTTTCGAAGTATCAGGTCAAATTGGCCAAAGAAGTGGCAGGGTTGGAGACAGCATTACGGATCCGACGCGAAGAAGTACAACTCATGGAGAGTCGTGCGGAAGATCTTGAACGGCGGATTGTAGAAGGGGTTCTGGATCATGCCCGCAGCCAGCTTCTTGGTCGGCCCTCTTCCATGGATGGTACAAACTTGAAGCGTGTCCCAAGTTCTGCGAGTACAGCGACCCGGAAAAGCGTTGCCAGCAACGTCAAAGACGGTGTTCTCAGTAGTGGGGTTAATTTAGCCTTGAAGAGACGAAAGGCGAACGCAGCGTCTACGCTCTCCTCCAATTCAGGTAACGGACGACGGATCCTGAGCCTTAGCCATGTCACAGGCAACCGTGGAACTAAGGACCGACAGTTGCTGCCTCAATCCAATAGTGGTGGGTTGGCTAATTTGAAAAGAAGTCACTCAGTCAAGTCAACATTTCCTTTTCGAAAGGCATCGTGGGACACTCGAAGTTCGATTGCCAACAAGGAAAACGAGGTAGTCAAGGAAGAGGATGAGACTTGCGCTGGCGATGTCAGCGACGCTGAAACGGAGCGTAGAACAAGTTATGGCGACAGCCCCTCGTATGTCGCCGGCAGTACCGTGTCCACGGACCGAAGGACAAGTTGCAGTTCAACCAACGCCTTGGTTTCCGCTGAGCATGGGACTTTGGTCGAAGGAAGCGTGGACAACGTCAGCCATACCGAAGAGGAAGCCGTCGGCGGGGAGGATGGTGAGGAGCGAAGCCCGATTCCATCCGAGTTTGGGGATGAACACGATATAGATGGGGGTAGTGACTTGGACAGGGGCGATCTGGTGGTGTACAACCAACCCAGTGACAGTGGGATTGGTGCTGATATGCCTTCGTCTGCGAGCGAGAAGGGATTCAATTTTGCACAGGAATCCGTCCTAACATAGTGCCGCGGTGCTCAACGACAAGGTTGATTTATTTTAATGATTATGATAGTGTTCTTTCGGTCACAATGGCTTTCCTTTGTTGATTATGTTTCGTTCTCTTGACAGCAGATTTCCTTTTTGTTTGCCTTTTTGTTCATGGGATCAGACCAGCAGGCATCAGCGGCGATGTTTGAGCGATCTGTTCATGTGCAGCCAAGACCTGCATTGGATGATACCATAAAGTTGTATTTCCTTATGATAGCTATATTGATGATAAGAATGAGCAAAACGCATTTATTTTCCACAGCCGTACCGACTATTCCTCTCTCCCTCTCTCAAGGTCGTAGCTTTGTCTGTCTTATATACGGAGTATGCGTTTTTATGTCAAACGCTGCTTGAGCGCCTCGGCCCCGGGGCTTGGCTCGTTCATGTGGCTCAGGCCGCTGGGTCCCGTGGTGGGTCAGCGGGCGCGAACTAGACCCAAACAGGCTAGAGATGTGGCTCGTTCTCCCCAACAATCTTATCAGGCGGTCAGCTGATACGCGTGATCTCATTGGCTGACGTCACTTGGCAGTACTTTTCGGCAGGCGCGACCGCCTTCACCACTTGCTGCGTGTGTTTGGGGGCCTGCCGCTTCAGGTCGCTGCGGGCTGTGGACCAACAGACAAAACCCTCCGACCGGCAAGCAGCCATGCAGCCCTGACCTTGTGTCCGTCTCCTCCCGTCGTCTGCTACAGTCCACGATCTCTGACTGACGGACAATTCCTCTTGTTCATGGATAGATGAATCTTCCAGGTCCCTGCTGTTGAGCCTCCTGTGTTCCTTAGCTTGTTTACGCCGTTGGTTCGAAACTCTGCGTGCGTGCTTTTCTCCTCTGTCGCCCTCCTGGGTTCGGATCGAGCCGCCATGTTGGACCCTATTCCCCCTCCGCCGGAGTGGCTTCAAAATCTCGTCCGACCGTTCGCTGAATACGTCTCTCTGCCCTCTCTACAATATCATATTCACGAAGTCCTTGCCGCCTTCGTTTTCTACCAGTTCGTCCAATCCGTTATCTCACCGGCTCTCTCGTCGTGGTTGTTCCCAAAGATATATCCGAATTTCCCGCGACGGACGAAGCTGAACTGGGATGTCCATGTTGTCTCGCTTGTGCAGAGCACGCTTATTAACGCTGTGGCTCTTTGGGTCATGTTTGTGGATGAGGAGCGAAAGTCGATGAGTGCTGCTGAGAGGGTGTACGGGTATTCCGGCTCCTGTGCGCTCATCCAAGCCATGGCAACGGGATATTTTCTGTGGGATTTGATTGTCAGCACGCTGCATGTCAGGATTTTTGGCATCGGCCTGTTATTTCATGCCATCAGCGCATTGTGGGTGTTTAGCTTGGGATTCGTAAGTCCTGATTTTATGGCTTCAACTTTTTTTTTTCCCCTCTCTAGTATTCATGCTTACTGTTCATCTAGAGGCCGTTTGTAAATTATTACAGCCCGGTCTTCATTCTCTACGAGCTCTCCAGCCCGTTCCTCAACTTCCACTGGTTCTTCGACAAAGTCAACATGACAGGTAGCAGAGCCCAATGGTACAATGGCATGGTTCTCCTCTCGGTATTCTTCTCCTGCCGCCTAGTGTGGGGAACCTATCAGTCGGTCAAGGTATTCGCAGATATCTTCAATGCACTAAGCCAAACACGCGCTTCGTCTACTCTCCGTGAACCGTTCAACATTTATACAATGGTCTTCCAGGCCCGAAATACTTCACTTTGCATTGATGAGTCGTGCATTAAGGCCAACAATGAAATATCCAAATTTGCCAGCCACCAGGAAAGCGGTATACCACTCTGGCTGGTTCTTACATACCTAAGCAGCAACTTGGTTCTCAACTCACTGAACTTCTACTGGTTCTCGAAGATGATTGAAGCGGTGACGAAGAGATTCAAAACTTCTGCTGACGGAAAGGCCAAGAAGGAAATTTCCTCACCAATAACAGAGAAGGAAGCAGAAGCCATGGTCCTCGATGCTGCGGCTACGCTCGAAGAAAAGGAGAGAGTCTTCATCAATGGCGGCATGGAAGAGGATGGGTCTGAGGATAAGAAGCAAGGGATCATTGCTTCCGCTGAGCCTCAGAATAGGACCCCTGGCGTTAGGAGACGGAAGGCGTAGGGCAATTTGTATCTGTTTTGATGATCCCGGTTGTAGGTGTCTTTTCCCTTTATGAATATTCTTCGCAAAGAGAAATATGGGTTGATGGGAGTGTCTCTGCTCTTTTATTGCATGTATGGCTCGTTATGGGTTCAGTTTATCTGGGTGTCTCTGTGTGGTGGGCTAGATCGGTGCCTATATCTCTCTGCTGGTTCTTTTTTATTTGTTGTATGCCCCGGATGCTCCGTAGATATACTCCGTAGATAAACCTAATTCGTTATGATTATATAGGGGGTTTTGATTGGAATGCGGGTTATGATGTATATATGCCCTTGGTGGTGTCATGAAACAAATTCTATAGCATATTACCTTCTCATTAAGAGTTTAAAATGGCGGTCACATCATGGAGTCGATGGTGAAAACATCATACTGAATTAAAACAGGCGCTAGAGCCCAACCCAATATAGAGATATCATACATAATAACATAAAGCACTCCCCAGATGGACAAAACTCCTTTTTCATGTAGAGCCCATTCAACCCAGATAGCTTTCTCAGCTAAAGCACCTCAACGCCCCATATGAGGTGGTCTAGCAAGCATATACCGAGCAGCTTCCCTCGCCACAGGCGTATCCCATGCACTGTTCAGCCCACCTCTCCTAAACTCCGGTGCATTAGGATCTGGACGACCCGCTCTCGTCGATTCTCCCAGGATGGTTTCCAGGTCACGCCTTTGACTCAAGATCCAGCGTTTGATGAAGTTCACGGGATCCTGACTTAGATTGGTGTAGAATGAGTGTTTGGCCTTGGAGTGGTGGAGAGCCTGGACAACAAGAGCGAGCTGATCGTCGAGGCTGGAGACTTGCCGGAGCATATTAGGGAAGTCTGGCGAGGTGGTTACTTGGAGCATTTTGTTGCGGAGGGGGTCGTCGACGGCGACGCGGATGTCGTAAATGGCTGGAATGGGTTTGCTGTGGAATTCCTTGTCGACGCGGATTGTGAATGGAATCTTGATCGGTGGAAGGGGAGTGCAGTGGGGTCCAATAAGTTCCGGGATAGCTGGGAAGTAGATCTTGTCTCTTCCAAAGATCTGGAGAAATTTGGCATTAGACAAAACTTCGATAAGAAGGGTAGTTAGGGTAATAATTTGGATCAAATCATACCGCTCTTAAACGTTCATTGCACGCCACTGCTTGCTTTTCCTCGCTTTCCTGGAGCCCTGCAGTCTTTATGTATTCCCAGAGCCCGATGATGATCCCAGCACGTGTCTCTTCCTCTATATCAAGGATGGATGCCAATTCCTTGCTTAGGAGAAACCGTTCCAGATTCTCGTCTCGCGTCATAGTAATCGTGCCATTAATATTGACCTCGGCGGCCCTGGAGAACTCCAACGAGTCGAAATCAGCAGTAGGCGGTAGGGCTGCAGCATTAGGTGGTAATGTAGGTTTATTCCAGATTATTGTAGCCAAATCTGCCACACCGGGGGACGAAGGTTTGTCGAATTCCACTGAAATCGTTTTGAAGAAATGCGATAGCCTTTTCCGTATGGACGGTGATGAAGGCTTTGCTTCCTCCCTTTTCTGCGGCTTGCTATCTTCTTCCATTGCATCAGGATCTTTTTCGCCTCCTAGATGCTCCATATCGATATCTTCCTCATCTTCATCGGGTACAGTCGGATCAGTAGCATCGTCAAGGAGACGTCCCTCAATTTTCACCCTGTATCGTCCAGCACCTATTCTTGGCGGAACTTCAGGATTCTGCTCCGCTTGCTGCCAGGGTTGTTGTTCGACAGTGTTAGAAATCCATAACCTCATTGTCCGATATCGTCTCGTGTTCCTGTTTACTGTGTCCTGAAGATCGATCCGTTTTCTCATGATCGCTGAATCCAATCTTCTTTCAACCTCTTGCATACGTTTGTATTGCTGGACTGCATCACCGATCACAACCTCCTCAATGCCGTCAGGAAGCGTCTTATCAGTTGGCTTGCGACTCCGCCGAATCGCCGCATCTGGATGTACGGGCACATGTCGCTGTTGCGCGGCGAGAACTTGAGGGTTAGGCATGTTATGTTGCGCGACTTGCATTGGCATCATTCCTAGCAACAAAGGGGTTGTCAGTATAGTACATGGACAAAAATGATTCTGTATCAATGTTTTAAGATGAAATTTCGTCTTGGTTTCGCAGACTGGGGGGTTACAAACCAGGGACTGGGACACCCCGACGAGGTGTGGTTGGCTGCCGATGATGAACAGGTTGTGGATAACCACGGTAGTTGGGCTGCATTGGGGCGTGCATCTTGGCGACGGCCGTGGACGACGGCAATTGGGCGCACGAATAGCTAACGTTCTACAGTGAACTCGCGAAAGGTATGTGGATGCCCTGCGAAGGAATCGGATTCTCGTCGCGGAACCAGCCCCAGCCGACAAAGCTCACGAGAGACGCTTTTGAGTTTCTTAGTTGTGCTGGGGGATCCAGACGGCGCTAGTCCGCATTAGGGCAGCCATCCATGTGACCGCGTCTATCGCTTCGCGCTTAAGTTCAGATTACTAATCAAAATGTCGCGGGCAATACGGAGGACAACTCTATTCTTCTGGCGTGGCATTTGGTATTGAGTACAAAAAGGAAACCGGTAACTACTCGAGCAGCGATGCCTGGTTTGTGTATAGGACATCGACAACGCTACTGAGTTTGTCAATAGTTTCGAGCGCAGCATCATAACCCTGGTCCCTCTCCGTCTCATCGAATATGATCAGACAGCCTGCCCCTTGGTCCAAAACGCCGATAATCACCTTGTCAAGGATCATCTGGGAAAGCTTTCTCTCAACCTGCTGCGTGTCCAAACCAACCATCTTAGCGATGTGGTCGATCTCCACCCTGCTGAATGGCTCAATGACCTTAATCAAGTTCTGTTCCAACATGGCGTCGTAAAGCCTCCGTAGATGATTTCGGATAAAGACATCGCTACCTAGTTCGTAACGATAGTCTGATAATGCTCTTTCGTACTCTTCTAGGGATCGGTTCGAGTGCGCTTTCGCAACTGCCTTCATGGCCTCCAAGCTAGTACCAGCATACCGAATGGCCTGCTTCGAGGCCAAAAGGGAGTTCACATCGTTCACGGAGTTCACCATGATCTTGCAAAGAAGCATGTACTGCAAAGCAGACGTCGCTTTTCTTTCCTCTTCCAGAGAATGATAACCCTCTAGTGCCTCAATGAAGTAGGAATAAGCGGTATTAAAATCCTTATCCTCTGCATGAAGCATACCGCTCTGCATGTCCAGACCGGCCTGTAATAAAGGTGGAGTGTAGACAGACGCTGCAGATGTTCTGGCAGATGTCAAGGCAGCTCGGGCTTTGGGCTGGTTTCCAAGGGCGTGATATACGCGCGACTCCAGGAGCTGCACCTCCACCAACACGAGTTTATCATCGAGACGTTTGAGCTCGCGGAGTAGTGAATTGATCAAAGTAAGCGCATCGTAGTAGGTCTGTTTTTGCATGTATATTGTGACAAGTCTTGTCTCAAGGTTCTGGCGCAGGAAAGACCGTCGTTCCGACACCGCCCAATCTATACATGACTTGATAACGGAGATCTGAATATCGAGGGTATTTGGGATAGCGGCAAAAAAGTCAAGGAGTTGTCGCACTATACGAAATTAACATAAACCCTCAAGATGCCATGCTAGTAGTAAATATATACCAAGCTTCGCAGACTTAGCCTTCGCAAATGAGGAAAAAGATGAGCGGCTGGTTCTGAGCAGTTCGGCAAGTTCTTTGGGTCTCTTCTGATCGCGATACAGTTCACCCAGCCCAACAAGCGCGGTTTCATAGTCTCTCGACGCGGCCTCCGTCGATCCCGTGCCTAATGAAAGGACTTTCTGGAAGATGGTCTCTGCTTTTGACGGATCCGTTTTGGACAAGGCAGTCGCCTCTTTCAGTAGAGCGGCCGTCTCGGAGTTGTTTGGAGCCATGCCAAGCCACTATCAAGTGTAGCGTTATCAGGATATTCGCACGCGAGAAATAGACCGTAATGGAAGAAGTATAGAAAGGAAATTTCGAAGGAGTGTGCGTTGTTGTATGTTGGCGGTTGAAGCAAGTGAGCTCGCTGTGATGTTGCTTGCTGAGATCCAGACCTGGAGCCAACCAAGCTTAGCCGGAACAATATTGCGCCGGGAAGCTGACCATCTCGCTGCGCAGCTCAGCAAATCTAAAATAATTTCTTCCCCAGCGACAGGGAGAGGTCCAGGACACAACGCACGATGGTAAGCAAGTCTGGTATCCCAGTAGTCGAAGATGTCAATACTGACTCTTGCTTTAGAAAATAAAGGCTCTGTCACGGTCTGCTGCGTCGCAGCAGACGCCCGGAACAGGAGCTACTAGGCTCGCTCGCAACCTCGATCCGGCACAGCATCCATTCGAAAGAGCAAGAGAATACACAAGAGCTCTCAATGCTACCAAACTAGAGCGCATGTTTGCCGCTCCTTTTATTGCCCAGCTTGGAGGGGGCCATGTTGATGGTGTATATTCTTTGGCGAAAGACCCAAGTTCCTTAGAACGCTTTGCAAGCGGAAGTGGTGACGGCGTGGTAAAAGTATGGGACTTGACGAGCCGCGAGGAGATTTGGCAGGCTCAGGCTCATGAGAACATTGTCAAAGGAATGTGCTGGACATCGGATAGGAAGCTACTATCATGCGCCGCCGATAAAACCATCAAGCTATTTGACCCTTATAATTCGGCCTCTGAGAGTCCTCCGTTGGCGACGTACCTGGGGCACGGAGCTTTTACTGCCGTTTCCCATCACGAAACTCATCCCTCATTCGCTGCTTCGTCGTCAGTGATATCTATATATGACCTCTCTCGGCCGTCTTCTACGCCATCTCAAACGCTTCACTGGCCCACAAGTGTTGATACTATCACTTCACTCGCATTTAACCGGACGGAAACTTCTCTCCTAGCATCGACAGCTACCGACCGATCTATAATAATGTACGATCTACGAACATCCTCTCCTCTTACGAAGGTCGTTCTTACTTTGGCTTCAAATGCTATCGCTTGGAATCCAATGGAAGCGTTTAATTTCGCTGTGGCTAACGAGGATCATAACGCCTATATCTTTGACATGCGGAAGATGGACCGTGCTTTGAATGTTCTTAAGGACCATGTCGCAGCTGTGATGGATGTTGAGTTTAGTCCAACAGGCGAGGAACTTGTCACCGCGTCCTATGACCGTACGGTTCGACTATGGAATCGTTCTCGCGGACATTCTCGGGATATATACCATACAAAACGAATGCAGAGGTAAGGCTCTCATTTTATGAATAGTAAACATGGTTATATGCCCACTTTGCTCACGTTAAAACTGCAGGGTTTTCTCGGCCAAATTCACTCCGGATAACAAATACATTCTTTCTGGGTCTGATGATGGTAATATTCGCCTCTGGCGCGCAGAAGCATCGTCCCGGAGTGGAATCAAAAGCGCTCGTGAGCGTCAAAAACTCCAATATGACGAGGCTCTTAAGCGTAGATATGCACATATGCCTGAGATTCGTCGTATCAAACGTCATAGACGTCTGCCAAAGGCTGTCAAGAAAGCTGGCGAGATCAAAAATGAGGAAATTAACGCTATCAAGAGAAGGGAGGAGAATATTAGGAAGAACAGCAAAAAAGGTTCGCTACCTGCCCGGCGGAGTGAGAGAGAGAAGATGGTCCTGGCTACGGAAAAATGATCACACTTTAAACAAAATCACGATGATACCCACTAAATCTATTCGAAGAAAAAGCACAACTCCAAAAAGGTGGTTCCCCGGGTTGCTATTTCATGTCTTGGGCTTGAGAAGCGGTTCCAAAAATATGCTCGTATCATAGCTTGGGCTTTCCGTTTCTAACTCATCTGTTTTATTCGAAAATATTATCCACGGGCAAACGGCAGCTTGAAGGATGCTGCCGACCCCCCCGAAAGGCCATTTTAGGTATCCCATCATTGTGGATATTGGCCCGTACCAATTCTCAGGCAAATTATTACAAGTCAACCCACCATATACCAACTTTCACTACTATTTTTAATCGAATTTCGAGCGTTTTAAAGACTCCATTTCGTGATCTGCCGAATAGTCCGCCCTTTGCATTGCTCTATCGATCCCGCTGAGATATCTGGCGAATTTCTGAATGGAAGCCGGCAACACCGCATACCAACTCACAAACGAGGCAAACGCGGGCATCCTGAGCACACCACCATTTCCAGTATCAACCACTGACACGATTTCTCGAGCAACTTGCACGGGCTCCAGGACGGGCGCGAAAAACTTGTTTGGGGTTTCGACTCGTTGGAACAGCTGTGTTGCTATTTGTCCGGTTTCGACAAGTAACATCTTGACTCTCTCGCTCGCCCCCGATTGACGAAGTTCCGCCTCCAACGTCTTGTGGGCCGCGCTGATGGCTGCTTTGGTCGCTGTGTAATCTGACAAGCCGGCCGCAGTGAGGTAACTGAGGACGGAGCTAACGGTAACTATGGTCCCGCCTGTGGGAGAGGCCATCATTCTAGGGAGGAATATTTGCAAGGTATGGAAAAAGGAGCCGAGGTTCGCATGGATGGTTTGCTGGATTGCTTTTTGGGATATATTAAGGAGTGGAAGCCCGTTGATAGGTGCAGCCACGCAATTGATTAGAATCGTTGGAGTTCCGAGCTTCGTATAAATTAGATTAGCTTGACGCACAGAGACTCCCAGCCTATACTCGGGCAGCTTAGGGTCAAATTAAAAAAAAAAAAAAAAAAAAAAAAAGAAGGAAAGTACAGAGCTAATGGCGACCATTGAAATCGAGAAATGGACAAGGAGGATTGTGAATGAAATGTGAATTGATTGAGGAACGTACATCATCTTCTATCTTCCTAGCTACCTCTTCCACCTGAGCTCTATCGCCAATATCACACTGGTAGTATTCCACGCTGGACATCTCCTCAAATCCAACACCACTCTGCTTATCCAGCTCTTTGACATCCAGCACAGCAACACTGACTCCTCGCATTCCATAAATCTGGGCAATCAGTAGTCCTACTCCGCTAGCTCCTCCAGTAATCACCACTACCTCCTCTTCAAGATCAACCTCCCGCGGCGGCCCATATGCGATGCGCTTATTCAACAGGACAAGGCCGACGACTAGGGTGAGGACAGTCGCGTACGCGGACGTGATTATGAATGAGGGATGGGAGTAGGGAGTTGCCTGGGCACGCAGGCAGAGAGGGATGAGCCAGGCGATGAACGGGTGAAGGAAGGTCTTGTTGAGGACTCGGATGAAGAGGTCCAGGGTGAGGTATTCGAACCAGTAGGCCCGCGATTCCCGGCCGGGGAAGACTGGAGAGATGGACATATTGACAAGTGAAGGGCGAGGAAAAGTTGGCTGAGTGAATATTAGGACGACGGCGAGGAATCTGCGCTCGGTATAGACATAGCTTTGTATTTATTCGTTGAGAGGGACCCAAGGGAGTTTGGAGGCGTTGGTTGCGGTTGTGGGATCTGACACCACCTATGATTCAGAGCTTGCAATACCGAATCTAAACGCCCACTCTATTTCACAGGCACGTCGCAATTGCTGTGTACTAGTCAAGGCACTCTCGTTCGGCTTGTGAGGCCATCCCTTGGATGAAACCCAGGAGACACCGAAACTCCTTTCGAGACGGGCCAACCGCCTATGGCATCGCGCATCAGACCGCAGTTCAGTGGAGCCGAGTGGAACTCCCGAGCCTAGCTGAACTCAGGCCAAAACCAAAAAGCTTTCACAAAACATCTCGATTCCTCGATTCCATCACAAGAACAGCCAGCTATGCTTTTGTAAGATTAACTGGTGGGCGTCGTCCTGGCAAGTTACCAATGCGACAACTCAGCGCAGCTGTTAAATCCGCTCTGAGAGCTGTTAAGGAGAGAATATATAATCGCGGAGCACGGAATACAAATCTGCAGATTGGACAGCTACGAGGCCCTAGACATCGCCAGTATAGTCTTGCCTTTAACGGGAGCTAGATGTACGAGTAGAGTGCTCCAAACAGATCGCCAACATCACCATGCCCTCCCGAGCTCTAAATATCAGACAAACGTCCAAACAAGAGAGCCGGATTCGATTGTACGGTGCGCTAAGCATGTTCTTACCTACACATCCGGCCACTTCCTGCTATTACTAGCTATCCATCAGGCCCATGGTCTCCGAAGTCGTCCTTGCATGAGTTGACCAGATGCCCACTGTGAATGCCAATCCTCGTCCTGCTACCTACAAATATAGCCACGGAAAACATATCATTGTAGAGTGCTGAGGCAGGCCTAACTAGCTCTCGTTTGATGACCATGCTAACCCGCCCATATGTTGCGCAAAGTCCTGCGGGACCTCCCATCCATGCATACGGCATGCCCTCACATAGGCATCTATCGCTTCAGCCATCCCGTACTCATTGACAGTGCCTTTCTTTACGTTTTGACCCCGTTGTAGCCGAGCTGGCCTGGGATCCATACTTGACAACGCCCAGTCACTTTCCAAGCTTCCATAGCCTCCTCTGAGATTCCAAGTCGAGAGATACGACAAGAAATGCAGATTATCGGATTGACTACGTTACCGAGGTATCCCACTCTAAATCCGGCAACTTTGGATGTTCTAAGATCAGATGCAAGATTTTGCATCAGTGCTGGGAGAGCAGCCCCTTTAACGTCTGCTTCGTCGAAAGTGTCGGCGTTTGGAACTGAAAGAAACGGGGAATTAGGTGACCAGTCACCTTCAAAATCCTCAACCTCAGCATCCTCCATTTCACAGTCATTCTCAAGCTCTGTATCCTCGTCAGAATCACCCGAAAATGAGACTTCCTTCCCCGACCTTAGTGTCCCGACTCGATTTAAAGCGCCAGACAGATGTAACAGCATATCGGCCACCCGCAGGCCCCGGAGATGGGCTTGGACCTTTTCCAGACATGCGGTGATGAAATAAGGGACATCGTCAGACGTTGTGTACAAGAAATAGCTGTGATCCCGCGGATAATCAGAAAGATCTGAGTAAAACCAGGGCTTTAGAATGGAACTCTTCAGGGCCACAAAGTCCGCAGAAACCAGGCTCACCAGATATTAAAAAGTGAATATCAACAAGTTTTTCGTGATTTCCATCAAGTTTAAAGCTGCAGGAAATGGTTCCATCATCCTCACCCGGCCCAACATTAAGGAGACTAGGATAATCTGCTGAAGATGTTTCCTTTTGCAAATCTCGGATAAAGTCTCTCCTTGGCATGTTGCAAGGTAAAGATGAGATAGAGGGGTATTTTGAGCTGGGAACGGCGACAGTAGCAATAAACAATTAATACTAGCAAAGAATAAAGGGATCCCTAAATAGGTTGAAAAGATCAGTTTATGTAGAAGAAAGTGACAAGTAAGGATCGAATGCTTAGAAGGGAGGTTGTGTTCTTGACAAGAAATTCTGCAACGAGAATACTGTCTATCTGCCCAACAGTGACTCCTACGAGCATTTGCAGCAGTCAGTCACAATGGCAGAGCAACGGACTGCAAGCAACAGTAGGCAACCTCCGACAAAAGAGACCTTGCCATCAGGTATCAAGAACAGAGAGTAGTCAGGTCTCCCTTTTTCTTTTTATCTTGCTGTCCGAGTTAACTGGCTCAGACGAACCAAACTACGGACCATCCTGAGCTTGAGCATCTACTCTGTACTCCGCACGGAGTACTCCAGGCACAAACGCTGGCAAGGCTACACCCGGATGACGGCGTGAAGTCATGCTGTGCAAGGGAGCAAGCTGGTGGCTGGGCGCCACACAAAGCAGCATAACTCGCTCGGCAGTATCACTCATGATGAGAGCCAGTATTTCCCTGGCTGAGCGGCATCTTGAGCCCTTGATTAGGTTCATTTAACATTTGTGCATCTTGAAGAGGGTGGGACTGGCCAAATAAAGAGGTTGGTTGTTTCTTGAGAGTTTTAGTGGTTCTCCGTCTTTTTCACGTCAACTCCCATCTTAAGCTTTTTGGAGCAAGCTCGCCGCTGACGTCGTACAGACTCAATTTCAATGACTGGCTCATCTCTTCGCGTCCCTGAAAAAGTATATATACAACTTAAAATTGGGGTCGCAGCCCTGGCTTAACCGTGTCTGATACGGCCATCAATTCAACTCGCCGCAATACCATCGCCAATGGCCCAAGCTGCTGAAACAGCCGGTTTGTCAGTCGATTCCAAAACCTCCAGTTCCTCTTTAGACCCCTCCTTGCGCCACTTCGCTGACCCCACGTTCGACCCCGTTGATTTCCTAAACGATTCTCTTCCTCCTCTCGCAAGGCAGTCCGAGACCACCCGAGATTCTCGTGCAGCTTCGGTAGCCGATCTTTCCTCCCAAACCCAGTCACTTTTGTCCCAATTAAGCGCGCAAAATGCTAGACTATCGAATACATTGACGCAACTTACCGATGAGATACTGAGGAGTGGAGGACGACTGGCATATGAGGTGGAAGTATTGCGTGGAGACACCATAGGACTATCAGATACGTTGTCTGAAGTGTTACACGATGATATCCAGAAATTTGCTCCCGAGGGGCTACTTGCACGGCTAAGAAATGATGAACTAGAACGAGAGCATCCCGTGGAGGAATCGGCGGACCTAGATTCAAAACCACAGCCTGGGAAAGCAGACACAGATCCCGAATACATCCGTGACTTACGTACGCTAAGTCAGGTCAGGGCAAAACTTGAGGATGTGATTCACACTTTTGGAGAAGCAATGGAGTGGCCATTGCCTCCTTCAGAAGTATCACTTGCTTCCTCATTTATCTCTGTCCCAGCTCCTGAACCCGGCCCTGAAAGCAACAGCCGTGAAGAAAAGGGCCGTGAAGTGGCAAGGAGACTGAAAAACGAAGTGGTAGAACTTCTTGACAGTAACGGTGGAGGCCAAGCTGGACTGGAAGCTGCTAGTCGACGCGTGGAATCCTTGCGACAGCTGGCCACCGTGTGGAAAGGCACTATAGAGGAAAAAGCGCGCCTAAAATTCGTCGACAGCTTGGCTAAACTTGTGGAAGAAAGACGGAAGCTTCTTGATAACCAATCGAAAGCTAGGGATAGCAAAAGCTCCAGGCAAGGAACTAAATCGCCGGCTACATTGAACAGGCAGTCCTCAGATTACAATAGAGGAGCCAGCCAAGAGAGCAGCGCTGGAGGTCTATTTCGAAATTTACAGCGGTTACGCGACGAGATATACCTTGAGTAGGATTTCGATGCGATAAGGAGATCTGATATACTATGATTTCTGTGTGCTCTACGGAGTATAACTTGCTCAAAAGAATTGGTTGTTTCATAGGGATTGGACACATAAAAACAGTGGCGTGGCTCCGATGGGAACAGCATCTAGCAGCTCTTGAGTAGCTACTTATAGGAGGTGAGATAGTTAATCTACTGCTTTCTGCAAAGGCTTTTTTGTCTGAATGAGGAAGATGATTAGGACATCCCTATCGCTTCTGTGAAAAGAATGTCTGCCAAAAGAGCTCATATGTACTTTATCGCGCATATTACAGGAGTCATTTAAATGGATCACCTAAAGCTCCATCCTAGCCTGAATTTTATCCAACCGCAGTTAAAGCATAGAAATACCCATTCTTCATGCACCATATATTCCAAGATATAAACCTCGGGAATTCCAGCCGCTCCATTTCCCGCCAATAAATACCTATTTTAAACATACCCTTGTCTTGCCCCATTGTATAATACGGCCTTCATTTCTTCCCCCCAAGCGTCTCCCTTATAATCTTCAAGATCTCACTAATATCCTCATTCGACAACCTCTCCTCCCTATCTTCAATAACGGTATCCAGAAGCGCCAGCGCTCCATAGTCCTCATCTCCTGCATCGTCCGCCTCTTCTTCCTTAGCTCCGCCGTCGCCAGTGTCAGACGCCTCGCCATTTACGTTGCCATCTAGCATCACCGTGTCTTCTTCGGCTGGAGAAGCAGCACCTTCGCCTTCAGGGTTTATATCCAAGCCAACTCCAAGGTTAATGATTGTTAATACCTCTGCCTTGGTCAGGTTAAAGGGTTTTAATCTAGTTATTATTGTGCGCAAGGCGATATCGAGGTCTGTCTGTTCTGAGTCTGGATCCTGCTGGGTGTGCGTTGTTGTAGTTGTGCCATTCTGCGCCGTGGAAGAAGCTGTAGCGGTGGGTTTGGGTAGGAAGCTGGGGTATTTAAGGAGATGTGGTGAAAGGCGGGTGACATAGTTATGAAACTGATTAGCAGTTAGCGAAGCTACCTTAATTCAAGGCACGAGGACAGATCATCGACGAGCTGAAGAGCTTTCTACGCTTCGGTGTGGGGGTTAAAAAAGGATATTAGCACTGCGCGCGAACAACGGCGACTCGCTCAAACAAGTCTCGCGCACAGCTTGATTTCTTCAAAATTGTAAATCGGCAGGAGTCATCTTTCACTAACCTCTTTGACAACAGTATTATGGTCCCGTAAATCCGGATGTGGTGTGAAATTCCGCGCATTGGGCGGGGGTTGTGGCAATCGATGCGGAGGGTACAAGGTGAAGTGAGCCAGCACTTCGACATTGGTTAATATTGCTGACTGGGAGTCAAGGATCTATATATTGTGGATCTACCATCAATCCATGAAATTCACGCGATTTGCACCTAGAACGACGACTTACCTTCATGTTGAGTGTGTTGGTTGGGTTGGAAGCTTTAAGAAGCTGGCGGACTTGGGATATTAAATGCGCAGTTCCGCGAAGAAAGTCATACCTACTTCTCAACTCTCTAGATTATGCGCTCAAGATCATTTCTCTTAAAAAAAACTCTACTAAAGCAGATGTTATTAACTATAACAACATTTTTTGACTACATTGTCGTCGAGTCTAATCAAATACATATCTCGCCCAAGCGCCTCCGTAACTACCCTGAACACAAGCAAAATCGGACAACACAATCTCCAGATACCCCTGACTAAAAACCAACAGAAATAAAGAAAAGGAAGCATGATATCATACAAGAAACGAAAAAGGGAACGGCCAATTCTAGGCCTTGCTCTTCTTCTTCTTCTTTTTCTCGCTCTTGGATTCAGCGGGCTCTTCGTCTTCATCCCGCTTTCGTTTCTTTCCGGCATCCTTTTCCGCCTTCTTTGCCTCCTTCTTTGCCTTTTTGAGCTCTTTCTTGCTAATGGCAGTAGGGTTGCCATCTTCGTCGAAATTGATTTCACCTCGTTCAAGCTTTCTCAGGTACCTCTTAACACTGAGCCCGGCCTTTTCAGCAAGCTCTTCGATCTTAGCCTCGTCGGAATCCTTGCCCTTTGATGTCTTGCTTTCCTTCTTCTTGGACTTCTTCGGCTTCTCCTCTTCGCTCTCCTCTGCTTCAGAAGCTTCCTCTTCTTCTTCAGATTCAGGTGCATCCTTCATTTCTTCATCCTTGATTTCCTCTACTAATTTTTTGTCTTTTTTAGATTTCTTGCTCACATTCTCTGTGGCAGCTGGCTCATCGCCAGTCAGGCCATCGGCATCTGGATTATGTTTTCTAGCCTCCTTGATATCCCATTTCTTCGGCTGTTCGATTGGTATACCATTCGGAGCGATGCCAACGCCTCTCGGTTTCAACGGTTTGCCCTCCATGGCAGCCAGTTTCTTTTCAAGATAATATCTTGATTCCATACCCAGAGCGGCTCTCTCTTCTTCTGTTGGTTCGTTGCCGTCGGCATCTTTCTCCCACTCAGCAAGAGCGTCCACACGGAGACCGATAGCTGCCTTGGCAGCCAAGACACGGGCCATTTTTCCTTTGTTCTTTCCAGTGGCTTGCCCGATAAGTGATGCGTGATAGATGAGGCCATATTTCGGGGTATCATGTTTCGTCTTCAGAGCGCGGAACAGGGCCTTCTCCGCTCCTAAAATCTGGATCGTACTCGCAGGGCTCTTTGACAGATTGACCAAGCTTCCTGCATGGGCAATAAGTCTCGCACCAACCAGTTCGCCAACCAAAGCGGTAAGATTGGGTGCGATGGCAGTCATACGCGCTGTCAAGTAACTCGCCAACTGCTGACGGTATTCCGCAAATCCAACCACTTGTTCTGCTAAACACTGGATGTTTTCCAAATCTTCATTACTGATGTCAGTACCCATGGATCGATTCGCTGCCGCCTTAACCGCGCCCTCGATCTCTTCGGGAAGAATTTCGCTTAAATCTGCTGAATCCGAATTCGAACGCATGCCCATCTTCAGGACAACTTTGGCATATGCCATATTATCATTTAAAATCTTGGCCATTTCTGGGAAATGCCAGCCATACCATTCCTTGACTCTCATCGCGTATGTGTTCAATTCCTTGTCGAGATCATCGAGCAAGGCGATTGCTTGCACGATCATAGTATCGATCTTATCCGGGGAAAATTTAAGCTTATGTCTTGCAAGTGAATGAGAAAGACCGAGTGCCATAGTGGACATATCAGTAGGGAGAAGTCCTGGGATCAGCGTCGGAAGATGGGCTCTGATAGCTCTGTAAAGATCTGCAGTGGTCGAGTCGGCAATCGCTTGGATCGAAAGCCCAGGGAGCTTTCCAATCGCGTTTCCTATAAGAAGAAGACGTTAATATTCATGGAGCATTGCAGACTGAAGCTTCGACTGCGCAATGGACGACGTACCGAGTTTAGGATCCGCAACGGCCAACGAAACTTTCTTTTCATCTTTAATGGACTCGAGAAGACTTGCAAGACGCGGCGTGACCTTTCCTTCGACGAGGGAAGCAACCTCCTCGAGGGCTGTCGTCGCGCTATCAAATTTCTGGAAATTCTTCAATTTCAAGCTATGATGAACCGTTAACCCTGTGAGCTCCAGAATAGGACATTGTACATGATAAAGAAACAAAAAGAACTCACAGATTAGACACTCCTTCCGCAGTCTGTGTTTCCTTCTCAAGGTCATCTCTCTTGAGCAGCTTCTTGTCCTTTGCTTTGAGCAGTGCATAACCAGCACTGGTCTCCGTGAGAATGAAAAGCGTCATCGTTGCGGCTCGAGGAGGCTCTTCAAGGTTACCCAAATGCCCCTTCCGTTTTCAGTCAAGATCCAAGAGAGGAAGGATCCTATTTTGGTCGGAAGATGTGCGTTGCGCCTTCCAGAGACGGGCTGGGGATCTTTTCTCTGCTATTGATGCTCGCGACTTCTCTCTTTTTTTTCTTTTCGTTTGAAATTTTGCTGTATTATGTAATAATTGTGCACACACAGAAAAGAGCAGTGTGTGACAATACAATACGTCAACAATACCTTATTCTGATTACCGCCTTCCGTCATTCCGCTGGGATTGAACCGCCGCCGACATTTTATTCCAATTATATTTAGGGTGTCTGTCTGAATATGATATCGCTACTTTTATATAAAAACTCGGTCAATTTATATTTATATATTCCCTTCTAGCTTTCATGAAGACTTGAGGCGAGTACAAGGGCCTTGAGCGTGCTAGTAAAGCGCCAGACGCTCAGCGCGGCAAAGATTTGACTGTAGCTATTCTACGGAGTACTCCCAAATGTAGATTTCTTTGAAAGCTACCGGGTGTACTGACTTAACTCACTTCTTCAAAATGCCATCTGTGTTGTCTTATGCGGAGTTTGAAGCTAGCAAAACAAGGAAGATGGATAACCTTATCAGGGTACGGAGTACAGAGACGCAAATCCACCGTATGAAGAAGATGCCAGGGATAATATTAGAGTCCTGGTTAGTAAGGAGCACGGGTCTATCTGGGGTAGCGTGCTGTAATAACCCAAGCTTCGCAGATTCACCAGGAAAGCGGGAATACAGATTGCCGTCAACTTCCTCTATTTGACCGGAATCTTTGCTATGTAGCTTCCCTAGTTTTTGTGATGCCGTGTATTTGATCCCCCTATACGGAGGAGATAAATCCCATGTCTGAAATACTCGAAGCACGGATCTCCAGCTTCAAGGTCCAGTGGTTGAACAACTTGTGCCCGTATTCTCACTCTCAATGATCCCAAAGCCAGCTTGACTCTTAGCGATGTCGTGTCGTTGCCCATCAGCAACAAAATCAAAAACTAAAATTCCAACCGGGATAGCAAGTCGATAGGATCGTGGGTTCGCTCTCATTTCCCTGTGATGCGTCTGCACTTTCAATTCGAACTTCCTTGTATGGAACCGTTCAACGGCCTCAACGAGATACACCATTCCTCAGCATAGTACGAGTACGGAGTACTCCGTGCTCCATATATCTCCCCCTTTTCGAGCGCCCCCTGGGTGAAAGTGTGGACCAGATCGGCAGTTACCAAGACAGACTAGGGGTTGAGCATCGGATAGACCCCTTCCCTCACACGGAGGAATGCATCATAGAGAAGAAGAATGAATGTGCGTTGGGGGGGTGTGTGAGCGTGTTCTCCCGGAGTCTGCTGGCAACTTTTTGCGAACCCTTGGGCGATTTTCAGCACCTGCCACTCTGGCAGGGTTTATGAGAAACAAGCCTTGCATTATGGAGGAGATAATTCCATTCTCATTCCTTAGAGGCCCGAAGTGCGGGAGGAGCTCGAAAATTCTTCCAAATGCGAAGAGATTGTTTGGGGATGGGTAGAGACACCTACTGGCTTTTTGCAAGGGGTTTAAGAATCAAGATCTCATAGTACCAGTAACGAGTCCGAAGCGTCTGACTGTGATGAACCATGTGGCTCTAGATTGTACGTTATGTGATGCACGAATTGCTTCTGTTAACATGATTGAAGGTATGAGGAAAATGGAGGACGTAAGGAGGAGCCCTCATGTATCAGATGCCAACCCCTCAGGACCGAAGCCTCTCACCCGCCAACAGTCACAATGTGACTTAGGGCCGCCAATATTAGTTGCTCCGGGCAGGGCCAAGATGGAAGTTTGATTTTATACCAGTGCACTCGAAATGTCAATTCTGGCTGCTCCCTCCCAGAGCTTCCGCGCGCAGCAAACACTAAACCAATTTGGGACTAGTTGCTTAGTTGGCTTGATAGTTGGTCACTGCGCCACAGGCGTGGCTTGATCCCGTCGAGCAGTGAGGCGATGCAACCTTGGTACCTCTGCCGGTGCGATGACCAACCGCTCTATCCACTGCAGAACAACGAGTGGCTCGAGGGAGAAATTATGAAGTTTGAACCGTTGTTAGCACATAGATAATATATCGAAAGGCAATATTTGCAATGGAGGGCCTTTGGTTCAATGTGGACGGAGGGTAAGCTCATGCCCAGCCTCGTTTGGCGGTCTGACTTCCTTACACTCGTCTAGCTACGTCGAGGGGATCGTTCGGGGATATCGCAACAACCTTCTTAATTCGCAAAGCTACGGCAACTTGACGCAATGCGATACGATAGATGGTGGGTAGCTCTCCGAAATTCACACACCGAAAGCACCCTATTCCAGCAAGATACTCATCTAAACGCAATCCAGATGTTAAGCTACAACTCGGCCCTGCATACGGCGATTTCCTTGCGTCCCTTCCTCCTAACCCATCCACATCCTCCTTAGCCGGCAAGACAACGGAGAAACTTGTTGCTGAGTTTCGCTATCTCCAAGCCCAAGCAACCGGCTCCACCGCCAAGTTCATGGAATACCTCACGTACGGATATATGATCGATAATCTTGCTCTCCTCATCACAGGCACTCTCCATGAACGAGATACACGAGAATTACTTGAGAGATGTCATCCGCTTGGCTGGTTTGAAACAATGCCGGTGCTCTGTGTTGCCACAAACATCGAGGAATTGTATAATTCTGTGCTGGTCGAGACACCCTTAGCGCCATATTTCAAGGGGAGCTTAAGCCACCAAGATTTAGACGAGCTAAATATCGAGATTGTGAGGAACATGCTATACAAGAATTATTTGGAAGACTTCTATCAATTTGTGAATACTGAGCCGGATCTCAGAAACTCTCCAACCTCGGAAGTTATGTCTGAAATACTGGAATTCGAGGCCGATCGTCGTGCTATTAATATTACACTTAATTCATTTGGAACAGAACTTTCTAAGGCTGAGAGGAGAAAGCTGTACCCCGAGCTCGGAAAGCTGTACCCAGAAGGGTCACTGATGCTTTCACGGGCGGAAGACGTCGAAGGAGTTGCTCTCGCAGTCAGCGGTGTTACCGATTACAAGGCATTCTTTGATGCTGTGGGGTTGAACCAAGCCGGAGGTGGTGGACTTGGAAACATGGGCGGTGGTACTGGAAGCGATGGGAAGAGCTTGGAAGACATGTTCTACCAAAAGGAGATGGAGCTATCGAAACTTGCATTTACCCGGCAGTTCACCCCGGCCGTGATATACGCTTGGGTAAAGCTCCGCGAACAGGTTAGTTTTCCCCGGTCTACACGATAGTAAATCATCACAATGCTAATCATCATGATTCATAGGAGATCCGAAACATAACATGGATTTCTGAGTGTATTGCGCAGAATCAGAAGGAGCGGATAGGCAACTATATCAGTGTGTTTTGAGGACTCAAATCATATGCAATTCATACGAGGGCCTTTAAGGGTTGTTTAATAGGGATTAACAGGTTGTGAATTGTCATTTTGGCTTCTGTGATTATCGCCTTTAACTTCTTTTCGGCGTTGAACGTATTTTTTTTACTGAGTACCCATGGCTTTGCTAGACTGAGGCATTCTAATAAATGCTGTGTCGATGTCGGAATTTCAGAGCCTTTCGCTCGCCCCGTGTCTGTGGCTTATAGCTGCGATGAAATCATCCGAACACCCTATATGCCAAATGGTGTCACACGAATTATACGAAATAGTTATGGGCATCCTGAAAAGTGCTGGGACACAAACCTTAAACTCTACCAGAAGCAAAAGGGCCCATGTTGATATGTACTGTACAGTGGCTAATTAAGTGCTTCTTTCCTGAGCGATGTACTGCCAGAAACATTGGAACTCATGCCGGGTGTAAGCCTTTTCATATCAGTATGACATCGGTCATAAATACATATTTACAATGCTAGATCACCAAGGAAGTCATACCTAGAGGTTTCAAATGGAAAGTCTCCCCGCATGACAGGTAGATTCGGATAATTTTCCAGAGTGTCTCTATTGAACAGAAACTATCTCTGTAAGGCTATGTACAACGTGACTTGGGCAGTAGATATGGCCAACAATTGGAACTTATAAAAGATCATTCCTGCATGTTTGAACTTTGCAGTCCTCGCTGAGTCACAAAAACAATGAATTCACAGATTTTGCTAACTATCCACAGCTTATTCAGGAGCCCAACTGGATTGCAGTGGATCCCTATTCTTCTCTGTCCTGTGTTCCAACAATCTAAACCAGAGACAACCAGAACATGTCCGCTTATCATTTCATGTGGTGTGGGTGTGTATGTAGACATGTATGTAAGCAAAATGACTGACACAGCAATGGAGACAGTGCAGACAGGTACTGAGATGTACTTGAAAAGGGAACAAAATCTCAAGTCTGGCCAACTTCCTCTTAACACGTGCAGCCAAATTTTCCTCTCCTTTATGTATCACGTGATGCAGAAATGATAGTACTGAGGACAGAACAAAAAGGGAGAGGTATGATAGAAAAAGAATTTTTTTTTTTTTTGGTTTAAATGGGGAAAATAACATGCATTGTGTGGTATCCGCAACCATCTAGCCAGACATAGTTCATGAAGAAACCATGAACAGGGAAGATCAGGTAAAACAAGATAAGGAATTTTTGCCATATTGGCATTGCTGTATTAGGTCTAGGCTTTTCTTTTTTGGGCGGGACATTATAATGTCCACATGGAGGATGTGATTTAGGCCAAATTGACAATTAGTCTGCATGAGCAGAACAGAGGAGATGAGGCAAGAGCCCCGCTTAGTCGTACTGGAAAAGAACACTGATACTCTCTCCATGATGCACACGACGGATGGCCTATAATTATGGTCAGCAACTGAACATGGAGAGGTGATCGGGGCATTCACAGCAATCTCACCTCTGCAAATACTTGGCCTACTTCCAAAACTTCCAACTTTGGACAGCGCTTCAAGTGATCATCTTGGTCCACAGTGTTAGTAACAATCACCTTATCAAGCCCACTCGCATTGATCCGGTCAATCGCATCACCGCTGAGAATTCCATGCGTCACCAGCGCATAGACCATCGATGCACCTTCCTTTTTTAGCAGCTTGGCAGCGCGAGTGATGGTGTTGGCAGTATCAGCAAGATCATCAATCAGGATACATGTGCGGTCCTTCACATCGCCAACCAACATCATAGTGGCGTTCTGTCTGTCTGCAATCTTTGTCGGACGGCGTTCCTTGGTTAAGACTACGGTTAGTCTGATCATCCGATGGCCAGACAAGTCAAGGCGGTGTTTACCTTGTGGATCAATGCAAACTCCATGCCCATCGAGTCAGCGATGGCCGTAGCTCTTTTAGCGCCACCAGCATCCGGACTAACAATAATGCAGCTCTTATAGTTAGGAATATTCTCTTGAATGTATTTTTTGAGCAATGGTCGACCATAGAGATTGTCGACTGGAATATCAAAGAATCCTTGATATTGGGGATCATGCAAATCCATCGTGATGACGTGATCTGCTCCGGCGCAAGTTAACAAGTCAGCCACAAGGGTCCCTGCCTGGGCAACCCATTGGCGGTATCCAGGGCGCGGTTGGAAGGTGCTCAATTTAGATGAGGTCGACGTCACGCTGGCGGAATCATCGTGAGAATGTACTCCGTTGACAGGAGCTGCATTCCGATCGCCCTTGGTCGCCGCCTCATATCTAATGGAGTCCATGGTGTCGCTACGCTTCGGAACGCCATTGACATAATGGGAAATGCGCGCCTTTTGCGGGCTCGTGTTGCCAGAGCCTTCCCGGTCCTCAAGCTGTGCAGTCGCAAGGCCCTTTTGTAACCCATCTATACCGTTTACGAGGCCGAGGCTGTCTGCTTTTGCGGGATGCGGGGTTGGTGGGGTACTCTCGAAAGTGTACGCAGGGCTAGTGTCGTTCCGGTTGGTGGGAGACTTGACCAGGGGAGCTCCAGTTTTATTATATGGGATATCACTCTGGCGAGAATAGGGGAAAAGAGGGAGCACCGCAGTGACACGTTTGGCTGATGCCGTTTTGCAGGCCGAGATGGTGATAAGGAGCTCCATAAGGTGATCGTTTACTTTTCCTCCACCGGATTGGATAATATACACATCTTTACCCCGAACCGACTCATATATTTCCACTCGAGTTTCTCCAACGGAGAATTTCGACAGCAAGATGTTTGCCGGAGGAATGCCGAGCTGGTCGCAGATGGTTTTGTTCAGGTGCGGGTGGGCAGTTCCACCCAGCACAACGATGTTTCGAACCATCTTGAATGGCTCGTCAGGAACTGAGGATGGCAGTTTTGGAAGGATGAGGGCCAAAGGCGGTTGATGAGATGAGTTTGGCACGGACTTCCTTGCACCTTAGGGCTGTGACGAAGATGGGCCGTGCGAACGAGGGTGGGAGTTACCGGGGACAAGGCGAAGGTCCAACGAGTAACGAACTCTGGAAATAGGATCAGAGAATCACAGATCCCATCATCGTTGAGAATAACGACGGGAGAACAAGACGATCAGAGGTGGAGGGGTCATCTTGAAAAAGCAGGTCGGAATTATGGGTGGGTTGCTTGGGACCAAAAAGTCCACAGGAAAAGCGAGAAAAGAGATTTAAAAATAAAGTTGACAGTGGATTGGGTGGGATTTCGGGCAAATCCATGCAACTCGAACAGCTTTTTCTGTGGTTCCGACACCCAGTCACGGGACCCGCGCTGTGAGTGGCTGGATTATCGTTGACGCGGGCCGAACCAGCCCAGCGCTAGGCCCAGCTGGGAATGGTCGGGCGGTGAGCTTGTGTTAGCCGCAGCCGCAGCCTCAGCGCGAAACCGGCAACGGAGAGGGCCGCTCGTCGGGCAGCACAGGGAACAGGAACGGGGAAGCAAGGGCATGGCGGGCGTCATCCAGCCACGCGAATCGATGGGCCCCAGCTCAGCAAATAGCAAACTTGTGTGCGGCTGCTGGCGTCACGTACTCATGTCTTCAATGACATCAGGGATGGATCGCGAATGGACGTGGCAATTGCAGCGCTGCAAGTAATCCATGATATCCATTCTTGAATAGTTGCAGTAATAATACATGAGTTCTACAAACCAAAATATAATGATCATCAAAACGCAGAAACCGAACGCCTGCCATGGTCATAACAGTCATCTGGACGGAGGAAACAGAAAGAACGCATCCAGTTAGTCTCCTGTATCCACTTCCCTGTAAACAAAGTCAGTCGATTCCAAAGGTAGAAAAGGCAGCGAGGATGGAATGCAAGCTCACAAATCAAGTTGTACCCCATTGCTGACGCCGTAGTCCTCCAGCGTGAGTTGGTCTTTGAACGGCCTTTCTCCTTGTCGCTTTAGTAAAATCTCGTGTGGCTCGCGACCTATCCGCGCAGCTACCTGTGCCTTGAATAATCCTGTGAGACTGACACGTTAGCAAGACCAGGATCGCAGAGGAGGTTGTATGGTGAAGGGGCAAAAAGGGAAAAGAAAAAGAGAGGGAAGGGAAGCATTGCGGCCTTACGAATTGGATCGGATGCAAGACAGGGAATGGCAGCTTTTGTGCCGAGTCGGTCGTTGACGTGCACAACAATCATCGGTTCTGCAGGGCCCGCTGGCTTCTTTTCCTTCTTCTCCTTTGGCTTTCGTTCTTTTCTATCGCGATCCTCCTTACTTCTGTTTCTCTCCGTATCTCGATCTGGAGCTCTATCCCTATCACGGTCGGACGGCCTTCTGTCTCTGTCTCCGTCTCTGTATCGTTCTCTCCCGCGGCCGTAGTCACGGTCTCGATCTCTGAATGGTGATCGTGCCCGATCTCTTTCTCTATATCCGCGCTCTAAGCCTCTTTCTGGCTCTCTGCCGGAGATATCGTCATCGCGACGGGGCTTCTCCTTCCACCGGAATCCGCTCTGCTTCTTGCGCCCTCTATCTCTATCTCTATCATCATCGTATCGACGTCTTCTTGGCGACCGACTTCGACTTCTTCTTCTCTCCTCTCGCCGGGGGGAAGGAGAGCGATCTGTCCACCTAGGCATAGAGAGGGAGGGAGGGAGGCGGGGAAGTTATATGGAATAGATAGGGTACCGGGAGGTAGCTCGTAATCAGAAAACACGGGTTAAGGCCGCCAACCCTCCAAGTTAGGCTTGGTTGGGCAGATGGCGGGGAAGAAACGCCGGGCAGCGACAAGAGAGCGTGTTGAGGGGATGAGAGCGCGCACGTGTGCCTGATCCTGCACGGGGAGAGGTTGTTTGGTGCAAAAAGCTGAAAACTAGAACGCCGAGAGCGCAAATCACCGTTCAAAGGGATCAGGGTTCCAACGGGCCGCACCGCAGCAGGATTCGGATCCGTCGGGGAGGCTACAGCGGCACCTGAAGCCCGAAAGACAACTCGAGGACACTCTTATGGGCGAAACCACGGTGTCACGTGAGCAAACTGTACTGCGCCTTACAGCCAGAGAATTGAGTTTACGGAGAGCTGGATGGAGCTCCACATCGCAGTCTGAATCGTGCTGCATTTCTGAAGTTGCGAGGTGCATAGGACTGTGAAGTTGTGTGACCGGTTTCCCTTCCTTGCCTGTATTGCTAGACAGCAAGAGGGAGAGTCACTCCTTCGCCGTTCCCCATGCCTTCTCGTCTCCTCGTCGAGCGACCATCTCCAACAACTGTACTGTTCACTGTTTCCAATGCTCCCTCACGATCGTCGATTACCTCGAAACTCCTTTTCTACCTCGAAATCCTACTGCGGGTCATAATTTTTGCAGCTGTGTTGCTGGTCGATGCTGCAAAGCTTCGCGACTACGCATTCTGCCAGGATGGAATTATACCATGGAGCAACGTCTGGTCCAGCCCTGCGGGCCTCATGGCATGCCACATCGCAGACCGTCATCTCTGGCAGGTAATCGCACCAAGTAGTGCGGTGCTACTGTATCTTATGGTTAGGAAAGGTTATACGGGTATGTTTGAAACGATCGTTAGGCTCTCCTATCTACGTCGAAGCTGATAGATTGTCAAAAGAGGAATCCCTCCTTGTGATCCGCGGCCTCGGCGTTCAGACTTCCACCTCCTCAGCCACCTATTTTATGAGTGCCACAACACGATTTATTCCGACAACTCAAATACAGGACATTGTCATTCATGAAGCGTTCAAAGGCTTTGAAGTCCGGTTTTACTTGGCGATTATCGTGGAAGCCGAAGCGGAGGTAGTCGTTGTATTCCCGGTGCGCAAATCGTAGAGCTAGCATTGGAGAATTTGCTGACTAGAGATAGAATCTCCTGCCCCGGCGTAATATTTTAGAAGAGGTTTGGAAAGGGGTTCGCAAGTGCCTCTATAAACCCGGCCCGTAACAGCAATGACTATAGTTCGACTCTCGAAGGCATTGTCTTCATGGAGATGGGCAGGGTCGACCACGCAAGGATCTTGATAGAAACTGAAGCCCATAAGATCAACTCAAGCAGCGTCCTCAACATCGGCTGAGTGGGTCTTATCAGCGCCATTTTTGGCTACCCTTTTTCCTTTCCTTGTCCATCTTGCATTTATCTCTTCCACAGTATCATTCCTCCGTCTCTGCATCAGCGGTACGTATTTTCCGCTCAATTTCCCGTCGTTTCCACCATAGAACATCTTCTGACTCCGGTTAAATATATCTTGAGTAGGTTGTCTAAACCCTCCTCTGGCAATTGAGCTGCTCTCACCTTGACTTACCACAAGGTCTAGCAAACTTGCAGCCAGGACTTCGTCAATCTTGCGTTGTCTCCAGACAGACCATACTTCGTCAACAGCTCCACCTTGTCCGAACTTTCCATCGCTTCTTCCTGACCTTGCGGTGCGTGGATCTCCTGCATATACCCAGTCCAGTCCGTCTCGACCTTCTTCTTCGGACTTTGGACCTGGGAATACACAATCCCACAAAACTAGTGGAGCGTCCGAAGCGATTTCATACGTTGGTCGTCGAGGGTTTTTGCTGACGTCCAACAGCTCGGAGACAATGGACGGCGGCTCAAGTCCTTGGCCGATAAGAAATAGGATACCAACCATATGCCGGACTTGATGCCATAAAAACGCGGATCCATGAACGCTAAAATAGTACACTTTCAAAGCCGCATTGTGGCCGCCGCTGGCTGCACGTTCTTGTTGGCCTAGGTGTTCGAATTGTTGGAAACCCTGCTGCGCCAAAAAGGCCGGCGGGAGCTTGCTAGCATCTAAAACTTGGATATCCGCATGGGATATCTTCCGCACAAAATTCGTTATCTGCTTACTCGCGTCCACTTTGCAAAAGTTTCTAAAATCGTGGGATCCGATAAAGCGCTTTGCTCCTTCTCGCATTGCGTCTATATCTAACCAGCCTTCCCTCATTTTGGCACCCGACGTATCACCGGGCCTCTTGAGGAAGCCGAACGGTCCTGGAGTGGGGCAGAAAGCCGGCTGAGTGAAAAAGTATCGATATCGACGCTCGCGACATGAGAATCTAGCGTCAAAACCTGGAGGTGGATGAGGGCACCATGCTAGAATACGAATATCCTCGGGTAGTACACCGTTTAGCATCTGTATATAGGGGAGTTCATCTGCAATATCATCCCAAGCTTCCTCAGCCTCAAGATCACAGACATCGATGTCCAACCCGCCAAGTGGACTTTCCACAGGAGTTACTGACGAAGGGATGTCTGGGGTTTTAACTGGCTCGACATCTTTCTTCTTCTTCGGCTTCGCACTTCGAACCCTTACACCGACGACCTGTCCGAAAGCGCTGACTCCGCGGTCGGTTCTTCCACACTTAGAGTAGTCACACCCTTCCCAGTCAATTGAATATGGACGCAATAGCCTATTTCCAGCCCTATCAACGTTATCTACATTCTCCACCGTCTTGGGAAAAATCAGGCGAGATTTTCGTAAAGCTTTAAATAGTTCTTCTTCGATAGTAGGCAACGGTGTGATATTTCCGTTAGCGTGTTCGTATCCATTATATCTTTGACCGAGATACGCGAACTTCAAGGCAATGAAGCGGGTGTTGTATTTGGACGGATCAATGTCTCGGGCTGGTCGTGCTGCTCTTGAGGAAGACCTCGACGGGGTAAGTGGACCAGGAGGATAGGAGTCGCCCGGATTGATTAGCGGGGATGTGGGCGGGAGATCGTTGGTGGGCTTGCTACGGCCACGAGGTTGGTTTTCGGTGGAGGAACTGAGCTGTTGTTCCAATTCCGTGATTCGCGAGATAAGGCGGGCAGTGTCCCAGGTTGAGTAGTCGGGCTGGGGACCTACACCAGCGGCAGACGGGGTGTCACTTGTGGCGGACATGGCCGTTGAAGAAAACAGGTGCTTGGGGTAAAACTGCCGGCGTGGCAAGGGAGAAAGGAGAGAGACGGCAAATTTGGAAGCTCCTTTAAAGCAATGAAGTTTCCTGACGGGAGATATCATCCCTAGTTCGAGAGAAGTCTTCCAGCTCCTCCTGCGACTCGCCTAGCTGTTCGCTTCGCCATCTCCGTGTCCAAAAACTGATCGGATGGTGTGGTAATTTTGTTACATATACTGATCAACTTAGCCAATCACACCCTGTAGAACAGCCAGATGAAGGTATTATCATTACAATCACGTGCAACGGCCGCCCTTAAAAAGGAGCATCGCGAGAGCTCCCAGCTAAGCTTCACTCGGTCGGGGATGATATCCCCTATGAACTCAGATCAGGAAAACACAGGACAGTATGAGCTGATGTACTCATACTAAGTTCTTAACAAAGGAGTTTATTCTCCTATATGGAGATCTTGCAATGTGTGCTTTGGCTGGAATCTCAACAATGTTGGGCCCTCATAGTCCAACTTGCTCTTTGGCAACCCACCAAGTTGGAGTGTGCCTCTGCTAATCCCCGTCAATAAGGGTGTGACTGCGTTGTGCTTCTTTCTTTTGGTTGTGTCTTTCATATGGACTATAAAAGGCATGAAGCTTTTCAATCTTAGGGGGGAGCCGCGCACAGCCTGGTGGTTTACAAATCGCCGAGAAATGTCACCTGTGCGGCAAATCATCAGGATGCAAACCCCTGGGATCTGTGTTCTGTTGTTCTCCTCTCTTCATGAGGTTGAATCTCCATGAAATGTTTACCGGGAGTCATCTTCTAGAGGGCCTACAGCTTCCACCATTCGTCATTTCAACGTTCAAGAAGTTGAGTTCATACAACGAGCCTCCTTTTTGTCTTGCTTCCTTGCCCAGTTCCGAACGCGTCTCGAAGTGAAGGCTTACAACCGTCAAGATGTTTCCTGAGCCCGAACTCGTTGATAGCACTGGTGTGCTATCATACACAATCAAGGTCGAGTTCATTGTCAAGGTCAAGGTCGCGGAATTTTTTGACCGACAGGCACGAAGTCTTTCCTACCTGCAGAAAATGCGGGCCATTCACGAGGAAATGATCCAATACTTAAGACGATTCGGTGTGGAAGTGAACGAATACAGATCCTACGAGGCGGATTTGCAGGCTTGGACCGTGGAGAGAGGAAGCGCCGTTAGTGTCGACGATGTCTCTGACGTCGACTATGGCTCTGAGGAGTGGGGGTTCTTCGAAGTGAAACTGGCAAGCCCCGTATTGCCTTATTATCGTCTGTCAATGTTCGAAGTGGAGCGAGTCCTCCTCCTGATCAAAGACGAGTACACCACGATCATCAATAAGTCCTGCACCTTGACCGTTCATGTAGGGCACATTGAGGACGAGCCTTACTTAGAGACCTACGAAAGTTACGGATTCTGTCTTCCGGCCGTGCAGACCCTCTTGCAGCTCCTTTGGAAATACGAAGCACAGATCAACGCTATTCACCCCGAGCATCGTATTCAAGGAAATCCCCGCTCTCTGCCGCCGAGCAAAATGCTGGAATACATGCTGTCGAGAACCATCATGGAAAGGATTTGTGATTGCAGAGATATGAACGCTCTGCATCAGCTTTGGGAAGGAGGACTTAGTTCAGAGCAAATTCGTCAAAGAGTCGCTGCATACAGCATCCGTGGGCTCACCGGCATTCCAGGTTCTGACACCCATACCGGAACGATCCGATTCGGGCAGCACCAGGCCACTCTTGAGTTCGACGATATCAAAAACTGGGTTTGGTTCGTGGGCTCTCTGGTCCAGCTGGCGGTTGAACGCGGGCCTTGCGGTGTTCCGCTTACCCTCATGGGACTCGGGGGTTACACGCGTCAAGTTCCCTTGAGTGAGGTTTCCGCGATTCATTTCATCAAGAAAATCGCGAAGAAAGACCAGTATTTGTTTTACAAAGAGCAATTGGGTGATTATTACTACTTCGACGATCCTGATGACTTTTGAAGTGCGTTGCGGGGTGAAATTTTCTTCCTTGGAAGTCGATATGGATGAGCACTGCTTTTTAAAGTACCGGTCATCACCACTTCCCTAAGGGTTGATTATGGCGTAGAACGCATTCAACATCGACGCGACTTTTCGAATATCGGTCATTACTCATCACCACCGTCCCAAGAGTTATGATTGCATGAAGAAGCTTTGGAGTTGATATGGATGCACACTACTTTTCAAATATTTATGTATGGTTGAGAGGTGCATGGAAAAACTTCGAGGTTGATACGGGTGGACAGCAACTTTTGAGATGTCAGTCAGCGCCACCTTTACAGGCGCTGATCATTACTTAAGATGTAGAATACCTTATGTATGGCTTTTATAGGGCACTGAGCCTAGCAGAGGCCAAGGTCAATAAATGTACGTTGTAACAGCTTCAATTTGAAGGCTATCTTTTCTTTTTACCCGGGTAAACAAATGGCTGAGCGGAAGTGGGACAACGATTAAGTACGCCCCTAATTGGCAGCACAGGGCCTTCCCCCATATGACTAACGAAATCAAAATGGATATCTTTCCCTCATAAGTGCCGTCAAACAGTTTCACGATGCCTTCCACCGCCAGGACAAATAGTGGGCAAAAGAAAGAGAAATGGAATAAACGCATCTAATTATTTCAATATTTGAAATTTTTTGGCTTTTCTTCCTCCGACAAAAAGTGAAATGGGGAATAAAAATGGTGGTGAGCGAAGGGTCCTTAAGAATGTCGCAGGAACAAGGATAAAGTGCTCAATGTCGTGATTCGCATCTGTTTCCAGACCCAACACCAGATTCCCTCATATACTCAAATCGAAATCATATTTTCTTTGCGTTTACCATTTGGTCTCGCCAGCAGGGGCGTCACCTGCCCAGCCCTCAGCAGGGGCAGTGCTAGTAGCCCAGTCGCCACCAGTGGCTTCCCAGTTAGGAGGGGCGGTAGTTGAAGCAGCAGCAGCGAAAGCAGATCCACCAGCGGCTTCCCAGCCCTCGGCACCGAATCCGGTTTCAACGGCAGCGGCGCCAATTTCCTCGACACCAGGAGCCTTGGCTTCCTCGAGCTCCTTAGCCTCCTCGGCCTCAGGATCACGATAGAAGTAGAGATCAACAACAACGTCCCATTCGGTCTCACGGTTAGCAAGGGTGCCGCGGAGGCGGAGGACCTCACGGGCGAGGAGCCACCAGACCAAACCGATAGCATGGCGACCCTTGTTGTTGGTGGGGATAGCAACATCAACGAATTCAGTTGGGGAGTCGGTGTCGCAGAGGGCGATAACGGGGATGTTGACGTAGCTGGCCTCCTTGATAGCCTGAGAATCGGTGCGAGGATCAGTGACGATGATCAAGCGGGGTTCCTTGAAGGAGCGAGTGATGTAGTTGGTGAAGCTTCCGGGAGTGAAACGGCCGGCAATAGCAACAGCACCGGTGTGAGCGGCGAACTTGAGGACGGCACGCTGACCATAGGGACGAGCGGAGATCACACAGATATCAGCGGGGTTGTCGATAGCGGCGATGATGCGCGCAGCAAGGACGATCTTCTCCCTACAGTTTGCGCAAACGATCAGCATACGAACCTCGGAGAATATCATACCTTGCGCGACTTACCAGGTCTTGCCAATGTTGATAACGTTGATGCCATCGGGACGAGTCTTCCAGAGGTAAGGCTCCATGTGAACCTGCAAGTTCTTGGAGCCGAGATGGCACTGGGCAGCCAAGAGCATCTCAATATCCTGAGATGTGGCATTGAAAACCGGAGGGAGGTTAGAGGGGGCCATGATGGGCGACTGATATTTTGGGTGGAGATGAGAAAGAAAATATCAATCGTTTGGCTGTTGTCGGATGGAGAGAAGTGGAAGGAAGAGCAGCTCGGTGACAGTTTCGAGACGGTCAATTTCGCGCTTCTTCGCAGGCGGTTTGTGTGGTTCCGGGGAGCTTGATGTGCGCTAGACCTAACCCGGTTAGTGAAGAGTTGGTTAGGGCAGCTTATCGGAGCCAATGTCGGGCCGATACTTGTGCATTATGTCAGCACTTGGCCCAAAAGTTCGACAAGAGCGAAGGCCTTTTCGAGAATTTGCGGCGAGAAGGGCATTGAAAGGGGACTGTCAGCGCTGTCAAAATGCCGCCACGAATTCCAATTCAATCGTGTTCCAAATCCCTTAACGGTTAGTAGTTTAAACGGGTTGCTTGACCCTGTTTTTCTGACGCAATTGCTACCTAGGGCCACTATACAACTGGTTCGCTGGCCTCTCTCTTGGGCCCAGCGTTTATTCCAGATCTGCCTCATCCAAGACGAAGCGCCAAAAGAAACACTATGACCCGTTTGCATTGGCGCAGGCTCGCCAAAGGAAAGCTGCGAATTTGTCCCGGCAGCGTGGTTTAAAAGAAGAACGTGAAGCCGCGCGTGGAGATCCGGTGGTGGGAAAACCGACAGCTTTGACCGAGGCGTTGCTAAATGGGCAAGTTATCCCTCCAAGCTCATCAGCGGCAACCAGCGAGGCACCGGCCAGCTCATCGGATCTTAACTTCTTTCTGTCGGCGGACGAATTGAACTTCGCCCTTGCACGCTCGGAGAAAAATACCCAGCCTGTGGTAGAGGAGGGCCCTTCTTTCGACCCGCAAAAGGCGGAGGAGGAAGCGAAAAGGCACTCGGCCAAGCACAAGAATGCCGAGGAAGCAGTGAGACGTATCATGCAGATGAACAACGCCAGCAGCAAAGATCGAACACGGCTGAACATCCAGCGTTGTATCGAAACGTTCGGGCGACATAATACAGACGCGGCTCTTCCTCCAAAGCCAGAGGCCCCCTCACACCCTTCTGCACCTCAACATCCTCCCAGACCATCTCGTGCCGGTCCAGATACCGGTTCATCCGAAGTTCAGGTCGCGATTTTAACCACAAAGATTCTTACTCTTGCAAAACAATTGGAGACTACTTCACACAAAGATAAGCACAACAAGCGGAACCTCAGATTACTAGTTCATAAACGACAAAAGCTGCTTAACTATCTTCGGAAAAAGGAACGTGGGGGTCCAAGATGGCAGAACTTGGTGAACACACTCGGTCTCAGTGATGCGACTTGGAAAGGGGAAATCAGTCTATAGGAGCGATGCGTGGATATATGTACTGTACTATTATTTCTCTTTGAGTATTTTTCCCAGGTAACATTGTATTTATGTTTTCGCTTGTGTGTACCAGTCGTACGCTTCGATGATGCTGGGTTTCTTCGAAATTTCTTGAGTTTTCAATGGGTCGAGTGACCAGTCTATGGAGTATAGTACAGCGTCTATACATGGTCTTGATCTCAGCGGCTTATATACATTGGATGTATGTATTCTCGAGTAGTTATGGGATGTTGTCGTGTGCCCAATCTTGGACACATTGGGATTTACTGAAGTCCCGCAAACGGCCACGGCCTGGCCTACAGTGTACTGCATTCCGGTTGAAAAGATGAGCTTGTTTCCACTACACGCAGCGGGATATAATGATTCCCCGGGAAGGTGCACATCGGACTACGTTATTTCGTCATATGTGCCGACTATTCGCACCCTTCAATACGCGCGCGAGAAGGCGGAAAAATTCGATTCCGTTCGTGAACGTGAAAATACTTTACTACTAGCCGTGATGGGGAGCACACCAAAACGTAGTCCCCTTAAATATGCTGTTTAAGAGGCGGAAAAAATTTCCGAAGTTCTCCCAAAGTCCACTGGTCGTAATGTTTTGTATTGTCCAAAGAAAGAAGATGTTGTTATACGATGCATCCAGAAATCTTCGATGATGCATTTCGCATGTCATGGGGAGATGGATTACTCAAATCCGTCTCACAGTAAAATCCTTTTTGACGATTGGGAAACGGACCCATTCTCTGTTGCGGAGATGATAAGCTTGAATCTTGAACACGCTAGATTTGCCTATCTTTCTGCATGCCATGTCGCGAATAATAATGCTTCGGGTCTTCTAGACGAGTCGATACATATGGCATGAGCCTGCCAGCTAGCCGGCTTCCCCACTGTCATCGGGACCCTTTGGCAAGTATCCGACAGGTATTGCGGAATCGTTGCAGAAAGTGTGTATGGATCCTTGGTCACGTCGGAGGTGAAGATGGAGTTTGGCAGCGCTGCAGCAGGTTTACATTTTGCTCTTCGGCGTTTGATAGCATCCAAGGTAGCACCCGTTATTTGGGCCCCTTTTGTTCATATTGGCGCTTGAACAGTATTGAATTTCGGCAAGCCACGCCGTATGGGAGTCTGTACTGACAAATGTGACCAAGAAGATGGGGAAGACTGGTCCACTGAATTCCGTGAAGCCAGAGCTGAGTCTAGATCAGCAGTGGTTATTGGTAGCTTTTGACATGAAGGGTTAAGTGAACGTTTATTCGTTGTGTTTATCGAAGTCGGGTCTCCAGCGTCCAGAATAAATGTATTATTTGGAAGTTAGTGACTATTAAGACGCTCCATACATGCAAGATTTAGCTCGAGAGCCAAACGCTCCTCCGTCGTCCTGATAGCTCTCGTGGGGGCTATCTTGAACGGGCTGTCCCAACAGCGCCATTCTGCCACATCCTTGTCGACGGGCCTCGATTCATGGATCTTGCCCCACAGCCTTGTTCTGACTGCGGTTCACAACGCGACCTATCTGTGATGCAGCAGAAACCGCAAGGAATTCAGTGGAAGACGAGAAATCAAGAGAATTATACGCTTGTCCTTGCATGCATGCCAGTTGAGCCCCCATGGGGGCATATCCTATGTTGCGGCACAAGGCCAGCCTTGCACCAAGGCGTAAGAAAGAACATCTCAAGTGGTGGACCGGCCCAGGATCAGCACTTTTGATTTGCTGACTGACGGGAAGACCAGTCAGATATTATCGCTGTTCCTGGTGATAGATGTCCGGACCATTAAGCATTACCTCGTATCGCATCCTGAAGTTTCCGACGTACATACATACAAAGGGTTATGCCGTACTTTCGAAGGACTACCTTTAACCTTCTTCGGGAATTGGTCGACGTTCATCCCATAACGAGAACGCCTACTCATTGGGAGGCTTTGTTTCAATATGGTTGTCCGTCCCACGGATCGTTGCGAGACTTGTGAGGGGCCGCAGATGGCAGATAACGGTTTAAATGAGATGAAAATGCTACCATGTTGCTGATTCTCTTCCTATTCTGAGACGACAATCGTCCAAGTATCCCACAAGTTAGGCCGACTCTCGAATGCTGTTCGAAGGTATGGATGCCTCGCATACCAGAAGACACCTCTCCTGGCGCTACCAACGCACGAAAAAATACCGCCCGGCACCCAAATCTACAGTGCCGCGGATAGCTCGAAGCTATCAGCCAGTAGTGATAGCTTCATTAGATAGGACGTCATACCCTGCGCAGGCTGAGTTTTTAACTCCATCGTTGGACAACCTATCCCTTTGCCAAGGTCTTCTCGCGAATGAAGCCAATTTCGCATGCGAAAGCAGCTGTGACGTGCTTGAGATTTACGAGACCGGGAGAAGATCTTGGAAGTACGGCTGGAATGATGAAAAGATTATGACATATATAAAGGTATAGCGCTCGAGTTTTAATTCAAGACTTCGGCTGACGGGTTATTAAAGCCTTTCCTCGATGGTCAAGACAAAAGCACGCCTCAAGGCTTGAACCTCCGGGTGCTGTAAGTCAAGGATAATGCGCAAAGATCTGGAAAGAACACTGACTTTGGAAAATTGAACGCTGCAGATTTTGCAATCTCCGCCGGCACCCAGACACTAGTTTTGGATACCAGCTGTCGCTGTCGAAGCCTACTACAAAAAGCTTGCTCACGGCATTCAGGGTTTTCCCACATTTCCTGCCATTCATGCTTGGGGAACCTGACTACTGGGCACCTTTATTTATCCCACTTAGGAATGATAAAAGAGTTGTTCGAATAGGTACGTCTTTACGCTAACCATTATCCTCAAGCATGGGGAGTAAGCTTTATTGATCTCTTACATTTCTCAGAGGCTACTTGGCAGCATCCTCGCTATAATATTCACGCTAGACAGCAGCCATGTTCGGTTTATATGGGATACGATTTTGCCGAAGCATGCACTACATATATCATTGTTAGTGGGGAAGGAGAGGAGTATGTAGAACGAACGAAGACGAGACTCAATGATTACTTCGCTGATGACGATGGTCTCGCCGCCGCTGCCGGACAGATCAGCGATCCATTTCTACTGCAAAGTATCCTTTGCCATGAATCGCTTACAGATGGAAAGGAAATCATAACGAAACTCCGCCACAGGCTTTACGACCAGCTCGACATTGTCGGTGAATATGCAAAGGAACCATTCGATAAAAGCAATCTTCAGGAAATGACGAACCAGCTACACTTGATCTCCCAAGATGCAGATTCGCTTTTCGCAAGTACTGAGATGGCTGGCATGATATCCACCCACATGGCCAAAGCCCGGCAGCGGACTTCTAAAATTTCACCGAACATTTTTCATAAAAGCAATGTCGGTGACGCACTGGCGTATCTCATCGATTCAATCGAGGCACAGAAACGCTGGCTACAAAGCCTAAAGTCCAGGAAGGACATTGCGATGAATCTTGTCTTCAACCTAGTGACACAACAGGATAGCGAGACCAGCACAAGCATTGCTCGCGACACGAAAGAAGACAGTGCATCGATGAAGATCATTGCCGTGATGACGATGCTTTTCCTGCCGACTACTGCCGTTTCTGGTTTTTTCAGCATGTCCTTCTTTTCGATGTCGGGCCCCCTTCAGACGTCTGGTGATATCGGGCTCTTCTTTGCGGTTGCATTGCCGTTAACCTTTCTTATTTTTTTGACGTGGTGGATGTGGTATTCGGTGGAGTCGACGGTTAGAAATGTGTGCTACTTTGTTTCGCTCAGATATCAAGGCTTCAGGTTTCGCTTGAAAACTGAAAAGGATGAGGAGAGAGGCAACTAGCTAGGGAGAGTCAAATAACTGCTACAAGAATATGTATAGCGTAGGGTATGCGTGCAAGCCATATGTACCCGGAGGATTGATATGTGTGTATAACTAATTGAGGAGATCGTGCCAGCGCATGGTGCACCCTTCACTTCTGTGTGTATGGTTTACATCTGATGGAGTATCTGAAAAGAGGAAAGTAATAGATAGCACAAGTTCCCCTTTCCGCCTCTCGGATTCGAAATACCGGCCAATTATACGCCATCAACCATGCGAAATCCAAAAGCTTATCTCACTCAAAAAAACTGCGCATAAGACAAGTTGTTCGGGAGTCATCAGATTACCCCTCTCTTGGAGCTCTAAGGAACAGATGTCGGTTCGGTGGCACTACGTGGACTTTATCGATTGGATGTTCAAAGGCGCAGTTGCGACGGTAGGGATGGAGGGACCGGAAGAGTACAAGATGGCGATTACCGGGATGTATGGACTCCGTACACTCCGCAGCTTTAGTTAAACTCTCCGTGAGACGATATAGACTCAGCTTCACACCGCTTCCCACCCTGAAATTGGCACCGGACAGACCGCTTGCCTGTCATCCAACCTCCTCGACAGTGGATAAGACAAGCGCCGGAGCGTTGATCGTCCCGCACTGGTCGAGGTCGCAGCCAGGTGTTTCGGTGACGGAGAAACTGATCTTCCTGACCCGGCGGCCGTAATTTTCCGTTTTGTTAGGGCCCACCGCCTTCATTCTGCCGGCCCCAAAGTTTTGCGTCTCAGGAAAGCACGGTCGCAGCAACCGGCGAGTTCCTTCTGTTTTCAACTCAGCCTAGGGCAACGAGACGACTGCTTCCCGATCGGGCAATGTTTGGTCCGCAGCTGCCATAACAAACGGTTGCCCCGATGCTGCCAGCGCTTGCATAAGTATCTCGCTCTCCTCGTCGCCCTCCTCTCCTCCCCCCTCTTGTCCTTCACCCACCGCACTCCAGCTTCACGACTCAACAGTCCTCACGGTGTCTCGTCTGCTCTAGCTACCACTTACAGATCTCCTCGTCGTCGAAAAAGATACTTGTCTGATTCTTTGTTGAAGACTCCGCACACACCGCTGTCCTTCGTCCAGTATCAACAGCTCGTCCAGTGTCTGTAAACAAGGTACGCTTCATCCCCTCAAGCAACGCTTGGAAGACGCAGGTTGACATTTGTCTCTTCCTTATCCGTCTAGCATACTCTGCTTAAGACGCTCTCAGTGTTTGACATCTAGCTTTTCAAGCTTCCCTGTTAAACTTTGTTGTGCTCTCTGGTGGTGTATTCCATCTCTTGTATGTCGTCGACGACCTGTGTTGCTCTGCCCGCTGTGTGTTGACTCGTCCCAAATACAGAATCACAACACTTTTTCAATAGCGCTATTAAGCGTCTTTTCTTCTGATAGTCCAGGGCCTGTCGGCTTTTGCCTAGACTTCTTTGTTTTGAGCAATCTTCGGATAATTTATCGTCCATCGCAATGGCTCGAACTCGCTCTCAGCCAATTTCTCCAGGCGGCTTCAAATCCCTCGAGGACATTCCTCGCAAACGCAGAATCACGCGTTCTACTGCCAATACTGCGGGGGCTGCGAATGCACCAATTACTGCTTCTGCTCGTGGTGAAAGCCCGCCGACTCGCGTCACCAAAAATACCACAAAGTCTACCACCAATGCTATCAACAAGCGTGGCACCAAGAAAACCGCACGCGCGACCAAGTCCGCAAGCTCCAAAAAAGAAGAACCGGTTGCAAACGCTGAAAACGATGTTAACGAACCGACTGGTCAGCCAGCTTCGAAACCCCCAGCGACTACCCAGTCGCCTGCAAGCGAGCCTACTGCTGCATCTACCAAAAGTGAGCAACATATTTTTTCTTCTCAAGTTATTAACATTGGGCGTTCTCAAAACGCGAGTCTTGCTTTGCCAGTGCATCCGTCTGGAGCGCCGTCTGCTAGACGCGCTGGTACTTCTTTGGATAATCCTCCACGTCGAGTTTTGGGTGTGGCTAGCCCAAATATCGTTACTCCAGCCAGGGAGCAATATGCTGTCCCGGGAGCTAAAGTTTTGAAACCTCATGCCCAAATCCCCCCGTTCAAGGACCATGGTTCGCCATCTATTATTTCAAGCTTGAGTTCACAGAAAGCTCAAGTCAAATTTCGTTCTTCAGTCGGTCAGGCTGGTACTCATGATACCCATTTTAATTCGACTGGCCGAGGCATCAAGCCTTCTTCTCAAGCCGGTGTTCAGCAATTGGACCCGGATTCTCAATTATCTTCAGAGCTTCGTCAGCATACTTCAAAGACTGCCCCAGACACCACGGCTGCTTCTTCTCAAGTCTCAACTCAGGAGCCAAGCGTGCCATTCCAGGCTATTTCAGCGAACTCTCGTCCGGTTCGTGGTCAGCAGCCAGGCTTGCAGTCGAAAGTTGATTTAGTAAACCCTCCCTTGGTACACATGCATGAGCCAAACAAGTTGTCTCAGTGCCCTTCGCAGAGTTCTCGTCATGAACCAGATTCTGGCGACCCTGCTGCTTCATGTTCTCCTGCCACCCCCCAGGAACAGCCCCAGCCTACCAGTCAGCCGACACCTCCTTGTGAGCCAACTCCAGCTGCTGTCGCTGCCGAAGGATCACGTCAATCCATCAGTCAACCAACTTTCCGCCAAGCGGCTCCGACTGTTGCCTCTGTCGAAAGACCACATAGTTCTTCGTGTCATGCAACTGTTCGCCGGCCGACTCCAGTTGTTATCTTTGCTGAAGGGCCGCCTCAACCACGCCCACTTGTTAGACATGGTGGTCCAACTCCTCTTCTGCGGTTTGCTGTTCTTGCCCAAGCTCAAACGCATCTCGGTGCCCCTGCAAGTCTTATTCAACATGAGCTTGCGTCGCGCTCTAATGCACGCAGAAGCAGCGGTAGAGAAGCACAGGCTGCAAATTCCCCACAAGCTGTTCCAACTTCTCCACCTCGGCCCGTGAAACCTGGTGTCACCACTGGGATACGAGCCATCGGTTCACGTATTCCTTCGCGTTCTAACCCATCCGGCGATCCAATGGCACTTGACTCTCCACCCAAGACAAATTCCGTGGCCACCCAGACGTCTCCCATGGAGCCTGCCACTTGGTCTACAACCGCATCCATCGCCACTCAGACACCTCCAATGGAATCTGCTCCGCCAATGGGTGCATCCCCTTTTCCCGAAACGCCTTCGGTGACCACCAAGGGCTCTGATCGCACGTGTCACTGTTGTTCTGCCATTTTGCAATGTCCCAATGGCCACTTTCCTTGGTTGCAATCTAAAGTTCGCGAATATATGCCAAACAAGACGCTGACTCAACCAGAATCAGTGATTCCTATGAATCGCAAGCGATCTAGGACGGAAGAAACACCCGAAGAAGACACCGAACTCCCTTCATCTAAGCGTCGTGAACTCAGAGCTGCGACTTTAGCTTGTCACAGAGATCGTAAAATTATTCCAATTGCCCAGCGTCGATCTCGCAGAATGGCTCAAAAGAAGACCTGCATTGGTGTTCCATTATTCACCGATCCCCAGCCAGCTGACGGAAACGAATCCCCCGAGTCGCCACACCGATTTGTTAAAGTCCACCGCCATCCGTCGAGCATCGCCAATGACAATAATTCGAAAACCGAGTCTTCGACTGAAGCCCAACCAGCTCCATCCACACCCTCGAGAGGATGGGGCATTCGAGGCTTGCTAAGTTCTGTTCCACGCTCCATCCAAAGACTTATGTCATCTTTCGGAGAACAAGAGAATCAGGAACCGACGACTCCCACACCCGCACTGCCGCCCACCCTCACTGAACCCGCTCCTAGTGCAGAAACACCTGTTTCCAATGCCGAACCCGTTTCGAACTCTGTCCCCCACGTTTCTGACGCTGTCATTACGGAGTTGTCGGCTCCTGATGTTGAACCTGTTATGACCGCTGGTTCCCCGATCTCTGACGCTGTAACCACTGAGGGTTCAACCCATACCGGTCAAGAACCAGCCGAGCCACCCAAGCCGATGGAGCCAATCAAGTCAATCGAGCTAACGGAAGCAAGTCGCCCTAAACCGAAAAGTCTGCCTCGCGATCTAAGCTCTTCTCTTGTTTCACGACCACGAGATCGCAGCCTGGTTTTCGGTGCCCGGAAAGTTGAAGTACCGTTTGGCGATAAGCCGCAAGTTTCCCATTCTCTTCTGCCTGCTGCAAAAAGGGACAAGGATGCGGCAGCTCCAGTCGTTAAACCCAAAAAGAGAAAGCGATCTCCTTCACCAGACGTGATTCCAAATCCCCCGGGTGTTAGCTATGGCATGGATCTCAAGTACTTCTGCTATAGCTCAGAAAGCGAAGAAGAGGAAGAGGAACCTCCTCAGACAAAGCCCCCCAAACCCCTTCCCCCCAGAGGCATCCTTCGAGAACGGAAGCGTGTCCGATTTGACGTGAGCCCTCAAGACACCCCGTCGAAGCTTAGGCTTCAACGTACCATGGCCATTGCCGATATGACACCTTCCCGCGCGCCAATTACTCCTAGCCGCCTCTCGCGTGAGGTCCACGCTGCGGAACAGACCGCCCCCTCGCCTGGTGCGGCACCAGCGAGCCACGGTTCTGCAGACGCCCTCTCGCACGCTCTGGGAAGACCTCCAACCCGTGTGTCGGCCCCTCCCGTCATCACAAACACCACTGGAACATACAAGTTAGACTACAACTTGTTTTCCAGTGATGAGGAAGACGTCGAGGAGGAGGCGGCACCGCCCGCAAAGACTACGGTGCCGGCAGACACCTTTGTGCTTCGTTGGCCTGCGGCCAACCCTTACAGCCCCATCTCTGGTGGTGGTCGTGGGGAAGCCGCGGGCTCCGGGCTGTTCGGTCGTGAATTCGGCCCGTTGCGAGGTGCGCTCGTCGCTTAAGACGGGCAAATGATTTGGGGGTGTTTCCTCTTCTTCGCTTCTTTTTCTTTTTTTTTTTTTTTTTTTTTTTTTTTTTAGGTGGGCTCCTGTCTTTTTATTTTTATCATACATATTTATTTTCTTTCCTGTATCTCCGACGTCTCTGCAAACGCCCGCCTTTCGGCTTGGTGCGTTTGTAGTTGCGTCCGCCCGGTTTGCGGAGCCGAAAGGGGATTTTCTTTCCTGTATATAGTCTTTTTTTCGCCCCGGTATTTCCTCTAGTGAATGCCCTCCTTCGGGACTGGGTATTTTCATGGTATGCCTCCTTTGGGTTGGAGTAGCCTCCCGGAGCGGCATGGGCCTTTTCCTTTTAGTTATTTTCTTTTCATTGTTTTCTTTCTCGGTTCCGTCGTTTTTGTCGTTGTTTAATATTTTCATAATTTCGTATTCTTAAAAGACAGGAGCCCAAGATGTAAGTAGTGCGAAGCCCATGTTGTCAAATGATTTGATTCGAAAAGTGATTTCTGTGCTATTCGTCAAAGTCGGTTCATATTAGGGTAATGTTCACATTATCGCCGTAATATCACGCGAGGCAAGTTTGTTAGATGCTCAAAATTATCAGCGGTCTTTGATTTAGCTCCTTCGGACAACTCCACGACCCAGGGGGCTCAATACCTTCTTCTCTTTCCGGATCCCACCAAAATCTCCAGAATTTATCGCCATGAAAGTGCATCGCGGGGGAAAAAAACCAAAGAAGAAAGGAAATATTGAAAGAGAGAACCGATCCACAATGCCAGCTCAAGGACTACCAAGTGAGGGATATGATATTTTATAATTATGATGACGGAAAGTTCCATCCGTTGGGCTTTCTTCCCCCCCCCCTTTTCTTTTTTTTTTTTTTTTTTTTTTTCCCGGAGAAGCTACCTTTTGCTTCGCAGATTCGGGGCGGTGTCTTGATGTTACGAGTGTTGCTTAATGGCTTTGACTATTTGTGGAAGATGGCGATAATGGGACTGGAGAATACTACATAGATAGACGAGCAATTGAGGTAACTTAGGCATGTAATTATTGAATCTGAGACAGCTACATTTATAATTGTTTACAATACTTTAGTCGAAGCCCTCGAACTCCGACTCGCCATCGAGCTCCGCTTCTTGCGGCTTTGAAAGAACGCTAGAAGAAGTGTGGGATTTTGCGTTGAGCTCTTGCCGGTTCTTTTTCCGGAGCTCTTCAAGCATCTGGCGTGTCTCGCGAGATTTGGTTTTCTCTTCTTCCGTCATCTTCTCCCAATGTTCTCTCTCTTTCTTTGCGCGTTTGCGTTCGCGCCGTTTTTCTTTGTCGGATTTCTTTTCGAGAGTCTTGCTCCATGGCGCTGTGTCGTTGTTTGAAGAGGATGATGGGGCGGGGCGTTTCAGGGGGTTATGGGTTGTGGCAGAGTTTAGAGATTCTTGACGGTGTTTCTCTCGCTGCTTATCCTTGTAGGAATATTTGTCCCAGTCCAGGGTTACTCCGAGTGTCCTGTCCCCAGAGAACTTCTGCAGCTCTGGCATTTTCGGCAGCTTGAGCAAGCCCCACGCGCGACCTGCTTCTTCCCAGTCTATGTCCGTGATACGAAAGATGCTACTAGCTTGATGCTTAGTGTAGCTGCGGACCCAACTGACGAAGGCCTTCTGGGCTTTGTCGTGCAATGCACGGTCACGAAGGACAGTTTCCCGGATTTTGCTTGTTGCTTCTGTCGCGAGAGTGTCGGATAAAGCTACCGGAGGAGATTCAAGAAGTGATACAGGTGTTTTTCGGACTTCAAGGAAGGGTATGTAATCTTCTTCTCGGCCAGGACAGAGCAATATGACACTTAGGCCACGACGTCCAGCCCGGCCAGCACGACCGCATCGGTGGAGGTATGCCTTAGGATCTGTTGGTGGATCAAACTGGATTACCAGGTCAACAAGCGGGATATCTAATCCTCGAGCGGCGACATCGGTGGTTAGTAAGACCGATGGAGATACTGAATTGGTAAAACGGCTGAAGTTCTTTTGTCGGACATTAGGTGGGTGCTTTCCATGAAGGGGTAGGGTGACGAATATTTCGGGGAGTAGGGAGGGTAGGACGTGGCTCCAGTAGTCTACTGCAGCACATGTCGAAAAGTATAGAATAGTTTTCTGTGGTGTATTATCTATCGAGTTGAGGATCTGCCTGATGGCGGGGATTTTATGAGAGGGGCGTGTCAGGAGATATGTCATCTGCAAACTATTGCGGCGTTAGCTGTTTGTTCACATCAAAAGGACCCGGAGTGACTAGACACCTTGCCGGGGTACGCTTCTCTTCTGTGCCAGGTGCCCCTTTTACTTTAACAGCAATTTTCACGGGATTCCGCAAACCAACTCGGATGATCTGATCTACGGCGTCGCTCACGGTGGCACTGAACAAACCGGTTCGCCTTTGTTTCGGCAGCCGGGCAAGTATTTTTTGCAGGTCATCCTTGAACCCTAGATCCAGTAGCCTGTCGGCTTCATCTAGGACGAGAACTTCAAAAGAAGTCTGAGGACAATGTACATGCGGGGAGGAAAGGAGTTCGAGGAGCCTGCCAGGAGTGGAGACAAAGAGGTTCGGCGAGCGTTTCAAAAATGTACTTAGATCCTGAGCGGGAGTGGTTGCACCGCCAAGGAGTAGCTGCGGAACTACTTTCAGTGTCGAGGAGGGATAGAAGGGAAGGATGGTTTCGCCATCTGCCGTCTCATGGGAGGTTGAAGGCTGTATGGCCGCAGCGGAGGGCGCGTGGAACGCGAGGAGGGAAAGAAGGACTTTATATATCTGCTCAGCTAACTCTCTGAAGCTATAGGTTAGCAAGACACATATCTCGTAGGCAAACCGGGGAACGCAAAGCAAGTTTGCCCTCACCTAGTTGGCGAGACAATGATAGCTCCGACGTGGTGCTTTTTTATCGGAGCTTCCAGGCGTAGGAGCTTCTCGACGACGGGGATCAAAAACGCCATGGTCTTCCCGCTGCCAGTCACGGCCTCCACGACGACATCCTTGTGGCCCATGAAGAGCGGGATTGTCGACGCCTGGACGGGAGTCATGCGGGTGAAGCCCATCGCCGCAACGGCGTCGAGGATCCATTCCGACAGCGGCGGCGTCAGGGCCTGCCAAGAGCGGGAATGCGGCGGAGGCCCTCGCTCCTTCTTTTTGGATGCCATTGCTGGGCTGCAGAAACTGTGCCTTCCGCAACTGGGGGGTAAGGGTTTGTTTACGGGCTCCCTTGGGCTCGTCGCTGCCGCTTTTTGCGCTGGCTCACAAAATTTCCCAATTCGGCAGGCTTGGCAGGGCTGATCACGGGACCCACAGTTCTGCCGCTAAACACCGCCTTTGACTAAGCGGAGAATTTTTTGAAATGGCGTAACCGCCTTACTAGCGGTAACGAAACTGATGGTTTGATTGGACAGGAATATTTACTTTTCCGCCCAAGCGCCTCAGCTCCCCACCTCAATTGGCTGGCGCAGCGCCACCCGCACAGCCACGAACCGGAAGATTTACCAAAATTGTTGTTTTTCCGGCCAGCATGTGCTCCGCGAATAATTTCATCTCTCGGCTTCAGACCAGCAAACATGGCCTGCTAGCAGCACAGGGACTCACCTCTCCTCCAGCCTGCCTCTTCGCTGCCTCTCCTCGAACCGCATCCTCCATCCTCGAGCCCTGCGCGAAGCCGTCGATCGACGAACATGCGCCTGTGCCTTCCTCGCCGCAGTTGACATGCCCCTTGAGAAAATCTTAAAAAACAAAAAAATCCGCCGCCATCTCCGACTTTCATTTTATTTAGCTCCTCCAAACACTCTCTACTGTCTGTCTGAACCGAAGCTTCTCTGAACTTGCATCTGCACAGCCAGATCGTCCTTACAACCACTCGCCCTTGTCCCTGTCATGCCTTTCCAAAATGAGATCCCCGCGACACCGCGCGTGATATCCCCTTCTCCCACCCCCTCGGAACTCTCGGAATCGAAAGATGGCTATCGAGGGCCCCTTACTCGTTCTGCCTCAGCAAGGCGACAGCTCTCCTCTCCTCCACCAATCTCAGAAGAAGATAGAGGACAGGAGAACGAGTCCGGCTCAGATTCGAGCACCAACAAGCGCGCCAGAACCCGATCTCGGAGCCCGATTACAAAGTCGCCCGGCAAGACTCGGCGTCGCCTGTCAGGCCTGACATCAATCGACGAATCCCCTTCAAAGTTGAAACCTTTGACGAATGGCTTTCTCTCCCCTAATGGCCATCTCTCGCCATATTCAACGGCCAAGGAACCCTTCCGTGATCTATCGCGCTCGCCGTCACCTCTCGGCCTGATCCCCCTCCATAGACACTACAGAAATTTTATCCATCGCCATGAGATTCCACGAAAGCTGCTCCATGTCTCAATCGGCTTTATCACGATCGATCTTTATCGCCGTGGCGTGCAGACGTTGGAGATCACTCCATGGCTTCTCACGGCCTTGATTCCCATTGCTGCCACAGATTTCCTTAGGCACCGTTTCCAGACAGTTAATAAACTCTATATTCGCTGCCTGGGTGCCTTGATGCGCGAAACTGAGGTGTCGGGTTATAATGGCGTCATTTGGTACCTCCTTGGTGCCTTCATTGTCTTGAGATTCTTCCCCAAAGACGTGGGCGTTATGGGCGTTCTGCTTCTGAGCTGGTGCGATACAGCAGCATCGACCTTCGGGCGTCTCTACGGTCGCTACACCCCTCGAATTCGCAGAGGAAAGAGCTTAGCAGGCACTTTGGCCGCTTGTGCTGTCGGCATAGTTACTGCTACAGCATTCTGGGGCTACCTTGTTCCCACTGTTGGCTCCTTTGCCAACGATCCTGAGAATTCGTTCATGTTCACTGGAACATTGAACCTTATCCCAGACTACGTGAAAGGTGCCCTTGAATGGGTGGGAATCTCCCGGGGGATCACGGATAAAGCTGTGGTGTCCGGCCCACTCGCCCTCGGTGTGATGAGTTTGTGGACGGGCATCGTCGCTGCTGGTAGCGAGTTGATTGATTTGTTCGGTTGGGACGATAATTTGACTATTCCGGTGTTGAGCGGCGTTGGAATGTGGGGATTCTTGAAGGTTTTCGGGTCATGAACTGCACTTTGGCAGTTTTCCTTTCTTTCTTTCGGTGTTGTCCTATTTAATTACGCTGTTACGTTGTCTGCATGTTTTCCTCCTTCTAATCATCCTGTTTCTTTCTATCGATGCCCAGCGTCCTCCACTCTCGCCCATTCAGACCGAAGATACACCTTTTAAAGATGCCCATTTTTCACCCTGTTACCTCCAACAGTACCCCTATTAAATGCATTTCCTTATATTCCCCCTTTTTTTGTCCTTCGCATACTCCTTGAACACGAGACTGCTTTATTAGATCTGAATACCTAGCATACCTCTGCATGTATAGTAAATAACCGATCTTCTCGCCGTCGTTACCCGGCCACACTCCTCGTTATGTTCACAATAACATTGAACCATGACAGAAGTCATCCTGCGTAGAAATGATCATAATCCCCCTTGAATTAACATTGTTTATCATTACGTATTTAATGCGCTTATGCCATTCTTCTGTAGCACGAAGATTTCGCCTACAATACCAGAAGGGCCTCTGGAGAATCACCATGCTTGATAGCTATTATGAGGTTTGCTGGGAACCTTTTTAGTCGGTGCTTATTAGTTAACATTGGTCTGCGCTGATAAAGTATAGCAGACTTTTTTGGAACGCAAAAAAAAAAAAAAAAAAAAAAAAAAAAAAAGAAAATGGGAAATAATCGTATCATTCTCCATGATTTTCGATTTTTATCGGACATGCTTGACGAGGCCAATACTGACCCTCGTCGGTGTTGGTGATAAGTGTAACATGGACATCGGAGCATTGGTAGAAAAGGAGGGCAGGAGTAGGCGCAACCAAGTTCGATCAAGTTAGATCTAGGATGCTGATCCGCCCGGCATGCTTCTTTTGTTTGCTTGACTTGGACTGGGTTGGCGCTTTATCGCAGTAGTTTGCTAACGAAGTATCTTTAGAACGAACTCCGGGTGTGTGCGTCCAAAAGCCGTTCCAAATGTTTATATCTTGCAGGTGTATATGTGTCGTTTGCTCGCTGGGTGCTTCAGTGGACTGCAATGAATTCTCGTCTTGAATGGATAGTCCTTGGAAGTCGTCGACCAGTAACGAGTCCAGGGATTTCAGGTTTTTCCCTTCACATGGAGGCTTCAATATAGGCTGTGCGGACTGCTTTGGAGTAGCACGCGCTTCCTTGATCAATGAGGTGTCTGATGACGATACGGAGGCTTGTGGAGACAAATGGGTCGTGTTGAATTTCGACGGGCCCAACTTGTTGCGTGTTTCCCTTGACTTCGAGGCTTTTGATCTGCCTTTTACAGGGCTAGCCTTTCCTCTTCGTTCAGCCCGAGACGAGCCTTCGTCAGATGAAGAAGAGATTGTAATAGATTGGAACTCCGTCTCTAGTAAATCCAGGGCTCTGAGAGAGTGAGAATGGTTAGAATCGTCCTTTGGGTTTGTGGAACACGGCAATCTACCTTCGTCACTGTCTCCGAGAGCCATAGCTGCTTCGATGTCGCTGGAAGTTGGGTGATCAACTTTCCTTGCAGGCTTCGGCTCCCTGGAGAATGAGGACGTTCCGCTTTTTGTGCTTCGAACAGCAAAGGCAGTGCAGTCTGCAATCGTCCTCTGTGTATGATTGCTCATAGAGTCACGACGGCCTTCGCCAGTTTGATTCCGCCTTTCAATCGTAGACCTGCCAGATTTTCCAAGAGCTGTAGACGTCCGTAGCTGGGGCTTCACAATGGTGCCATATCGATGAAGCGCCCCTGGCGCCATTCCAGCATCCACAACTTTCTTTGTACCCCTAGCTCCCTTTTTAGAAACTTGAGGCTTGGAAGCTGCCAGCTTTTTCCGCTCCTGCTCGTCTTGCCACTGTTGTATCGCGTCTGGCATACCTACTTTGACGAGAGCCTCAAAGACCCAGAACGTTTGTTCCTTTGTTGGGTCATAAAATACTCGTTGTGTGGTAGAATGAAGCATCTCGATCCCGTCGTCTTCATCATCAGATTCAACCATATCAACAGTCACATCTGCACTCTCTGTTTGGGACAAGGGTTCCGATTCTAATTCTAAGTTTAAGCCCACAACTTGAGCGGGAACGAATTGCAGTTTTATCTCTGCCAAGCCGTCCATAGTAGTGTTGTCCTTTCTGCCGGATACTTTGGCCCGAGGGGGATCCTGTGGTTGAGCGTATAGGTGGTAGCAAATGAGCGCAGGTGCCAGTTTCCTGACAAATCGATGCGCTCCGGCAAGGCTCTTCCACCCAAGCTCTTCAGAAACAAATTGTCGAAGTGCAGATACGTCAAAGTCTCGGTTCCATTGGAGGTTTCGAAGTTTCTCCAAGTCTCTTTCCGACGAAGTCAGTGGATGAATGTAGTCAAATAGCACTTGCAGGTCAGGAAAGCTTTCCGGTATCCGAACAGCCATGTGCTTAGACTTAAAATACCCGCTTTCATTCGTCGAAAGTTCGTAATCCAATCTTTTTCTCCATTCATTCAAGGGCGTAGTTAAATCCCTTGGGTTGGAGGTGATGATGTCTAACAAATCGGTGCCAAAACCGGCACGCGCAATTTCGGCAGCCAATTTGGGCCCGCATCTCGGCACACCTGCCGGTAAGTAGTCACCTCCGCTTAGAAGCGCAAACAAGGCCATACCACCGGCATCAAATGGGACATTAGCCGCGGACCCATCACGACGATACACACTAACATGCGTAGCGGCACTAGGGCCTTTAGAAGCTCTTGAGAAATTCATAAATGTGATCTTAGATCCAAACATAACTGTGTCAATGTCGTTACTCATTGCTGCATCAACTATGCCCATTGTTTGTAACTTTGCGCATTCTGCCTCTGCTTCCCCTGGCGCGTCGTGGTGCTGAAACCCGAAGAGCTCAATGAGTCGCTTCGATGAGCGGATATTCCAAGCACCAGACCTGCCATTTCTAATGACCAACTTCCCTCGCTTGTATTCAGGGCGTCCTGAGCCGTCAAACACGAAGATCGGATGGACTGGTAATGATATCAACCTTGCGAGTCGGTAAAACAATGCTCGCAGCTCAGGATTTAAACCCCCCTGAGCGGCTTGAGCCTGAAACAGCCAGATTGATACATCGATTGCAATGCGGAGCGGCCGTGAGGTCTGTTGAAAATGGTCGATAGCTAATTTAGCCAAGGAGACTCGATCTCCAGGGCCGAGCTCCTGTAGAAGGCTGAAAGCAATGTTAGTACCTAGAACAACACTTATGAACATAGATACCTGGAACAGGTGAGTGCTTACCCGGGAATACCCATGTATGCTTATCAGTGACATGGTAACTGGGAATCCATTTGGGCCTGTGATGAATTGTGTGTTCTGCATGCAACCAGTAATCAGGCAGGCTGCAGCCAGCTGGCTGGGGGCATATTCTGCCATTCTTCACCGCCAAGGCGTTTGTCCCCTGGCGACATCACCTTGCACACCCTCTCTCACGCGCGACGACATCACAGCATGGAACAGTGAAGATGGGATCGAAGCTCCATGCACTTGCGAAGATTGATGCAGAGCTATTCGTGACATTGAGAAGCGTAAGTGATACCTCTCATATTGTAGCTCCTTCACAACAGACTGTGCTGTTGCTGCTGAAGCATTGTTTACATGGATTCACAGCGAGTTGGTGATGGTCCAGCAGAGGTCTTATAAGCTATGATCCACAAGAGCCATGGTGCATATGAATAAACTATATAAACTGAACTACTTGAAATAAATCTGGAGCTGATCCTGCATTTTTGACACCGTAGGTGTTGCTACGATTTTGAGTTGCGTTCTCCATTTTGAAGCTACGAATGACTTGGCCTTGAAGACAAGGAATTCTCAATTGACCGTCATGACAACCATTTCTTCGTCATCCTCTGGTTTTGATAGACGGTCATCTGCGACTGATATACGAACAAGTCTCCGATCTTCCCGAACGCATGCTCCCGCATCCCCGCACACTCCACAGCAATCCCGTCAGATGTACTCACCATACACCGGTTCTCCCTCGCCGGGATCGTCATTTCGACATGAAGAAGATTCCGTTATTATAGAAATTGGGACTCGTTGGCTGCGGGCCGGGTTTGAAGGCAACAGCACTCCCGTGTGTGTGGTAGGATTCGGCCCGGAGGAAGGAAGACGGGTTGGTGATTATCGAGGATGGATACGGAGTCCAAACCAAGATAGCCAAAAGGGAAAGATAGCGCCTACCAGTATCCAAAACTGGCTAAAAAGCCATGAACTCTGGCGTAAGGATATTCGTGGCCTTGACGTTGGTCTTTTTGAAGACAAGCTTGAACGAGCCATTCGGGAACTATACAACAAATATCTGCTCACGGATACTGGTTCGTCGCGACTCGTTCTTGTTCTTCCGTCAATCGTGCCTCATGTCTTACTCTCCTCCCTGTTATCCACTATATTCCACCGCTGGAGATATCCCGCTATCACCTTGCTTCCATCTTCTGCTATGGCCGCTGTGGCTGCGGGTGTCAGATCAGCTCTTGTCGTAGACATTGGTTGGGAAGAAACGACAGTTACGGCCCTTTACGAATATCGGGAAATTCAATCCAAACGAAGTACTCGTGCAATGAAACTCTTAATGCAACAGGTGGGGCGATTCTTGACCCAAGTTGTCCGCCAGGAAGAAGGCTTGACAACCACGGAAGATGATACCATAGACGTAAGCGTTGATCTATGCGAAGAAATTATGACCCGGCTAGCTTGGTGCAGAACTCGAACCACGACTAGACAGCGACCAGAATCTGAAGGAGCTGAAGACTCACACCAAACGTCCGCCCTGGACGATGGCGACGACAGCCCCAACGCCGCGCCTGGTCTATCCGAGTTAGTATCCCTACCATTACCTGTGGGAAACACGATGACGTATATAGACGTTCCATTCCTGAAATTTTCCGAATTGGTAGAACAAGCCTTGTTTGCAGGTGGAACCACTGGGCGAGATTGGGACGATGAGGACACTCCACTAGACATGCTGGTCTACAATTCGCTACGTTCACTGTGCCCAGATGTACGGGGAACTTGCATGTCTAGAATTGTGTTTATTGGCGGCGGATCAAACATCCCCGGATTGCGGCAAAGAATCATTGAAGATGTGGATACCGTCATCGAGAAGCACCAGTGGTCTCTAACTCGAGGCAAAGTGTTTGAAAAAGGAGAAAGTCGAGAGCGAGGTGTGAATGAAAAAGCAGGCTCCGATCGGCCCAGCAACGACGTGGGTACCAAGGCATCGGAACAGACGCCAGATACCAGCTTCATTGACGAGAGATTCCAGCGAAATAGCAAAGACTCTACGCCACATGTTCATGGAGTTCTTCGGCAAGTAGATTCTCTGGGATCGTGGGCGGGTGCCAGCTTGGCATCCAGTTTAAAAGTCAAGGGCTTAGTTGAAGTTGAACGCGAGAAGTTCCTTCAGCATGGGTTCGCAGGTGCCTCCAGGGACCATAACATCAGCACATCGATGGATCGAAGGTCTGGCTACGGGCCAAGCATGGCTAGATCTGGAGGCGATAGATCTAGTTGGACACTGGGAGAATGGGCATAGTCAGATCTTTGAACATCGTCAACCAACAACGCAACGTGCCTAATATACCCTGATACCCAAGAACCTCGGTATTGATTCAGAAGGGAATGCTGCATTGGCAGCGATATGCGGCGTGGATATTGAGTTCAGCTTCACGCATCATGTCGAGATGCTGGCCGTAACAGTTTCTCTTCCTATGCTATGAAAGGCGAAGGGAAGTTATCTCGAATAGGAGTAATGAAAAACGCGGAAGAAGCCCAAATGAAAGAATGAAAGGCAGTGCTCGTTTCCTCCTCGACACATGTTTCCCCGGCGGACAAGGCGCGACCGGCCCTTTCCATTCACCTCGCCTCGGGTTTTACCTCCACATTCTTACTACATGGTCACACTTTGCTAGTTTCCATAGTGACGTGAACAAGAAAAATTCTCCTTTCCCTTGAAGCTGTTGTGAGATTGTAAAGCTCTTTGAACGTTATATGTTCCTCAAAGCACTTTGAGCTTTGAAAGAAACGATTTCTTTTATCTCGGCGACTATATCAAAGCCACTTTTTCTACATAAGAATGCGGCGAGTGGGTTCCTTCGTTCAGGGACTCCGCAGAATGTCAGGGTCCCCTCTGCCATCGAGAGAGAGGTTGCCGTCCCCAGTCCGTCGACGCGCCTCGAATGCCAACCTTTTGGGTGCCCCGGTCAACAGAGACGATTCAGCAGGCTCAAGAGGTTCAAGACGCAGAACCAGTCAGCTCCTTGGGGAAATATTCTCTGCCGCGGAGCTCGAAGCTCCAGGTCTCCTTGACTCGCCCCGCGACGATTTGCCATATGATCGTTTGAAGCTTGAAGGTCTTGTTAACTACCACGTCGGCCAGCTTGAACGGCTTAAGCGAGAAATCCAGGGTCATAACGAGACCATTGGGCAACTGGCATGCACCCTCCGCAGTATGCGCCACAAAGACCACCTCGTCCACGCTGCTGGATGCTTGAACGCCCGCATTCAGGGGGTGAAAAACACGAGAAACCGCCTCGCAAAGTTCGTCATGTTCCATTTGCAAGAGATGGAGCGAATTGAGGAATTCGGGCGGCCTTTGGGGTTCAGACCCGGGAGGTGAGCCACTCTGTTATAGTTGCCCTTCCCATTCAGCGCCGATAGCTAACGCCTCCACCTATTTATAGATTTAGGGAGCTCCCCACATTTGGAGGGTGGAATCGTTTGTTTGCAGACGATTACCACTAAACCGAGGGAGCCTTCTTACCGTTTTACGGCTCGGGTCTTGGCGTCCGGTGGAGTTATGGCAATTGTGATGCTCCCCTTGGGTTTCGGTTTTATGAAGACAGGAAGAAGGGGATTACGTCCGGTGGTCTGTTGGTCTGGCATGCAGGCGTATGTCATTGTTGCTGGTTCTCAGTCACTGCCGGAATTCAACGCATATTGTGCTGATTTGTCGGGAAATTAGGCGTTACATGGTCATACTAAGCGGTGACAAGGGAAGGCAGGAAGGAATCCAATTATTTTACAGGAGGCCTAGATCCAAATTCATTCCGTGGCGTCCCGTATAGAATTTGGAGGAATGAATGAACTGCTGGGCATAAAAGCGGGCACTATCAAGCTAGAACCGGCTTTCTTTGAGGCCGATCAGGTAGTACGGAATGATATTGGAAGCCTTTTGTAAATCCTAAGGTATCAACGGGTATAAGCAAAGCTACTTTCCCGCGTGCAGTCGCTAAAAACACAACCAAGTTATACTCCTTGCTCCAAACTCCTAGGTGCTTCAATCAGAAACTTCTCCATTAACGTGTATCTCCCCATTACACTCTTCCAAAGACGTAGGTAGCCCAATTGACTGCTGGCGGGGTGTCAGGCCCAAATATTTGATATTGCAACTGGCCCCACTGTGGATTATTAACTCCGTCGATCCAGCCTTCCGGCTCAATAACGATACAGCCATATTTCTGCACAGTGTCGACCGGGTGAGTTGTATTTCCAGTATTCTGCTGATTATTGTGGTCAACTTGCGACTGTTTCACCGGTAAGGTCCCATTCTGACCGCTGCAGGTGTAGATCTGGACGGCGTGTTGATTGGTGCTGACGAGCATGGAGATACCAGTGGTAGTGGAAAACATGTTTAGAGCTGGGACCATGGTTTTGGGGGACGACGTCCAGTCAGAAATGTTCGTTGGCCGATCGATGATGAAGCATGTATCGTAGCCGGTGCAGTTGTCACCGCAGAGGCCAGTGGTTGATTGGATATCTTGGCCGATCAGCTTGGGGGATGTGAAGTCAAGGGCTCCATCGAACGAAGTTTTAACATCTGCTATTTGTCCCGTTGGAATCAAGTGGGAGTCCGTGGATATATATCGGTCAGAAAGGGGTAGTTGGAGGAATGTATCGTTCAAAATATTTGGCTCCTTAAAGGCGTTCAAATTCCAGTAGATGTGGTTAGCCAGCATGATAGGCGTCCTGTCTGACTGCGCAATGGATACCGTCCTCGTGGTCAGCTTGGTTTCGAAGCTTGCGTTGTCGGGACTCCACGAAGAAGAGACTGTATAAGCAGCCAGGTTCACCACTTTCCCTGGGAAATTTTCAAATCCGGGATCAAAGAGAGCAAAAGTTATGGAGTCCTCGGTATGGTTAGTGACAGTCCAGTTCCGCTGATCATAACCAACGGGGCCGCCATGCAGCGTTTGGGTATCGTTGAACTCGTTCGAGGGGACTTTATACTCAACGCCATCCAAGATGAATGTGCTATTTTTTATTCTGTTTGCATATCGTCCAACGATAGGCCCAAGATAGGCATTGTTAGACGCGACATTTTCAACATATTGTTCCGGATTGTCAAAGCCGACCACGACATCTTGCTGCTGGCCAGATCGATCGGGAACGAGCAACGAAACCAGGCGGGCGCCATACGGAATAAACGATGCCGTGATATTGTTTGCAGATATCGTATATACTTGCAGTGCTGTAGAAGTGTTAGAAGGGGAGTCGGTGGGCGCGGGAGCTGGCTGAGGAGCGGGAACAGTGACATTCATGCCCTGTGGCGTCCCAGGCACGACCACGCAGGCGAGCAAGAAAGGGCCAACGAAACGCGAATAGTGCATTTTTCCTGCCTGCAAAAGGGCGGAAGAAAGTAGTGTCAATTCCTCTCTGATATACTCCGTAACTATTCATGGTTCAACTAAGAAATATAAAGGGATCTGCAAAGGGCGTGAAGAGGCGGGGTTATTATACCCCCTTCCTTACAATTCAAATCACGAACTATACGACGTCACCACTCTCCGTCGCCGGAGTCGAGAACCTTGAGCTACAGGAGAAATACAGGCTAGCCGTGGGACGGATGAGTGAATTCTCACAGTCATGTCGCTAAGGGACGATAAAAGTGAACCCGACAAACGATGAGATTTTTGGACCATGGACGGCATTGTGGGAGACAACGTAACGTATTGGAGGGCATACCATAGCTCCAGGTAGGAATGGAGGTACCACGTCGCGATATGATGCCGACCAGCGGGAAGTGGATCGTCATACGCTGCCAACCACCTTGGTGGAACTCAGATCGACGAGCTGCGTATGTACTTGTCACTTGAAACAATCCCGGTCCATCCGCCGCTCGGACCGTTTGCGGCTGGGGATACTCTGCCCGGGACGGACCGTACCACTCGTGCTTTGAACTATAAAGTTGATGGTAACACAGAACTAAGCTCTCAACATTCAAGAGCTTTTGAACGGGCGGCCTGGTGATGTAGAGGTACATATGCGCACATAGAGCGGCACCAAAAGCCCAGACCAGGAAGAATAACAGATGCGCGAGGGACACCACTCTCCGGATCGGAACCAGCCATTATTTGTCGATAAGATCCCTGTTGCAGTGCTGCGATGCTGCGATGCTGCTGCAGTGGTGCTGTTGTCTCGCCGGCACTGTGGGTTGCTCCGGTGAGTCTCTCGGGCCGAGTACTTCCGAAGTGTGGCTGGAGATCTACTGGGCCAAATTTGGTTAGTGATGAAAGGCTTTTCTCGATCTAGGATAATTATTGATCCGGCTCCTACGATGAGGGTGGATGATATAATCAATGCAAACATAAACAAAGCGCACGAGCCACCTCCGACGACCAGCACGAAGCTCCGTCGAAGGCGAACGATCGGACCAGAGCAAAACGTCTTGAAATCGCATTGCCAGGTCTAGCCTGAGCGCTGAAAGAGAATCGATGAGCCTGCGACTCCAACCAGGTCGCGCCCGATGGAGCATAGCTTCCAATCCTTGATACCTGCTACCGCTGTTGCCCCCTCCGCACTGGTCGCGATTCCCTGCCGCCGCCTGCCATTCCTCCCGCCCTGGAGCAAAGAAAGGATAACAACGTATCGCAATGGAGAGTCGAAATGGAAGTTCGTCCCCTGACCCGCTGGGCTATCCCGGCGATCCTGAATTTCTACTCTCATCCGCCACAAAGCCGTTCTCCCATCGGAGACTGAGCATGACACCCTTCAAGTCCCGAACCCCGAGAACCCCGTGGTCCACCAGAAGTAAAGGCAAAAGAAGTGCGAAAAGCGTCGCAAGATCGATCAAATATCCTGATATAGTCCTCCCGTCTACACCTTCGGGGGACCGCTTCAACCAGAGATCGCTTTCCCCAACCAAAACGACCATGCACTCGGAAAGTAACATCAGTCCCTGGCGGATCCGAGTGACGGTAGAAGCCGAGCGCGACGAAGAAGAGGAGGGTCAAAACATTATCCAAAGCAGAGCTGGTGGTTGGAAAAGCGGCAACGCCCTGAAAATACCCCTGAAGGGTGGAAATTCATCGGCTGAGCCCTCACCGAAGAAGTCACCCCGTAAAGGGAAAAAAACTGACGTATCCAAGCGTGCGCCCACTCCGGGAAAGAAGAGACCTGCCGGAATTTTCGATGGCGTTTTAGATAGTGTAGGGAAGCGAAAAAGAGGAAGGTCAAGGAAGACCCTAGAGCCCGTTGGAGAGAATTCACCCACGCGTCACTCCTCGCCCGCAAAATCCATCGCAGACCTGCTTAGTGGAGATGATCCGTTTTTGGATATCGCCCAAGGTGGTGTTGATGGTGCCGCGTATGAGCCAGAAACACACGCTTCTACGTATCAGACCACTCAGCCTAATCTTGGTGCTCCTACAATTCAAGATGATCAAACCTCGCCAAAATTGACTCCAATAGCTAAAGCAGGGGAAAGATTGCAATCCGGTCAGCCCGGGAAAGAATTTGGGGTCTCGGAAACCTCACCTATACACGGAGATGTTGGTCCATCCCCAATCAACGTAACTTTTGCTGGACATACTCCTAGGCCTAAATTCCGTCTCTATCCGACTCCCACATCTTCTTCCCAACTAGGAGAAGAACCTTTAGATGCTAACAATATTCATTCCTCGACTACCAAAACAAAGGTAGTGAAACTGGGGGAACGTATTGCGGACCCAAACGAGGACCATAGGGAATTTGACTCTATCATGGAAAGCGAAGGATTCAGTATGGTTTCGCTAAATTCATTGCCGTCTGCGAAGCGGAAACTCCTTAGCTCTCTAGAAGGACGTTCGTCTATACCGGTCACCATTGAAACCCCTCTCGAGAAAAGTTTGGCGAAGGCGGATGCCGGAACAGAAATAGCCTTAGAAAATGGGGCTTCCACTCCCTCCGCAGCAGAACCCAGTCCTGCAACCGATCCCCGTCCTACCGAAACAGCACTAGGTGGATGGCCAGCAAACAGAGCTGAGACGGACGACTTTCAAGCCCAAAAGCCAGTCCTTAACGATGTTCCTCCACACCATCTCACACCGCCAGCGGTACCTGTGGTGCCCGAACAAGTATCGCGCCGAAGTCTTATTGTTCGGCTAGCGCGTATAATCCGGACTGGAATCTCACTGCAAAGAATGCTGAACCGTAATTGGAGGATACTCAATTCAGACGCCCCTCTTTATAATGCTACCGATACGCAAGATGATGACTCCGAAGCTACAAGACGACGAATAGAGAAACTGTTTGAGGGCTTTAGCATGGAGATTCGAAGAGATCTATGTGCTGCATTACGTTTTGGCAAAGCACTAGCACAAAGAACCAGGATAGCGCGTCAGGAGTGGCAGCCAGAAGTGGCTTCAGATGAGCATGTTTCTGTTTCCGACTCTGGAGGGATCCAATATCCTCTGCTGGACATAGCTGCAGATGGACAGTCACTGTCAACAATGTCCCGGGACGAGAATCACGATCACTCTTCCGTACACCTAGGGACCCCAACACCTAGAGACGAGAATCTGACCGAAAAAATAAACATGGAAATGGCTAAACGTGAAGAGCAATGGCAGCGGGAAAGGGAAGCAATCAGCCGCCAGATTGAGGCGGCAAGTGAAAGCCAGGTCATTGTCATTGAGAGTGACGACGAACGTTTGGCCACGCAATCCCCTCTTCATCAGGATCAAGACATACCCGGTGATCTGAGAAACCAGACTACTGCTGAGGACGATGACTATGAAGATATTTGGCAGCAGGAGGCGCGAGAGGGGGCTATTCCGTCAGACTCACCGTCGTTCGCCGAGGTTACACATGATGATACCGTTCACCCACGCAGAACCGCTGTTCCTACAAATATAGGCTACGCCCAAGATGAAGAAAATTTTCCCCGGCAGCCATGGTCAGCTCACACACAAAAGTACCCGATGCTGTCACTTGGAAAATCCCAGCTGGAAAAGTACAGGGATATGACTTTCGAGTTTTCATCTCTGATAAGGACGCCAGAGAGTTCGACGAGGAGATGGATGCGAGGAGCTCTAGAATCAGCCTCCACACGTGGCTCCAATTCCATGCCGAACGAGGCTCCTCTGCAGCAAGCTCCCACGTCAGCCGTAGCTGAAGCCAATACTATAGAGGATGTCCGGCAACAAGCACGTCCGCCGTTTTCGAGTTCAAGTGATTCAATTTCGGAACTTCCTCCGCCGCCTTCTCTAAAGTATACCGGCAGCGATATCATGACCAACGGCCAACATGAGCCGTCACCTTTGCTTGGAGATCAAATGTCACCCAATCTAAGATATGTTGGAGATAACGCTGAGAATCAGTTTGAGTCGAATGGGGAAGCTCGCAATGATTTAGAGGAGGACGTTCATACCGTTTCTCCCAACTTCAAAGCGCAAGAAACGGCTATTAACCCATCTTGGTTTAATCGACTTACGAATATTGCACCAAAGTGGTTTGTTGCCTCACCTTCCACACAATCACACAGTATTCAAAATCAACCGCCTCTTGATCAACCCGAATATCCCATGCAATCCACCTCTTTCCCGCCTGTTGTTCAAGAACAAGCTGATTTCTCAACTACCCCACGAGCTACTCATCGAAGGAGAAGGCCAAATGGAAAGCCATTAGCCCTTTCGGGCTACTTTACCAACGACCACTACTTCGCTCTGCGTCGTATATATCGCAAAGCAAAAGAATCGCCACATCTATTTCACTACGCTCCGACACCGGAGCGTGATGCAATGTTAGGGAAGTGGATGTGGTCGGCTGACGGCCATCATCATCGACAAGTTACGGAGATTCAATTGGCTGTCGTTGACAAGTTCAGAAAAGATCTGATTGAGGCAAGCAGGAAGAGTGGCGGGTCTGATACTCTAGGATGGACTGAAGAAGATATCTTATGGAGGCTCTTTAGCATAATTGTTGGAGAAAAGATCAGGAGAGAACGGAAAAGGCAGCAGGCTGTCGAAGACACCGGTGATGGAATAGGAGACGCGGAGATCCCAGGCGCGATTGTGACATGAACATGGCGACCATCTTGGGGTTGCGGCTCTGGGTGTCCGATCTTAGTATCGGCATATTGTTTTGATTCTGTATAGGACTATAAGAGGTGTTTTGGAAATTGGAGGCTGGTTTATGGTGCTTTGTCAATTCGCAGCTGTTGCTCGAAACCTTTGTTGGGCGTTTATGATGTTGGGATAGGTACGTGTATGACGACTTTGATGACCGAGGACTTTCTACGAGCTCTTCTACCCTATTGCATAGGACGCTTGTTGTTTTTTAATCTGTGTTCTGTAAATATTAACTGAGATACCATATTCTGGATTGATTGATTCTCTTTTGTGCAAGCTGT